TCACTCGTACATTACTGTTTTGGTGTTTTGCAGATAAAAAACAATGCCTCAGGAATAGGACTATTATAACCCCTTATGCTACTAGTTAAGAGACAAAAACAAAGCTAAGAGAAGTACCCAACTCGAATGGCGAAAACAACAAAGGAAGCCGTTCATCAACGCATCATCTACTGATTATTTTGTGTACAAGTATCCAGAGTAAGACAATCGGCGTAAAACTCATTTGTACTAGTAGATTTAAGTGTTCACTGAACAATCTGAAGTTACTAGTTGCTGGTTCTGCTTTTTTCACCATCCTTATCAAGATGAGCTAAAAAAAAGTAATGTACCTTGTTTATGTGGACTCCATGAACATAAACTTATATTTTATCATGGATTTCGCCATGAATATTATATTGAAGCAACACTGGAAAAAAAAAATAAAATCCGAGCAGTAAATTCTGAGACATAAAATTAGTTCATTGGGGCGTCTGCGATTTTTCTCATTCTTGTGAGGTTTTGTTAGCATTTCACACTAGTGTGTGAGAAAGGCTTGAGTGTGCTTACCTCTTACAACGCGAAGAGCCTGTATAAGTTCGCAAACACACTCATCATTGTCTTTTTGTGGTACCATTATTGAAATGTACAACGCAATGAGAGTCTCATTTTGTTTGCACCACAGTATAGAATCTAACGGAGCCATTTACATCCCCGCTGCCTCGGTCGCACCATTCATCGATAAATGTTGTCCCCACTTGGAATTGTGTAGTACAAAGATAAAGATGAACAAAAACAAAAAAAGAAAAGCTGAAATATGAAACAGATACAAATTCAGTGCGTAAGTGTAAGAGAGCCGAAAAATTGGCGATGCTGATGATTTGTACCAGCTCCAAACTAGCACATACAAAATAGAAGTGATTCGATTCATGCTAGACAACAACCCACGCGGTTTGTTGTGGGTTGCTACGCCTTTTTCTTAATAGTAATTTATCCTATTCCTCTATGTATGTGCAATGAAAATTCCATGCATTTCTTTTGGGAAATCACGTAGAGAAGAAGATTGCACTCTACCACTAGAAACTACGTACACCACCTGTACAGAGAAATTAACGTAGCATTTGACAGCATTCTGATATTTTTTTCTGTTCGGTTTCATGACAGGTGGGAGTGAGGAAGCAATGGCGTATGAAGGAAATGTTTAAGTTACACAGATTTCCCTTGAGGGATTTTGTGATGGTTTGCATTTGCAACTTGAAACACATTCGAGAATGAGGGTTTGGAAATTTGTGCGTTCCTTTCTGAGCAAGAACATTATCCTTAAAACTGGCAGTAAAACTTTAATCCTTATATTTTAAAATTACACACAGAAAGATCATGAGCAAGATAGATGGCATATGAGTAACGAAATGAAAAGCTTAAAATAGGGGGTAGCTACTAAGATTTAATAGATATTGAACTTTTCCCGGTTCATGGGTACTTCTACCACTCTGGGTATTTGATAGTTAGGCACGCATTGAATTTCGATATTCCTATAGAAAGAAAGAGCTGCATTGAACGGTCCTTCTCAGGTAACTCTATCCGTGCTCCAAAAGTCGAGGTATAACAAATCAGCATTGGTTGTAGTCTTATAAACCAATCAGAAACACTTCACTCTCTTTTCATAAGCAATTATCACATCCTCAGGGAAGCATTGATTCCAACGTTTGATCTCAATGCCAAAAGTTGGCAGATACCCATTTTCTGAGAAGAAGAGCCCTTTTCCTCATGAAATCCCACTTATAACTTTTTTCATACATGTATTACCCATAAATAGGGCAAGGATGTACTGTGTATCGTCAGAGTTCAAGAAATAATGGCAGTTTCTTCTCACTGGGATATTTCCCCTAGTGATAAATTTTGATGTAGTGGTATAGAAGTAATGTACAGAATCCTAATGATAACGCATAATGGAAAAAGAAACCATATGCAAATCTTTACTGCTTACTTCAGTTATGTCATCAACATGTCATACTCTAGAAGAAGAAAAGTTTATTAAACTTTTCTTTTTTCTAATTTTTTTCTTTGCTTTCCCCCCTCCCACAATTAACGGCTTCTACAAAAACGCTTGGCCATCCCTTGTGTTCTCTACTCTTTCCAAACGTAGAGGAGAAAGGTATTACTTCAGCACAAACACAAAATCACTAGTGTACTTTCTTTCCCCTGCCTTCTTCTAAGTCAACAAAGTATGAACTTTTCTGAAAATACCTCGTACATGTGATTTTAAAGGTAGTTGGAAGGAAAAAGAAAACAATGGACAGCAACCCACTCACGAAGTTGTGTATTACTTCCGTACCCCCGTAAAATGTCTTATTTTGGTAGTCTTTTCTTCTTGGGAAAAGAAAAAGCAAAAATATGTCCTAATTGTTTTAGACATTTTTGTCAGTTTTGATCGTGTACAAACTTAATTATATAAGCACTGTTTTTTCGTAGATCACCCAATGTAAGCAGCGGATATTAGCTATAAACTACCGGCCGATATATGTATTGTAGACTACAAGAGAAAAAAAAAAGCACATTTCAAAGTCAGTTAAGTTGTTCGTCATTGAGCCTTTTACGAGTTGAAAGGAAATCGGTTGACTACACCAGACTATTGGGGACTAAATACCATGTACCCTTTTGGCATCCGCGGCGCTGATTTGCCACAAACTGTGCTTACCTTGTCCATACTTAGGACCGAATAGTTATCTACAGCCTCTTATAAGCGAAAAAGAATTAAGATTTCAAAAATCTCTTTTTCCATCTTCCCGCTTTCTGCACTCAGTTGTTCCGTTGTTACCTTACAACGCAAACAGTTCTTTTTTTTTTTGTCCGTGTTTGCGGGTATTGGAAATATAACAGACGGAATACCGCAACATTGCGATCCACATTTCAATGCTAAGTAAGAAGTGTATATATTCTTTTTATTTGGTAATAATTCTTAGGTTCCACATGAGATTTATGAAACTCGTATGGGTTAGAACTGGAAGATTATTGTAACTGCATTTCGATCCTTGTGGGGCCTAATGTTCCATTGTATAATTGTGAAGACCGGAAGAAAAAAAATTTTTGTTAAAGGATATGGTAGGCTTTCAAAATAGACTAAATAAACTCCAGGAAAGGAAATTTGGTTTTATTGTCTTTTGAAAATTTAACAAAACATTTCATGTATACTTTGCAAAAAGTAAATAAGAGTTCTGAATAGACAGCAATTAAGTTTTTTCCTATTTTAAGCATTTTGTGATGAAAAGTACTGGAAGAAGTAAGAAAATTTTTAGGAATTGAATATCAAGGACATATTGTGCATGAAATTCCAGGAATTTTAGAAAATTAGAAAAACATGAGAGCGTTTATTTTTGTTTTATCGTTAGTTCTTTGTGGGGCAATTAACACCATTCGTTGCTAAAATATTTACTGTTGAGGTAAAAACAAAAAAAAAAGGTGTAATCATATAAGATTGAAATATTTTAGTCAAACAAATTTGGGCGCAAATACCACTCAATAGATTTTGATAGGAAAATGTACCAATGAATTACAGATTAGGCAAGTGATTCTATTTAATCTCGACACTCAATCGTGCCATAAGCATGCTGGTCATCTAGAAAGAAACCTCAATTCGGTCATGTAAAATGTTTGAGGCATTGAATATATGTTCAAAGCTGGAAACCTAAAATGGTAAGATGTGTTTTTTTGAGATATGCATTCTTGAAAAGGAGTCATGCTTAGATTTTAATTATCCTTAATATAAACAAAAGATAATGACTGCTTCTGTTTTAGCATACATGTGATTTATTCAAATGCACGATAAAAGTGTTGACAAGCTCTACAACTTCAGCTAGTCATGACAGAGTCGATCATTTTGAAGGTCGAATGGAGGAACATCTGCAATATTTACACTTTCTAGAAAGTTTTTGAACGTCACGCTAATGTTGTGATTGCGTAAATTAAACTCCCTTTAATGAAAAGACTCAGAAAAGTAGTCATGTTCGGAGAACTCGCAAATTTCATGATGCGATATTTCTTGCTACTTACAACCTAAAGAATTTTCTTTGCAACTGAATGCATGTACTCAATTTAGACATCCCGTAATTCTAAGAAATTTGAAGTTTCAATAAGCAATTTAATTTGAGTGCAGGCAAATCTCTGGTCTAAAATCCAAGTAACACATTCTCTGTTCAAATAGGGCCTGTGATGTTCTGTGTAGTATGACCTACATAGATCGCCTTATGCCTTTCTTCCACGCTGAGTCGATTGGTTAACTAGTCAATAATTGAATAGTTATATTAGCCTATCAAAAAACATTATGGCTAACTTAAATAAAAGTTTTTTTACATGATAGAAAGCCATTTCATTTGAGAAGCTTGAATAAAAGTATATCATTTGTCCGAAATTAAATAATATGTCTACAACATTTACTATTTCCAGATTGTCCTTTCCTTATTAAACTTGTAGATTAGATAACTGCATGCTATCTCTAAAGCATTAGATGCTATAGTTTACTTAAATTAAAATTTGGAACTAGGATGTCTACAGATACTAAAGAAAGAATAATGGATATTATAGCCTCTAAGCTCTTGTAATGTAAGCGACGATTGAGCGAGTTATCATATAGGCTAGAACATTTTGCTTTCGCTTCGGTATTGCTACAATGCGGGGCCATTACAGTACGACATTTTTATTTAAGATATCGTCTTCTCCATAGAAGTTAAGTTTGTCTAAGAAATCTTGGATATATTTTTCCTTGCCAGCTTTCCTAAAACACACTAATTATGAATCTTGATTGGGATTACGTCATAAATCTGAGTTGATTGTGTAAATGAATGTCCTTCTAAGGTAGTGCGCTACCTTTGGTATATGTAAAATTTGGAATTTACCTTAATTCATTTCAAAGATTTTTAAAGTATGACTATCAAATCATTCTATTGAGGATTATATGACAAGTTATATGACGAGTTATATGTTTGTCAAGTGTGCATCTTTGGGAATTTTTGCTCATATCAAATTTATCACAATATCGGCTTCCAATACATATAATATAGCGGCTTTTTTATTAGTATCCTAGGACTTTCATTTTTGTTGTTGATCTTTCTTGAATTTCTAGTTCTCCGTCGAGTATTCTGGTCATATAATACATCCTTGGGTGATTCAGGAGTGTGTGTCATGCCAAGTTTTTGATACAGATTAATAGCTGGGAGATTATCGGCGAAAACAGTAAGTTCAATTCCCGCGAATGGAAATTCTAAATTCAAAGAGTCGTTATCAAGTAGTCGCTTAGCACATTGAAAGAGACAATTACTTAAGAAGTATTGTCCTAGACCTTGCTTTCTCAATTCTTTCGATATTTGAATCTCATATAAGAAAATTACACTTGAAACTGGGTCATTATGAGTTAAATTCTCCTCTTCTGTCAACATAAAGGAGAGAAATAAGAGTGGTACAGTGTGTTCATCATCTACCTTCGTCCAATAGCTAACATATATCATGCCTTCAGTATTCATTTCTTCGATCTTGTTTTCTTTCCAAGGCTTTTTGTTTCCATACATTTCTTTACTTGATATTTCATATTTTTGTCCCAAATTCTGATCTAGTAACTCTAATAAACTACTGAGAATATTTTTTGATTCCTTTATGTGTTTACTTCTTAGAACAACTTCATTAGTTAGCGCTTTATTTGCTAGACAATAATCATCACCATCAATAACCAATACTTTTCTTTGTAGCTGCACATCCTCTATATCTTTAGGAAGATTTGATTTTGTTGTTATAACTTTTGGAAAGCAGTCTAAAACATGATGGAGGAAGCTGTCATTGACATTTGTCCCATATAGTTCATTATTCGTCATTCTGTAATGACACTAGAATCTTTAGTCCAATTGGTATTTCTAAAAGAACTTCTTTCTGAATAAACACCGAGTAATTGACGCAATGCAACTATTGAACAGTTCTGGTACCTTTGCTGAGGAATTATTTCAACTACTACGTCTATATGTGACATTCATAAATTTGATTCACCATGTTTCCGGTTTTCACAAATTTTGTCAATAAGGCAACTAACTCATTGGAGTCATATCTTAAAACTCACACAAGAATGACGATTGAGATCGATTAAAGTTATAAACTATAATATAAACAATACATTAATAGATATTTATGAAGATATGTATCCATAGCCCATTCTATCATTGATTCTTTAGAGATCTTGTAATTTCTAAGCTTGGTAGTAACAAAACTCCTCTCTTCTTGTAAGAAAGAGAATTTTGTATATAAAATAGAACGATAGTAACGTACAATATTAAATAAAAACTATTTGATGGCGTACAAGTAATTGGTGAGACCATTTTGGTAGCAAGCATACACGCTTTGTTCGAGGGTCAGTGACGAATTACATTACAGGATAATCACTTTCCAGAAAACTCTCTCCAGCTTCTATTAAAGGAATATATCATAGAACGTTCTACCGACATATTGAGATTGATCCAGCCATGATGAACTTATGTGTTATTTCTTCTCCATCATAGTTCCACGTTTCTCGTGTTAGTATTACCTTCATCTCGTTCCTCGATCGATGGCCTTGTTGGGTCTTGCCATGTGATAAAAAGCCGAATCGATCCGTTGAAATTACCTGATTTTGAAAACACATATAGAAAGGATAAAGCATTGAAAACTTGTATTCCAAGGTAAGCATCGTAATTAAGATATCAGTATAACCTATACCACTTCTGAGATATATAATCCTTTTTTTTGTTGGTTCATTCATTGGTGGATACGATAAGAACGCCGATAAGAGAATTGTCAAACAGGTGTGCATCGGAAAGAAAGCCATTTGTTCAGTGCAGCGAGCTGCGGTTATAAATTATCGATTCAAGGTAGAAATAATTCATTACTTATCAATATCAATTGCATTGAAATCTTAGATATTTTGCTGAACTATACTGATTGCTCAAAGTCTACTTATTTGTTTTAGGGAGGCACTATATTGACTGACACTGAGGTTTTGGGATTACTGGTAATTATATTTCTATCTCTACCACTAATTATTATAAACTAGTCAGTTATTTTTACTTACTGCAAAAAGGTTAACAAATAACTGTAATTAAATTAATCTGTTTGAAAGAGGTTGTACTTGATGAATGCACTGTCATATGTTTATGAATACCTTGTTTTACCGATTGACCATTTCAAGGTGAAGAAGAATCGCAAGGAACAGTTGGTGGATTCTAAACATGTTGTAGATAATGAAGAGCACACAAATCAAGATACTGAAGGTAATGATAAGTGTTTAAATACAAAAGCTCAAATCCGGGTTAATGATGACTCTGTCTTGAAACTGAGAAAGGTTAACCCACTGATACAAGATAAAGATGGAGCTCAAAAGGATCGGGATAGTAAAACAAGGAATGTTTCTAATAATAAAATAGAAATCAAACCAGTATCAGATGAAGATGAGGAGAAAGATATAGATGGTCAGATGTCCAGAGGACTGAAATTCTTTATTGTAGTCTGGTCAATAATTACATTCTTTCCTAATTACATTCTAATAAAACCCACTCTTTTCGTTTGGTTTATATTGACCTTTCCATTAAGCTTGATTGAGCATAGTGTTAGAAGGCGCGGTAAAGCCACAGAAAATGAACATTTATCTCAATCGCCCGCAACTAATAAGGACAATAGTCCTTCTAAAAGGCTGAATGTCATTGAGGAGGCAATAGAAGATGATCTCATAAGTGGTGAAGTCATGGAATTGCAGAAGGATGCATTAAAGGGTTCATTACTTCCAACCAATAAGGATTCAAGTCAAAATTCAAGTCAAAAGGATAGGGGGAAAAAAACAACTAGTACCCCATCGCATACATCAAATATTCTTGGCACAAAAAGTATGGGGCGATTTCAATTTCCTAAAAAGCTTATTCCAAGATCAATCCTATATTCTGAGAAGAAAAAGACTTTAGTAATCGACCTTGATGAAACTTTAATTCACTCCGTATCGAGGGGTACAACACATAGTAATTCTTCTCAAGCCCATATAATTGAGGTTAGATTTGCTATAAGTGGTGTATCTACATTATATTATGTTCATAAGCGACCGTATTGTGATTTATTTCTCTCAAAGGTCTGTAAATGGTATAACCTCATTATCTTTACTGCATCTATGAAGGAATATGCAGATCCAGTTATAGATTGGTTGGAGAGTTCGTTCTCTGGCTCATTTACTCAGCGCATGTACAGAAACCATTGTATTGCAAGAGATGGTGTTGGATATATTAAAGATCTTGGCAATATCAAGGATCCCTACTCCAAAAATGCTACGATCCCATTGACAGATGTCGTTATTATCGACAATAGCCCTGTCAGTTACGCCATGCATGTAGATAATGCCATACAAGTTGAAGGGTGGATAAGTGATCCAACTGATACTGAGTTACTAAACTTGCTTCCGTTTCTTGAAGCTTTGAGGTATACCACTGATGTACGAAATGTTTTGGCACTAAAAAATTCTGAAAAAGCCTTTCAATTGAGCTAAAACGAGACTTTTAAAGATTGATAAATTATTGTATTAGATAAAGTAATCTCAAAAAATTAATCGTTACGATAAAGTTAGGTGGGAGTTAGCTCATCAAATCATTTGCATTTCTTTTATTTTTTTAACTAGCATAGATTAAATAACTTCAATAGACTGAAGATTGATATTGTAATATTCTGTATTCTGTGTTTGTTTTATTCTGTATTCATGCTCTTGAAAAAGGTGATCACAGATTTTAGCCGATACCTGTTGTCATATATAGCTTGGTTGTATTATTCATACAATCCCGTATCCCACCATGTATACAATAATTTGATATTGCGGGTAATCTTTAATGTGAGGGTCCTGGATGTTTACTTTTTTATCACTTAAAACATTTTTTCACTTTGCGATGAGCTCATTAAGAATCTAATACATTTAGTATAGTAAGTGCTAAAATCTGTATTTAAATAGATCACTACTACTTTGACTTTTTATTTCCAGCAAGATCTCTTCATAAAGCTTTGAGTGAGCCAAGATGGGTAAAGATCACTGGAAATTAGTAGCAGTAACTGCAGCAGTGACTATCACTTTGACTAAAATTGCAGAAGTCGCTTGGAAAAAGTATGTAGAGCAGAAGGATGCTATTACTCAACAGGTTTCAGTGAAAAAGATGCTGAAAAGGGAATATGATGATAATTTATTTCGTGAACAGCTGGCACGTAACTATGCCTTCTTGGGTGAGGATGGTATGGAGAAGTTGAAGAACCAATATATCGTTGTTGTTGGTGCAGGTGGTGTGGGTTCTTGGGTTGTTACAATGCTAATCAGATCAGGTTGTAAGAAGATTAGAGTGATTGATTTCGATCAAGTATCACTAAGCTCTTTGAACAGACATAGTTGTGCAACTTTAGAAGATGTAGGTGCCTCTAAAGTCGACTGCTTGAAAGCACATATGGAAAAAATAGCGCCTTGGTGTCAGATTGAGGCTATTAACTCTCTTTGGAACAAGGAAAATGGTGAGGAATTACTATTAGGAGGTGGCAAGCCTACTATGGTAGTCGACTGTATTGATAACATTGACACGAAGGTTGACCTATTAGAATTTACATACAGCAACAAAATTGAGGTGATTTCATCGATGGGTGCTTCTACAAAGAGTGATCCAACTAGGATAAATGTTGGTGATATAACAATTACAGAAGAAGATCCTTTAGCAAGAGCAGTAAGAAGAAGATTGAAAATAAAAGGTATTACTACTGGTATAAATGTTGTATTCAGTGCAGAAAAACCTGATCCAAGGAAGGCAAAACTGTTGCCGTTGCCAGATGATGAGTATAGTAAGGGTAAGGTGGGTGAATTGAGCGCCCTAAAGGATTTTAGAGTTCGTATTTTGCCAGTATTAGGGACTATGCCTGGTATCTTTGGTTTAACTATTGCAACTTGGATATTAACCAAGGTTTCTGGTTATCCAATGAATCCAATTGAAGGTAAGAACAGAATCAAAGTCTATGATGGCATTTATCAATCGTTGGCTGGCCAGATGACCAGAATTGGTATGCCAGATCAAAGAGTCCCAATTGCTTTGAAAGAGGTCGGTTATATAGTCGAAGAGGTCTTCAGAGGAAAATCTCCAGTTAGTGGGTTTTCTACAAGACTAACATTATCTAAGTGGGATCCAAAAAAACCTGTCTCTCTGCAAAACGTTGTTGTACTTACCAAAGAGGAACAAAAGGAACATGAGCAAAGAATTCTGAATGGTAAGGAAGCTTTATCAGATGTTTATAGCCAAGATGTGATAGATTTGGTGAATCAACGATTTGAGGAAGAACTGTACTATTCTCGATACAGATAGTATAATCTAATCTGACTTACGCCAGTTTATAGATATGCCGATTGTAGAAAAATAACTAAGTATGAGCATCAAGAGAAACCCAATGTAATTACTAATATAGCTCATGAATAGTATTCAAGTCGAAATTTATCTCAAATTGTTGAGTTATGCAAAATGTAGAGTATTTCTTTGATGCAAAAAAGTCTCGGTATATAAGGATGAATATGAATAAAATAATACTAAATACCCAAATGCCATTTCATTCTTTCATAAACAAAAAAGCTGCATGCCACCATTGGCGTAACTTTGATGTAGCCAATGCTTAAACCTACAAAAAATCCTCTCCAGCCTTTTTCTTGGTAGATTATTCTCGCAATACTGGAGATTGACTGAAATTTGTGGTCGTACATCTTCCTCGGACTCAAAGTGCTGACTTGTAATCTTCTTCTTATAATCTCTAAGGGATAGGCAGCTGTCTGAGATAAAATACCAGACAGACCTCCGGCAACTAATTCTGCCCAAGTTCTTAACGGAGTTTTCTGCCTCAATTTTTTTCTTTCTAACTCTTCTTGACTAGATAATTGTTTGACAGCGTATGGCGCCATTAATGAAGATTTCATGATATCGTGAATTAAATCGTGAGCAAAAAAAGAAACACCAGCATAAGGAATCATGCCAAGAACGGTTGGTACATAGCCTCTGTAGAAATTACACCAATGGGCAAACCATTTTGGCACAAGCAAATGCGAAGTTAGCCCTTCCGATGCTGGTTCATGGTATATTGTCTTCACTATGTCTCTTAGTTTTACCCTTTTGTGTTCCGTTACATAAGCAAGTCGTACTCTAGTCAAATCCAAAGGATAAGTTATGAACACACTGCATAATCCTGCTAATGAACCGCTGGCAAGTCTTCTCCAATGAGATTCATATTCTCTCGATGGTATTAGTATACTCCTAATTTGTTCATATGCCACAAATTTGACAGCAGCATATGGGAATATTCTCAATAAAGTTACCGAGTGGCCTTGAAAGAACCCACGAATACCATCATTTATCCAAATATGCTTTGCTGCCTCATAAAGTCCAACCAGGGATCCCGCATATTTACTATAATGGGGATTCGACGTTTGAAATAAAATTTTTATTCGATCCAGAGGGGCTATGAGTGTTTTTGCACAAGAACCAGATACACCTCCAGCAAGGCCGGACCGCACAACGTAATCTAATGAGTTCTTGTCGACCGCCTGACGATTGTTAGTTTTAGTCATCGCTATTTCGTTTTCACTATTCAATATATGCTGCTCGGAAGACCCATCACTCTTTGACATCCAATACTAATATTAGTCCTCAAATTTATGACAGTTGTGAACTTTTAGATATTCACAAAAGTGAGTTTATATAGAATGTCTCCCTGCGATTTTCGAATCTTCATTGCTTAAATATGGATCTACTTACACAGCCCGCAGACTTTCTTTGCTTCACCAATAAATGATGTGATGGCACTTAATTTTTTCTTTTCCCTGGCCCCCGCAGAATTTAATGCTACAAGGGTGCTCCGAGTTCGGAAAGAGATTATAGTCAAGAGAAGATCTTCCAGTTGATATCTTTCTCCAGTATCGTATGGATTCATGAAGTTGTGCAATGGTCAGTTCACAATAGTCATTGTTGAACATATTTGTTCTATATGGCATAGTTTAACTGTACTTATACCAAGTAGTGTGTATTATACATTCTGCTGTGCTGAAATCAGGCTCTCTAGACGTAAATGGTTAATTGGAGTAACATCTTCTTTCTCGAGGTAAAATAGATGGAATGTTTGTGAAACCTTCTCTGCTGTTTTGCAAATAGTAAATGAATTACTAGATTTGCTTGAGGTGAAATCAAAAGCCCAGCAGAATTTTAAATTTAAGCCGATTATATATAGACCTAGACTGACCAAAGAGAAAAAAATATTATAATAAAAGATACATTGAATAAATAGTATTTACTTGATGGTGTCAAAATAAAAACCGAATATATTTTGCAACACTGGATGTGAATATTGTAAAATGAGATAAGAATAAATATGCGGAATATTAGTTTAGTTTGATTTGTCCTCTGGTGGAATCTCCTTGATCCAATGGGATCCGAAGACTGGAATCTTTTGGAACAAAGTCTGTTGGAATAACGGCCAACCCTCAACAAACACTAGAATACCAGCAAAAGAGGTAGCTCCCCATACCATTAAATTAGGAGAGTAGTTCAAAAGATTCTTGAAAGAGATCTTGCCGAAGTGTAAGCCTGGAGCAGCAGCTAGTCTAGAGATATACTTCACCTAATTGTCAAATCAAATCACATATAAGAATGAACCCAGAATATACTACCAACCCTTATTAGAACATTCCTCTTTTAAATAGTGACTCGAAATATAGCCTTTTGTTAGTAACGTTGCAATATATTACATTCAAACAAAAAAGAAGATGTACAAATATTTGTACAGGAATAATTAACACATACCGAAACCATTCTATTATTTAACTTATGTGTTATCGTAATGGATATTTTGAAGTAGTAATATGCTTATAATTAAAATTGAATTAGATTCTATATCAAATAAAAAGTCACTTATTTAATAAGCCTTGCTTCCGTATTTACTTTAATATATATTAATGGGATGAGTTTGGCATAAAGGGAATTACCGATAACTCAGAATGATTGAAACAAAAATCGCAAAACTATGAATATCTCTTCGTATATAATGTTCATCCACATGCTCAAAATCCCCTATTGTCATTGGTCAACTAATATTATTTCCCTGATGTCAACTTCAAATTCAATAAACTGGACTTAACATGGATATTATTTTATTAAAACCACAATCATGTAGTAAACTTCTTATATTAACTTTTGAACTATTGGTCATTGCGATTTAACTAATGAGGTTGTGATGATCATATTATAATACTAACAAAGAAAAAACTGCCCATCACTAGTATTGTGATTCTTGAACGTAAGCACAATTATAAAAATACCAATACGTTATGCCACTGCTCATAATCGTCAAAACGCGTTAAAGATAACAAAAGAGTGAGCCAAAGGATAATCATTTCATTTGAATTATCTCAATTTATACTCCACTTCATAGTAATTCTTCGCATTGACAATTAAATCCCATATGCATTCACCAAATTGCTCCATAGTAAACATGTTCAAATAAAACAAATTCAAAAATGACTCGTGTAGATGTTGCATTAGGGAAGTAATCTATGTTCAACAATAGAAAATAAATCTTAACGATGGTTATACATCTATTCATCAATACTTGAACAGTACAATTACTTGCCGAATTATTATGGATGATCAACTTGACTTTTTGTTTCGGAACACATGCCCATAATTATTTTACAACTTAAGTTTATTTTTACAAATGAAAGAAAAATAAACATATTAATTTCATGATAATTTATTAGTCATGTGATATATCTTTACCTGATTTTTGTTATGTCCTTCTGAAATTTTTCAAATTCCCTTTCTGTAAGGTGAGAAGGATATCAGTTGGGAGAGCATGAATTGGGTGAGATGCAATGTGAAAAAAATTATGCAAGGATTGCTGTACGGGATCCCAGGGGAGAAAATCAAGGAACTCTAATATATATTATGGTTATACCAAGCCTAGATTAAGTCTTAGTTAGTAATTGACTTTATTAAAATTATAATATGAAAGTGAATGAAAGTTAAGATAGTATTTATAATTTGATTGAATAGAATTGAAGATCTAAAAATGAAGGACAGTTTAAAAATCAAAGGGAACTCTGCTTCTCATTCTTCAACTTCCTTATCAGAAAGCATGTCAAAAGTGTCTATCAGTTCCAAAAGTAATGAAAATATAGATACGGATGATATTGATGAGAATGATGAATCCGGCCAAAATATACTGTTGAGTATCATAGCACAATTGAAGCCGGGATGTGATTTGAGTAAAATCACATTACCGACCTTTATTCTTGAGAAGAAGTCAATGCTAGAGAGAATCACAAACCAGTTACAATTTCCTGATATTGTTTTAGATGCCCATCAAGAAAAGGATGAATTACAGAGGTTTGTAAAGATTGTGAAATGGTATTTAGCTGGTTGGCATATTGCACCCAAAGCTGTTAAAAAGCCCTTAAACCCTGTATTAGGTGAACATTTTACCTGCTATTGGGATCTCCCTAATAAACAGCAGGCTTTCTATATCGCTGAACAGACATGTCACCATCCGCCTGAATCTGCATACTTTTATATGATTCCTGAATCCAATATAAGAGTCGATGGTGTCGTAATCCCAAAGTCCAGATTTTTGGGTAACTCATCTGCTGCTATAATGGCTGGTGAAACAATTTTACAATTTCTTGACATGAAAGATAAGGACGGCAAGCCAGAAAAGTATACATTGTCGCAACCAAATATTTATGCAAGAGGAATCCTATTTGGTAAGATGAGAATGGAGGTCGGGGACCACATGATAATTAAAGGTCCAAAATATGAGGTAGATGTTGAGTTCAAAACCAAAGGTTTTATATCTGGTACTTATGATGCGATTGAAGGTGTTATCAAGGACAAAAAGGGTAAAGAATATTATCAAATTAGTGGTAAATGGAATGATATTATGTACATTAAAGATTTAAGAGAAAAGCATGCGAAAAAGACCGTCTTATTTGATACTCATAAAAATAAACCTTTGAAACCAAAGGTTAGGCCATTGGAAGAGCAAGGTGAATATGAGTCACGTAGATTGTGGAAGAAGGTTACTGATGCCTTGGCAGTTCGGGATCATGAAGTCGCAACGGAAGAAAAGTTCAAAATTGAAGACTACCAAAGACAGCTACGGAAGAAAAGACTTGAGGATGGGGTTGAATTTCATCCAAAACTATTCAGGAAAGCTAATCCGGGTGATGATATTGATCATTATATTTATAAGCATATACCTGAAGGTGATGATTATGAAGCTCAGATTAAAAGTATTTTGGAGATTGCACCAATTTTACCAGGCCAGAAATTTACAGAGAAATTCGCAATACCTGCTTTTAAGAAGCATGAAATACAAGAGAAGTCCATGTCTCAGCTTTCACTACACAAAGCTAAGTAGCTGACGTAATTTCATTTCAACAAATTTATGAATAGACTTTTGTATACTCATTTTTATAATATAGGTTTTGACTGAACAGAGGACTCTGCTGCTTTGCTTTCAAAGCTATTTCAGTTTTGTTATTGTGGATTATATATCAAGACAATCCTAGTATTGCAAATAAAATGTACGCTATGCTGAGTGTATCTAGGGTTTTTCTTCTATTTTACAAATGCACCTTGCAGGTCTACCAAGGCATTATGTTAGCTATAATACAGTTTCTAATTAACATATTTTTGCTTTTATATTGAATTATATTATTGTCTCTTTAAGCTGTCTAATCTGGCCTGAAGGTCATCATCAGGACTCATTTTCGTATCACCCCCAGACCCAGAAGCACCTACGGTTTCTGCTACCCCATTCTGCGATTCAGCTTCTCCTGGTAGTTTTAACTCATGCTGAGGAGTATTTTGTAATTGGGAGTTCAAATCAATTCCAATTTCATCAAGAACTTTGTTAACTATTTCATCTGCATCTTCATTTTCTTCCAACTCATCTCCCATTACATTGTCAATGGCCTCATCCATAAACTCTTGTCTTTGGTCCATCAAATCACTTTGTTTTTCGAATTCCATTGATATTTTTTGTAGCTGAGGCAGATTCATGGATCTATTCATACCGGCTAGCAATCCAGTTGCCTCTCTCATAGATCTCGTCATTTGATCACTGCTTCTTACTGCCTGAATCCTCAAAGAAATAGCCTGTAATTGTGCTTTCATATTATCAAACTTTTGGATATAATTTCTAGTCCGTACCAAATCTTTGGCTTGTATCTTTGCTGCATCTATTTGTCCATTTTTGGCAGACTTCTTGACATCAGCTATCAATTTTTTTTCTTGTGTTTCAAGCTTTCTCTTCTCTCTGTCTAATTCCCGCTGGGTTCTTTCTAGTGCTCTTTGATTCTGTTCGAAAGCTTACACAAATATTCGGTAATACCATATTGAAATAAACCTTGCAACCTTCAAGAAGGATTGGAGTATTTTCACAGTTAAAAAGAATATTGTAGATAGAGTTAGTAAATAACAAATTCATAAGTGTGCAAATTTATTGGTGATTCATCTTGTTGTGATGTAATTAAACATACCTTCTTAAGCCTCTCCTGTGGGGTCATGCTCTTCCCAAAAAACCATTCTGTGAGTCCCATTTTTGAGTTAATAAGGCTATATCCTCAACCTTCCAGTTTGTAGACAAGTTTAAATATTATTGCTTTGGATCAGAAATTTCATTCAAATATGTTAGTATGATTATGTATTATAGTTATAGTGCTCAATTCATGTGTATTGTTATCTTATCCCATCGATTTTCAGTTTGTGCTGTGTGGTAAGGGGTGACTAGACGGAGGTTTTTCTCAAAGGGCAAATTTTGAGAAAAAATTATCGTTTTGGTAACTATCTTGGGAAGCCAGCACCTAATGGATCTGTTAAATAATATTGATCATGTTAAATGAATATAGTATGCACTTATTGATTTCGTTAGAATATAGAAAGATCATTGTATGTACAGTAGAAGAAGATAGTCTCTATTTATAAATACTGGTTTTAAATGACCAGTTTACTCAGTCTTGTCTTGGATTTGAATGTATTTCCAGTATTTGGATATGTTTGAGAGCGACCGTTAGCTAGAGAAGATGAAGACACTGCATGTGACAATTCTGGTGTCCTAGATTTTTCCCGCTCAATATTGAACACTTCTTCTGTATCTAGTTCAATGGTGTTTAGAGGTATACTCTCTATATCGTTATTTGTAATGGATAAAGGGTCATTGTTCTTAACATCGTAAAATTCAATACTGTCGTAGGACCAACGGAAGAGCAGATTTGGATCAACAATAGGTAGATGTGTGTATTTGGTATATTGAAATATGAAATAAGCCAAAACAGAACCTGCTGTTAGATCAACAAAATAATGATGAGTAAGATACATTGTAGACCACCATAACCACCAAACGTAGAAAATAAAGAGCGGTGTCAAGCTTGGAAAACAATATGAGAAGAAGAGTGCTTCCATAGTTGCACATGCAGAATGAAGAGAAGGAAAAGCTCCAAAAACGACAGCAGAGTTCTTAAAACCACTTGAATATAAATTCACACCCAAAAGATCATCAATTCTAGAAAGTCCACCAGGCATACCTTTGATACTGTAATTTGCAACTTGGAGTCCATAATGTATTTTATACCAAGGAGCCGCGGCGGGAAATATGTTTTGGAATAACACCCCAAATAAATTCACATAACCAAACGCAAACGCATAACCCTGAAGAACTGTCGGTGGTCCAAATATAAATAAAACAATTGCAACCACAAATGGTGCGCCAAAGTGAAACAGACCATATGGAATCCAAGCTAGGATATCTAGAATTGTATTTTGCCATGCAGCCAAAATCTCACTTAAGTTATCGCCATACAGGATAGTTTCAATGGCAGGAAGCACCTCAACAGAAATTGAAGGTCTATGACTATTAGGAATATGTGATGATGTAAAATACAAGATTAGCCATGTCAATATTGGAAGTGCATTAAAGAAAAATTGAGATGTCATCGGGACGACAAACAGAGTCATTAAAATCATCGCTATCAATGTTTTCACAATGAATGGTAGTGGATTAGCAAAATATGAATACAATAGAATCATTGACAAAAATGAATAATGAACTGTGTCACCTATTGTGGGTCTGTAACTCCTGAGTCGTCTTAATGTGACCCTTACATCAAGACTTCTCTCCAACTTAGTTACATCTGTATCTGAGCATAATTTTGAGCTCAAAATAGCAAACCATCTTCCAAGTCTCATTGAATTTGTCTAATAACTATGATTATGATATTTAGTTAGAAATCGGTAATGGCAAATATTGTCTATTATGATAAATTTCTCCTAAATAAAAATTCTGAGCGTCAATATCTTCCTTCGTAACGTGTCGTAATCAGCAAAGCTAATAAAAATTAATACCAGATACCAAATAACTTCTAGTTTTAAAATGTTAAGTTGCAAAAGTTTCGGATTATCAAGTAAATGCAAATATCTCCTTCAAGGTGAGTTACAAGTTCATTCGGGGGACGACACCTTTGCCTCACTAAATTATTTTGACAGAGTTTTGAACAATATGAGTTGATCTAATGTCATATACATATTTCTACATTAGAAATAGAACACCATGTACATTAAATTATTTACACTAGTATTAGGGATGATGATTTATTTGTTGAAGTTTTAGCATTTGCCAAGTTTCGTACACTGGATTGACGAAAATCATCTGAGTTACAATCTAAAGCCTAATTTTAAAATGACGTTTTTGTGTTCGGAAGACTGACTAAAGTTGCAAGTCACAGCATAGATGGTCACTGTATCTAGTCTATGTTTATTATCCTATAAGAATTCGCGCTCCTATCATGACTTAACCACCGGTAATTGTCTTTGTTTGTATCAATTGAAGGGATCATCAAAAATTAGAGGTCTTATGTGGAACAAAAGTTAGGAAGTCGTTCTTAATACGTAATTAATCTTTATCTTCAAGTATAATTATAGATGCGTTAGATATCTTTAAATAAAAAGCTCTATTTACCTTGGGCAGCATCCCTACCTAGTCGGTAGTTACCAATGGCTTTACCCCAGTTGACTCTTGCCCTTGTAATTGGCAATCTTCTTCTCAAAGACTTGAATTGCTTCTCATTCAAGTCAGTGAAGGACTCTTGTAAATCTTGTTCAAACTTATGTTCCAGTTCTTTAATTGATGCTACTGGATCTTTAATATTAGTTTCTTCCACCAATTTACTGGAATGGAATTTCACATTACCATCTTCATAGTAGTGCACGTCTATGTCTATTGTCCCAGATAGTTTCCCTTCTGTCTTATCATATACATATTCAGACTTCCAATGACCATTCCAAAAATTGCTAGGGTTATATTTTGTACTGACGATTATAATTGCTGTTTTGCTTTGTTCTTCTAGAGGTAATACGGCGAAAGTGGCACGACCGGGAAAATTTGTGGATAAGTAGTTGCCAAGATCAGTTATAGCTTTCTTTTGGTCCGCATCAATGTCTGCACTGTACTCTTCTACATCTAAACCTTTTTGATGAAGGTGGTCGACGGAAAATTGTATTCCATTAACTGGGTCAACGAACTTAGTGCCTTGCTTGTTATATTTTGAAATGATAACGTCTTTACCATCAACATCAATTGGAATTGAGTTTTCAACATTATATTCGGCAATAGCATCTATAATTGTTTCTTTAGAATTTTCTCCAGCAATTGTAATTAAATCTTGGTAAACTTCCTCGAGCTCACCTGCTGGAGAATCCTTTATAATGTTCTTGATGATAGTGTCAAAATCGTTGCTCATACTGCTCTATTATCACGTCAATCCTTACCTCTCCTTACTAGTATGTGTAAGTACCAATGCAGTATAAAAGTAATGTAAAATAATGGACACTAGGAAGTGATAGGACTTGCTATAGTGTGGATCACACAATTATCCCTTTGTTTCTGGTCCTTTGAACCATTCTTCCATATCGCTTTCGTACGCTGAGCTGTGCTTTTGTCAATAGAGGCTGCTAATATGGACTATCTGGCTTACAGTATAGTTTCTACCCTTAGTACAACTAAATTGTAACACAATGTGACTGACAGAATTTATCTATAAAGGTACTTTATGAAATACTACTTACCATCAATATTAAGCCATGAATTCTTGAAAAAATTACCGATGTACTCGTAGTGATAAAGAAAACACGGTCAGTAGTTTGGTGGTGGCTGATCATTTATGCCAGGATGTTGATACCCAATATAATGATTGCTTTGCATAGAGGGTGGCTGGCTTTGATAATTTTGTGAGGGCACCTGATATTGCTGTTGCGGTGTTATATTATGTTGAGTGTACTGACCATTAGTGGTTTGATAAGTATTATTTGAAACGTATCCCGGCTGTGATGTAACTGCAGGTGCGTATGGAGGAGCTTGTGTGTTTGGTATACTATAACTCTTAGCAGCTCTGTCTAAAAGTTCATTATAGGTGGATTCAGCATTCAGCAGGACTTGTCGTAGAGCGATCACATCGTCTTTTTCCTTTGCATATTTTCCTATTAATTTAGTAACATGCGGCCGTATAGGTGTCACGGTACTATATAAATCATTAAACTCGGGATCTTGGTTCAACTCCGACAGCCCCTTTCCAGATGCCATTTGCATTTTGGCACTTAGAACTTGAACGTTTTGAGCCTGCGATAGTACGCCCTCTTCAATTTGTTGTTCTCTTTGTGACTCAACTGGTGATGGTTCAGTAATTGGAGTTACATAATTCAGAGGGAATATACCTATCTTCCCATGTAAAGAGCCTCTCCACCAATCTCGATATACTTGCTCCAGAACAACTATCACGTCCCCTTTCCTAAAGGACAATTCATCCTGTTCATTTGCATTTAGATCGTATAAAGCCCGTACTCTTCTGATACCAGAAGTTGTTTGTTGCTGCGGCTGTTGTTGACCTTGGTTGTGATCCTGGAGACTATTGCTTTGAACAGCACTACCATTACTTTGCTGCTTACTCTTTTCGAATTCTTCCAAGGACATCTTTAATGCTCTCTGTAGTTCTTGATCCTCGTCGGTCGCCTCTTGGTGACTTACCTTTTGTTTCGACGGTTTCTCTGGTTCTTCCAGTAAACCTGGCCATTTTCTTCTGATCCTGGTGTTGAGGTCACCCATAGTTTTCAAAGAAGGGTCACTTTTGAAAGAGTCAGATAACTGCTTGACCACTTTTGCAATTTCTTTCTTCACAGTCATATGCACATCGCCGCTCTCCAGCAGTTGGGCTAGTATCCCGGTGAAATGCTTGCTGCTGACTTGCTGTTTCAGCCGAGACCCACAGTTCTCCGCCAGGGCGACCACCAGCGCGAGCGATCTCAGCATAACGTTGGCATCGTTCTGGCCCAGCCGCTTCTCTATCATCTCCATCACTATCTGTGACGCATCTTCGGGGTCTTCCTTCACAAGATCACACACACCAATAATGTATTGCCAGTTATCACTGCGCAACTTCCCGTCGGTGGCTGCGAGCACCGCTTTCCGTAACTTAACTTCTAAAGAAGGCATTTGGAGTTATTTTACTTATTTTCCTCTTGGTAAACACGTATAGATAACACAAACGCTTTGGGCAAGATATAGAATCAGTCTTTATATTATTTGTAGTTTGGCCCTTGGACTGGGAAGGAAAGATAAGAGAGGCGTAGATTTTGACTAGCCCTAGGGTATTTGGCCAGAAGACCTAAAAGCAAGGAGACCCTAAGAGACCCTAAGAGACCCTAAGAGACCCTAAACCCTAAGACACCCTAACAAACCCCAAACCCTAAGAGACCCTAAGATACCCCTTAGAACACGTCCGCAACGATACAAATCTTAATAAGGGTTGTAAAGCGTTTTTGACCGTGCGCTGCTTTCTGTACTGCAGTGTCAAATTTGTCAAGTACCCAAACCCTCGAGAGAAGTTGTAGAAGTTGTTTCATCTCGCCTCTGCGTGAATATCCCTATCATATGTCCGTAGCAGGGGGGGATGGTTAGGGCTTGATTATGCAGGATGCGGTCTTCTAGCAGTTGTTGAGAAGCAGAACCCTGGAAGGGCAATAAAGATGATTATGCCGACGCACATCTTCCTTGGGGGGGGAAGTGAGACACGCAGGTTTCAGAGGAACGGGACGTGATAGGGAAGGTTGGTGCGGACAATTGTGTGTTGAACATGACGTAAGGACAACAAGTGAGGGTAAACAAGAGGAACGGGGCCACCCAGGGCTAAAGGGGAGACGCGGTGTTGCACCGAATACAGGAGGAATAGAGTGGAGGAAGGATACTGCCATGCGAACTTGGCCTACTTGATGGGGTGGGGAACCCTAAGTTTGCTGGGATATTAGAATAGGGCTTTCCAAGCAAAGGTGCCAAGCTCAGACAAAGTAGTCGTGATGGTACGCAAACCTGAAAAATCCAAAAATCCAAAAATCCAAAAATTCAAAAATTCAAAAAAAAAAGAAAATGAAAATAAACAACCAGTCGGTAATATATATAAGAGCGATGCAGCCAAGATCTCTTTCTATACCAGCGAATATTGCTGATATGTTTCAGGGCGATTATTAGCTGAAGTAAAAAAAAAAGGGATTACAAGCTAGACAGAAAAAGAAAATATTAATCCAATTGAGACCTTATATTTAACTTGCTAATATGAAGGATACATATGCTGAAAAGGGCGAGAGTCCCGCGCTGAATCGTAGGCAGAACCTGACTGTTAAGACTAGGGATAGGAGGTCGTCTTCTGTTGGGCGCATTGACCTTGGTGACACAGTTCCTAGTATCTCAACCATGAATGAGACTAAATACTCCAAGTTGGAGGCCAAGAGGAGGAAAAGAGCGCTGATGGGTTCTGACGAGAATGACCTCGACCTTATGAGGAAGCTGTGGTACAGTTACAGGGAGGTGAACTACCGCCATTCCTGGGTTACCCCCTTGCTTATTTTGTTTTCTGTTTATAGCGCGTACTTGACCTCGGGGAACAGAACCGAGACCAACCCATTGCATATGTTTGTTGCCATATCATACAGGATTGGTGACACCGACAGATACGGTAAAGGTATAAAGGACCTGGCTTTTATCTTTTATCACATGATTTTCTTCACATTCCTAAGAGAGTTTCTCATGGATGTTGTTATTAGACCAATCACCAGAATCCTAAACATAACTTCCAGACATAAGGTGAAGAGGATGATGGAGCAGATGTACGCCCTTTTCTATTGTGGTTGTTCGGGCCCCTTTGGCCTCTACATCATGTACCACTCTGATTTGTGGCTATTTAAGACCAAGGAAATGTACAACAGCTACCCTGATTTCACTAATCCATTCCTATACAAAGTATTCTATCTAGGCCAAGCTGCATTTTGGTCTCAACAAGCTTGTGTCTTGGTGTTGCAACTTGAGAGACCTAGAAAGGATTACAAAGAACTGGTCTTCCACCACATCGTCACTCTGCTGTTGATTTGGTCTTCCTACGTCTTCCATTTCACAAAAATGGGATTGTCAATATATATCACTATGGACATTTCTGATTTCTTCTTGTCACTATCAAAGATCCTGAATTATTTGGATTCCATCTTTACGCCTCCAGTATTCTTGGTGTTTGTTGGTAGCTGGATTTATCTACGTCACGTTGTCAACATCAGAATTCTATGGTCTGTCTTAACCGAATTCAAGACTGAAGGGAACTATGTTTTAAATTTCGCAACTTCTCAATACAAATGCTGGATCTCACAGCCAATCGTGTTTGTTCTAATTTTTGCTCTGCAACTTGTCAACCTATACTGGCTGTTCTTAATTTTCAAGATTTTACTAAGGTTGATCTTCAAGGGTGAACAAAAAGATGAAAGAAGTGATAGTGAATCCGATGAATCTACAATGCCAGGTACACCTGCAGACGATAATATTACCATCTGTATCAATGAGTCATCAAAGGAAAAAGATGAATAATCAGATATTTCGTACTCGTTAATGGCTTTATTTTTTTCCAACTCATGTAAAAGTTACAATTTGGGCCACCGCTTACCTCAAGATTATACCAGGTCCCTTATTGTATAATGTAACGGCACATTTGGGTGACTGTACGAGGTAGTCATCATTATGATTTTATAAATATAACTGTTCTTATAGCATTCATTCTCTAAAATAAAATTATTCTTCACATTACCACATTGATTTCAAATGTCTCTCTTTCCACAAACATTATCTTAAAATGAATATTAGGGATTTTAAAAAAGGAAATTACAGATTAATAGATATGATATATACATGATAGTCTAAAATCGGATAGATTGGGGCTGTTTGAAAATAATGTTTATCATAACAGTTATTGCTTCATCTCACTCGCCTTTCTGATCCGATTCTTTACTCCTCTTTCACCAGCTTTGGCTAGAACGCCCAGTAATAGGTTTACAGATCTTAAGGAATCATCATTACCTGGAATAGGATAAGTCAAGAAAGATGGCTCAGAGTCAGTATCTACAATACCAATGGTTGGAACTCTCGACTTCATGGCTTCATTAAGTGCATTCCTATTTTCTGTTGGATTTAACACAACCAATAGATCTGGCTTAACAATCCTTGACTTTTCATCTGTTTGTAATGGTCTGCCAGTGGGCTTGTCCTGAAGATCAACTTCGTGCTTCTCCCAACCACCTGAAATTTCTGTTGAATTTGTAAGCGTACCTGGAATCCATCTCGTAGAAACAAAATACCCATGCGTTCTCTTAGCGGCCTCTTCTAGCGCAACTTTTTGACCCTTTCGAGTTCCTAGAAACAAGATAACACCACCCCTCTCCGCAACACCTTCGACAACTTGTGCAGCTCTTTTTAAATATGCTAATGTTTGATTCAAATCAATAATATGAATCCCATTGTATTCACCATAGATAAAAGGCTGGGTGGATGATCTCCAAAGTGAGGTCGACTGACCTAAATGGACACCCGCAGCCATTAGTTTTTCTATTGACATTTTTTCTGGGGTTGGTGGTGTATAGATATCTCTGTTTGGTGAGAAAACTTGTTCTACCCGAGCTCCGAGTTTAGCCACATGGCTACCGTGGTGGGCTTGACGTAGGTATAACTCTTGTGGACTGTAAGGTTTATCGCTTGCTGATGGAACTAAAAATGGAAACCTCTTTGTTTGTAGGATTTCCTCGACAGCACGCGAATGCCCTTCCTCGGCTGTATCAAGCCCTCCCAACAGTTGATTATCCTGAGAATACTTTTGGAACAAGTTCCTTAGTTCTTGCTCTAGAAGTTGTTCCTTCTCGGTTGGTTCGGCTCCTTTTGAGTTGTTCAAGTAATTGTCAATCTCAGCTTGAGACATCTTAGAGAATTCCTTCAACTGCTGCACCACAACATTATTGAGTTCCTGTTGTTTCATCAAATACAGGTCATCAGTGTTCTCATTGACATCAACATTATTCGACGTACCTGTACTGGTACTTTGGTACCGAATTCCTCTAAGTGGAAGGTTACGAGTACCTATTAAAAACCCTCTTAGAGCCCTCAAACTCATGATGTTACAATTTATTGGGATTATCTGGGATCTTGCTGCAGTTATAAAGTATAACTCTTATACAATTCTTGTACATAAATTCTATTGGCAACTCTTATGTTATTGTCTATTGGTAAAGGATTTTTTCAAGGATTTTTCGACTTTGGCTCGGGAAGCCTAGAGGCGAGATCAAGAGGACAATCGAGCTGCGCTGTCACCATAATAAAGAGGACTAACAAAAATTAGATGAGCTGGCATTAATCGGCAGTTTATTGTAATGAACTAGCTTGGAAAGCTTGAATGATCTCTACTATAGCATAGAGGTGTACCTTGTAATATTATATATATTTAAGTTGCGAAGAATTAGTCCTATAACCATAATACCTTTGACGGGCAATATTTGGAGCTACTTGAAAACTGCGATTGTGTCTGAAGAACCTACCACCAGTTGTAAAAGAACTCATTGATCAATATGGTACTAGAAGTTGTTCGAAATCTTTTAGACGAGGATATCAACTGCGCCTCAAGGCGTAAAAGTTTGATAATAGTTTTAGGCTATGACGCAAGATCCAAGCTTGAGTCTCTCAAGAATTATAAAGATGAACCGCTAACTGTGAATAGTATACTTAGAAGTAGGCGAGACGTACATGTGCTATTTTTAAACAGTCTACAATATATATTCATGTACCTGATCAAATTGGAGGTGCAGCCTGACTCCCATACACATCTGGTGATATACGGTCTCGATTCATTGATTAATGAAATGTGCCAAGAGGATAGCTTAGATTTAAACCAAGTGCGAGCAGCTAATCTGATATTCCAAACAGCTTACCGAGTATCACGCCAAAATCAACTACAAGAGGTACTATTCATAGCATATGATCAAAAAAAATGGGATAAACTAGAGCCACTAAGGAAGTATTGGCAGGAAGTTTGCTAATTGATGTCCCATTGGCACTCAATTGGGTTAAACTGATAATCTGGTTACAAGAATGAGGACAACTTAACGTCATGAAGTAATTACAATTCAGCACTTGCTTATATTACGAATAACTTCAAACTGAACCAAGAGGACAGCTACCCAAATGAGAAACTATATACAACAAATATAATCCGATTAAGGTAAGAAAAGCAAGAGAATTTGTTTCCTTATTTATAGATTAATTTGTCAACAGACATTATGGAAGAGAAAGCAGGCATGGAAGGAAACAACATCGCATCGAATCGATTGCCTTTTTGATGTGTTTGTGTGGGCTAGGTGTGTCGGGTCGATGCTGATACAATTCCACAGAGACAAAAGCAAAGGAAGACGGATGTTTATTCTCGATGAGAGAAGGATGGTGCTAAGTAGATGTGCGAGTGTGTGAAAGACAATAAAATCGACAAAAATGGTGATGGGGCTGGGTGACAAAAGCGTGCAGAGAAGTAAAATTTTCGTTCAATGCTGGTCTTATAGTATCGACCTAGATGCTGATAAAAGGAAAAAATGAGCTAAAAAAAAAAAGAAAGACTGTCAAACGGGTTACCTTGTGTAATAGAGAATTAAGAGAGGGAAGGAAGAATAAAGACGCTTCATGAGGTCAATCGATAATAGATTTGAGTAGCTTTGAATATAAAGTCGACCAAAGAAAATTATATCGCACAACTATTTGATCAATAAGCCCAAAGCGAAAAGCGAAAAGCACAAACGGATTTATTGGAGATTGAGCTATAGGAGATTAGTAAACAAGCAATCAAACCTCATACTAGATTGGAGATTTAGGAGTGAGAGGACTGAAACAGGCATTGTCAATACTTTGGTTATAAGTGGCATAGATAGGATATATGCATCAGCAGATTATAAGAGATGTCGAATGCTAATCAAAAGGAAAATGTGCCTTCCCTTGGTTTACCAAGGACGCATGGTACACTAAATGTGAATGCTTTGAAGGCCACTGATATTTTAAAACATAAGGGTAAACTAAATGAGGTAAATAGTGATCAGTCGACTACAAATGAGAATGATGAAGTTCAGGAAGAGGCTGTGTTTCTAGATGATCCTGTTCATTTCACTAGGGTATCATCATCTTCTGAATTGAGTGCAGCCTTGTCAGTTAATACCACAGAGCAAGAACAAGATGAAGAGAAAGGCACCGAACATGCTGAGCTTGAACCAGCCGAAGAAGATACAGTCGAAGTTGATACGATAAGGAACAACGGTGATAAAACATATTCTACTATCAGAGAATCCGCATCTGATTTTGAAACAACAAACAATACACTTATAGAAATATCGAAGAACTCATCTACCTATTCTAGTACGGAGTTTCTTAATAATAATAATAATGGTATTAGTAACAGTAATAGAGCCACTATCGATTCAGAGAGTAAATTGAGAATGAACAAACTCCGGGAAGGCAGCTCAACAAGTTTGAGCAATGATAGTAATGGTTTCAATGGAATGATATCAAGTAACCAAGCATCTACTGTTTTAAGTACACCATCGCAAAAGCCAAGCTCTACTACTAATACAATAACCAAGGCAAATAATGGCGGATCAACAAGAGCCCAAAAAGAAAAACATACTTCACCTAAGCTGCCGAGTACAGTCACTGCGCCATCGAGTCATAGAAAGTCTGCGGACCTATCGAAGACAAATAAGTTACCGAGTACTACTGCGAAAAGAACACCTAAACAAGCAGTTACATCGTCGTCACCAAAAGAGCCTGCAAAAAGGAAAAGTAGTACAAGTAAGATGAAAGGTATGTTCTCATCGTTGGTGCAGAACATGAAGAGAAATTCAAGTGATAATAGAAAGTCTGCATCAAGTCTAAGCAGTGTATCATCGTCGTCGTCTTCGACACTCAAAATATCGACACCATACAATCCAAAGCATATCTATCATGTTGGTGTAGATGCAAGGACAGGTGAATATACAGGCTTACCGGAGGAATGGGAGAGGCTGTTGGCATCTAGTGGTATATCGCGAAAGGAACAACAGCAGAATATGCAAGCAGTTATTGATATTGTTAATTTCTATCAAGATGTTGCCGATCATACTGGTGAAGAGAAGGTCATAAAGACATTCGATCCGAAGAAACAGAATCCTTTGGTTAGAGATTCTCTGAGTAAATATGAACAAGTTGATGATAATAGGACGTCATATGCTTCCGGGGGAACCCCTACTCTGGAACAAAATGGCTTCCACACCTCCAGCACCCCAAGATCAAGAACTAGTCTGACCTCACCAACAGCTGGTTATAGTATGATTAGCACACCACCCATGGCTACACAAGAGAAATATATACCTACCAGACCGGCGCCAAAACCACCGGGACAGCAAACGCCATCGAGCAATGCTTCGTTAACACCTAAGATGCAAAATGCAACAATGTCACCAATCAAAGAAAATATAAGCAGTCCGGTTACTAAATCGGAAGTTGATGATGAGTTGCTTCTCTCTAAAAAGAATGCTTCGTTGCCAAAGCTACCATCAGATGATAGTTCTTCCCATAAAAAGTCGGCTACTGATAGCGCACCAACTTCTGTCGAAACAGATACTGAGACAGTAAAGGTTCCACCTATTCCTAAAACTACTCCTACTGTTCCTGCAAAAGCATCAAGGAGATCAAATGAGAAAAAGAAAGAAGAAAGAGAAAGAAACAAGAAGTTACTTTACGCCAAGCTTACTGAAATTTGTAGCCCTGGAGATCCAAAAAGTAAATATAGGGACCTAATCAAAATTGGTCAAGGTGCATCTGGTGGTGTGTATATCGCTCATGATACAGAAAGTGAGGACTCTGTCGCTATAAAGCAAATGAACCTGGAAAAGCAACCAAAGAAAGAGTTGATCTTGAATGAAATATTAGTGATGAGGGAAAGTAAGCATTCAAATATCGTCAATTTTATTGACTCTTACCTGGCTAAAGGTGATTTATGGATTGTCATGGAATATATGGAAGGTGGATCTCTAACTGACGTTGTTACGCATTGCCTTCTATCAGAAGGTCAAATTGGTGCCGTTTGTAGAGAAACGTTGAAAGGTCTGCAATTTTTACATTCCAAAGGTGTGTTACATAGAGATATCAAATCAGATAATATTCTGCTATCCTTAAAAGGTAATATAAAGCTTACCGATTTTGGTTTCTGTGCTCAAATAAATGAGAATAACTTAAAAAGGACTACAATGGTTGGTACACCATACTGGATGGCACCTGAAGTTGTTTCCCGTAAAGAATATGGGCCTAAGGTTGATATTTGGTCATTAGGTATTATGATTATCGAAATGATTGAGGGTGAACCACCATATCTAAATGAAACGCCATTAAGGGCTCTCTATTTAATTGCTACCAATGGTACGCCGAAATTGAAAGAGCCTGAGGCATTAAGCGATACCTTGACGAAATTCCTGGACTGGTGTCTCAAAGTTGATCCTAGTGAGCGTGCCACTGCTACAGAACTTCTAGATGATCCATTTATAACTGAAATAGCTGAGGACAACAGTTCACTTTCACCTCTCGTGAAACTGGCCCGTATAAAAAAATTGGAAGAGCAAGAGGAAGACGCTGGCACTGATGAGACAGAACCAGAAACTACACCTGATACCACTATATAGAGCATGCGTGTCACTACTGTATCTACAGTTCAAACACCTAAACATATGAGTAAATAAATCTTTAACATCCTCTCCCAGTTTGTAATTACTATTAAATTCAAAATCACCACAACTCGAGTTCAGAGCGGTTTCCAGTTTATATCTGTTCTTCTTTTTTGTTTGTATCAGCTGATTGTATATATATTAATTCAAAAGTTCTATGCGGTATCGTTTTTACTATCTAGCCTTAATATCATGCCTCTACTGGGTACAATTTATGTAATCTCAGATTGGGCACTTACAATACGCAGGCGTCTTGCCATTTTCGGAAGATGAATAAAAGAGGGGCCACTGTATTTTCAGCTTACAAATTTTTTTTTTGTCATTTTTCCTGTTTCAGTCATTCTCCGTTTCCGCGGTATTCCTCTTTCAGGCACGACTTCCAAATAACCGCTTGATCCTTAGTCAGAGTAACTCAATACCGTACATCGGGTCAACTTCCAGATGAGGAATGATATCCGCTATTTTTGCATCTGTCTTATTCCTTGGCTTTTTACATTTTACAATCAGTAATACCGTTGCACATCCGTCGATGATGCAGAGGGACTGCCCTGCCATAGAGGGAATTTTTAATATTTGAGAGCACAGTGTACACACTTACAGGCCCTTCTCTACCAGGCCTTCTGTGACAAATAGATGAAACGAATCGACGCTTTCCGGAAAAATAGGACAGATTCTGTACCGTTTTTGCCAATCTTCACAGAGAGTTGGCTGTACAACGGGAATCTCGATTGTTCGGCTGTGGCATCTTTTGTCTGGTTTTTCCGCACAGTGCGCTCACTGGTGGGTTCTGCGCTGGTTTCTTTCCTTCGAACTATCAAAAAAATTCCACAAAAGTAGCAAATCAAGGATCTTTCTCTGCATTTCTCATTGAAATGCTCGTAGGAGGCAACGTTTTTCGCTTTTTTTGACAGTAAGCTTCGATTGCAAGTTGGCAGTAATATGACGTTTTCCTGCCCAATTAGAATATTGCGATAGTTTTTGGCATATCTGCATTTTACAGCAAATTCATAGATGCCAGTGTAGCACTGTATGAGTGCAAACTGGAAATTGTCAGGGCGATACGATAGCTACTGAGGTCGGGACCCTTTAACAATTCAATTTGGCAGCGTGGATCATCCATCTCTCTGTATATAAAGAAAAGGTTTTGCTTAATAAGTCAAATTCAAGGACAGAGACACATATTACATAGATATTGAAAGGAATATTGCATCTATGGTTGATGATACCTATTACATCACACCGCATGAGGCGGCGCTAGCGCTCGTCGCTACTGCGATGAAGAAAGCCCGTATTACATTCGATGCGCTGGTGTTGAACAGTATTCTTGGGGGTGTAGTATTCTGTTCGGGCTCGCTGTTATATCTAGCCATACATTGTGAAAGTCCCGAGTTGTGGGACAAGAACCCCGGTGTGGTGAATTTCCTGGGTGGGATCGTGATCAGTATCGGTTTATTCTACGTGGTTATTCTGGGTGCTGACCTTTACAACTCTAATATACTGTACTTTTCGGTAGCATTCCTGCGACGTGCCGTGTCAATTTGGGACGTTTTGATATCATGGAGCGTTAGCTGGCTAGGTAATTTAGCAGGAAACTTGTTTGTTTCCTATGTTATTATATACTTGTCTGGTATTGGTCACTCTGAGGAATGGAAGGCAGGCACAATAAAGATAGCGGAACAAAAAGCATCATTTAGCTTCATACAAACTTTTCTTAAAGCAATCGGTGGTAACTTTTATGTCGCATTGGCAATATATCTACAATTATTAGCCAAGCCTTTACACGTCAAATTCCTGGCGATATTGATACCAATCTTCACGTTGGTGTGTATTGGATTAACGCACGTCGTGGCTGATGAAGCAATGTTGTTTCTTGGAATGTATAACGGTGCCAATGTTAGTGTCGGTAAGTATATTTGGAAGCTGCTGATACCAGCCACGATAGGTAACTTTATAGGTGGGTTTGTTTTTGCAGCCTACATTCCATTTTATCTACATCTTGTCGTGGTAGAGAGAGATAAGGAAAAACTATCACTTCCAGAATACGATGAAAGAGATGAGCAACCAGAACTTAACGTCGACTCAAGAGTGGTTAGAGTGCCTAGAAAAGAAGCAGAGAGTGAAAAGATTGATGATGATACAGAGGATGAAGACGATAGTACAGACAAAGACAACAATGAGTACTTGTCAGAGAAAGGCCCACTTAATGATAACAGCAGCACAGCGACGGATAATGAAGTACAGCCTTATTTAGAACAGATAGGACCAACGATGTCTAGACCAGCATCCGATATTAGCATAAATTCCAGTGAAAGCAGTGTGCAACGCAGATATGACTATGAAGGATATAGGACAAGGTCTCACCCTAATGTACCAGTAACTGGAGGATATACCACTTCGCGGTCCTTAAGAGAGGTCAAAACAACACCAAATCTAAAGAGGAGGAGAACATTAAGGTCACCTCCGGGTGTCTTTCCTGTTAGAGGCATGGGTGAACCACTACTACGTGAAAAAACTATCGAAAATCCATACTATACCAAAAAACATAAAGGAAAAATTCTTAGAGAGACAGCAAAACACATTAAAGATGCGCATGACATTGGTGATACTCATGAAGACAATCCACATACGGTAAGTAACGAAAATTATCTGAAGCTGGTGAAGACCATCGAAACTGAAGAAGAGAAAGATTATCGATCTTCTAGTGGTTATAATGTGTTAAATAATAAGCCTGGTGCACATTTGGAAAGATTCATGACGGGAATGATAAAAAAAACGACATCTCGGAGTCGCGGTGAGGAATCTAACGATATTGATAGCAGAATGGATTTATCGGAAGCCACCACTCAGGCCGTCTTCCCTCACAACAATATATCAGCTGCCGATTCTTATAGTTCAGTAGGAGAAGCCAGAAAGACAGCTTCTGAAAATTTAGGAAGTTTATTCAAAGCTGTATCTAGGCCTTTCGAAAACCCTCATAAAAGGCCAAAAAATATAAATGACATAGAGCAGCAATTGGAAGAAGCAGGTATATCTAAGAGAGCTGCAGATGCTGCCAACACTGTCGGTGGGATGGAGAATTACAGTGATATTGACTAATTGATCAATATATTGGTGCTAAAGATAATTGTTGCCAATATGCCCATTTTTAATAACCATGTCAGCTAGTCTGTTGCATGTTCTATTTGCAATGCTAGGGATATACAATACATGTTTTGTGCTCTAATTTCCAATATTATGGAAATAAAATTTCATTCTTCCCTGTAGTGCATATAATTGCATTTTTCATTATTTTTAATTACTCTAGTCACTTTGATTAATCTGTACTTTTATCTAATATCCATAGAAATAATAGAAATAATAATATAAATTTTTTTAAAACATTACCAATAATTGTTATTTAGAACGTGGTAGGTTTGAAGTAATTTTAAATGGAGAATATATAAGGTTTATCTTTTAGTTCAACACAGCCACCAACTTTTCACCTGAGTTTCTGTTGTATTGAATGTCATCAAGGATTTGTTGAACATCATTTAGACCGTTCTTGTAAACCTTGACAGGGATATGGTGAATGTCACCAGCAGTGACCTTTGGACTAATAAACTCAATAAACTTGATGACCTTTTCCCTGAATTCTGGGTTGGCTGGTAAAGTAAAAGCACCGAAAGGAATCTCTTCACCACTTGCACAGTATAGCAGGCAACCGACAATGGTCTTATTGTCCTTTCTTTCAGATTCTGGGATGTCATTGATTGACAAAGTTGTCAATTGGACAATGGTAGCTGGCTTTGTTTCAGAAGCAACAGCGTAAACTTGCTTTATGGTGTCATTGTTAGAAACACAGTCAACTAGATTTTGAATGTCTGGGTACTTGTTCTTGATTTGTTCGATAACATCGGCGTCATGATAATCAAAAACATCATCAGCGCCATATGATTTCAAGTGAGCTTCATGCTTCTTAGAGGCGACAGCAATAATCTTCTTGTACCCATGAAGCTTCTTGGCGACTTGGATCAATAGTTGGCCAACAGCAGTAGCACCACCCCAGAATAAGATAGGGAAGTCTCTTTGGGCTTCACTTGGTTGCCATTCTAGGTTGATATTGAAATTCGTGGTTAGAACGGCACCTGCAGTTGTTAAAGAGATTGGTAGAGTAGCGACATCTTCGTAGTACTTAATGGCACCTTCTGGAATCTGGTCCTTACCACTTACTTCAAAGGAATCATCCACAGTGTAGGCGATTTTGGAGTCTAGGGCGGAATAAGTGGCAAAACCACCATTATCTGGATGCTTGACGGAAGCACCATGAACAAAGCCATACACTTTTTGGCCAACCTTGAACTTATTAGTGTCAACATTTGGGCCTAGCTTAACAATTTCACCGGCAATGTCACAACCGGCGATGGAACCTTGTGGTCCAATCTTCCATGTGATGTGCTTCCAGTCGGTTGGGTTACCAGCGACAGCTCTATTCTTAACTAGAACAAAACCATCACGCAATTCTGGGACAGGAACTTCCTTTAAGGTCAAGTGATCGCCATCGATAACAGCAGCTTGCATTGTTTGAGGGGTAGACATTGTTATTTTTATAATATTATATGTGATTGTTTTGTTTGAGAATATTCTCTTGGATCTTTATTGTTTACTATTTACAAGATATAATGAATCCAGAAACTAAAAGCTTTGAACAGCATTTTCAAGCCCTTTTTATACTTTTCCAATTGTTCAATTGGTTAGAAGGAAAACTAATATTACAAATTGGAATATTACCAGAAATTGATTTACTCAAATGCACTGTAAAACCCCGCAGAAAGTCATGTTTTGCGTAGATTTATATTTGCAAAAAAATCATTAAGGGCATCGCAAAAGCAAGCAATCCCTTAATACTGCCTCTAAAGGGAGAATACGAATTGCAAGATTCATTGCAATTCGGACGAAACCATTGTGATCATTAGTTAATGGACCATTGTGTAAGTTGTTCAACCCCAGTAGGAGTTGCATCAAATAAAAGAAAATTTCTAAAGGCTGAATCGGATCCGTTTCGAATTTAGTGACAACCTCATGATATTCTGCGATTTTACGTAATGGCTTTCCTCGTGATATGCCTGCTCTGTAGTGATTAGAACAAGTATATGGGGTAATTCATCTACTTGCGGAAATCAAATATATGCAAGAGCGCATATACATTATTGACATGCTCTAAGCTGCATTATTACATAACAATACCTATTTAAAACAATTTTGCGGGGAATATAGGGGCTACAGTACCATTCTAGAGGTAATATCCGAAACAATTGATAAGAATCTTTGAAATTTCTGATGCATTCTAGTAAAATCCAGGATGGTACCCCCAATGTATTAGTATGAGATAAAACAACACTTATTGAGCTATCTTTTGTATACACTTTTATGTGGCAATTCCCTTACTCAAACAAAACGTAGTAGCTAAACAATACGGGCAATGAATAAGTAATGCCCTTTTTAGATCACGTGAAGTCCTGTTAAAGTGTATGTCATTATGCGTTAGTGTAATTTTCAACAAGTTAACATGGTTTCGTGGTCTAGTCGGTTATGGCATCTGCTTAACACGCAGAACGTCCCCAGTTCGATCCTGGGCGAAATCATTTATTTTTTCAAGTTTCTTTTTTTGAAAAGACTTGAGTTAAATAATGCTGACAAGTATTATATAGTCATGTTGTATTGGAGTTTGCTTTTTTCATCAGCCAGTTCGCAATGTTTGATATTTATTGTATTAAGGATGAGGATAAGACTTTCAATTGGCTTTTTTATTTCTAATACTTCTGAACCGTTGTGACTCGTAATCATTTTTACAAGTTTCTTTTATCTTACACACAAATGTATACAAAGGTCATATCAGATTGGTTATATGCTTACGAGCCTATAGCTTATATCTGAAACCGCATTTCAATTACTTAATGAATATTATGTTAGTATATTCAAATGGTTATATACTAGCATATAATGTTGGAAATTCATATGCGATTTATTGTGACAATCTCAGAGATAACGTAGGTGATGCCCTTTCATCCAGGGCAACCGATACTCTCCCCATTGTTCTTGTCGAAACCTTAAAAGTTTCGAGACCGAAGATAGATGAGCTTTTCAGTTGTATATTACTAACTAGCAAACCATAGACTTTAGTAATTTGTTGTGTCAAGGTTAATACGTGGGAAACGAAAAATAAGTACACTGAACTCTCATGAGTAAAGATAAGGGCAAGAACCTGGCAAAAAGCAGGACAAAAGCGACCACAAAGGTCAAAAAGGTCACCAAGGGCAAAAATAATAATGACAATAGTCATGAAAACAGCGTGACACCTCATGGACAAATATCACCACATTACTTACAGGCTTACTTGAATAGTGCGAACTTGACCATGGGCACAAACTTTTTAAATGTGCCAATGGGTACAGCGCAAGTACCTCCACCTTTTATTCAGCATGGTAATACTGAAATGATTAAGACGGCATCTATTCCTCCCAGTGGACCAAATGCATCAGCATATAGTATTGAAGCTTCTGTAAATCCGCATGCACAATCAGTACCACCGAATTACTTCATGCCTCCTCAATTTGCACATAGTACACAACCAATAATAAAACATGAAGACGGTTTGGATGCGCAGATTATGTCTAACACAAGTATTGATAAATCTGAAACACAAAGTCAGACTGGCACTCCAAATGACTTAGAAGTCTCTTTCCCCAGCATTAGCAGTGGAAACGCCTCCATTAGCGGTAAAGATAAATTTAATGAAGAGGGTCTTACAGAAGACGAAATAAAAGCCAGGAAAAAGGCTCAGAATAGAGCAGCACAAAAGGCTTTTAGAGAGAGGAAAGAAGCCAGACTTAAAGAGCTTGAAAATAAGTTATCTGACATAGAGAAAAATAGAGATTTACTTGTTAACGAACTAGAAGATTTAAGGAGATTGAACATGGAAATAAATGAAGAGAATAGAATACTTCTTAGAAAAGGCGATACTGTGTATAAACTAGAGCCTAATGAAGTTGCTGAAAATGGTAAATTTTCGTTTCCATCAGAAGACGAATTTTTTGCACAGGTTGTGCTTGGTAAATATAATGCAGAAGGTGCTAAGCATTCTAATGATTTTGAGGATGATGCTAATAAATTGTTGACTGTTCCTAAAACTTGGAGCTATCTACATAGACTTTCAGAAGAAAAGAATTTTGATGTCTTATGTCTCATGGAAAGATTGAAGGGACGCGAAGTTTCTCACAAAAATGGGCCTGCCTACTACAAAAACGTAATAGATACCCTTGTTGAAGAAGCATGCCTAGAAAATTAATAAAACAACAGTGGCTATTTGAGTCGTCTGTTTCTTGGCATCTACATCGATTTTTTAGGACCATTTTTAATTACGGAGATTTAATTAATGATAAATATAAATGCGATGATATAATAATGAAAATCCTACATAATGTAAACCTTGTAATACGATAATTTTAATATTCAAATAAAGTAATTAATTATAGTCTTCCTATACGCTAATATTTATAAGACTCATAACCGTTTTAGGCTTGTTATTGTAACTTCGGTGTCACCAAAACATAAAAAACTGACAAAAAAATGGTAAATAAAGGGCAGTAATAATAACTTCAGTAATAGATGTTGCATCAAAAGAGTCAGCATATCTGATATATGGACTGCTATCTAATTCATTTAACTTGGCACAAGAGGTTAACAAATGCTCCATACCGTTAATGAAGGTACCAGCTTAACTTATAAATTAGTGTTAGAATTTGAAAACAGAGAGCAGCAGAGTAACTCATACAATATATTCACGAATCATTCTGATCAAAAACATTCAGTAATACATCATACTAAGAACAAAAGTTCTGATTCTTTTCAAGATTGGAGGACTTCAGATATTATGCTTGAACGTGTTAATATAACAAAGAAGAAGAACAGCGAAAGTGATAAGGATATTGTCACATCTGAATACTTGGGCCATGGCATTATCAAGTTGTTTAAAAGTGGTACAGAAACTGACAAGGATGATGCAGAAACAAAGGATATAATTACAGTCCCTGGAGAAGACACTATGGTTAGTATATTGTTTGTTCCGACTTATTTTACAATACATGATCTGCTTCATTATTATATTGGAGATGAAATCGTAAATAATCAAGTTTCCGATTTTAGGATACTACGAAATAAGCAGAAGGGATTTGGTTTTAATTTCATGGTATTAATGAAATTTAGAGAATCAACTGCAGCAAAGAATTTCAAGGATGAGTTTAATGGTAAAAGGTTTAGCAAAATGGATCCGGAAACTTGCCATGTCGCATATATCAAAGAAATCATATTTGCCAAAAAGTTATTCCCTGGAGATGAAAAGAAGGAATTACCTTATTTACTCAATGACCCTTTCACAACAGTAAGAGAAAATACAAATGCAGATCATGATGTCGAACTTCCAACCTGTCCAGTATGCCTGGAGAGAATGGATTCTGAGACAACAGGACTGATCACAATACCATGCCAACATACTTTTCATTGCCAATGCCTAGACAAATGGAAGAATTCTAAATGCCCAGTATGCAGGCTGTCAAGTTTTAGATTATCCAGGGACACATTACGAAAACATGGTAATAAAGAGAAATGCTCAGAATGCGGATCGTCAGAAAATCTATGGATATGCTTAATTTGTGGGCATGTAGGTTGTGGGAGATACAATTCCCGCCATGCAATAAAGCATTTTGAGGAAACCTCTCACTGCTTTGCTATGGACTCTAAGACTGACCGAGTTTGGGATTATGCTGGAGATAACTACGTCCATAGGCTAGTTGAAAATGAAGTCGATGGGAAACTTGTTGAATCTGTTGGTCGTGTGGATGATAGAAAAGCCGGCATAGGATCAAGTTTCCAACCATCCACAAGTAGTAATTATAAAGATGATGACGATAAAGACTTGCGTGTTAATTTTATGCGTAATAGAGAATATCACTTGGAATATGTAGAGGTACTAATATCTCAACTTGAGTCACAAAGTGAATATTATGAAATGAAAATGCAAGATACATATAAAATGACGGATGAAATTGAGAATCTTAATCAGAAGCTGAAAGATATGCAAAAGGAGAATAAGAACTTGAAAGAGGTAGTAGATAGAAACGACCAGATAAAAAAAGACCTTGAGAGTAAGATAATTGAAGACAAACTGATAATAAAAGGTCTCCAGGAGAATTTAGCTTTCCGTGATGAAAAGATAGAATCTATTGAGCAACGACTAAAAGATCAAGAAGAACAAAATAAAGAGTTACAAGATCAACTTAAGGATATCATGTTTTATCTTGAAAGTAGAGATAAATTTGATCAAGCACCAGATGAAGTTAAGGAAGGAACCATTTTGGTACAACCAGGGGTAACCACTACCAAATCAAAAAAAAAGAGGAATAAAAAGAAAGTGCCAAAACTACCTCCAAAAATTGATGACATTCAATAACAGGAAATAAATAAAGAATAAGTAATTATATATTCCTATTATAACAGCTACAACCAATACGCATTAGACATCTTGTCACATGCACTTATCATAAATGACGGTGAAATTTTTCATTTCCGGTTGTGAAGTGTGGATGGAAAAAAAATTTAGCGATGCGATGCGATGAGCTCGGAATCCATGGTCATTGTATTCGAGAGTGATTCAGGTCCGCTCCTATTCACCCATTGTTAAAATATCATTCTTTGTAGTATTACATTAATTTTATCTTCTAGATTTTCCTTTATGTAAGTAACGGACGGAGTTACAGCGAAATTCAGTTTCAGTGAGTGGTCAAATAACTAGAATCTTAAGTCTTTTTTAGCTTTATTCTCGGTCCTGCCTTTCTAAAGTTTTATCCCAAATCAAGTTATTTCTTTGACACAAAAGCAAAGATATTTATCTGCCGTTATCATTAGTCCACTTTTCATAACATTTGTTATTTATAAAGAAAGGATAACGCAGAAGTTTGACACTGTACTTAAGAAATAAAAGGAAATGCCTACCAACTCTATTAAACTATTAGCTCCTGATGTTCACAGAGGATTGGCAAAGCTTGTTGCCAAGAGACTTGGTATCGAGTTGACTGATTGCAAGTTGAAACGTGACCCAAGTAATGAAGTATCGTTCTCCATTGGAGAAAGTGTGCGTGACCAAGATATTTTCATCATCACACAAATTGGTTCAGGTACCGTTAACGATAGGGTTCTTGAACTTTTAATAATGATCAACGCTTCTAAGACTGCATCTGCCAGACGTATTACTGCAATTATTCCAAACTTCCCTTACGCAAGACAGGATAGAAAGGATAAATCTAGAGCTCCAATCACTGCCAAACTTATGGCTGATATGCTAACTACTGCTGGCTGTGATCATGTTATCACAATGGATTTGCATGCTTCTCAGATCCAAGGGTTTTTTGACATACCAGTGGATAACCTATATGCTGAGCCAAGTGTTGTTCGTTACATCAAGGAGAATGTAAAATACGAAGATGCTATTATCATTTCTCCAGATGCTGGTGGTGCCAAGCGTGCTGCCACCTTGGCAGACAGATTAGACCTAAACTTCGCATTAATTCACAAGGAGAGAGCTCGTGCTAACGAGGTCTCCAGAATGGTCCTGGTTGGTGACGTTACCGACAAGATTTGTATCATCGTTGACGATATGGCAGATACCTGTGGTACACTTGCCAAGGCCGCTGAAGTCCTACTAGACAACGGCCATGCAAAGTCTGTCATTGCGATAGTGACCCATGGTGTGCTATCCGGTAACGCTATAGCCAACATCAACAACTCTCGTCTAGATAGAGTTGTCTGTACGAACACTGTTCCATTCGAGGACAAGATGCCACAATGTCCAAAGCTAGACGTAATCGATATCAGCAGTGTTCTAGCCGAAGCCATCCGTCGTTTGCACAATGGTGAGAGTATATCTTACTTATTCAAGAATTACCCATTATGAAAGTATGGCACCCAACAAAATGTAGAGTATCTAACTATAAACTGTTTCGCTCCCTTTCTAACCCTCTCAATCTTTTTTCTGTTCCAATACATTTCTTTATATCGAATATATTTTTAATTAGGGAAATAGTCTTGCAATCCCCAGATTGAACAGTAACAATTTTAGAAGTGGTGCAAGGATTTTTTGTCTAACTAAAGTACAAATCAGGCATCACCGGACCTCTTTTTTGAACATCGCTAAACATCAGGGAGTGCTGACTGTTCTGTGGGTTGTACACCTCTTGGCAAGTCTCTTTAATTTCTTGATGGGTCTTTCTTGGTTTTGGTTTTGGTTTTGGCTCTCTGAGTTTTAGAATTGTTTTAGAATTGCATGTAACAACGTCTGTTACTGCTAGTCTCCCTGACCCCGGTGACCCGGGGAATATAATAAAAAGAAACATTCCCTCCTTCTAGTCCCGCGATGACTTACCATCGAGAAAGTGGTCCGGAATTACCTTTACTAGTAATTTCTTGCTGCTCACATCCTGATTGAGGTTCTGAATCCCACAATCACGTTACAAGATAGTGGTGCTACTAAGTGCTATTCACTTAGTGGATATTCTATGGTATCCATATCCATCTCATGATCCCTCTTCGAAGCCCTGTCCCCCCCCGCAATCTTGCTCCTACGAAGCTTCTAAAACTCCCAGTTTCAGTTTATCCTCGTTTCGAAGGAAGACTATATTTTCATTGTCCTAGAGGACGGTACGGGGATTTCACTAAATGAAACAACCTAAATAGAATTACCTTCTCTTCTCTGTACTAGCAAGCGGGATAGAACTCAACGGTATTCTCGACGTTATCATTATCTTATCCTTACTTGTACACAATATTCTGTGCACTTTTCCTTTTGCCTTTGTTGCTTCCATAATCAAATTAAAGCCCCCCCTCCTCCACACAGAAAGAACGTGGAACTAGCTGCCCCCCCTTTTTTTTCTTTCTCTTTCACTGGCTTTTCGGTATTGCTCATCTGTATCCACAGAAATTCGTGGAGAGAGGCTTCCATTTTCGTATTTTTTGGATCAGTTACGCGGTGTCTTCTGTGGATGTGGGGAAGATGAACCTTCTACTGATACAACTTCCTTTTCATTTAATTATGTACTTTATTGATTTATCTCCATGCCGTGGGGACAGATCTACCTAAGAAAAAACCGCACCGAAGAATCCCAATATTTGATTATATCCATAAGGGAGTAGAGGCTTCTACAGTAGAATACCCAATTTATAATTTGCAAGTTATCCCTGTGAGTGTTCTCTTCGCACATTTCTGAAGGTTTTTGCTTTGCTTGATATCAAAGAGTACTCTAAGATGGAATACTTTTTCTCTTCCATCCCAGTAGAACGCGCGTACAAGCAGAAGAGGGATGAAATAGAAGCTTCTTTCATGGACTTTGCAGAATCTATTTTTGATCTAATTCTTTACATCTCGCTCTTCCGCCCCCCCACAGAACTGCAGTGGGACACGGATGTATTTGGCTCCCTTCGATTCCAGAATAGAAGGCATGGCTGGATAGAAATCGAAGGAATTTCATCTTTGATCGCAAGGGAAGATTCGACGAATGAGATGGATCGTATTGTGGAGGGAGTAGCTAGCCACACAACCATATTAGACCGGGAGGGACAAAACGCATATGTTGCTTTTTTCCCCTCTGCGAATGGCACAGCATTTAGGGCATTTGGTTGGACAGAGGTTCTGGGTTTTGAATAGCACTGACAACTAGAATAAACTCAACTCTCATAGTGTAACAAACTTATCTAAACCTGAGAAGAAGAGGGGTTACGGATAATGAATAAGAAGCCAAATTAGACAAAAGACCAAGGGAGCACATATAACACAAAACTGTACATCACGTCTTCGGTACGTGCGGTTCTGACTGGACTTGGAAACAAGATAAAATTACGTATCAATAATATCCTGTAGTAAAAGAAAAACCCAAGTATCGAAATTTTGGTATATAACATTTGGGCTTATAATAGAGAGAGAAAGATAAAAAAAAAAACCAAGTAACGAGGCGATCTTTTTGACAGTGCAGTAACACTAATAGCAAAATATAACAAACAACTACCAACATTTCAGTATCAACTATTATGCAGGTTGGATTAGAAAATATATTTGAGAGATCGGTACAGGACCCTTGCTGTCTCATAGAAGATGAGATGGATACCTATACCGAGTTCCCAAAATACGACTACAGTCACTGCCAAGCGGGTCAAGATGAGCTACATGGGTATACCTCGCTAAGGAAGTATAACTCTGTGCCAAGCATCCCACTACAACATAATACTCAGCATATAATTCCTGTGTCGCCAACACAGGCACGTGATCACACTACGCGCCGTCGGTCTAGTCTATACTCCGCTGATCCGTCGCATACTTGTAGGAGGTCGCATAGCAACGCTAATATACTGTGCACTCCTACGCAAAACAGGTCTAAGAGGAATTCTTTGTGTTCCCCTCATAGCAGTAGGCCCCAAGAAGGTCCCATGAGGTCACGCTCGCAATCGGTGGTTGCTATCCCCTCACACCTTCTAAGCATAGAAAAATATATAACATCAGAGTTGGATACAAATATCTCGCCTACAATAAATCCATCAACCAAGGCAAATCCTCCATTTTTATCAAGCCAGTCTTCGTCTGATTCTGGTTCTTATACCAGTGACTACACCAGACCACCAACTACAAGAAGAAGATCATCATTCAAAGTATCCTTGGCTAGTTCATTCTCCAGCTAGCCCAACGTTACTTCATATTTCAGCCACAAATAGTCTTTAGAGGATATGACATTCCACAGAGTGTCGACGAAGTGCATTATTTTTTGCTAATAAATACCATTTAACATGTGCTGCTCATATTGGTTTATCATTTAAAAAGAAGTAATGTAATCATTATTGCAGCATACATAATACGTTTTGATCTTTGACTTTTGAAAAATATTTTTAATTTGTTCCCATTAGGTTTTCAAGGAATTTATTTATGTTTTTCTGTCATGGATTTCCTTATTAGCCATTCCCTTATTTTTCAGTTTAATTATTACATTTTTATTTAGGCAAACATTAATAGATACATAACAACAATAATCGAACATTCGTTCAATCGTTTTGTTACACAGACTGGTTTTGAAGTAATCATAATATGGCTTCCTATTATTTCTATACTCGATTAATGCCGCTGTTATTATTGAGCCCATTACTCATTAGTCAAAAACTAACCAACGTATATAGTTTTAGACTAGATTTAGATGAAACCCAAAACGATAAAAGTTTATCACCAATATGTTTGTTAGGATATATATGCTACAGAGGGTAATATAAATAATGGTACGAAAATTAGTTTACAGATTGCTTTAGTTTCCTTCATTTAACCAAAATATTGCCAATAAAGCACCTAATTTTATTTGCCAAACACAGGAAGAAAAAACGGATTAGAAACTAAAGAAAATACCAAAATCCATTAAATCAAAAATGCAAAAAGTTATCTTCAAGAATAAGTTTCAATCAAAGTATCACGTAGGTTTCCGGAGATGGCATCTGGTTGAGCGTCTTGCAACCTGAAGATACTTTCGATAACACTTAGCTCTGGAGCAGTTGTGTCAAGACCCGTCACGGCAAGGTAGTCGTTGACAACCATACCAGCACCAACAACGGCACTACCACGGTTCACGGTACCCGCAACCAATGGGACTTGTAATAGAGAGGACAATTCTTCTTGATCCTGGATAGTTGTTTGTGGATGCACTAGACCACCTTGGTTACTCAAGGCACAGTATGAACCAACTAGAATATTACCAGATATCGTTTGTCTGAAGACTTCAACACCTAGGACATCGCTGATCAACTCTTCGGTCTCACGGTCGATGTCAGGATGTACTAACGCAACGTAGTCATTACAACATATAACATTACCCAATGCGGATAGTCTTTCTTCTACTCTTTGGATCTTAACAGAGTCCGGCAAACTGTTCCTTAGATGTTGTAGCTCCTGATCAGTGGTTTGGGTTGGCACTAGAAGACCACGACGGTTACCAGCAGTCATACGACCAACAATACGTGTACCAGCAATGGTGGTGTGCGCAATAGGAATAGAGTCACCCAACTCAGCTTCAAAAGCAGAGTAGAAGTTCTCAGAACCACCAACAGCAACCAAACAGTATGTGTTGGTCAACTTGGAGAACACACCAACCTCATTAGAGTTTTCAAATTGAGTCCTAGTAGCCATCTTTCGTATTAATAAGCTCTTGTATACTGATCTAACCTGCTCAAAAACTACTTAAATCAACGACTGCTCCCGTTATACTACTGAAGCTCATCGCATTTTCTGGCTATTTGCCTCAGCTTCTCCGCCAGATTTTCCAGCAAAATTTTTCAGAAAATTTGCAGATGCCACCGTACGTGAGGGTAATCACATGTACAAGTACAGCACTTGCTCTGCAATATGCTCATCTTTGAAGTGTTATTGAAGTCTCCAGTCAAGATATGCAAATGTTTCAGTATTACGTCTATATAATCTATATTCTATCTTCTATCTGTGTTCTTTGTCTTACAGTATACACTGTCTGCATTCGTCTCGCTTCGGTGTCTAGGACATGTGAAATGTAAAAACCCGGACGCCCGTAGAGTATTTTGCATATCTAGTCATCACTGTCTATTAGTCGTCTCATCTCCTCGTCTCGTCGTCTATCGTTGTGGTCTAACGGCCAGCAAAAAATCATCTGTTTCCTATGAGCAGTTCTTATTTGCAATCGACGCTTGCAATGCTCAACAAACAGATCTTTCTAGTGGAAGAGTGGTCGTTAGCATCTTGAACTTCACACAGCAGACCGATTGGACCACGGTCACACTCAGCACAGGCCAAGTACCTTTGGCAATGGATCAACTCCCAAGTGTGGCCGTCCCACTCGAACTTGAACTCAGCGTTGTCCCTGTCCTCGGTAACTTGACATAGATCACGGGACACACCAATGTTATCGAAGTCCCAGAACTCTGGAACAACCAGGAACTCGTACTCCTTCTGGGCGTCAGCACCCTCACGGGTCTCCATGATCTTGTACTTCTCCATGATCGCACCTGGGAAGTAGATCAATCTGTCAGTGGTCTTGGAGTCCACAGCTGGGACACTGATCAGAGAGCTCGCACACTCAGTGAATTGACATCTAGCCTTTCTAACCTTACCAGTACTAGCCATCTTGTATAATTATTGCCTTGTGGTTACATACACCCACCCAGCAAATACACTTGCAACAGCATGATTTCATATAGAACTTCTTAACAGTCGACTTCACTGAAAAAAAAATTTCAAATCGCGCGATGAGCTCTGAATTCAGCAGATTAGAGACACGAAATCGAAGAATTATAAGGTTTGAGCATTTGATTATTACTTTGAGTGGAGTAGGATAGATTGGCCAAAGGAATTGGATGACAGCAGCTGGGATATGACGGACAAGAACGAGAAGGGTATACTTTCTTTTTTCCAGAACACTATTAGTGCTAAAGTCAAGAAGTCGAGTGAGGTGATTGATCTGGATGACCACCACGATGATGATGAGCAGCAGAGTGTAGAGGAGGGAACACAGAAGCAATTGAGTCCCATGAGTGATGGCCTTCAGAAGGAGGCCACCTTGGATACCAGTCAGGACGATAGTCAGAGCAGTAACGGCGGCACTGCCAGCTCATCACAGAGTGAGTCTCGACAGAGTGAGAAGAATAGGATGAGAGAGTTGAAAAGGGTACAAAGAGAGGCTGAGAAACTGCGTAGAGAACAATTAAAAGCGGAGGAGAAGTTGAAGAAGGAGAAGAAGAAAGAGGAAGAGCGGTTACGACGCGAAGAAGAGAAGAAGAAACGTGAAGAAGAAAAGCGCTTAAAGGAGCTACAAAGAGAAGAAGAGAAAAGGAAGAGAGAACAGGCAAAGGAGGAAGAGAGGAAAAAAAAAGAGCAATTAAGACTTCAGAAGGAGGAAGAAAAGCGTCAGAAAGAAGAAGAGAAAAGGCTAAAAGAAGAGGCCAAGGAAAGAGCACAGTCACGTATTGGTAACTTCTTCAGGAAAGTATCGGATGATGCAAACAAAAATGTATCCAGGAAGACAGACTACGAGAAATACTTCCTTCCGTTTTATGCTCGAGATGGTGTTGAAATCCGCCAACCATGGACAATGGACACTCAAAAATTACAATCGAGTATAAAGACGCTGGACGATTTGCTCAAGGACAGAAACCAAGATGCGTCCACCCTAGATCCATGCAGTTGGTTGAAAGAAAGATCCCTAGATGGTATAGGCTATCCAATAAAAAATACTGCTGTATCTCTTCTACAGCAAATGACTGCGAAGGAAAAGAGCGATGAAGAATTACAAACTATGCTCTCAATGGTGCCACATAAGTATATTAAGTTCTACGAGAATGTGAGACCACCTTACATTGGGACGTACTCGAAAGAATTCTTTCTCCCCATACTGGATCCTTTCTCGACTAGTATAACAGATTTTAATTATGATTACGATTCAGACTTGGAATGGGTGAACGAGGAGGGCGAAGAAGGTGGTGTTGACAATTTGGAGAGTGGTGAAGACGACGACGATGAAGAAGACGATGACTTAGCCAGCGAAGGTGAGTTCGATGGTTTCCTGGATACTGAGAACGGTGACGGGAACTCTAAGACAGGTACTAACGGTAAGAAGTTTATAGGCCCATTAATACCTATAGTGCAACTAAGGTCAGATATATCGACTTTCGATGAAGAAGATAGGATATATTTCAAGAAGCTCGCCGCAGTGCCGTTGACCCAAATGGAGACGTTTTCCATTGATCCAAACTATATTACACCCAGTCCATCTCCAATCAAGTCATCCTCTGCAAGTCAGAGAGATCTGAAAAGAGCAGCCACTGATCAAAACTCCTCTGGTCTATCTACACCAACACAATCTCCTAATAAGAAATCCAAGTCAATAATAACAGAAGACCAGGACCTACTGACGTTACTGAAAGAAGTACAAAACAGCACTTTCTCCTTAGCAACAGTCTCAGAGATAATACAAAAGAACTTACCAAAGTATAATAAACAAACAATCAAGAACACAGTGAAGGAATACGCTGTGAGATCATCAGGTAAAGGAAACGAGCCCCGCAAATGGGAAATAAAGGACCTAGAGCATTGGGAAAACCTACAGAAAGCAGGTGAACATAAAGAATAGGATTATTCACTTCAAATGGTGTTCATATAAAGAGGCATACTAATTATAGATACAGATATACAACAGTTAGCTAATATGTAACTTAATTTCTATTACACTTCCTAATTAGGAAATCATATTAACACGAATTTTTCACTGATTTTTTTTTTCGCAGCTTGTAAACTGAAATAAAATAATGAGTGAGACAGCCAAAAACTATGACATCTAAATGATCTACTTTCGATAAACTGCTGATAACAATCGTGGTCATATCAGTTTCATATTTAATTGCGAAGTATTTGTTACCGCTGTCTATAATATTGCTGCTCAATTGCCTTTTTTGTTGTGTATTTTTAACAGTTTTCTTCCAGTTTAAGTTTGCACCTGAATTTGACTGACACTGATATCGTTAAAGGATAAATAACGATTTGCGGAGACAGCTACTAAAATAGTACAAATACAAAGATCAGTACTTCGGAGATGTCAAATAATCCCAGTTCTCCAGTGATGGGTCCTATTGATGAGGGAAGTTCTTCTCCCGGCCGCAACCAGCCCTCAAGCATGGGTCCAAATGGTGATCCATCCAGTCCAGCATTGTTTTTTAACTCATCATCATCCCAACCACAGGGTGATTCTCAACCTGTCGCCCCATCTTCGCCAATTCATTTCCCATCTTCCTCTAACAGACCAATGAGCTCAGATGTTCACTCTCAAGGAAGAAGGAGCAACAGAAATCACCTTGCAGCCAACAGATCGAGTGCTTTAGGAAGATTCTCTGACTACGGAAGCGATAGACAGGTACTACATAGTTCCTCTTCTAATATGGGCGGCTACCCTTCTCAGAGAACTAATTTAAGAAGAAATGATATTCACGCCTCAGATCTATCCTCACCAAGAAGGATTGTAGACTTCGACTCCAGGTCAGGTATACAGCAACCTTCTTCTTCTTCCTCTTCAATGCCTTCCGAAGCTACCGAACCTCTAAGAATTATTTGGGGTACAAATGTCAGCATACAAGAATGTGCCAATAGCTTCAGGAATTTCCTGATGTCATTTAAGTACAAGTATAGAAGAGTTTTGGATGGGAAGACAGATATAACCGATGATGAAGCAGAAGAAGAACTATACTATGTGAAGCAACTTAATGAAATGAGAGAACTTGGTACATCAAATTTAAACCTCGATGCACGCAATTTGCTAGCATTTAAACAAACCGAGGAGTTGTATTATCAACTATTGAACTATCCACAAGAAGTCATATCAATTATGGATCAAACCATCAAAGACTGTATGGTATCTCTTGTGGTTGATAACCAATTAGAACATGAGTTAGACGAAATTGAGTCGAAGTTTTACAAAGTAAGACCTTACAATGTTGAAACTCAAAAAGGTATGAGAGAATTGAATCCAAATGATATAGATAAGTTGATAAGCCTGAAAGGGTTGGTTCTTAGAGCGACACCTGTTATACCAGACATGAAAGTAGCTTTTTTCAAATGTAATATTTGTGATCACACCATGGCTGTTGAAATCGATCGTGGTGTAATTCAGGAACCAGCTAGATGTGAACGTGTTGATTGTAATGAGGCTAACTCTATGACGCTAATTCATAATAGATGCTCTTTCGCTGATAAACAAGTTATTAAACTGCAAGAAACTCCTGATTTGGTTCCAGATGGACAAACACCTCACTCTGTTTCTCTATGTGTTTACGACGAGTTAGTTGATAGTTGCCGTGCTGGTGACAGAATTGAAGTTACAGGTACCTTCAGATCAATCCCCATCAAGGCCAACTCTAGACAACGTGTCTTAAAATCTTTATACAAAACATACATTGATGTCGTCCATGTAAAAAAGGTCTCGAACACTAGAATTGGTGTTGATGTTTCAACTATCGAACAAGAACTATTGCAAAATAAACTAGATAATAATGATGTCGAAGAAGTAAGACAAATCTCTGATGCTGAAATCGAGAAGATAAAGCAGGTTGCACAAAGACCCGATCTTTATGATCTTCTTGCGAGATCTATAGCGCCAAGTATTTATGAATTAGATGACGTCAAAAAGGGTATATTACTACAATTATTTGGTGGTACTAACAAAACGTTTAAGAAGGGTGGTCGTTATAGAGGTGATATTAACATTTTGCTATGTGGTGACCCCTCCACATCCAAATCCCAGATCTTACAATATGTTCATAAAATTGCTCCTAGAGGTGTCTACACATCTGGTAAGGGTTCATCAGCAGTAGGTCTAACGGCATATGTCACAAGAGATGTCGATAGTAAACAATTAGTTTTAGAGAGTGGTGCCTTAGTGCTTTCTGATGGTGGTATCTGTTGTATTGATGAATTCGATAAAATGAGTGAATCAACTAGATCTGTTCTTCACGAAGTGATGGAACAACAAACGATCTCCGTTGCTAAAGCTGGTATTATCACAACATTGAATGCTAGAAGTTCCATTTTAGCTAGTGCAAACCCTATTGGATCCCGTTATAACCCTAATCTACCTGTTACTGAAAATATTGATCTTCCACCCCCATTACTGTCAAGATTCGACCTTGTTTATATTATTTTGGATAAAGTTGATGAAAGCACTGACCGTGATCTGGCAAAACACTTGACCAGTCTTTATCTAGAGGACAAGCCTGCACATGTTACTACCGATGATGTTCTCCCAATCGATTTCTTAACACAATACATCAATTATGTCAAACAGAATGTTCATCCACTTGTAACAGAGCAAGCAAAAAATGAACTTGTAAAGGCTTATGTTGGCATGAGAAAAATGGGTGACGATTCAAGATCAGATGAAAAGAGAATTACTGCAACAACGAGACAGCTTGAAAGTATGATTCGTTTATCTGAAGCCCATGCCAAGATGAGATTATCAAGCACTGTAGATCTTGAAGACGTCCGTGAGGCTGTCAGATTAATGAAATCGGCTATTAAAGATTACGCAACTGATCCAAAGACAGGTAAAATCGATATGAATTTGGTTCAAACTGGTAAATCAGTTATACAGCGTAAATTACAAGAGGATTTGGCTAGGGAGATAATACGTATTCTGAAGGAGTATCCAGCTGACTCTATGAGTTTCAATGAGTTGATCAAGCAAATCAATGAACAAGCACAAGACAGAGTAGAACCAAGTCAAGTGTCAAGCACTTTATCCAGGTTACAGCAGGAAGATAAAGTGATTATCCTGGGTGAAGGTGTTAGAAGATCAGTACGTCTGAATATCAGAGTATGATAAGAGGCATAGCTACAAATCAAAGCAACAATCACGTGAATATTCCACTCGTTAGAATAGTCACACGTTGACCATGCCGAGCATATCTATATCATCGGTCTCTTTTAAATAAAATAGCTTGTATGTAATAGTCACATATTGTAATATTAATCATATCAATACCGAATACCATTCTCAAAATGATAGTATACTTTGACAGGAACTCTTGTAGATGTTTGTAGTATCCATATCCTCTTGATTGAGCTTCTCGTCACTATCCTACCAATTCTCGACGCTCATTGGTCGAGAGTGACATTTTCGAAGTTGCCCGAACTACTTTCCAACAGAGTTGCAAAGAGCTCTTTCGAGAGCCAGTCAATCAGGATTGGTTAGAGAGCAACAGCTCACCAGAGCAATTATACTAGATATTATGAGAGTCATTCTGCACTTGAGATTCATATAAATCTATGTTAGTGTGTTTTTGGTCTACAAAACAAGGACCTCTGAGGAAACATCACCACAGAACATAATAATAAAAATACAAGGAAGCCATGATTGAACGTTTACAATCTTTAGCTAACAGATTGGTAGTTAGAGGAAACCAACTAGCTACCAAGTCAATCTACTATGGTAAAGTTACTGCTGAAGTCTCCAAGCAAATATATGCAAAGGAAGGTTTGAAGCCACCTACTGTCAACGAATTCAAGAGCACATACTGCAAACTATACAAGCAAGGATTGCAATACTTCAATAAGCCATCTGAGATTATTAACTGTGCTAAGAATATCAAGAAACCTGATGCTCTAAAGTACGGTTCTTACTTGGTCCAATTTCTTGGTTTTTACTCTGTTGGTGAAATAATCGGAAGAAGAAAGTTTATTGGCTACAAGAATTATGAACACAATGCCAAAGCTGCTCATTAATTTTAGTATATTTGGCGCATTTATTAAATGTAATTGTGCCTTTCCATGAAAATCCATACTTCTGATGCAAATATTGAAATTAAATGTTAACTAATTTATTTTTACTCCTTCTACCCTGAATATATTCTCTGCATGATATTGTCATATTAATAAAGGTCCATTTTTATCAGCAGGTTTTTCGATATGGTCTAGTAACCTTGTTGAATATTCCTCCTCCATGTACAAAAGCAATATTAGAATCAATATTATTACAATAAATATTCATTCCATATACCAAACTTTTTTCTTTTATATATATATATAGGTTTGGCAATATATTTATAATGAAATGCTATGCTTTTTAGATATTATCATAACAGTGCTATGCAAACTGTTTTAACAGTACGATTTAAGGATATAAACATGATAAGATTCATGAAAAACAATTCAATTGGTCGAAGTTTGTTTAGTAAGCATCCAAATCAATCAGCAGATTCTATTGCGTTGGATTCTAGTTGCCTTCTCTTTGAAGCGCGAATCATATCTTGCTTCTTTTTTCTCTTCAATCTTTCTACCTTTGGAACTGTACTTATTTGATCTCTTTCCTTATGTGACTTTCCTTTCTTTATAGCTTCCTTTTCACGCTTAGTGATCTTAGAAATGTTATTCATCCATCCTTCTACTTCACAGCCACTTTGCTTCATAACATTAATGATAGGCTTAATAGCAACGGAGTCAAGCTTAGTATACAAAGTGACTGCCTTACCACTTCTTCCACCTCTACCAGTTCTACCAATCCTATGGACATAGGCTTGAGCTGTAGTTGGTACGTCATAATTTATAACTAAATTTACACCTTTGAAGTCAATACCTCTTGCTAAAACATCCGTACATATCAAACACCATAGCTCACCAGTCTTGAAACGTTCTATTATTTTTTCTCTTTGAATAGCAGTTCTTTCAGCATGGATAACATCAACATTTATTCTATCATACATCAACTCATGGTACAAAGCCTTAGCTCTAGCAATGGATTCCAAAAAGATAATAATAGGTGGCTTGAACTCACCTTGTTGCACTAGTTGTCTGATTGCTATTAACTTACCTTCTTCGTTACCGCAAAAGATCAATTTTTGTTCGATATTTGTATTGGCTGCTTCCTTGTGACCTATAATTACTCTAACTGGATCATTCATAATTGAATTAGCTGTTTCCTCAACGCTACTTGGGATTGTAGCCGAAAACATCGACTTTCTCATACTTGGATCAGTACATGAATTCAAAATATCATCAGTTTGCTCGATAAAGGTCTTGTCAAACAGTTTATCAGCTTCATCAAAGATTAAATGCTTGACATTAGATAAGTCCAAAGCCTCGTTCTTGACCACATCTATCAAACGTAGAGGTGTCGAGATAATCAAGTCGTACTTCTTGTCACTAATTACTTTGTTTCTTAGTTTAGCACCCAGGGACTTCGAAAGAATGGCAACTTGTAGTGGCCTCTTCTTATCCAAATATATTCTTTTTGACAATTTAACACACTCGTTAAATATTTGCGTTGCCAATTCTTTGGTAGGCGATATTATCAGACCTTTGACACCTGAGAAATTCTTTTCTTCAATTATTTGTTGTAGCAGTGGAATTAAGAAAGCTAGAGTCTTACCAGAACCCGTGGGCGCACATGCCAACAAATCACGACCATTCAAGCAAAGTGGGATGGCTTCACATTGAATAGGTGTTGGTTCAGTGAAATGATTTTCTATAAGATTATTAAGTAAACGCTTATCAAGCGAAAATCTTGAAATCAAATCTTCAAAAGAACCGATAGGCAACGGTATATCTTCACCAGTAATATTACCCTTATAAGACTTTCTTAACGCACTTGCCTGCTCTTTAGTTGTTATCTTAACATCATAGGCAACCTCCGTAACATCATCGTTATTATCTTGTTGATGACTGTCTTCTACTGAATCCTCTAGCTTAGCCTTTGCAGTCTCTACTTTACTCACAATCTTCTTGTTTCTGAAAAAGTCAAGCTCTCTATTCAGCTGTTTTTCAACTTGTTTATTATCAACCTTATCATTATCAGTGTCTGCAGTACTGTAGTCAACCGTCTTACCTTTTTGGTTGGCCTTCTTGTTGATCGATGCACCTCTCGTTAACACTCTAAAGATATCCATCTCTCGGCCTTTCTGTCTTCAATTTAAATATATCTAGTTTATAACTCTCCTATATCACCCTATCCTATCTAATAAAGTACCCATTCAATAATAATACACAAAACTAAAAGCTAATTTGTGAATAATAACCCATGATTATTGCAATACTAATACATATACACAACTGAAGCTCATCGCAAAATTTGTGAGCTCATCGCAAAATTTCAGCTGATTTTCTTTTTTTCTTTTTTTTCTTCCAGATGGTAAGTAATAATGGCACATCACGTGATATAATAATCAAGTAGTTAGCAATGCTATAGAAGTACTGATTGCATAACTGAAGGCTATTCGTTGCTGTTCAATCGTTGATTCGTGTGGACCCGACAACATGACATATATGCTGTATCTAATCGCATTCATGGAGATATAAATATAATGTTAAAAAATATAAAATAAAGTCGTTTACACATAGAATAAATAATTAGAGTTCGTTAAATTATCATGTTCATAATCGTTCTTGAGGTATCAAGGGTCTTCACCTCTCGATATAGCTCTCAAATGCTCGTGAAATTTCAAGTATGTACCATAGTCAAACTTAGCAAAATTGTTGTCTAGTTCTATGAATGTCTTCGCAACTTGACAGCTCTTATAGTAGTAATTGAGGTAGCTGTCACTGTACGGATTTTCTACTATTCTGGTCAACTCTCTCTTATCAATATTCGGTCCACGAGCGTTATTGTTGAGAATCTTAGCTCTTCTATCATCTTCTGATATAACAAATTTGTCCTTGTCATTTGGTAATGGGAATATATTGTGGAACAGCTCATACGCAGCTAAAGTAAACCCAAACTGTGGTGAACTTCTTAGCACTCTGGCAGCACCACCTTTAAAAAAGCTCTTAAAACTTTCTTCCCTCAAAATAGTACGCGCTGCATGAATAATACCCTTGTATATAGTCTCACCTTTCTTTGGATCAATTTGTAAACGTGTCTTGATCACGTCGAATGGTGTTGTCAGATACGCAGCTGGCATGCCGGCTAAAGCACCTGCAGAAAGAAGTTCCCAGGTGTTTAGACGCGATCTTTTATTTTTGTCATTAGGATCAAAATTGAACAGATCCCTTTTTAGATGGGCATAGGTTGGGAAATATATCGCCGAAAATGGAACATCTCTCAACAAACAAGCGGCAGCTCCTTTGTATAAACCTGGCAAGCCCAGTCTTTTGATAATTTGCAATGCAGTCAATTTTGCATTCTCCGCGTTTTCGGCCACATATTCACCTTTGACTTGTAATCTAATCTTAACAATCTCAAGCGGGTTAGTAAATATCACTTGGCAAGCACCAGCAGAAGCACCAGAAATAATTTCTGACAGTAGACCAAGTTTACCGTTCTTGTCTTTCAGTTTATTACGCATATAATCATTTACAGTCAGTTTGATCGCCTTTTCAGGTGCAACTCCTATCAGCTGAGGTCCCAATCCCGAATAAACACCTCTTATACCTTCTCTTGACAGTATCTTCAAGAAACAATCAATGGAGTTCTTGTATTGCGATAGAGATCTTTGGGCTTGCATCCTTGTTTTAACAAAATCAATTGGATAAACAATAGTAGCTCCAATACATCCTGCAACAGAGCCTAGTGAGAAGTTATACAGCGAATCAAATATTGGGTAGAAATAATAGTTGGTGTAAAGAGACTCCTCTTCAATATGGCGAAGTTCCAATCTATGAACAACATCATTCAAATAGTTTGGGTTCAAAATCTTCAAAAAGTCCTGAACTGTAAGATCTGAACGCATAGTTGCAATGTCACTCCGTCCACCAAACACTCGTTCAAACCAACCTGTGCTTGTTTTAGAAATACTTTTAATATTCGAGTCTTGAGCAAAACCATTAGCGATATCCTTATAGTTATCATTGAATGTTTCTAACTCTTCCTTCTTATTTCTCCCCCCGTGCATAAATTCATTATGAATAAAATGATTAATTTCTGAATCTTCATGGTTCAATTCCTGTGAATTTTGGATTAAGCGCGTACGATGTCTATTATATTCTTTTGAATTAGCAACAATAGAGAATAATAGATTTATTTGAGATGGCGAGAATTCACTTATATTGGTGACCTTATTATACTGCTTGTTTAAAAAATCCATTAGGTTTTTCTTGGTGATTACTTGCTCTCTAATATCACGGTCACTCATGTTATTATCTTCAGCATATTTTAAAAAAACTTGATTTAGTAAATCAAAATTTTGAAATAAATAGAAAATGTCTCTGTAGACATTAAATGCAATTGAGTTATTATCCGATTTGATTAGTTTTGTGTTAGAAAGATTCAGAGACTCAAATATATCTGCAGAAACTTTATGGGAGTAGAATAATTTCAACAAGTAGACTAGTTGATTTTTATTCAAAGATAATCTGTGTCTGGATGCATCAAATTGGGCTAAATGTCTGAACCCTGTAATCATTTTTTCATACTTTAAATCATTCTGTAGTATTGTCACTAATGAGTTAAGAGTCAAATATGGCTTTCCATAATGGAAGCATTGGTATAACTTCAAAAAATCAAACTTGTCCCAATGAAGAATTAGGTCATTCTTCTGTACAAAATCGTCATTTTTAATGCAGTTCTGTAATAAGGATATTGTTTCTTTAAATTGATCCAAATTGAGGAGAAGCTCATCAAAACTCAAGAACTTATTTGCATAATTAATGGACTTTGTATTGAATGGCAGTCTTTCTCCATAGCCAGAGTCGGGAGAGTGGTGAAGTGTATTCTGCTTTCTGTATTTGCTCCCCCCAAAGACTGACTTTCTCAATTGGGCATTAGTCTTCTCCACGTCAAACTTTCTGAAGAACTCATACAGTATTATTAGATGGTAATTTTCATGCTCCAGTATGTTGTTTAGTTGAAACCAATCGCTTATTGTTAAATAACCCTTATTATTCTCATCCATTGCAAAGAATATACAACCAAATGTGTTAGCTGGTACTTGGTTCAGATTGAATGTATGCCCGCTGAATTTCGAATAAAACTGCTGTGAATTAGATATAAGACGAACAAAATCATCATACATCAACACCATTTCTCCGGTACTTTTATGCCCAGTGCGTTCTACAGTAGTCCTTGCACCAATCCCATTGTCACCGTGAGAGGACTTTAGGAAAGAAAGAATACTGGCTGTCTTGTCATCCTGTGTATCATCTATTGTCGAAGCAAATCGTTTAAATATAGCAACTTGCTCCAATTTCTTTCGACCATTCGAGTTTAACTGCTCCATCTTACTACTTGCCATATACCAACTTTAGAGTAATGTATAAATAGCCTCTCAAATGCAATCTATTTTTGCAAATCCTAAAATAAATACGTGATGACTATAGCTGCCTATGCATCTCTCGGAGAAGAGGATGACTCTTTTTTCTCTATTATTGAGTTACCGTTTATCTTCCAGCAACCGCTCCAACCGCAATGGCTAATGCCGAGTGAATATCCAGCTTTCAAATTGCCTGAAACAAAATAAAACTTGCAAAGCACTAGTCTCATTGAATCCGTAAATCCGGTATTTATATGCTCAAATTGTTTATAATTTTTTTGCAAGTAGTTGCTCCCGGAGTAATCCCGTACCAAATCAGTATCTTCCTGCTTTTTTTCACTTTCCTCGAGGAATTCCTCGAATCAAACTCTAATAGAATAGTCATCGCTTGAAATTTTTCCCCCAGCTACGACACATTGGATGTTGAAATATTATATTAGAATTGAAACGTTATAAATATTAGTAGTATATAAACCAAGTATTACAATTGGACTTGAGAAGAATCAGTGAGTAATACAGTAAAAAAAAAAATTAATTAGACATCATACATATTGAAACATGTTGGTGATGACTTGCCCATGCTCCTCTCTAGGCAGTTATCAAACAAGTTCCCAAACTCTCTTCCCAAATCCCAGAAACTTCTTCTGTAAGTGTCCCTCATGTATAACATCATGCCGCACATGTTGTTTGTGTTAGGGATAGTGCCTAGTATTGTGGCTTTTGCCCAAATTTCATTTTGGTATGTGATCACATCCGTGTTTGTGTCAATGTACAGGGAATGATACATCCTTATTAAGTACTGTTCGAATGACTCCTTTGGTGTGTAGAGTTCCTTGGCTTCATTGTTCTTCCTGGTGTTCTCCTCTGATGCCTCTACATCTTCTTCTTTACTGTTATCCCATATTTGCGACTCAGGGCCAAACAGGACATTGTTGTAACACCATATTAATACCGATATCAATGCAACTGTGTTCGGACGTGTGATGATATAATCTGAGTTTATGTCATAGTCCTTGAATGTGATAGTGCGCTCCTTTCCATCATTTTCAGAAGAATCAACTTTTAAGAACATCTGAAACAAGAATTGGAAACCATGCACAATTGCAACACCTCCATTATATGGATCTGAGGCAAATTTGCGCACTCTATTAGAAACCACAGAATATTCATCCTTATCTAGTCTCACATTCATCCTCCATGGAGCACCTGCGTAAATATAGTAATCGTTATGGAAAATTCTCAACACAATTTGGATAACGTGGTAGACAGGTATCTTACATATGGTATCGGCCTCCTCACCAAGTAAATCAAGCTTTATCACATCTTCATCTACTGTAACATCAGAATTAGTCAGTATATCACTGTCATTACCACAACTAACCATACAGCTTTTAGCTGCTGTACAATCACCCTGTACTTTTATTAACCAGTAGTTTGCCGCAAAAGAGACAATTTCTGTCCAAGAAAAGACTTGGTCAGTACCATCACCAACTCTAAAAGTTGTTGGTAAAACTGCCTCTTGACACTGAAACATGATCGAAATTATACCTGCCAACAGTAATTTCTTACCAAATATACTCCTTATGTTCCATTTCCTACCAGAAACTTTATCAACAGAATCTATAGCAGCCTTCACAGCCTCTGGAGTACTAGAAGTAGGTGCTTTCAATTTCTGGATTCGAAGCGTCTCTGTGACTTCATTCATTAAACTCTTTAGTGTTGGCAAAAATTGATAATTCTCTACCCTTGCCTCACCACCAAAGCCATTATTCAAAAGAGTCTCATAACTTAAATCATATGACTCCCATATCTCGTCCGAGCAGGGAAGGTTTAACTGAATTTGATTACAATGTATGAATAAATTCCAATAACCAAAAACAACCGCATGCGTAGTATCCATATAAAATGCATAAAATGCGATTCTCTTTAACATTTCGAAATCAATCCACTGCCTGTAAATTTCTTCTAAAGCATCACGCTGACCTTGTTCATCATCAAGTATTTTGGCAGCTGTTGTATTGCCCTCACGCTTCACTATTGAAGGATGTCCTCCGAGTGAAGGGGTTCTCCTCAGCAATTGAATGGTAGTACCATGGTGGAGGAAAGATCTCTCATGCAAATATCTATTAGTGCTAGCCTTTTCATAACCCTCTAAAAGCAGTAAACTCTGAATAATATATGTTTGTGAAGGTGGTTGGAAATCTGGGTGTGAGAAAATGATCCATCGCAAAGGTCCACAAATTGGGTCACTCACCATTTCTCTGGCATTCGAACCTAGGAAGCTAGCACCAGTCATTATCATCGAAAGAATCAATATGGCAGGGGCATCGTTCACATTGAATGATGGCTTATGTAAAAGTCCATACTGTGGGTGGAAATTATACCAGAAAGATTTCAAAGACTTCTTCAACTCAATTGCTGGTATATATCTTAATTCAGGAACAAGGTTAAACAGTTCCAAACATTTATCCTTGGATATGTCAAACTTGGTGGCCTGATCAGTAAAAAAGAATGATGGTATTTGTCTCATGGATAGTTTCATGTTCTTCCTCTTCTTGTGATGAAGACGCTTGGAATCGCTATCACGTTCCAATATCCTTTGTTCTTTATCTTTTTTGATAAAGTTGTTTATATTAATCTTTTGTGTAGATAGGTTATCCTTAATATGAGACTTCTGACTGTCGTCAAATTTTGGCATGGCTTGCAAATGAATATCTTCTGATTTCCTCAAACCATTGGATGAGCAATTACTATCCTGAGTAGGACTATTAACAGGATTTGTTGACTGTGTGGAAGCTTGTGCTGATGTCATAGATCCACCTTGTTTGTGTCCAACTGATAATTCTTGCATAAAGTTTTGTAAAGGATCATCACTCAAGAAATCAATGGAGAATAGATCATAAACTTTATTAAGATTGGTACTTGAGTTTGAATTAGAGATGGATTGATGTGCATCATCTCGGTCCGCCATAACAGAGTTCCAATCAAAGACATCTCTGCTTACGTTGGAGCCATCTGGCCCTGACTGTGATCTTTTCTTTTGAGATTTTTCTTGTACTATTGTATTACCATAATTTAATAGCTCAGCGTTATATGGCGCCGGAATGGATTCGTTATTAAATTTATGATCAACAGATTTCCGTTCTGGGTAAGAAAATTGATGAATGGCCGGATCAATTACAGTATTTGCTGGTCGGGCTCTAGAATTATGGGGTTTGGGAGCAATTTTTACCAATTTTTGCTGTTTGCGAGCGTTCTTCTTGGAAATAAAAGTCATAATAGTGTCATCATTAGGGTCTTCAATATTGTTATTAGCATTAATTAGTACGTCATTATTGTATACTGGAATGGTCTTCGGTTTGTCCTCTTCTTTTTCTGCAGGTGTAGTATATATGCTTCTGTCTGCCTCTGAAGGATCCAGTAGTTTAGGGTCAATGGGCCCTATAGAGTCAGTGGTTTCATTTAGTTTCTGTGACGACTTAGTTCGCTGTCTTTTCCTTTTGTTGCCGCTTTCCTCCTGCGGCGTCACGGAGAATTTCCCAACAGTGAAACTACTATTGCTGTTACTTCTCGAGCTGGTCGCATAAGCGGAAGTTTCTGAATGCTGAAAGCTCGGGTTCGAGGGTGACTCCGCAACGGGCGACGTGATTCCGGGTGTGATCTCCCTAGAGATCGATCGCGATTTCCGCCCCGTATATGACTTGTTCTCGTGTCTCTTCTCATGCCTGTTCAGCAGATCTCTTCTCACAAACGTCTTACCGCAGGGCTGACCCGACAACGGCGACACATAGTGGCACTTGAATATCTCCTTGGGCCAATGATTCAGCTTGTGTCGAGAAAGGTGCTCCTGCCGGCTGAAGGACTTGTCACAGGTCGGATGCGGACACTTGTAGCGATACTGTCCATCCTCTCCAACCACCATACTGACAGTCTTAGACCGTTTCCGCACGACGTGCACTTCTCCACCCGACGACGGGAGCGACACGGACTCGGGTGTAACATTATAACTGTGATTCTCCACCATCTCGCAAAAACACAGCCTATAAAGAAAATACAAGCAGATCGCTGTGACTACTACTCGCTAAGTGAGTTTACTTCCTTTTCCAGCTCTCCCAACTATCTCTGAAAGTGTATTAGCATCTTTAAAAGGGCCCAAACACTTTTCCAGTTTTTTTTTTTTTCACCTGCTATGACAGCAGGTATTTTGTGCATTCTCTGCAATGCTTTCTAAGAAGGGACCCTTGACAGTTTATAATAAATTATAGCTTCTAAACAATGGTATCCGGTTGTCATAGTGCTACGGATCATATATAATGGGTATGTACTACACAGGTCGGGGGCGGGGGGCTCACAGGCCGAGTGCTACGCCTTCGTACTGGCTCGAGGTGTTGGTGTAGTAGGACTTGTGCACTTTGTGTGGGAGCAAGTCTTCTATGCGGTCCACTAGCCACAGCAGCAGCTTCTCGGTGTGTCTGAGGATTACGTTTATTGCTTGGGTGTCCATGCCGACGCAGTTGCTTAGCATTTCCGGGAGAATGCTTATCAATCGGAGTAGATGCAGCACCCCGTAGAGTTGCCCTGGTCGCCTGCCGGACAATGAACGCTCCACGGGCGTCATTGCCTGTTGCTGTTCTGGTGTCGGGTAGAACACTTGTTCGTATTGCAAGCGTTCCAGCTTGTACAGTAGTAAGTTCCCGATGGCCTCGTTGAAGTACTGCTTCAAACCGTACACGTACTCTTCAACCAGCGAGAGCTCTACGGGTGATGTAGTCCTAGTAGCGACGTCCTTGTAGAACCTATCCAGGATGGTTTCCACTGGAAACGGGTTTGGCAAGTTGCTGATCTTCTTCTCCTTCGTGACTATCTCCCAGTCGTCGACCAGCATGCTCTCTAGGATCATAGGTATATGGATTCGAAGCTTGTTTCGCGAGAAGTTGTAGCTCATCACTGAGGATGTCCTGAAGGGCCCCTCGCTCGGCACAATCCCGCGCTCTTCCGCATTCGAGTCCCGACGATCCCCTGATCCGGACCTCCTGCCGCCGTGGTTGCTCTCTGAGTGTGCACCGCCACCACCACGCTTCGCGGATCCACCGTTCTTCGTCTTCTGCTGCTGAGCCAGCGACGCCTTCTTGGCCTCCATCACCAGCTGCTTCTTTAACTCGATATTGGCCTCCGTCAACTCCATGATCCGGTCAACACTCACCCACTCATCCCAGCTCGACTTCCACCCTTGGTAATGAATATAGTAGTAGAATTCCTCCCGGTTCATGCTCTCAGGCAACCCATCCTCCTCACCACTCTTCAACGGCACCGAGTACTCAACCTTCTCCAGCTTCGGGTTCCACCGCCTCAAAATCTTGGCCTCATACAACAGCGGACCATGATACGCTAAACACTTGCCGCCAACTTCAAACATCGCCGCGCGCCCTAGCTCCAACTCCAGCTCCAGAGACCCCAATAGTACTACCACTTCACCTTGCGCTTTATACTTCTCGTCTTCCCAAAGTGTCTTTCAACGACCAAAATTTTTCTTCTAATCAAATCCCTTTGGGACTTCACGTCGCACAAGAATCATATTTCTAGACATATTTCTGGATACTCACATCGATCTCTGAGCTGCATCTGGGGAGTCCTTGCGAAGAGGCTGGCATAGAATCCTTGCGTATTACAGCTGCAGTTTCATTTAGGAAGGACAAGGACAGCGACAGTGGAAACGAAACATGTCTGGCCAACGCACTGGTAGCAACCCTCGTTCTGGGTACCAGCATGTGGTAGGCATGCACTATGCGGTGGGACCCAAGATCGGCGAGGGTTCCTTTGGTGTCATATTTGAAGGGCAGAACATCTTGAACTCCAGCGACGGCAGGCAGGGCCATGGGAGTGGGAGTGGGAGTGCGCATGGGAGCGGGAACGGGAATGGGAACTCACTGGCTGGGTTCCCAGTTGCCATCAAGTTCGAGCCTAGGCACTCAGATGCGCCTCAATTGAGGGACGAGTTTAGGGCATACAGAATACTGAACGGGAGCAAAGGTATACCGCATGCGTACTACTTCGGACAGGAAGGAATGCACAATGTCCTTATCATCGACCTCCTGGGCCCATCACTTGAGGATTTGTTTGAGTGGTGTGGGAGGAAATTCTCGATCAAGACAACATGTATGCTGGCTAAACAGATGATTGAAAGAGTACGAATCATTCACGACCACGACCTAATATACAGAGATATTAAACCAGATAACTTCCTAATTTCCGAGTTTCAGAAAGCAAGTAACAACAATGGCGAATGTGTTAAATACTGCGCTCAGTCGGCAGGTGGAGATCCTAATCTTATCTACATGGTGGACTTTGGTATGGCTAAACAGTACAGAGATCCCAGAACAAAACAACATATACCGTACCGCGAAAGGAAGTCATTAAGCGGGACAGCAAGATACATGTCTATCAATACACATTTTGGAAGAGAACAATCCAGAAGGGACGACTTAGAGTCTCTGGGGCACGTATTTTTTTATTTCTTGAGAGGCTCTTTGCCTTGGCAAGGGTTGAAAGCTCCAAATAATAAACTTAAGTATGAAAAGATTGGTCTAACGAAACAAAAACTAAATCCCGATGAACTATTACTAAGCAACCAAATACCGTCTCAGTTTGCTACTTACCTGAAATATACTCGCTCATTAAAATTTGACGAAGACCCAGATTATGATTATTTAATATCTTTGATGGATGGTGTACTACTATCAAAAGGTTACAAAGACGATGGCCATTACGACTGGATGGACCTTAACAATGGTGCTGGATGGGATATACGAGTCAATAAGAGAGCTAATCTACACGGCTACGGGAATGCGCAACCAAGAAATAACAATAATAACAACAATGGTGCAAAGAATAATGGAAATACAGGACGACAAAGAAATGACTCGAAAAGAACATCACAACAACAACAAGTACAACTGGCTCAGACAGCCATGCATAGCGCTAAAAATAAATTAGCAACTCCATCAAAACAAAAAGAGGCAATGTCTACCGACAAAAAGCATCTCTCGAACCTATCAGAGCACAGTTCGGATGTAATATATCACACACTGACACAACCTAACATGAACCAAGGATACGATTCAATGGGTACACAAGATAGGAGGAAATCGCAGTCACAACATAAATTGCAGACAAAGAGGAAGAACTCAAGGGCACACATGCAATACCAAAAGGGATCCAACAATGCGAAGGATAATTTCTTTAATGATCAACAACAGAGATATGATTCTGCAGTAGAAAGATACTCAATCAAATCTGAAAAGGGTTTGTGCGCTAGAATATGCTGTTGTTTTTTCTAATTTTGCATTCATATGCTTTTTTAAAGAGCCTTCTATCCACCCATTGTCAAGGTGATTAGAAGAGGGAAATATTTATTGTTGAAGTTCAATGAAACAGCTACACTACCAATCAATGCTATCATAGCAAGCCTAGACGGTATATTGGATTTTGGTGGACTGCATGATATTCATCAACATACTTTCAATTTATTAATTGACATAATGCATATTTTTAATTCTAGTGTCATATATATTATCAGAATTTTGCACGTGTTGACCATGAGCTGCATATTTAATAGAGTATAATATATCATTCATTTACTGTACCTGTATCAAGTATCCTTCAAATTTATGATTAATAGGAGATCAATTATTTATAGAAACAAGTTGTGCTTATTGATAGATATTTCCATGAAATTAACTTTATTAAACGTGTATATAAAATTTTTATTTAAACATAACAATAATTCAGAGGCACTAATGACCAGCCGCCATGCCTATGAGATGATATTAAAGGTGTAAACAATTTTAGTTAAAGTTGACACCAATATTTCATTTAAAAGTGAAACAAAATGAACATTAATATAAAAGAAACCATTTATTAATAAGGATATGAATGAGGAACCGTTAACCTGAACGGTATGATGAGGATTTTGACCTCGGGTATTGTTTGTTAGAGTTTGGAAGTCATTGTTCCAACAGGGTAAAGTTTTTTTTTTTAAAAGTAGCCGTAGGCTAGAGTCGAAGAGCTAGAACTTAGAACTGGGTTGTTATAAGCGGCAACCTTTTCATCTAAAAAGGCGGGCACTGGCCTTTTGAAGGTGTCCATATATGCAAGCTCATTATCATTATCAGTGGTATTAGCGGATTCATTGTCAGAGTAAGAATCAAAATCTCTTGAATGCAAAGTTGTGGAATCCGAATGCAGAATACTACTATTTTCGTGGGAATTGTCGTGTAGTTTATCAACATGAACCATAACTTCTTCTTCTTCTGACTCATAGTTGATAGTCTCAGTATCAGACAATTGTAGTGAAATTTCGACTGGAGCTGAGAACAGACGGTGAAGGCCCAGTTCATGATCACAATAACTGAATAATGTGCCTGCTCTTTGATTGACCTCAATCTTACGTGCTAGCTTTCGGTATGTGCAAGCGCTGTTGTTATTCCCATTAACCACAACGTTGCCACATTGCGAATAGTTGCTATCATTTATTGGAAGGTTCATATTGTACTTAACTGCATCCAAACCATGGACTAGACCACAATATTCTAGTCTATCTAAGTTTGTCAAATCCCAAGCGATAATATTACCTTGATCATCGCTGCTGAACAAAGTATCAGTCTCGTAATGGTAGCTTAAGTGTTCTATGACACCTTTGTTTGGTAATATTTTAGCTTTGGGCTTTCCATCAGTTCTACGGACATCCCAGATATTAACTTCTTTGCCCAGTGCTTGCGCCAGATAGCAACTGCTTATCCAAGTACAGTCTGAGGAGACTGAGCGGGAGGATGATTTTCTGTATTCCTTGTCGATGACTGGATCGGGAATATAAAGTGTCTTCTTTAGGTCTAGTAGAGCGATGTTGTTCGCGCCAAAATGGGTTCCTGTTAGTCCCAACAGGTAAGGGTTGCTGTGCGTTTGAATTGCGAAGGATTGGATGCCTGGGAAAGAGTTCAGGTACTGTGGTGTCTTTGTGTTATTCAATGTGAAAACAAACAGGGAGTCGTTGATGAGGGAGACAAATCCCATCCCGTTCCATGGCTTGATTGATCTCACTGGCATGGCTCTTGCACTGTTGCTCTTTTGTTTGTGGTTTGCCAGCAGTTGTTCGATCTCGTCCTTGTGCTTCGTGTCTATGTTCATCACTTCGTTAGCCATGGACACGAGGTGTTTCCTGTGGTTGTAGCGCTTGACTATGCGGGACTCACCTTTGGTGAAGCTTGTTGAGATCAGGTTCACTATCCCGTCCCTGTGGCCCGTGAGCAGCAGCTGTTCATGGTCTGGGACGTATGCGGTGGGGTTGAACTCCGCGGCCGGCAGCAGTGTTGCTGTGGTGATGGGTGCGCCGGGCACGGTGATGGTCTGCAGCTGACGCATCGAGTTTGGGTCCTCGGCGTACGTGTAGAGCTTGACGTTGTCCTGGTCCTTGTTGCTGGTTACCATCACGAGGTTGCCGACGCTGGAGAATGCTGTGGCGGAGAGGTCCATGTCTGAGACCTGCCAGTAGTCCGACTTGACCTTCTTGGTGAGGAAGTAGTCGTCCGACACTTTGCGGAGCGTTGGCGAGTTCAGCTTGGCGCTTCTCTGCCAGGAGGCCACCCTTCTCGTGGCGACGTCCAGCCCGTGCTCCTGTCCGCGCTTCTTCACGCTGATGGCGCACTGTCTAAAGATGTTTATGGGTTCGTAATAGTCTGTCATTATTGCATGGTTATGTGCGACAGTTGTGGATGTCTGGTAGAGTTGCAGAGTGCGGTGTATATATATGTGTTATGCTACAGAGTACATTTACACATTTACTTGCTGGCTTCGCCAGCAAGTAAATAGTAGTAAAACAATTCTTTGCACCGAAAGCATAGCTGTGATAATCACAGCTATGTATACACTACCCGCAAAGCACGCAAGCCCTGGGCACTAGCACGCAAAGCACTAGCACTACCCGATGCAGAAGTGTTATTATATATGCGGGACAGCCCAGCACTGTTTACAAAATGCACCAAAACAGTAATATGTAAACACCCCCCACCCCCCCCCACGCCAGAAGAGACAGGAAGAGAGACGCGTGAAGAACCGATCGAGACCAGCACCGAACAGAAAAACACAAAAAGAAATAACGTGACCAGCAAAACGTGACCTCCACGTACATCGTAACAATAAAACAGAATGGAAATCACGAATTACGGAGGTCTCTTCGCTCTTCTCGCTCTTCACCAAGGATTGCGCAGTTAGGAGAGAGAAAAGCTTTTTAGGTAGCACCATTGTGGGTTAGGGCAAGAGAGAAAAAACAAAAAGAGGCGAAGGGATAGGATCATAAGAAGATAAGATCGCTGGGTTGTGAGCTTGGTTCAGATAAGGAATAAAACCGGTGGAGACTAACAAGTGTAAAGAGAGTAAAGAGTGTAAAGAGTGTAAGAGAGACACAGAGAGCAAGAAGTAGGACAAATATGCCGGCTATTTCAGTTAAGTTGGTTGCGGCGGAGTCCCTATACCGGAGGGATGTGTTTCGGTCTCCTGATCCGTTTGCTGTTTTGACCATTGATGGGTACCAGACGAAGTCTACTGCTGCTGCGAAGAAGACGCTGAATCCGTACTGGAACGAGACGTTTCGGTTTGACGACATCAACGAGAACTCTATTCTGACGATCCAGGTGTTTGACCAGAAGAAGTTCAAGAAGAAGGACCAAGGGTTTCTGGGTGTGGTGAATATCCGTGTTGGGGATGTGCTTGGCCACCTGGACGAGGACACTGCCACGCAGACGCGGGCCAAAGAGGAGACGATCACGAGGGATCTGAAGCGGTCGAACGACGGCATGGCCGTCAGCGGGCGCTTGATCATCGTGCTCTCCAAGGTTGCAGGGTCTGGTTCCGGGTCCGCCACCGCGTCCGCAAACGGTTCATCGACCGCAGCAGAGACCACCGCTTCGGCAATGGGCAACCTGAGCCTGGACAACTCCACAAACGTCAATTCGTCGCCGATCGCTAACCACAACAGCAGCACCATGAGCAGTAGTGCGAGCGGGACCAGAACAGTCCAGGCTGCGTCATTGACTCCGAGACCCACCGCCCAGGCGGTAGAGACCACTTTGCAGAGCGGGAACCAGAGCAACCCTGCGGCTACCGCTGCTGCAGCTAACGTCGCAAACAGACAGTACTCTTCGTTCGAGGACCAATACGGACGCCTGCCACCAGGCTGGGAAAGAAGAACAGACAATTTCGGCCGTACATACTACGTGGATCACAACACAAGAACAACTACATGGAAGAGACCAACTCTAGAACAGAGCGAGCAAGAAAGGGGTAGTCAGCTGACTGCAAACACTGAGCTAGAGAGAAGACAACACAGAGGAAGAACTCTGCCTGGAAACGTCACTGACGGTGTCACAGTCCAAGTCGGAGGTACCTCAACGACCCCCGCCATCAACGGTGCAGCTGCCGCAGCCTTTGCCGCTACAGGTGCCACCACTTCTGGCTTGGGTGAATTGCCTTCCGGTTGGGAACAGAGGTTCACTCCAGAAGGCAGAGCTTACTTCGTTGACCATAATACAAGGACTACCACCTGGGTCGATCCAAGAAGACAACAATATATTCGTACATATGGTCCAACCAATACCACCATTCAACAACAACCTGTGTCACAATTGGGTCCTTTGCCTTCTGGTTGGGAAATGAGATTGACAAACACTGCCCGTGTGTACTTCGTTGACCACAACACTAAGACTACAACGTGGGACGATCCAAGATTGCCATCCTCTCTAGATCAGAACGTTCCACAATACAAGCGTGACTTCAGACGTAAAGTTATATATTTCAGATCTCAGCCAGCGCTACGTATATTACCAGGTCAGTGCCATATCAAAGTACGCAGAAATAACATTTTCGAGGACGCTTACCAAGAAATTATGAGACAGACACCAGAAGACTTGAAAAAGAGATTGATGATCAAGTTCGATGGTGAAGAAGGTCTAGATTATGGTGGTGTCTCCAGAGAATTCTTCTTCTTACTTTCACATGAAATGTTCAACCCATTTTACTGTCTATTCGAATATTCTGCTCATGATAACTACACCATCCAAATCAACTCAAATAGTGGTATCAACCCAGAGCACTTAAACTACTTCAAATTTATTGGTAGGGTTGTTGGTCTGGGTGTTTTCCACAGAAGATTCTTGGATGCTTTCTTCGTTGGTGCTCTTTATAAGATGATGCTTCGTAAGAAGGTGGCATTACAAGATATGGAAGGTGTTGATGCCGACGTTTATAACTCACTGAAGTGGATGCTAGAAAACAGTATAGATGGTGTGCTTGATTTGACATTTTCTGCTGATGATGAACGTTTCGGTGAAGTTGTAACAGTCGATCTGAAACCCGATGGAAGAAACATAGAAGTCACTGACGAAGTGAAGAAAGAATACGTCGAATTGTACTCCCAATGGAGAATTGTAGATAGAGTTAGTGAACAATTCAAGGCATTCATGGACGGTTTCAATGAGCTAATTCCTGAAGATCTAGTGACTGTCTTCGATGAGCGTGAATTAGAACTATTAATTGGTGGTATTGCGGAAATTGATATCGAAGATTGGAAGAAGCACACAGACTATCGTGGTTATCAAGAGTCAGACGAGGTCATTCAATGGTTCTGGAAGTGTGTCAGTGAGTGGGATAACGAACAAAGAGCACGTTTACTTCAATTTACTACTGGTACCTCTCGTATTCCTGTCAATGGTTTCAAAGATCTACAGGGGTCTGACGGTCCAAGAAGATTTACTATCGAAAAGGCTGGTGAAGTTGAACAATTACCAAAATCACATACTTGTTTCAACAGGGTGGATCTACCTCCATATGCTGATTATGATAGTATGGCTAAGAAGCTAACACTCGCTGTCGAGGAGACAATCGGTTTTGGCCAAGAATGATTTAATGACATTAGGATTTATCTTTCTCTTTTACTATAGCAACTAACGTTTAATGCGAAAATACCGTATTTTTTTATTCTTACAATGATGATATACACAAAACTCCTCCGTATTACCCTTCTATGAAATGTAGACCATTATGCATAGAGCTTAAAATACAGATTTGCACTTAAGCTGTCAAGCGACAAGGTTATCTCAGGACACTATTAGCTGGAAAACTTGAATTTTTATTAGGTCCCTTTTTTATATATAAAATATACAAACAATTAAAGCATGTCAATATACATCATTAACTTCTTTATTACTCTAATAACTCAAATACCCGATTCAATCCAAAATTCTCTTAAACTTACATATATACCCACCTAAGTATGGAAACAGATATTCTATATCTATTAAAATAAACGATACCCTAAAAATAGTAAATAGCTTGACTAGTTAATATACAATGAAGTTATGATTAGAACTAGTAATCTAATCGTCGTGATTATAAATGATAATATAATGCTTCTAGTTTTTAAGTTGTGCTTTCGATGAATATGCCTTTGTTTTATTACCCTTAATAGTGTAACTCCAAAGGACTGCTTATACCAGAAGAATAGCGTTAACACAACCATCTCTATCAGGCTCATTGGTGATTTGAGCATACTTACCCCAAACTACCTTACCACCCGAGGTAACCATACCCAGTTCAGAGACATTTACTTCAATAATAGTACCCTTTGTTAGAACACCTAGTTGAGTGTACATAGGAGATTGTGGATTCTTCTTGACTCCCAGTATTGGAAGGAAAACCGTCACTCCCAATTCGGGATGTGTGACGTTAGCTTTCTTCTGTCTTAGTGCACTTGGTCTGATAATTCTTTCCATCTTTACTGGTCTTCTAGTGAAACCTTCACCAACAAATGTATGTTTTGTGATCATTCTCTTCCAGGACTTGGACTTGGACTTACCGGTTTTCACAACCTTGAACATCTCTTCTTCACTGATACCACGAACCTTAGGGAGAGGAACAGAAAACTTGTCTGCCTTCTCCAACCTCTTCTGTTTAATGGAAGAAGAGATGGCCTTTGCAGTATTGGTCTGCTCTCTGTCTAACAGATAAGTTGGCAAAGCTTCACCGTTATCAGCCAATGGCTTGCTGCTACCCTTAGCCTTGGACTGTTCATGAGCCTTGATCTTCTTACGCATAGCAACCTTTTCGGCATAACGCTTCTTGGCAAACTGCTTACCCTTCCAACCAGTCAGCTTCTGAGCCTTCTCTGCTACCTTGTGGACCTCTCTGGCCTCACGCTTCCTCTTTCTTTCCTCATAATCGAGACGACGACCATGCTGCTTGATATGACGCTCAATATAATCGTTTTGAGGCATTCTTCCTAATTCTCTTGCTTATTATCCTTGCTATATTGCTTTCAAACCTACAAAGGAATCCCTAGTGTCCCCCAACCTTCAGCTAACTCTCTTAAATAGTGAAGCTCATCGCAAAATTTCAGTAAATTTCATTATTCTGCTTAATTCAGAAACTGAAAAAATTTTCGCCTAACAAATTCAGTTGAAAGCTCAAATTTGAAAAACAATTAATTTTTTTGGAAAAAAACTAGAAAAACGATGCTCATCGCATAAAATAGTGGTAATAGTGTGTTGGTGAAGTTGATCAAAATATAGAAATCAGGCTTTGATTGTAAAAGGATAAGAACAAGATGTCATTGAAGAGTACGCTGCGTGAGATTAATGAGTCTCTTAAGGCTACGTCTGAGTCTTTAGATAAGCTACAGGACCAGTATGAGTCTGGACTACCTATTGAAGGAGGTTTGAAGAAGTATTTGGGGAAGGACGGTTCAGGTAATGAGCAAGTTTCACTTCTGACATTGAAAAACGACTCCATGCTTGCATACTTAAACTCGCTGTTACATATATTGCACGATAAGATGGATAGAACCGGAGAGCGTGTCACTGCAGATGGTCACCGTGAGAGAACTATCGAGCACCGTGTTGTGCTGGAGCGTGGTGTAAAACCACTAGAGAAGAAAATATCCTACCAATTAGATAAGCTGACTAGGGCATACACAAGAATGGAGAAAGAGTATACAGATGCTGAAAAGAGAGCCGCCGAGAAGTCTGCACATAGAGAGGCAGAAGATAGTGATAGTGCCGACGACAGTAGTGACGAGGAACTTTCATATAGGCCCAATGCATCCGCTCTTGTGGCATCGAAGGATAAAACTTCGAGGGACCGTAAAAACAAAGGTGATGAAGGTGAAGGAGATGAATCAGGTGAAGATGAAGAAAAATCAGGCGTGTACAGACCACCAAAGATCAATGCAGTGCTGCCTCCACAGCAGCATCACTTTGAGGATAGATTTGTTGCCAGAGACCACAAGAATAAGAGTAATAGATCTAGAATGCAGGCCATGGAAGACTACATTAAGGAAAACTCTGAACAACCAGACTGGGAGTCATCTATTGGTGCTAACATCGTGAACCATGGTAGAGGCGGTGTGAAGTCATTGAGAGATACAGAGAAGGAACGTCAAGTAACGACATATGAAGAAGAGAATTTCACAAGACTGAATGTTGGAAGTAGTAGTGCAGAGAAGAGGAAGCAGAAACAAAGAGAGAGGAATGCCAAGGTTAATATCATTGGTGGTGAAGATTTCAGTATATTCAACTCCAAGAGAAAACTTGAGGACAGCACTTCTAGAAGGGGAAATAAAAAGTCTAGAAACGCATGGGACAGGGCTAAGCGTAGACTATAGCTTCTTATATATTTCTAGAATATAATAAAGCTGTTTTGACTGTATAGTCTGCCATTTATAGAGTATATAACATTCTTTTACCCGAGTAAGACAAAGAAAGGTGTAATGTGATCTGTTAGCAGTTACATATATCACTAAGTAATTGCGGTGATTAGGATCTCCACAATTAGAAAAAGATCGAAGCACACTATTGTGAATAGTCATAAAGTGTCAGACATGTCAGGATCCAGCTAGAAAAGGTGAAGAAGAGCATTTGATAATGATAAATGACTATACCAGGAGGAAAGTAGCTGTACAGGATACACAGGCATGCTATCTCTGCCACAAGCCGACGAATGTGGTATTGTATAACCAGAGCGGACCGGACTGGTTTTATACTTGTGAGCTCCATTTACAAAACAATCCTCAGTTTGCAGTTCCTGTATATGGTGCAGAATATGAGTCGATATTAAAGAAGATGAAGGAGACCAAGGAGTTATTGAACAAGCAGGTAACAAGTAAAGGTGGAGTGGGCAATTGGGATGGATGGGTAAACAAACTTATATCCAGCAGGAAATCCAAGGATGACGACAAGGAAGCCGATAAGAAAGATGATCAAAAAGATGACACGCAAGATGCAGAGCGGCAGGAGCCTGATTTACAAAAGCAGTATGACATGCTGCTGGATAAACTCACAGAGATCAAAAGTAAGAATAAAAAGTATAAATTGAGTGATATGATGTTTCAAAACAGAGTAGATCTCAAGGAGAGAGAAAGGTTAAGGCGAATAAGAATACAAAAGGAACAAGAGCAATACTCAAACACCGATCCGGTTGAATTGGAAACTAAATTTCAGTTTCCTTCTATACCACAAACAACCCCAAATAAGAAAGTATGAAACCGAGCTAAATTTAAGACATAAAGCTTACTGAAAAAAGTGTTATGATTGAAAAGAACCGCATATTATTTAAGCCGATTGAAGATCCCTCAACTGGACGATTACTTAGACCAATTCTACATACCTACCACTACTCTCTATTTATAAGTTTGTATAGCTTATTCCTATCACGAAAGCATATCAGCATTTACGATTATTGGTTGTTGTACGGTTGTTTCTTAGTCAAATCGGTGATTATTTTTTTTCACCTTCCACCCAGTTCGATGGAGAACAGCCAGAACAATGGGCAAATATGCACTAGTGAGTAATACAAAGCAAAGTATTGATGATCTAATACAATTGGTGCATATGTCTTAGGTAATTTGTTTTGGTCAGCCGCTGATAGCAGTGCATTTTAAGTTTTGATTGATAGAAGTTTTTGCAAACCTTGCATCCGTTTTCAACAAGATTGCTAGCAGGATAATAGGGAAACTGGAGGAAATACAGTTTAGTTGTTATAGAGGGCATAAAATAATAGGTTTTTGATAGAGCATTCCCTTTTTGTGAACCTTAGCCGCAACGTTATCAAAACTGATTGAAAAGAAGAGAAGTCTGTGCTTTTTATTTGAGTTTAAGGATTCAACATTAAGACAACAAGATAGCTCTCCAAACAATAACAACAACAGAAGAAATTGATATTCGCCCATTCCTGGTTGTCTGTTATTTTTATGGAGTTTTAAGCTCAGCTATAACTGTACCCTTTAACATTACAAAACTTATTGTTAGTTCTTTTACTGTGAACTCGCAAGTCATACTATCTATATTCAAAGGTGGTCACTTCAAGTCATCTTTGAAGAAAATAACTACGCATATTGTGCTTTTGGTGCTTAAAAGAACTTGCTTCTACTCCAGAACACCAAAGTGGATAATTAAAAACATTACACAATTCCAACCCATTTTGCATAATCTAGATACAAGTACTGATACAAATTTGTTCAGTTGTACTGTTCTAGATTCAAATCCATTATTCTGATTACAACATACTAAAAACTTTCCAAGATATAATTCTAGTCCAATAGATCTTGGTTTGATATATTTCTATTAATATCAATACAAATTGAACTAATAATAACTACTGACTGATGCAAAAATGGTGATAACAACCGATTCCAAATATATTGAAGAAGTAGATATACCCGAAAATCTACAACTTGAAATAGATTTGTCAGATCCACTCCTCAAAGGTAATAGCAATAGCAACACAAATGTTTGTACTCAGTCAACTCTTAATACTACCACGTCAACAGTTTCTCCCGTGAGGAAAAGATTTGAATCATTGCCAGAGGGCTTATCGGCTTCCTCATCATCGCTAGATTCCTTGAATCTGCTGTTAGAGAAACAAATGACAAAGCAATTAAATCATCCACAACATCAGGAGCATCTTGGTTCTGGCAAATATTCCCCATTGGGTGGTAATGGTGGAAAACTAGGTAGACGAACCAAGGTTAAAGAAACGAATAGAATATCCTTGACATATGACCCGGTTTCAAAGAGAAAAGTCTTAAATACTTATGAAATTATAAAAGAATTGGGACATGGCCAGCATGGAAAAGTAAAGTTAGGAAGAGATCTCGTAACGAAACGTCTTGTTGCCATAAAGATAGTTGATAGACATGAAAAGAAAGAAAGAAAATTCTTTAGCTTTAAGAAGCCAGGAAAGACTGAGAACGATAAGATTAAACGTGAAATTGCGATTATGAAAAAATGCCATCACAAACATGTGGTAAAACTAATTGAAGTTCTCGATGACTTAAAGTCCAGAAAAATTTACCTAGTACTTGAATATTGTTCAAGAGGCGAGGTTAAATGGTGCCCCCCAGATTGTTTGGAAACAGAAGCAAAAGGTCCATCGCCGTTGAGCTTCCAATTTACCAGAGAAATCCTCAGAGGTGTGGTTTTAGGTTTAGAATATTTGCATTATCAAGGAATCATACATCGGGATATCAAGCCAGCTAACTTATTATTATCAGAAACAGGAATCGTCAAGATATCAGATTTTGGTGTATCATTGGCCGCATCGAGCTCAAATGTTGATGGAAGTGATGAAACAATCGATGAATTAGAACTTGCAAAAACAGCTGGAACGCCAGCTTTCTTTGCACCTGAGATATGTTTGGGAGAGGATGCATTTGAGAAGTATCAACTTGATAGGGAGGAATTGTTTAAGGGCTCTTGTATATCCTTTAAAATTGATATATGGGCGCTTGGGGTCACATTATACTGTCTTGTATTCGGTATGCTTCCGTTTGTGTCAAGCTTCGAGCTGGAGCTATTTGAAAAGATTGTGAATGACCCCGTTAAGTTCCCAAAATATTCAGATATGTTGAAGAATAACCAAGTGCTTCAAATGACTGAAGAAGCCGAATATGAGGCAGCAAAAGACTTACTGACTAGACTGTTAGAAAAAAATCCTATCAAAAGAATAAATATTGAAGAAATCAAAAGACATCCTTTTGTATGCTGGGATTTTGATCATTTAGATGGAGAAAGTGAGCAGGAATTGTCCTTGAAACTAGAAGAAAAGATGAACTTCCAATGCGCTCAGAGAGATTATCTAACTCAAATATCTGTTACTATGCATGAGCTAAATAATGCAGTGTGTGGCGTGGGGAAGGAAATAAAAGAATCAGATCTACAGAGCATTACTTACCGGGAGAATGCATCATCTGATAACAGTATCAATCTAGAAAAATTTAATTTGATTCGGGATAGAGACAATAGCTTAATAGTGAGTGAAGGTTCTATTTTGAAAAACATGAAAGACTTGAGAAGGCTATCAAGCAAAAAGAGTGGGGCAGATGAGAGTCTAAAGAAGGAGACAAACTTAGAGCAAAGTCAGCTCCTGCTACAAAATCTAAAGCTTGTTTCTAGTGAAGATTGTGAATATGACCAGGACGCTGACTTTGAGGAATCTCACGGTACGTCTTATAGTGACAATGATGAGAGCGCTTCAGAAACTTTATCTCAGAAAGAACAATTTGAAAAAGAGATGGAAGAATTTGAAAAAAGGCAACAGAATAACAACGTCGTTAATTTGCCAATTAATTCCTCATTTGCTTCCTTGGACAGTTTTTATATTGACAACTTTGCAATGACGAAAATGGGAATGGATAATGAAGTAACCAACCCAGAACAAAGAAACTCTTCAGCGTCTACTTTTACAAAGTGGAATACTGGTTCAACACATAGCGTTTCACCAATTTCTCACAATTCAGCACATTTCACTAATAATGGAAACCCTTCTGGGAATACAACTAATATTAGTAGGAACCCATCTTCCCATATGCTACCATATTCATTAGGAATGAGTTCGACTAGAAATGACAGGATTCCCCGCAATCATTCAATTTCACCGCACTATAGTTCTAATAGTTCAAGAAAGTCAAGATTACAGCTTTCAGAGGCATTCCCAGCAAAGCTAAAAATGACTTCTAAAAGCAAGTCTCAAACAAATTATCACGAAGGTTACGAAAATACTGAGGTCGATAGGGAGAAAGCAGGCAAGAGAGCATCATCTCACCCTCGGACCCAAAGTCGCATGCAAAGAGCAAATTCTACAACCAAGAACTCTAATCATGCTATTGCTGCCAAAAATGAGGCTGCAAATAGAAGTACGGATAGTAATAGAAGTGATTCACCTTTGATATCGCTACAGGATATGGTGAAAGCCTCTGGTAGTAATCAAGATACATATAACGTAAAGAAGGGTAACTTTTTCGATAATTTTAATGGAGATGATGATAGCAGTAGTCGTTCATCTGTTTCTTCTGAATCATCAGAATCCTATTCTGATGTCCCCATTAGTGAGGACTCATATAGTAGTGCTAGCGTTTCAAGAAGAAATACAGATACAGAGTCTTTGCCTTATGAATTTGGAATTGATTCTGGACGTGCTAGTACAGTGTCGTTAAGAGATGTTCCTCAAAATTTGGGTAATGTTAGGCCGTTTTTAGACTTGCATCCATTAACCAACTCTTCATCAAAAGGTTCTCAACAAAGAAGAGATTCTATGAACTCGTCAGGTTCTGATTCTGATTCTGATGGCCCTGGCTCAGTGTTGGTATTAAGAGCTGGCAATAAAGGGCATATGAGGCGCCAAAATTCTTATCAAAATGACAGGCCATTTAATGATAGTGCGTCCACTATTACACCAGGTGCCACATCACCAAAAAGGTTTTACGCAAAAGGATCAACACTGCAGCCTACTAATGATAGAGCGAAGGGGTATTGTAAATCAAATCTGAACCCTGGCGTTATGGCAGCTAATGCTGGTACATTAGTAATGTCTGACTCTAGGGCTAAACCTGTAATTGGAACATCAGACGTGTTTGGCACTATATCGAACTCAACTTTGACTGACGTTGCTCGTCATCCACTATCACGAGACTTATTAAAAGATGCCTTATCAAGTGGTGAGAATAGTGGAAGAAGAGGCTCCATTCCTTTAGGCATATTGGGTATTGGCAGTAATTCCTCCCCTATGAATGCTACGGTTGGTGGCACACTAAATAAGAGAGCATCCTGGTCAAAAGATCGGACCTCATTAAGTGATGACGAACTACATAGCAAAAACCACTAGTTTATGATAGTCAGTTTTGAATAAAGGATATATGAGTCTTAGAATATCACAGTAAAAGCATACACTGTGATATAGATTGTTATTAGGACTACTTAGTTTAGCATTTATTGATAGTAATATTAGTATTAATATTTATATTCATTCAAAATGTCTTATTAGTTCTTGTCCAGCAACCGGCAATGACTAAACCATTATAAAGGCAAGAGTGTTTTCTGTTAGTTTGGCATTGAATTTGATTTATTCAGGTTAAACTTAAAACAGATAACAGTTCAGAGGTTTCACAATGAAAATTCTATTCATTAAGGCATGTGCATTAGATATTTATCAGTGATTATATATTATTAAGATATTAATTATTTGCATCCAGTTAATCTTTTTAAGTGCGTGGAGTAATGCAAAAAAGCACTAAATTTGATAATGGATAATAGAAGTCTACATTTTGCATTCAAGCAAATACCATCAATGGCTATGTGTTTTTATGTGTTGATTGAGGTTGTCGCTTCTGCTAAACTTCTTGTTGCATATGTGACACTCATATGGCTTTTCGCCCATATGCAGTGATCGTATATGTCTTTTGAGATGTTCTTGTCTTTTGAAGCGTCTATCACAGAACTCACAACCAAATTGCTTCGATAAGTCAGGCACTAAAGAAGGTTTTCTTCCTCTCGTCCTTGGTGGAAGTCCATTGATTCGTATCTTCTTTCCTTCTGGGCTGTTAGTAGTGCTTGAGTCATATGCTGTCTTTTCCGAGTACTGACTTTCTGTGTTATCTTCCTGGTCGTTCCAGTCCTCATCTATGCTTTCGTTCTGTCTTATGCTATTACTTCTCCTCTCGTATGTTTGGTATGGGTTATTGTGAATATAAAATTGGTCATCTACTTCGTTAATAATTGAATGGAAGTTAAACACTTGGTTTTGCGTTAGCGCCTCGTTGTCGATCGAGGAGAATACTTTTCTTGGGTTGACGTTCAGCACCTGTGGTTCCATGTCGAGATCGTTGTGGTCGTCATCTAAATCCATAATATCATCACCATCGTCCATTTTCTCGTCATTAAGAGTCATTACATCGTAGGCATCTTGTCCCGAGAGGGCTGAGCTGTTGCTCTTATTGCGCTTGTAGTTGCTCCAGATGTTGTTGCTGAATATGTTATTGAAGTAGTTCCTCACTTTCGTGGTCTTCTTGATCTGCTGCGATGGTTCGATGAACTTGTCCTCAGGCAGGACCGCTGTGCTGATGTCGTCAAACTTCTCGTACTCGTAGTACCTCGATCTGTCCAGCATGTAGTCCGAGATCGAGGGTCGTTTGAGCATCTCGTATTCGTAGTCATCTATGACCACTGACTGCTCGGCGTCATTATTTATTAGTGTATTACCCGTGAGATCAGAGTGCACCAGCTGAAATGTGTCCGTCATTACTCCGTAGTGTATAATTGTTTGCTAAGCACAAATTCCCTTAGTACATTAGAAAGTTAGGCAAACTCTCAATTGGGCGTATACTGCGGCAGAACTCCCAGATTAGGCTTTTATACATTGAGCTGTTGTATATATATGGCCATCACAGGGACGGAACCTTAAAAGTACGGGTATATATTTGCAGTGAGAGCATGGCATGTCAAATCATTATTGGCAAAGAGATGTTTAATTTCAAAGAGAATAATTGCGTAGGTTTGGGGTGTGGTGGTACATTGCTTTTTTTGTCTGGCTAACATTTATTGGGAACCCCCTCCAAAACTTATTATAAACAATTGGCACTATGTGGAAGCGTTATAGTCTGCAAGAGTAAAAATAATCGACGGAGAGGGAATTATAAATCAGGTAAAAAAACAACTCATCGCCTGGCAGGTCCAGAGAAAAAAGGGTTACAGAATGGAGTATCTCAAATCTACGATTAGGTCGAGAGCATTAAAGGAAAGGGAAAGGATGGTACCTTTTTGAGCCGGCTATAATCCAAAGCGAGTATTTTCATCGACAAGAAAAAGCCTTGATAATATTGATCGTACACGGAACATCACAGTTTTTGTCTATGTGTATGTTTGTATGTGTGTGTACGTTTGTATGTGTGTGCATGTATGTGTGTGTATATTCTGCTTTCCTGTTGAGCATAGCAAAAACATGGGGGGGAGGGGAAAGAATCTCGATCACCCAAGAGGATATCTCCGCAGCAAAGGTTTTCCCATTCCAGGAGATAGAAATTGATAAGTTATCAGCCTTCTCGCAAAACACCTCGGAATTTCTACTCTACTGTGAATGCATTTACAGGAAATTGATGGATCCGTGACTGAAATCCTAAGGATGCAAATAAAAACAGCTCACTGTATTAGTTGGCAAATGGACCAAATGACGTAATTTGTTTGTGCAACAAGATTTCATTTTCTTTCTTTTTTTTTAGGAGGAAAGCAGAGAATATTCTCTTTTTCACACAAAGCGTCGATCATTGAAGCAAAGGGTGGGCGATGATAGATATGGATTGGCGGGGTAGTGCCACCCACAAGCTTGAAGCATTAATAAACTATTATTAATTTTATATAGGGGAAGAGGGGTACCAAAGTGTTGGTTTTGAACAAGCGTATTGGTTGCAAGCTCTCCTATTATTTTTGTAGACAAGCTATACTCCAACCTTGTTGTCTATTAGCAGGAGCAACCCAAACACACAAGATAGTGCAAAGGATAGGAGCGCACTGTATTTGTGACTGTACATTCCACAAACACCCAAACATCATAAAATCCTAACACCCACACACCCAAACACCACCCGCTCCTTATTTTTTAAGTCTTATCAGAACACGTAGAACAAATATCCCGAAACAGGAAATACAGCGACCAAGCAAGGACGCAAACGAAAAATTTCAAAGAAAAATGTCCCCCCGACGCAAAGGGCCTTGCAGCAAATGGCAAAAATAAAGGGACTCGTGCATCTGTACAACCCACATGATGCGTTGGAAGGCGGATTCCAATGGCGAACTCTCTCGTATGCATTGATGTTTCCTAATTGGGATACCAGATACCCGAACAGGAAATTTTTGGCTTGAACTTCAATTTTTCATTCAACTTCAACTTGCACAAGCGATTCTTCCAAAATTTTATTCAATTTTTTTTTTCATGCTGAATATAATAGAATAGTATAAAACTTGCGCTTCATAATTTAATAACGACTTTCTCTTGATTAGATAAAACCTCATACACAAGTAAAGAAAAACACAGACACAATGCCAAAGAAGAGAGCTTCCAACGGTAGAAACAAGAAGGGTAGAGGTCACGTCAAGCCAGTCAGATGTGTTAACTGTTCCAAGTCTGTCCCAAAGGACAAGGCTATCAAGAGAATGGCTATCAGAAACATTGTTGAAGCTGCCGCTGTCAGAGATTTGTCTGAAGCCTCCGTCTACTCTGAGTACGTCTTGCCAAAGACCTACAACAAGTTGCACTACTGTGTCTCTTGTGCTATCCACGCCAGAATTGTCAGAGTCAGATCCAGAGAAGCTAGAAGAATCAGAACTCCTCCACAAAGACCAAGATTCAACAGAGAAAACAAGGTCTCTCCAGCTGACGCCGCCAAGAAGGCTTTGTAAATTAATATGAATTAGTTATCTTCTCATATAAATTTATAACCCATAATTAAACTAAGAAATCCTTATTTTAACATAATTTCTGTTGTATATTTAATTCACTACCCCAAGAACATCGTCCTGTCCACTTTAAGTTCAGATATATAGCTGTGAGCGCCAACTTTGTACTATTCGCAACTTTTGAACAAGTATTGCTCCATATTTGATTCATCACATGATCAGTTTCATGAGAAAAAGCCCTAAGAGTGTCAGCATGATCGGCACCAAAGTATAGAAGCCGGGTAATACCTTTTTCCCCTTAGCAATTTGCCGAATTTGGCGATTTTTCTTTGAAATTTTTTTCTTCTGAATTTTTCATTCAAAATTCGCGAGTGGACCCACCAAGGAAGCTTGTATTAGTATAAATAGCACACATAAATCATAACTTGGCATAATTGCTCTTGTATTTTGTCATTCCCATTGTTCTTTTTTTGGTCAATTGCTAAGATCCTTATCAACTATAACAGTCGATGAGGAAAGGTTATTTGTCTATGGACCATCTGTTTTAATCAATCCTTTCAGAAGGTTCCCGTTGTGTGATTTGCGGTGGATGGAATTCTTTTTTTTTAAAAGGAGTTCTGGATTACCGTAGGCCACTCAATTGGTTCCATATTTCTGTTAGGGTAGCTGTAGATAGTACCGTGAACCTCTTTTCACCACCTTTAATAAGCGGTATGAATAGGATCAACTGAGGCTGTTCTCTTAACCCTAAAAAATTTTATTTTGTAGAATGTGTTAGCCTGAAGATGGCTTTCATCTATTATATCAGCTGATACATGAATTATCTATAAAAATGGCTCTAATATCTTGTATATACTTGCTCGTTGCCGTAGGTCATTAAATGATTTCATTTCTTGATGCCCAAAAAGGACAAAGGACCAGTAGATGGGGGCCCTTCCTTCTTAGACTTAGCTGCCGACGGAGAGGATGGCGGAGGTGGTGGCATAACAGCCGGATTCATTAACACCGCCATACTACCGGATGCCTGACTGTTGAATCGGGAATTCTGTCTATTTCTCCGTTGGTTGGTGTTACTTTTGCTGGCGGAGTTCGTTAAAATGGAGCTTGGAGTGTTGGCGCTGTTTGAATTGTACATCGACCCCGTGGTAGGTATAAATATATCAGAATGGACAGCCGATGTTCTTGGAGATATTGTAGATTGTGTCGTGTAAATCGAGTTGGCATTCGACGGTTTTCTCAAGACTTCTACATTGTGCGAGGTTGTCTTAGGCCCTAAAGGAGGTCTAACAGCTGTTGCCCGCTGAATATTGGGTTCCGAGTCAAACTTTTGGAATGAACCAAATATAATATCTTCTAGTGCTCCTCTGCCCATTGGAATTGGTGCAGCCATGGTATTGTTTTCCAATGTCATGAGATCATTTGTAATAATGGTTTTCAATTTCTTCAATTTCTTAGAAAACTCAATGCATTCGGAGGCTCTGAGCATGATACCACCATCATTAACCAATACAGCCGTTCTGCAAATACTCTTCAAGACATGGTCAACAGGAGGTAATGCATTTGGAGACATCATATTTTCTAGGGTAGAAAATGGCGGTATTTCATTTTCTCCTGCGGAGTTTTTGTTTTCACTAGACCTCGTACCGGTATCCACTGTAGAACCAGCCTTTGTACTTGGTAACTTGTATAATGGGTCGATCGAGCCTTCAAATTCTTCTTTCTCCTCACGCACCTTCTCCGTCATCATATTCAAAGGCATTTCATCATGTAACATATCATACTCATCAGAATCAGAGATGGTCGATAAAAGGCTTTCGGTATCCATTGCGAGAGCATCATTTGGTAGCATGGAATTAGATATTCCAGCATTATCGGTTAAAGGTGATGTTGTGCCACTTCCAAGGGCTATATCAGATAAGGTCTGTAGCCTCACTTGCTCGATTTGCTCCTCTAATTCTACAGAACTGTTTTTGTCCGTTTGTTTGGCATCTACATTTGGATTTGAATTGGCTTCACTTGAAGAATCAATCTCATTCAAATTTTCCAAACTCTTAGAATGTGGCCTTCCAGATTTATTACCTTGCCTTTCGCCATTATCTTCTGGTATTGCTAGAGAAATAGACCTGACATCAATACTATTTTTCCAGTGTGATCTGGATCCAAAAGACTGTTGTGAATTATTATGTAGGGCTCTGAAATGTTTGTTCAAGTTATTAGATGACAAACTTAGCTTTCTATTGGTCATCCCATCTGGTCCTTCGGTGAAATAGCTACCACCAGTGCTAATGGAATCAATACGTGTTGATTTTTCCATCAACGTAGTATCAAGAAAACCGCTTTCAATATCCTTAACTGCATTACGTAAATCAACTAATTTACGAAAAGCTTCGTTATTCTCCAATACTATTTTGCATTTCTCATTGTCCTCATAGCAGGCATTAACTTTTGAGATGAAGAGATCAATTAACGAGTTACAATTAACAAGAATACTTCCTTCCTTTTTACCTATGATGGAATAAAGGGCCTCGGTGATTAAATCATAAAGAAGCCTTATTTCGTAAACCTTTGACATCATCCACAAATCTAAAGTTACTGGAGATAGTGGCCATTTACCATTTATTTGGCCAGTAAAAAAAAACTCAGTAAATGCCTTCACTGAGACAGCCGGCCAAGGCATATATAGAGACCTTGGTATTAGTAGAGGTTCAATTTCTACCGAATTGATGGCGTGAGGGTCATCTTTATTGGAAGCATCGCTATTACTCCTTTCGCTCCCAGCATCCGAAGACCATGAATAAGCCCTTTTGAAATATTCCTGATTATGGTCATTTTGCCTCTCTTTATCAGTTGAGTGTCTTTGTGTAGCATTACCGTCATCACTACCACTATAACTTTTTTCCGACATACTAAATTTAGGATCAGAAGATATAGAATACCTATGAGTTTGCACAATTGAACTTCTTCCAGACGCTGAAGCACTGCTTCGGTCGCCATATATGTAGTCATAGTTATGACTATTTCTTCTATGGTGAGGAATATTACTTAAAGCTTGAGTCAGCGATAGATTGGTCGGAAGTGGGGGGAGGGGAACAGATTCAGATGGCTGTCTAGGTTGAGGAGGAAGATTTACTTGAAGAGGCATTAATTTAGGGGAACTAGCACCGCTCATATTCGCCACACTACTCTTTCTTGAGTTGCCTCTCGTCCTTCTATCAGATGATGAGCTCACGAATGACAAGAGACTATTTTGTGAGACAATGGAGGCTTTTCTTGAACTACTGTTGCTCATTATGTATCTACCATGGTGATGTTTTCTCGTGTTTAGGTTATGTTTAGAACTAAAATGATATTCATCAATTATCTCACCATTAGGAAGCTTAGCTGGATGTGATAAACGCCTTAACTGTGTTCTTTCTTCTACTGAATTCCGACGATGTTGTAATGGTGGTGGAACGACAAGTGAAGAAGTTCTAGTGGATTTTTGCTTAATCATTATTTTATTTTTCTCTTCAGAGGAGGGTGAAAGAGTACCCGCTATTAAATGATTTCCGTTATTTGTTTCACAATTATCTTCATCACATCCTTTAAATGGAACTCTGAATACCATTCCATTGGATGAACTAGTTATCTTTTCATTATCTTTTTCCTTTTTGAAGCTTCTTTTCTCAATTTTTATTTTGTGTTTCTCCTGTACTATTTTAGGGTGATTGCTTGGGTATTTGTTAGGTAAAGTTTTGGAAGCCGATAGAATAGGATTATTTTCTGAACCATATTTAATTAGTGTAGATTCAACTCCGTTGCTCCTATAATCTTCACATACTTTGGAATAGCCTTGGGCCAAGAGTCTATCAAAATATCTACCCCATCGTTTCCTTAGTAAAAACATCGGCACCCCAATTGATTCTCCATCATTTGTGATAAATTCAAAATCAGCAAGTGTTTTACCAAACACTTCAAGAGTATCTTTACCTAAAACCATAGCATATGGTGGGAAGACTGAGCTTGTTGATTCCATTTCCAATGGATCAGTAATATATCTAATATAATTTTCAAACTGAGAAGTTGGATTGGATATTAAAGATAAATTTCTCCGAGGGTCTAATGGATCAGGTATTGAAGTATTATGGGGAGAGGATATTGGAATTATAGGTTGTGATTGTGTAATCTTGTCTACTGTAGTCAAAGGGGTGATGGGGGTCTTTAGGGAAACTTTTTTATGAATGTTGGTATCAGGAGTTATTTCATGTAATATTCTGTTAAAACCATTTAGCATGGGTAATGAAATTGACAATAAGTAATCAAATTTTTGAACACTAGGAAGTTGTCCATCATCATTTGCTGTTCCTAAAAGTATTGCTTGATGATGCGATTTCCAGACCAATGTTTTCCAAAACCTATGGCGATGTATTGATGAGTCTTGACAATTTGTACAAAGTTTTGTCCATGTGTCAGAGCAGACGTTATAAAAATAACAATGAAAGTTAGCAGCTGAAAAATTATTATGGAACCCACTTGCGATGATACTGTAGGATACAGAGTCACCTGAAGGTCCCATTAGATTATACGGAACGGATCTGTCATCAGTGCTTTTCTTGGGAAAATCTTCTAACTTAAGTAACTTTCTTGATGTTAATCTTGTTCCTTTTGTATTGGGTAAAAGTGGTAGCATTGCAACAGGAGATAAATCATCATCTTTAGGATCTGAAGTGTCTACGGTCAGGCCATTATCTTTATTAGAAGAATTCTCTGAGGCGTGAGTTTTGCTAGACTTTTTACTATCACTTTTTTTCGTTGTAGGTTTCCCATAACTTTTGGATGATCTCTTGTGTATCGGTAGATAGAATCCTAACGTTGGGATAGCATTGCTATCTTTCCCAGAATTGTCCAGCATTACTGAGAAATTGTTATCCATGTTTATATGTGTTTTTAGACCATCAATATTGGTATTTAATGCTGTCATATCTCCGCTGTTCTTCCTTGTAGTTTTCTCAACTGCATTAGATTCCCATTGTAGCGTTGTCAAATTAAATATATCAATTTTGGCAACTGGTTCGTCCATATTATCTATACCGCCTACTATAACTAGCTTAGTATCTTTTGTGGGGTCTTCTGAGTTGAGAACATGCATTTCATGATTATATCTTCTACCTACCCCTGGATCTTTACTCAGTAGTGACCACTTATTGCCTCTTAGATCAAGTTGCCATAGATCATTAGTAGCCACAAACTCGTATTCGTTATGTGGAGAGATCATTAGTCCACCAAAAATGTAAAGGAAGCCTTCATTGAAACACATAGCATGGAACAGTCTACCATTGGTCTTTATATTCGTGTCATCTGTAGTGCTCGATTCATCGATTGTAGTTTCAAGCCTTCTCCATGATCTCGATATCAGGTCCAAGAAGAACGTCTCTGAACTGATCCATTCATTTAAGTTCTTGAAAGATATCGATTTATTCTTCTCCTTAGCAAAATATAGCATCAATTCCTTTTGCAGTTGTGTAGAGTTCACCTCTGTAAGGTTCAATGGAATTGTAAGGCCACCATTGACATAAATATTAGACCTTGTCAGTAGAGTGGTGGACCCCGTTCGCACATCAAGTGTGAGACGCTTTCGCAGTGCCTCATCGAGGTATACATCATCCTCTTTATCTTTCTTACTGACTTTAGTCGGACTTCGCACATCCGCACTGTTCAACGATGAGCTTGAGTTACTTCTGGGGTGTGAATAAGGCGATGGTAGGTGTAAGGGATAGCATGCACATGCAGAAGGCAGTAATAAAGACATGAGTGTTACCACTTATTTTTTATTTCTGCTTATTGTTTCACCAACTATATCTGGACCTTTCCCACTAATTTTTTTAGGTCCTCAGTATGGTACACTTCTTATAGGAGTGTCGCCGTGAACTGTTTTTAAGCGACTTGTATTTCTGTGTAAACCTTGGTTTCAAGAGATAGCCTATATCAATGCAGCTACCGGCTCTGCTCCTAAGCTGTTACAATAATGGAAGAAGATTTGCTGTTTTGTAAAGTTTCTTCAACTTACTCTTATTCACTCATCATTTGGCAAGAGACCTTCGGTTCATTATTCATTATGGTATTGATTTCAGCAAAAGCACAGATACCACCGTACCACACCTGTTCATTTCAGGCTACGGTATTTTCTCTTCTTCGTCAATTTTTCACGTCCCATTTATGCCCATTTTCCGAATTTTTTTCAGCGAAATTTCTTGGTGAGTTTCTCATTCGAGAAGCTTGTTGCACAGAATTTGGTGTGAGGCTCATTGTTCTCAGGGTTTGCCTCCTGTTTTAGTGGTCGAGTGTTGCTAGAAGAGTTTATAAGGTTTTTGAGATGGGAAGCTCAGAAACCGGTGTGGTAAGCCGTGTTAATTTTGTTGACTCCATGCACGAATGTTTCTAGGACCAGTGCTTTTTTGAAAACAGAGGATTCACGAAGAACCCTTCCTCCTGCAGTGATTTTCACTATTTTGAATGTTCTATGCTTTTCTCTGTATTGTCATCACACTGGTATTGTCTCCGATGTGCAGAGTTGTCTGAGGAGAAGGCCTGTGCAGTGAAACGAGAAAATGATATCATTTCTCTGGCAATATGTTAGCTACTGGCATTTCTTACCGTAATCAAAGCAATATGAGACAAATGGTGCAGAGGGAGAAAAAATGGAAAGAATGGGCTTACTTAACACAAAATCAAATTGTTGAGGAAAGTCCGTACAAATTCCCCTTTCCCAATTAAATGCAAAAACATTCGGATCTTTGCTTTCTTTTTTTGGTTTATCTGAGCATTCACTGCGTGGTTTGCCGTGGGGTGGCAAAAGCGTGAAAGTTTGTTTAGAATCTTGAATGGAAGGTACGGAGATTACTAAGAAGGGTTTTGAGTCGTCCGCAGTCCCTTTACCGCTCACCATTGTCCCTAACTGGAGAATGCTCTTGGCAATATTTTGTCCCGAATAGCTAAAATAGCCGCCGATATACAATGAGTCTACAGCTACTGTGGCAGTTGACTCCCTTGCTATGTTGTAAAACCGTGCATCTCAATGGTAGAGTTGCACTTCTATATTCGCTGTTACTGACCTTGTTGCCATAGGCAATGTTGAGTATCTACAGTGGCAAGCATTTCTACACGTACGAATATTGGCATAGCCAGAAATCATAACATTGCTTAAGATCAGCTATAATGACCACAGATATCCTATCAGATAAAAAAAAAAAGATTGAATTGAACTTTAATGTCAGAAGGAAGGCAACAAGTGTTTTCTAATCACGTTATTAGAAATCAGAGATTGTTCACGCGTTTGTCATTCATCACGTAAGAAAAGTCATTCTTTTATCTTTTTTTTCTTGTTTCTACTGATAATTCCCAGGACCAATGAGTCTGCAGATTTTTACGTCCGCGTGGGGACTCGATCACTGGTTGTGGCCAACCTTGCCAAGTTCTCGGGAAGTACTACCGATTTTCACGTAGAATGCCACAGTTCAAACCCTTTTGAAACAATGTTCCCTTTCTTGACCGTTGCGCCACTTGACCATACAATAGAAACATATTCTGGAAAAAATATAACTGCTATCACAGCCGTTAAGTGCCGGGTAATTGTGTCTGATGAGATCATATCCTGCCCACTTCACTTTCAGTGTTGCGGTAATTAATTTCTGCTGAAGGATAGTTGCTTGTGATTGGCGGCCTGCCCCCCACTTTTCTCGCCAGCCCAAAAAGGATTGGTGCATTTCATATAGATAGATTTTGATAACATTCAGCTAGCTAAACAGTTCAGTTATTTTAGATATAGCAACCAGTGGGTTTTGCCCATTTCACCTTTAGTGAAGTGAAAGTTGATGTCTGAATTGCATGATTACGAATAAACGCCAATATATAGTTCTGGTAGTCGACTTAGTTCAGAAAGAAAAGTTTAGGTGCTGTTTTTTATTTAATTCTAAATTTATTTCACTTTGTAAATGTACATAATATAAAATTTATTCGCTAGTTATATAATAGTAAATAAAAGAAAATAGTGTTGATAGAAAAATTACTTAGAGTAGTTTTTATTTCATTTTTTTAAATTTAAATTTGTTTTTCTTGGTGGTAAAAATTGTACAGGAATAGATGTGAGGATTCTGCTAGAGAATAAAGAAATTTAATAACCGTTTAAGTCCTGATGAATATGTTAACTTGATATACAGCATACATGTTTGTGATCTAATTCCGGAGATAATCTTATTCTCTAACTTTGATGAAGGCCATTTGGTAATGAATATTATGATACCAAAAGTTTGTGAATAATAATTTTTTTTGTAATTTTCTTTTTTGATCAAAACGGTAAGAGCAATGTGGCTAGATATAATAATGCAACTTGACTATCCTCGCAGTAATTACAAAAACGAAGGTCATTCTGTTATTTTAGAATTTTATAGGTAAAAATGGACAGGTTACAATTAATGTACCAGATTTGACAAAAAAAAAATAGAGAAAAAAATTGGAAATTCTTAGAAATAAAGTAGTAGTCATAGAAAGAAAGAAAAGAAATAAGGATTTGTGTGTGATATAAAATAAAAAAAAATAATATTTTTGGTGTTTGGTCAAGAATTGAAATAAATTACTGATATCTTTGTTGACACTATTTCTTCTTTCTACCGGCTTGTTGTCTTGGCAAACTCTTTTGAGCAGGCTTTAGGATTTGGAATGAACATAATAAACTCTCATCAACACTCATCATGGCACCGGCGTTATCGAACTCACCACAGTAATTTGGTGCACTAAACAGGGTAACCAGTTGTCTTTTACTGAAGAATTCGTAACCATCTTCCACGACTTGATGTGCCCTACAGATCAGTTCCATATCTTGTTTCTGTAAGAATCTATTCACGACGTCCGGACCGAAAGTAAATGAGACACCTCTATCGTTTTCACTCCAACCTACAATATCCTTATCTGGATCTGACCACAATAAATCACATAGCAAGCCGACATCTGGGATATCGGTTGGTCTCATTACTCTTCTGATCTGTTCCATGCTGTTCAAGTCTGGGGATAGACCACCGTGCATACAGAAGATCTTCTCGTCGATAATGGCTGCAATAGGCAAACAGTTGAAACAGTCTGTGAATGTCTTCCACAACTTGATGTTATAACGTCTCTTACACTCATCGTAAAAACCGTAGATTCTATTAATGGATGCACACTCGTGGTTACCTCTCAAGATGAAGAAGTTCTCTGGGTATTTGATCTTGTATGCCAGCAATAAACATATGGTCTCAAGTGATTGCTTACCACGGTCGACATAGTCACCTAGAAACAAGTAGTTGGACTCAGGTGGGAACCCACCATACTCAAACAGACGAAGTAGATCATAGTACTGCCCGTGGATATCACCACAGATCTTGATAGGAGCCTCTAGCTCCAGCAGAATCGGCTGCTTGATGAATATAGACCGCGCCTTCGAGCACAGATGTCTGATCTCATGCTCCTCAAGATCAACTTGCTGCCCAGGCTTAGAACCCCTCACTTCCAACAACCTATCAATAATACTATCCACATCAACTTGCTGGGATTCCATTATTTTTATATTTCTTGTATTTCTATTCTATTTTCTTATCTTCCTGCGTAAGTCTCTCCTTCTAAATTTCAGATCCTGTGCTTGTTATTTCCTCCTTTTTTTTTTCAAAATTCCTAGTTAGTTGGCTCAGTCCTATGTACGTTTCTTTTGCGTTTCAGTTCCCAGTGCTCGTAGCCCAGCGTATTCCTCGTTAGCGTACTTCTGTTACTCCTTAAAGAACCACGTTCGGCGTCTACCAAAGACACAATCCTAGCCCAGTTTTATACCAAAGTTTGTTTCCAATAATCCCCCCCCCCTCTAGAAAGGAAAAAACTTCCAGTTTCGCCAGAAAGCAGGAAAAAAATTCGAAAAAATCGCCACTATCAACGAGTATCGTGTACTACGACAAATATAAGACTGATTTGATAAAATAGATTTCTATGGCCTTTTCCCATGCTTCTTGTAGCATTCAAAACAGGCTCCCGACTTCGTTTCCTTTATGCAGCGAGTTTTGTCCATTGTCGTGATGCATTTGTTACACGTTTGCCATATTGTCTCTGCATGAGACAGGGCGGTTCCATGAAAAGTAAACAACCACCCACTGAAGAACATACCCCGTGAAATGTGATATTGTGTGAGTGTGGTAAACAAAAAAAATAGAAATAAGCCCTGTAGGGGGCTCGAACCCCTAACCTTATGATTAAGAGTCATACGCGCTACCGATTGCGCCAACAAGGCTTATTAAATTGCGTTGATTCTTGGTTAGGGGTAGTGGGGTATGTCAAGTCAAGTTTTAGGTGCCCCCTCCCACTCTACTGCGGCGTTAAGCGTGATATAACAATGCTATAAATCATTCATAAGCATAGAATCATATCCAATGGAGCCTTGTAAAACTAGTCTATTATAATGTATTTCAGTTTATGTAGACTACATGCTAGTCCAGTTCACCGTTCAGGTACTTCTGGTACAGAGACCACGTAGGACCCTTCTCTGGGTTCCGTATGTATATGAACTTGACTCCGTGACGTTCGACGTCTCTGTTTCGGGACTCGTCATCGAATAGACATATCCTGTACTTCTTTAGCTCAGTGGATCCGTAGATCTCTTTCATACCGTCCTGAATGTGGCCCACTTTGCTACGCTCACCCCACTTCAACGAGTCAAACATCTCATGCAAGGTCACTAGCTTGCCATGGTATCTGATCTTGAAACCCTTGAGTAACTCCTGCGCTACCTCGGGTGCCCAAGTTCTCGATGCACTGATCAATTTGACGCCGTGGTCCTTCAGATCGGTGAATATCCGTGGGATGTCCGGAAAGAAAGTAACTTCAAACCCGTGACGATCAACCAAAGTATGCACTTCGCCATTGTCATTGACCACTGGCTTGAACGGGGAGAACACATGCGAGTCACAGTAACATGGCCACACTGTGTAATCGAGATCAAATACTGCAACTTCAGGATACGACATCTTTATCCAATTAGTCCCCAATGCTTCTAAAAATCACACAAAAAAAAAAGAACAGCACTTAAATGTTCCACCCAATGAGTTGAAATTGTGGTATTTGAGCTGGTTATATACCTCTATCTTAATACATTTGCTCCTTAAAACGGTATCTACAGCAGTACCTCTCTCGCCTCTCAGCTATCAATCTTTCTTTTTTTTTCAACTGCAGAAATAGCATCGATGACTTCAATTATTCTGAAATTATATTTGAACATACCGGTTTATGTCCCTCTCACATATGCCAGAGCCGGCCGCCTCTGGGTTACATACATGGCTATACTTAGAATTCTATATATCCCATGCTCTAGTGTTTCGATTTGCTGAAGAAGGTGACTATGTCCTCTTCTTTCACTGTCTGGCCGGCCTCAGCGAACGGTGCCAGGAATGAGTTCAGCTTGTCCTTCAAAGAGTGGAACGCTGTCAGCCCTTCCACAGCAGTGTGCCTATCCATTGCATTCTGGATTATCTGTCGAGTTAGAGCTTCAATCGACAGTGTCTCTTCCTTCTCTTCCGGTGGCTCGTACACGGGCTCGTCCTTGATCAGATGTGGCGCTAAATCGGTCAAGAAAATGCGAATCTTGGAATCCGCTTCGGATGACTTTAGTATCTTCTTGAAAGCACTCTCGTGGTCCTTTTTAAGGAACAAAGAGTAGTCCTCGGATCCCTCATCGTGCTTTCTTTTGCCGTCGTCTGTCTCCTTGACCTCCGAGCACTGACGATATAATTGCTTCGCTATAACTGTCTCTGACAGAGGATGCGATAAAAGTCTCTTGAAATATTGTTCATATTTACTAGTACACTTCCAGCACACAAAAGCATCAAAAGTTTCTAGATCAGGCATGCCAGCTAGCGGATCTTCCAACTCGTCGTCATTCTCAGCATCAGGCTGTTTCCTCGCACGTAGTTCATCAGCTTCCTCCTTGGTTTTACCTAGTATACAGTAGTCATGAAACCAGTCCTCACCACATTCGGTGCCCAGCACACATTGTAGCATTACTGCTGGATTCTCCGGATCATACTCTGTTGAACATCCACAGAAAAGTCCCTTAAAATTTTGACGATACTCATTGCTGTCAGAGGATATATCCTTCGATCTATTCTTTCTTAGTTGACAGTGAATACCATCCTCATCTGCAGGTTTTGTATCCCTCTCAGTCCCACAGTCACAAGTGAAATGTCTCTTGGTAAACAGCTCTACTATGTCACAAGATGTATGGCATAGAATGGAGCATGAGTAACATATTCCAATCTGGTTATGGGAACGGCACGCAAACACAGGTTGTCTTATCGATCCCAACTCATATGTACACTGCTTAGGTTCCCAAGGCATCAGCTCTCTAGCTTCATCCTCTAATTGTTTTTGTTGATTAACAAAATCTGATGCGCTGATCTCCTCTGTTTGACCCTGTCCTTCACTGCTCATTGTAATTTTGCTGTAGTTCTTACAAGTGGTATTAAGGGTCCCTCGAATTCACTTCTACATACGAGCTTCCATCAGATTCATATATGCTACCTCATCGATGCGATGCTGTTGTAGTAGTGAACTGAGGCCTACTTCACGCGTTACCTCAGTGCCACACCGTGAATAAGGATGAATTATGGTGATTACTATTATGATGCGTTTTAGACTTGCTAATATACAGTGTAAAGTGCTATTCTATTACATTTTAAATATGAGATTCAAGAAATTCATTAAGCTTCAACAGCTGGTTCAGTGGATTCCTTCTCTGATTCTTTTTCTGAATCCTGTTCAGACTTCTTTTCAGCAGCATTCTTTTGGGCTTGAGCCTTTGGATTATCCTTTGCAGTAGTTTCAATACCGAAGACTCTATATAGAAGTTCGTGCGTGTCCTCCTTACAGACCATCAAGTTGACGTTTCTGTTACCCTTCCATAGTGGCAAGAATAGGTTTTCCTTGTTTTCATCATCTCTGATAACTTCGATAAAGGCACAACCGGAGCTGATCTCCTTCATCTTCTCGACAAAATCGTCATCAATATGTTCATTTTGAATCATTTCAAAAGATGGGAAAGAGTCTACTAACAATAACTTCAAAAGCTCAGGTTTTACCTTAACAATTCTGTCTGATTGCATGTGGTGCTTGACAATTGGTAGAGACTCACTTTGAATTCTCCAAGAGCACTCTATATCACTTCTCTGAGATACAAACAGTTTCACACCAGAGTAAATAATCTTCAGTCTGTCCTCGTTCCTTTGAATAATGTTCTTTAGAGCTGAGCAAACGGTGTAAACAACTCTGGTTGGTTCACCAGTGGCATTTCTAACTAAGCATGCAGTTTTGTCAAACTTATCATCAATACCATAGAACTTCCAGCAAGTCTGTAGGGCAGCATGGTTAGGGTCAATGAAAACAAATGGCTCTTCATTTGCATCTCTTGGTAGCTTCTCTTTCTTGACTGGAGCTTGAGTATCAAGCTTGACCTTCTTTTGTTGTGGCTCTTCAACTTCTTCTTCTTCCTCAACAACCTTTTCAAAGACTGTGATAAAGAAACCACCGGTGTTTTGTTGGTGAGGATAAACTCTCATACATCTCTCTAGGTGGAACTTGGATACTTCCTCTTCAGAAGGTGGGAACCAACTGTTGATCATGCCTTCGTCTTCCTTCTTTCTCTCTTCCATGTTTCTGTCGATAACTGGCCATTGAGTGATACCTTGAGATCTGATAAGGCCTGGCAACTTTTCGCTACAGTCAACTAGTCTGACTTTGTCACCCCATCTTCTTAGAGCCTCAGCGACAACAGCTTCATTTTCAATTGGGTTCATTGAACATGTGGAGTAGACTAATCTACCGTTATTTTGCAGCAAGTGCAAACCTCTGTCTAGAATGTTCAATTGAACAGTGTGTAGGCCTAAAGCACCTTGAGTATTCCAGTCCTTCCAGACATTGACATTTTTTCTCATAGTACCGTCACCAGAACATGGGACATCACAAAGGATTCTGTCGAACTTCAATTGGGCCTTCTTCTTGGATGGTTCATCAGACAATATGATACGTGGGAAGAATTGAGCATCATGGTTCACAACCATAAGGTTAGCACTGTTCAGTCTCTTCAATTGGTGGACCAACATGTGAGATCTACGAGAGTCAGCATCGTTGGCGACCACGAAACCAGTTGGCTCGTCGGTGTCCTTGTGCAATGCTTCAATCATTTGCGTGGTCTTAGAACCTGGAGCAGCACACATATCCAGCACAGTATGGTGTGGTTCGACCTCTAACACGATTGGAGGAATCATCGAGACAGCTTCCTGTCTTGAGATGTTACCGACAGCGTTCTCGACCACTAGGAACCTCTGGGTCTTTGCAAACTGTTCATTCTTTCTGATAACCGTCTTTGGGACGTCTAGTTGCCAGGCGTACTCGTTAGGATACCATGGAAGGGACTTTGGGGCCTGGATCTTGTTGCCTTCGAACTCAACATCGGTCAAGTTTGGCAGGTGTCTAGTCTTGAACAAGCTCAGCACTTCGTCAGCGTGCTTTCTGGAGCCAGTGACTCTGAAAGTTAGCGGCAAAGGCGACTGGCAGGTGGTCTTGAACTCGTCCCACTGTTCAGCTGGGAACAATTGCAAAAGCTTGTAGTAGCTCTCCCACTTGGCGTTCTCTCTGACTAGCTCGTTCCAGCCCTTGCGAGCATTGGTGTCGTCGCGGGCACCGAACGTCTTCTTCTTGTTGTAGTTCCTTCTCCTGGCCATGGCGTCGTGTGTCTATGTCCGTGTATTAGTACTGTGCTTGCTGTACAGCCAGGGACTTTGCGCTTCTTATATGTTGGTCTCGATGAGATGCGATGAGCTCATCGCAAGAAAATTTTTCAAAAAAGAAGGACTGCTGATCCGGAAACAATGTTGCACGGGCGAGTCTAAGGAAGGTATAGCATTAGCATTAGCATTAGCATTAGCATTAGAATAATATACAAATGGTAGGGGGGAGCCCTAGTCTATACAGTCAGGTTATATATCCGTTGGGTTCAGTCTGTAGTCTATGTGCTTGGCGACAGCGTCCGCACTGTCCCCGCTCAGGTACTCCTCGACCCACTGCTCAATCAGCAGCCCCAGCGTGATCATGCTGGTCTCGTCGAACCTGTTCATCAGCTGCGGGTACTTCGCCAGAATCAGCTGCGTCGCGTAGTAGTGCACCACCCGCAGGTCTATGCGCGGCACCACGTCCCCGGAGAACACACCGGCGGCTCTGTCCCCGCGGCTCAGCAGCTCGAGCTCCTGCCGGGTCTTGAGAGGGATCGGCACGCAGTTGCCGATCCTATCCGCAAGCACTTCATCGGCACTGACAGCCTTGCCGTGCTCTAAAATAAGATCGCTGCAGGCGTCATACACAGTATGATCCATCTTTGGTATACATCAGTAGCAAGATATGGGACATCTATTGAACAGTTGCAAAAAAAAATTGTGGTCTTGATAATCCCAAAGCCCATTGAAGGGCAGGATAATGCCACCGCGACTGCAGGTAGGTAACCACGGGACCAGTGCCATCCCGACCGCCTCCATCACGGGTCACCTTTGCCATCGCTGGATGAAACTCCCCTAACGGCGGTGAAGGTGGGCCCCCCTCCTAGGGAGGGTAGACCGTAGCTACGTTGCCGGCCCTAGAGGACACTGGATTACTCACAGCGCCAGCAGGGGCCACGAACGCCCGCAAGGATCGATTGGTTGGATGAACCGAGACACGTCCCTGGGTGGCTCGCCTTCCCCACAGGGGGGAGACGACTGCAGTTCACGGGAAGTCACGGTGCAGGAACAGGCTGGGCGAGCCCAGCTTGCTCCTTTGCCCCCACCGAAACGGTGTAATAATTAAAGGCGTGCCTCCGCGTCTGGCCGTAGGGTTCGAACCCAGACCAAAATTCCCAAGGAGAACAATTCCACTAAATAGCCATTACAGCCTAATTTAACTCGTGATTGAAACTTGTAGTAGTGTCTGGGTATGTATCTTCGTACGTCCCGCATAACTAAAATCAAAAGCTTTCTATAATAACTGTGCTATATTACAATGAATGCACTGTATTAAAAAGAGAGACGCTCAGCCGAATAGACACTGCTACGCAAATGATATGGGCAAGAATGAGCTAGAGGAGGATGTTAGGAAGCTGTCGGAGGCTATGGACCAGATAGCCAAGCTGGTTATAGCCACAGGTGTAGTGAAGAAGCCACAGGACGGATCACAGGAACCGCAGGGACCTCAGGTGCAACCGCAGATGCAAACACCTAAGAAGAAGAAGAAAAAGAAGAATAAGATACATTGCTCTTATTGTAATGAGGTAGGGCACACTAGGGCTAGGTGTCCCAAGAAACTGGGGTTGATAGATATATGAACAGGCTCTTGATGTATCTTAGGAAACAACAACTTTTCAAATGTATAGAGAGACACTACGTATACTTTAAATATGAAAGAAAAAAAAAGATGGCATTTCATTCTTCTGCTCTTTTCTTTAGGACTAATGGGTGACCAGTCACTCTTAAGTATATGTCCTTAACGTCGTCGGTCATGGACTCGAAATGAGAAGAAGCGTCGTATGATCTGGACAGGAAGATGTTGTCCTTGGATCCATCGTCCTTTGGTTCGAATAGCTCGGCAATGCCCATGAACTTCTCCTCAATAGGGCCCAACAGCTTGAAAGCTGGCTCCAATTCTATGTGTGGCTTGTCAGTCTCGATTATAGTGGAGATGATGGCCAAGTAATGACCCTTGGAACAGACTTGGTGTGCATCAGAGACGACGGCAATGTATATATCGTTCTTTCTACCGACTTGACTTTGTGGGACAATGATCTGTAAAGAGTCAGCATTGCCTGTACCAGGGACTGGGTGGTTTAGTATGCAAATTGCCCTGATCACTCTTTGACCAGTAGACTTGCATCTGTCAGGGAAATAGGTTGGATCAGCAATCACTAATGGAGCCTTGAACTCACCTAGCTTGGTCTTGACACCGGCAAACTTCTTATCTGTGTCGCTGTATAGCACTTCCTCGATAGGTGTGTCTAGCATGTACGTACCACCGTAGATAGCGGATAAACGTGCAAACCCTTGTGGTAGTTCACCTAAACCGTACATAGGGTACAGGTATGGCGACTTACCGTAACGGGCCACACTTTGGCAGTACAGAAGGATTCTTTCGTAACTTGGTCTTGCTGGTTGTTGTAGATAGTCGTCATTGGTCCATAGAGCCATGGCGTGACCAATGAATTCTTTTGTCGAGTTACCTAGACCGAACTTATAGTACACTTCATCCATAGTGTTCTTGTCTAGATCCAAACCTTGGTGAGTGCTGTTGTCATCCTCCTTGTATGAGCTAATCCATTCCAAGAACTTCTTCATTCTACGTTTCTCAAAGATACCCATCAATGGCGATGAGATTGCCTCTACTTCATTGGCAGGCACTTTGTAGATTTTACCTTGCTTGAACACATAGGAGCCAGAAACTTGCTTGAAATCAACATATCTAGTAACATCAGTGTGTACCAGTATGTTAGTCAATTCACCATTGGCCATCAAAAATTTGGGGATCAGATCAACATTCCAGTCCCTATCCTTACCAAACTTAGCCTCACGGTCCTCCTTAGATAATGGATTCTGCTTAAACTTGCTGTACAGTTGAGAAAGAGTGATAGAGGCAGCTTCACCACCATAGTGGTCTTGCTTGTCTATGTGCAACACTTTCTTTCCTTCAACAGACAAGAGACCAGACAGTATACACTCTGTGATACCTGTCCCTAGGACAATGACGTCGTAATCTCTATCAATGGTTTCTTGATCCATGCTTTATCTTTGCTTTTCAATCTAATAATTCTTTGGTATGCTTGACCAATTCAGTGACCTAATGCAAAAGAGATCAAAGGACGTTCTTATACAGTCCCCTCGAACTTCATCTGCACCATTATGTTCCTTTGTTCTTTCGCTTGTCGTATCCCTGCCCTCCACTTTCTGCCCAACTTTTTTTTTCCCTAGCAGTTACCCGTAATACCATGATAAAGAGATCAATGTTGGTGAAAGACAAATTGTATTTATTGAGTGTTAATGAAGAGGTTATCATATGGTCATATGTACATGGATATGTAGAAGAAAATTCAAGGTATTTTTTGGTACTACTTATGTATTCAATTTGTGGCTGTACGTGTCAAGATTTAATTAATAAGAAGCTGAAGGGGAGACTAAAAACACAAACCTAAATTATTATTTTTTGTTTTTTTTCCTTTATTCTATGGGATATTGTTTACATTGGTAATATGTTGGTTGTATTTTTTAGAATAGCATCTAATAATGTATACCTGAATCTTGACAATATATAAAAATGTTGAATTTACCGAAATTTAAGTTTTGGGAGTGGATCCATGCATAGCGAAACTGTAATGCAAACTACAATTACGTAAACAGAGTATTGGTCTCTTTATACCGATATTATTACAACAGTATATGATACAAAACTTCACAATATATCTACATATATGTTGTTATTCCTTCAAATAAGTTAGGTCTCTATACGCCACTTATGCTCTTTCTCCTTACTGTTTGCTCCGAGGCACATTCCACAATCTCCGTAAATCCCTATTTCCTAAAGTGCTGATGAGTGACAAATCGACTTCTTGCAGTATAAAAAGTGCTGTCAATCATAGCGAACCCTGATTTTTGAATTCTCAGGCACTTTTATAGATTGCACAGTACTGATCGATCACACTATCGGATGTCCGCTGAACAATACTACGGGAACCAGTACGCCCAGAACCAGTACGTGCACACTAGAGACCAGTACTACTCTGCTCCGCAATACCAACAACCACAGTACTACCAGCCACCACCACAAGGGTATGCACCACAAGGGCAGTATTATCAGGCACAACCACCGCCATACTACCAACCCCCACCACAAGTACGACAACAGCAACCTATCTATGTGCAGCAAGCTCCACCACAGAACGGTAACGAAGATTGTTTGATGGCATGTCTTGCAGCCATGTGTATCTGTCTGACACTTGATCTACTAATATGAAAACTGTGTCAAACAGGCCTTAGCTAAGAAAGTTAAATTATATATCCTTGTGCATCTATTGTTGATTACTTACATAAAAATTCTCAATATAGTCATTAACAATATTTTACTTCCTATTTAACAGAAATTGGATTTGTTTAATTGCTATATCATCACGTTATTAAATTGTTGTCGTGGACACTCCCCCCTCATGCTAACAAAATATTTCATTAGAAATATACTTCTCTCATCTTACCCTTAGAGCGTATCTGATATTTACAGTTATCTGCTGGACAAACCTTGGGAGCAAAATTATCAGGATGAGACGCACCAAGCTTAACATTTAACGACTTGCCAGCTTTCGTCTTCATCAATGACCTTGCATTCAAGTACCTCCTCCAACATCTGCCACAAAATAGGTGGCCGCAATTAGAGACATAAGTTCGCTTTGACAAATCCCGATCCAGCTCACTAGGCTTACCTAAACTCTGGTATGGACATCTGGACCCATACTTATCCATTAACTCTGCAAAACTCAATGCAAAATCTTCCTTAGATATCCCAGTAAACTCCTCAGGTATCCCGATTCCTAACTCAACTCCACATAAATTGCATACTATCATATCCTCATCGTCGTCATTATTGCTGTTGTCCTCATCATCATTCTCTCTAATAACCTCAGGCGTCGCAAAGGAGGCGCTGTACCCCGGTGGTAACTGCTTAGCTTCCTCGTAAAACTTCTTTTTCTGAGACTCACTTTTCCTAGTATACTCCTTTACCCGTTTGTCCCTCTCAGATTCTTCTCGTTGCTGTATAATATCAATGATACTCTGAGTCTGAGCTTCTTCATCGTCTTCGGAACCTGTTATGGGGGTGCCGTAAACATGATTGTGCATATAAGATGCCATACTCTGCGGAAGCACCGGAAAATTTATGTAACCATTAACCAAATCAGAACCCGATAGACCAGCTAGTTGTCCCAATGCCGCACTTATACGACTCTCTGTCATCGCTCTTGTTCGCCTTCTTGCAGCATTCCTAGCCCTCGCTATTGCCCAATCATTAATCAAAGCAGAACTAGGACGTGAAGGGTAATTTGACGCTGAACTCTGATAGCCACTAGACAGGTCAGGAGTTTCCCATTCATCATCTTGGCTGTCATCAGACTCCGGTACAAACATACCATCATTTCTAACAGGTCTGTAGTTTCGCTGTACTCGTTGATTCTGACGCTCTGCAGGAACTGTTCGCAAGTATCGAAGCTGGTTATTCCTCATCAATCTCTCGAAAGAGCTGCGTACTGGCGCCTCACCGTTTGCAGCGTTAACTATGATCCTCCTGCCACCGGGCAAGTTCAGAGGCACTAGACCATCCGCTAATCGTTCTTCCAGCAGTGTAACTGCATCTTCATCATTATCGCCTGCATTAGGCACTAAATTCCCACCCAGAAATTCTATATCATCACTCGCATCGTGGTGGGCAGCTTCATCATCAAGGTTAATATACGCAACGGGCGTACTTATTTGCCTTCTCGGTACTCTGATATTAGACTGACGAAGTAAAGTCAACTCATCATCATCACCGCCTTCGTCTGCATTAACTGAAGTAACCTCAACAGGCGCACCGCTATTATCCTCCTCGTCCACCACTATGGCAGGCAACGGCCTCACACCCTCATGCTCACTATTAGCGGGCTCCTCGTTATCGCTGTCTAACACTATGACAGGATCTTCCTCACCATCCCGTTTCATCCTTTTCCACAATACAGTATCTATCAAGAAATCAGTAACCTATACACTATTGTCCATCTGATCAACTCTTTTGATCCCCGAAGCAATCCCAGCAATGATGCCTTTTCTCTGTCTCCTCTGGGGCTAACACAAACTTGCTAATAGACAGTTCAACAGTACCTTCCTGCAACGGCGCAAACTATGTGGACTTGTAGGTTTGCCACTTAGAAGCAATAAATATTAGTTCCAACAGAGTGTGAATATGCTTGTTTTTAGGTCCATCGGAGGTCAATTTTCCAAAAGGCCGTTCTGCAGCTAATTTTTCTCCGGCTAACCTGACAAAACCCGCAGGACCGATCGGGGTAATACCAAGGCATTATAATGGTAAGTCTCTCTAATGAAGGCAATATACAGTTAGGAACACTGGGAGTAATTAGATATAATAATTCTTAATAAGATCTATTTTACAAAATATCGTACTGATAATAATATGTTAGATATAAAAAAAGGATGTGGGGGGAAATGTCTAGGAACAAGTTTATGCTAGTAAGCTTTATTCATTTCGAGTAGAGTCCTGTTTGACATAAAGAGAAAAAAAAGTTTCCAAATGTGCAAATTTCTATGCAGTTATTTTTATTTTGATGTGAAAGCTTCAATTGAGATCAGATTGATGACATCGATTCACTTGTGCGATTGGTCCATTCAGGTGCGCATTGCAGGCAGAGAGGATAATGCCAAATCGAACATACTAGCTTTTCTTCTTGAGGAAATATGTAAAACCAAAAAATAAAATGGATATGATAAGTGGGTTTTTAAGAAAGAGGTGATAGTGGAATAAGTAAGAAAAAAAAATAAAGACGGGATGTCCGATCATTATTTCTTCAAACCGCTTCTCATGTATCTACCAATGACGATACAATGGTCTCTTTCGTAAGGTTCTAGAGTCAATTGTTCCAATGGCTTGATCTTTTCTTCACGAAGCTTTTGGACTTCTCTGGCGAACACGGTTTCAGCGTCAACAGTGGAGTCGATACAGTTAGCCTTGATGGAGATGACGACACCACCTTGGTCCTTCAAGAACATGTGGGAGTTCAAGGCGATGATACGGGCTTGATCTGGTTGGGCGACATCCGCGAAGACGGCGTCGACCATACCGACCAGCATTCTGTATTTCTGTGGATGTCTGGCATCTTCTATGATTGGGATGACGTTTGGTCTCTTCTTGGCCATGGAGATCAATTCTCTACCTGGTCTGTGGGAAAACTCGACAGCGTAGACGACACCTTCTGGGCCGACGACATCGGAGACGTGGGAAACGGAAGTACCGGAAGCAGCACCTAGATATAGAACCTTCTTACCTGGGGCGATGAACAGCTCGTCTAGACCACCCATGATACCAGCGGCCAACTTAGATCTGAATGGGTTCCAAACACGGTACTCGACCTTGGTTGGTGGGACACCGTCCTCCTTGGATGGCTCCTCAACGGAGACTCTCTTTTCACCGTAGACGGACTCACCTGGAGCCATGTTCTTGGTAACCAAAAGATCTTCCTTACCTCTGGCAATGTAGACACCGTCGTGCTTGTGTGGCTCAATAACAACCTTGGCACCACCTTTAGCACCTCCACGAGCACCTCCACGGGCACCACCTCTTGGACCACCGCGGGAACCGCCTCTTGGACCACCACGGGAACCACCACGGCCACCGAAGCCACCACGAGAACCACCACGGGAACCACCACGGCCGCCGAAGCCACCACGGGAGCCACCACGGCCACCGAAGCCACCACGGGAACCACCTCTGCCACCACGGGCACCACCTCTAGATCCTGGTCTGAATGACATAATGTATATAAGTTAACTTGTCTGTTTGGTAACGATTTGTCAAGTTTTCTTGTATAATGGTTCTTATAGCAGGGGACAATAGAACTGAGCTAAAGAACTACTACCAGTAATATATATAGCATGAAAAATTTTCGAAGCTCATCTCATCGCAAAGTAAATGAAATTTTCGCAGAAAAAAAAAAAAAATTTTTTTGGAAATTTTTCAGAATCGTGTGCCTATGTACGTGGAAACCATGTGTACACGTTCAGAGGGATATCCAATTTCCTGGGCAATAAGCATTCGGGGAGGAATTCTTTCCCAGGGATAAACAATACGCCATATAAGTGGTGGCTAGTACTTGGCACTTCGGATACACTGGGAGGTTTTACTGTACAAGGCTGGAAAACAAAGGATAAAAAGGTAAAAGAATGCTGGTTACTATTAAGCCACGGTCGAAGGTCCTCAAGGAGACGAAGGTTAATCTTTCTGAGAGCTCTACTCTGGAGCAAGTTTTGATTGAAGTCTCTAGAAACAACCGGAACATCAGCAAGAACAGGCTGAGATTGACCTATGCGAAGGAGAACAAGCAATTGCCCATCCTGGATGACAGCTACTTCAAAGGGCTGGACTCTGCGACCACTGAGTTGTACGTGAAGGACCTCGGTCCTCAAATCAGCTGGAGACTGGTGTTTGTGTGTGAGTACATCGGCCCCATCATTATCCACACTTTGCTTTACAGGCTGTCTCAGAACCAGTCTGTGATCAGCAAGTTCCACAACTCCAGCGTCCACAGAGACCCATTCTTGTACTCCCTCATTTACTGGCTGAACACCATCCATTACACCAAGAGAGTCCTCGAGTCCCTTTTCTTGCACAAGTTCTCCCAGGCCACCATGCCATTGTTCAACTTGTTCAAGAACTCCTCCCATTACTGGATTCTAAACGGCTCCATTACAGCATCTTACTTCGGTTACGGGTTCTTGATCGGTAACGACACTTTGCGTCCAGTATATGAGTTCCTGCACTTGGAGAAAGTTAATACTCTGGTGACTTTGTTCCTGATCAGCGAAGCCTGGAACTTTTACATCCACTTGAAGTTGCGTCTGTGGGGTGACTTGCAAAAGAAGCAAGGAAACACCACTAAACGTGTGCCATTGAATGAGGGTATCTTCAACGTCCTAGTGGCTCCAAACTACTCTTTTGAAGTCTGGAGTTGGATCTGGTTTGCATTCATCGCAAGATTGAACATCTTTGCTTTGATCTTCCTCGCAGTCTCCGCTACTCAAATGTACCTATGGGCCCAAAAGAAGAACAAGAAGTACAACACAAGAAGAGCCTTCTTGATTCCTTTCATATTCTGAGGTTTATGTAGCCTATATCTGAATACCAATTCATTTCACCTAAATATAAATACTTATCTGGTTGTAACAGTTTAACAAATTGATATACATTCCCTTATCATGTGTTCTACCTTTAAACTATATACTCCTTTATATAACAAGTATATCACAACAGAAATAACATGCAAAAATTAGTACAAACCAATATGAAATAAGTAAAATAACAAAAAATTATTATATATATGCAATATTGCTGGCCGTATCAGAACCAGCATCCTCCTTCCTCTCCATTCATGAATTAGCAAGCTTACGCAATTAGCATGACTTCCTCATCAGAACTTGCTGCTTCACTAGCTGTGTCAGACACATCTTCATCGGTTAACTCACCTTCTGTACTCTCTCCAGCACCAACGTTTAGTTCATTAAAGAATGCACTCCTCAATAACTCATCAGCTGAACTTCTCTTACTGGGATCCAACTTAAAACATTGTTCTAACACTTGGAAACACCAAAAATGGTCAGACCATATCTCCTTTTGATATTGTTTCAACTGCATCATCTTTTCGTTATCATTATCCTCTTCGATCTGTGATGGAAGATGTGGCTCTATCGAGTGGCCTTCTTCTATTTCATATTTTAAGTATGAATGTGTCTCAAAGGCTATACTGTACTCTGGAAACGTTCCGGCCTCACACTCTTTATCTAAGAGCTCGTAGACAAACTGTTTCAGCCCATGCTGGAATGGCTCTTCTCGCAGATTCTGAACACCAGCAACCTCAAAGCCCAGGCCATGGATTGCTGCACATTTTTTCATTGCTTTCCAACCAAACAAATTGCAGAGCTCCAACAAAGAATCAGTGTCGTCTAAACTTTGAAAGAGTGGGAATCTCCTGGATAATAAACTCAACAGAATTACACCTACTGACCATATATCTATCTTCGTCGTCTGCGCACCACATTTCATTAACACTTCAGGAGCACGGAACCCCCTAGTACCTGCTCTATTGGCTCTCTTAACTCTCCGCGTCTCATTCTTTGGATAGCCCTTTGTTAGATCAACCCCATTAGCGTTGCCCAATTGAACAACTTTACCATTCTGGATAGTAATAAGTGGGTGTGTGGCACTAGGTATAGTGGTATCCTTGGATTCTCTCATGATGCAAGGGCAAAAGAGTTCCTGGTTTCTATAATCCTTCATTGCAAATGCCGCGTCATCATCCTTTGCTGTTGGGAACGCCATCTCAGCTCCATGGGTAATGATATCACTTTGCATTTCAGCCAGACCAAAATCAACTAGCACACCTCTTCCGATCTCTGGGTTATATAAGAAGTTGGTTGGCTTGACGTCTCTGTGAATAATCCCTTTCGAGTGCACAAAACTTAGCGCCTGTAAGAGTTCCCACATATACATCTTGATACCCTTTATCGGAAGGTCTCGATAACAGTTCCGGAACTCCTCATGAGGGTAGTATGGAAGCACCGCCATTACCTGATCCCTGACCCGCATAGCATCACACAACGGCGCCACCCGTACACACCCAGTCAAAATATACAGCAAGTTCAGCTCGTTATAGATTCTCTGCGGCGACGACGTAACGTAGATCTTCTTCAGCGCAACATACTTCGAGTCCTTATACCAGAAGTGCGAGCCATACTTCCGCGTCACCTTCCCTTGTAGATCCTCAGCCTTGTACACACTAGAGAATGTACCTTCACCTATCTTGTCTATCAGCCTGTACTGATCCCGCAACGGCGGCACCTCCTCATAAACCTGCTCTATTTCCTGCTTGATCTCCTCAGGAATCTCATACTTGCCAACCATCGCTATCCGCTTGCCCCAGCTGCTCTTCCTGCAATCAAAAGTGGATTCCAAGCTACTTGGCACTAGTTTGGCTTTATAGTTCAAATCAATTTTTCATGACATTTTGACGCGTCGCGTGAGAAATTAAAGATTATTTGACAAACTTCCAATGAACTTTCTATTGAAAGTATAACTTCGAGCTGTAGTTTTGGGGGGGGGACCTTTTAGCTATCATTATCCCAAACCTAAGGTACTAGAAGAAGAGTCCAAGATGTTGGCTATTGCTGTTCTGTTTTTGTCCCTGGTCGGCGCGAGCCCATTGACATTTGAGTTGTTGAAAGGTGAGAGACAATGCTTCCACACGCTAACTACAAGAACAGACTGTTCTATTTCCTATTACTACGAGGTGCTCAGCGGTACTGGTAACGATCTGAATGTGCAGTATGAGATCTTTGAGCCAGGTAACCTACACGAGCCAATTGTGAACAGGAACAACGAGCACAAGGGCCACTGGTCGTTCCCTGCCAAGCACCGCGGTGAGTACACATTCTGCTTTTATGGTGGTAAAGCCCACGACAAGATCGTCGAGCTGGAAATCACTTCTGAGTGTGGCAATGTTGCTAGCGATGTTAGAAGCCAGAGAAGAAACTTCAGAAAGAATCAAAGAGGTATCGAGGACAAAGGTGAGAGCAAGCAATTGAAGACCAAGTTGGAAGACTCTATTGATAAGATCGAGAGACAGCTGTACTCCTTGGAGAACAGCTTGGGCTACTACAAGACCAGAAACGATAGAAACCACGCTACTGTCCGCTCCACCGAGAAGAGAATCACCGCCTTCTCCTTCTACGGTATCCTATTGATCATCGGTATGAGTCTGGGCCAAATTGCCGTCCTACAATGGGTCTTTAAGGAATCCAGAAAGCAAAAAGTATAATCTTTACAAGGTATAATTTACAAGTTACAATCGACAATGCACCTTCTTTGCCGGATCACTCACATTAACGACCATTATCTTCCATCCAGTTCAAGACTTTATATTATATAGTACATAGAGCATCTCTCTGATGAGAAAACAAATGAATAGATTTTGCATGAGATAATCTCAACATAGTTTGAAAAATGTGAAGGTAACAATCAGCACCATCAATAATGCCCGGTAACGGTCATTGTGCAATCGCAATGTCCACTCTGCGTTTTTTGTCTTGCTCATCGTCAACCCATTGTTTTGATCACTCGAGTTCCTGCTTAATTCAACGGAATTTTGGCAGTTGACTTCTTAAAAAGATTCTGTCCGATGAGTAATCGCCAGTCAAGTGGAAGCTGTGGACTTTTAAAATATCGCAAACATTGGACAACTCTGCTACTGAGATCTCTCTCTCATGGGTGTATATGTGTGTGAGTGCATCGGAATATTAGTTGCGGTTAAAACCTTAATTTGCCATGACCTTTAATAGGGTATATTCAAAGTACCTTTAAATTGAGATTTGAATTGCAATGAGACATATATATATATATAATTATTCACAATTGCACAAATGGCTCCATATGTTCCATGGGATTGTTCATGTTGTAGCTTTCCATATCCATCACCAAGCTTATTAAAATTACACTGTAAATAATGACTGTAGGCACCGAGGAAGAGTACAAGAACTTCCAGACATTGGAAAGGCTTCCTATACCTCCTCTAGAGGCCACCCTCAAGAGATACATTGACAGAACTGAACCACTGCTGGGTAGTGAAGAAGCACAGAAGACTAAAAAAGTAGTCTACTCAGAGAGTAACCTCGAGGTATTGAGCTATTTGCAGGATAAATTGTTAGAGTACGAAAACTGGCTCGCTACTTTTGAACCCCAGTCCTCATACATTGAACAATTCTGGTACAATGCCTATTTGATGTATGACTCTCCAGTGGTTCTTAACGTTAACCCATTCTTTGAGCTTGAAGATGACCCTACACTTGATTATTCGATGCGCACAGGTGTATTCCAGGAATACACATTGCAAATTAAAAGGGCATCCCGAGTGGTAACATCTGCATTGCGTTTTGCGAGTCAGATCAGGAATAATACATTAAAGCCAGATATTTTGCGGAATGATGTACCGCTGTCTATGGACCAGTACCAAAAGTTGTTTGGCTCGAGCCGGATCCCGCCAAAACCTAAGCAGCAGTCGTGCCATTTACAGACCGACTCTACGTCTCACCACATAGTTATCATGTACAAAGGTAGTTTCTACTGGTTTGATGTCCTGGATTGTCAGAATGAGCTCATATTTCAAAGCGCCGAAGAGATAGAGTGGAATTTGTACTCCATAATTATGGATAGAGAGAGGCTAAACAAGGAAAACCACAAAGGATTCTTGGAAATGGGTATTCTGACTACAGAGAGCAGAAGAACTTGGGCCAACATCCGTGAACACATACACAAGCAGGACTCTCGGCAAAATTGGCAGAATTTGAAGATTATAGACAGCGCTCTATTTGTCCTATGTCTTGATGACTACGAGTCACACCTGGATGATCCAAACTCTTTGTTAAAATTGTTTCTAACAGGCACATCTGAGATAGATTTCAATAGTCCTTTCGAGATTGATGAGTACGTGCATGCACCAAAAAACCTTCAGCGAGGAACATGCATCAACAGATGGTTTGACAAGTTACAGATCATAGTCACCAAATGCGGTAAAGCAGGTGTGAACTTTGAGCACACTGGTGTAGATGGCCATACAGTGCTGCGACTAGCGAATGAGATATACACTGATGCAATTACAAGCTTTGCACAGACAGTCACTTCAAGAACGCCGAGGACCTTGCCACAAGCAGACAGTAACCTGATAACAGTGCCTAGAAAGCTGGAGTGGCTGAAAGACGAGTATCTGTGCAGGGCGGTGCACTTTGCAGAAGTGAAATGTACAGACTTGATCTCCCAGTATGAGATAGAGAGTCTCGAGTTTGGAGGCTATGGTTCAGCGCGGATCAAGAGCGTTTTCAAGTGCTCACCAGATGCATTTGTACAGCAGATGTTCCAAGTAGCGTTCTATGCACTTTACGGTACATTTGAAACCATATATGAGCCCGCAATGACGAAGACCTTTCTTAATGGGCGGACTGAGGCTATACGACCAGTGACTCATGACTCGATCAAATTTGTCAAATCCGTGTTCAACCACAGGAGCACGGACACTGAGCGTATAGATCTTCTGCACAGAGCATGCCAGGAGCACACGCGCATCACGAGGGAGTGCTCCATGGGGATGGGCCAGGACAGACACCTCTATGCGTTGCAATGCATATGGCAGAAACTACAAGCTGAGACGCCAGACGACCCCATCACACACTCGACACCACCGATCTTCGAAGACAACGCATGGCACAAAATTAACAAGAACATCCTGAGCACTTCAAACTGCGGCAGTCCTGCACTGAAATGGTTTGGGTTCGGACCTGTGGACAAGGACGGGTTCGGCATTGGATACATTATCAAGGACAGCAAGATCAGTGTCACAGTGTCCTCGAGACACAGACAGACAGCACGGTTCATCACCATGCTGGACAGAGCACTTAACGAGCTGGACACCATATTCAACAGGGCACCAAAGACTATATAGTTTCAATACACCCGACCATTGTAAATAATATGATAATTTGTATATGTGATAACATCCGACATCGTATACGACTGCGTGAATATTTGCATCGGAGACTGCTGTGGGAAAAGGGGACTTCGCTCTTCCGAGAGCACGCTTACTGATGCTGAGCAAATCCCTTGGAAGGGGGAGAGCAAAAGTATATAAGAGAACCAATTGGCGTTTTGCGAAGGCATTCGGGGTCTCCACCAGGGCTAAACGCAGACGTTCGAGATGGCCACGCACGATGTTGGTGTTACTCTTCGCAAGAGTAGGGTGAGCAAGCCCATGCTGAAGTTGAAGCTTTTGCAAGCGATGACTGGTGGTTCTTTCAAGGAGTTGCATGATATGTTGCAGAAGGAGTTTGTTCCGTATGATGACCCTAGTGTCATGGAGGTTTCCACGCTATTGCTGCACTATGCGGTCCAGGTTGCTCCTATTGCGCTGATCAAGGAGATAGTCAGGGACTATGTTGTACGTGACCCGTTCCACTTGGGGTTGCATAAGACACCAGAAGGTGATATTACTGTGAATTTGAACATAAACTACAGGGACTATAACGGTAACACGCCGTTACATTTGGCTGCATCGCAGTCCAGGGTTGATGTTGTTAATTTCTTGATGGAGTTGCCTGACATTAACGATACAATTGTAAATAATGCAGGTCAGGAACCGATCGATATGTGTAAGACTCTGGATATTGTAGCTGCAATGCAGAACAAGAGAGACGAATATGTGTCTCAGGTTGCGCAGGATCTTAGAGATGCCTTTGACAGAAGAGATTTTGACAAGTTGGAACAAATTTGGAAAATACAGAGAAACGAGGAACTACTCGATATTAACGGACTTGATCCTACCTCAGGCGACACTGTACTACATGAATTCGTTAAGAAGAAAGATGTACAGATGTGCAAATGGCTAGTTGACCATGGGGCAGATCCACTACGGAGAAACGCAAAGGCTCTGTTACCAATTGACTTGCTTGGCCCTACCTCACCAAGTAAACACCAGGGCTCTTCCTCTGAATTAAGAAACTACATAGAGACAGTCACAAGAGACAGAAATGTCGTCAACGTCTCAGAGACCGATCATCAAACCCATGCCCCAACTTACAAAGGCCAATTGAAAAAATGGACTAACATAGCGAAGGGTTTCCAGACACGATGGTTTGTGCTCTCTGAAGATGGATATTTAAGATATTACAAGAACAGGCCAAAGGAAGGCAGTTCTCCTCGTGATAAAGTTCATTTATCTAAATGTCGTCTTTTCTCCAATAGCCATGAAAAGGTCAAATTTGAGCTATTGATTGGCGACCAGGGTAGATGGAGACTAAAAGGTACTAATCCAGCTGAGGCAAAGAAATGGATTGCCGCTATCCAAGCAGGTATAAGTTACGCAAATGCAAAACACTCACAGAAACAACCTTCCAATAGATCCGTTATTTCGGGTAGCGCCAATGAAGGCCAATCCAGAAGTGCTCCATCTCTACAACCTGCTAAACCAAATAGAAGTCGTGCCAATAGTTCTACGTCTCAAAGGATTAGCCAAGTTCAAAAGGGATTGAAACCCCCTGTCTTAGGAATTTCAACTGATCATAGCAACTATGGCAGTAACGCTAGTGATGCAGAAAGTGTTGTTGGTAGCTTGAATATCAACACTAACAGACTGCGTCGTGACATGTCTCCGTTGACCCCAATGTCTAACTCTCTGAATTCTCCAATTTTGAAAGACGAAAGTTTTAACAGTCCAACCTTAGAGTCGCTATTAGGTAAGGATAAACTGAATGCCATTGATCCATATGCCAAAGATTCGGACGAAGACATTGATGAGATATTAGTGAAGCCCATAGATCCTGATGAAGAATACTTGAAAACGCAATATGGTCCATTTATTGAGAACCTTAATGTATATAAGAAGACAATATCTATGCAATTGGCATCTGTGTTGGAAGTATTAGACACCGCTGACATTTCCTCTTCCGACCTGTCGACTTTGAGAGGGACTATCCAAAATACTGTGGACACATTCAACAACTTGGCCAAGTTGGGTGCTGAGAGAGACAGAAAGTTAGTTCAAATAATCACTAAGCATAGAGATGTCAACAATGTATGGATTGACTCCGTCAAGGAGCTGGAACTAGAATTAAACAAGAAAGAAGACCTGTTAGAAGCATTAACAAAGGAGCGTAGACACTTAAGAAAGGAATTAAACCAAGAGCTACAAGAAACCGCTGATCAGGACAATAAGATGATTAAAAGAGCTTCTACTGTAATTTCCAGGTTCCTAAATGTAACCAAATCTGTTGTTGAGGATGGCAACGGTGACGAGTTCTATGACGCAGAAGAGTTGATAGACGAAATTGGTTCCATTCCAGATACCACCCCGGGCGAGATGTCTGAGGCTAAAGAAATGCGTGAGCAAATAAAAACCATGGTTCCAGAACAACCCGCTGAAAGCAAGGTCGAACATGAAGAAACATCTGAAAAGAAAGAGGTAGAACAGGCTGAAACTAAGCCAGCTCTTGAACAGAAAGCTATCAGCAAAGAGCAAGAAAAGATGGAAGCGATCAAAGAGCAAACATCCAAACCAACCGACGAAGAGAGTACTTTGCGAGAGACTGCGACTTCTACCGCTAGTGTCAAAGGTGAATCGAACGAAATAGAGCTGCAAAGAAAGCTGTTTGCCAGCTCGAAGATGAAATCCCAAACTGAGTCTCAGAAAGCGAAGGAGAAATTGTTGTTGGAGGAAGGTTCATTCTTTGGTTATGATGAAGGTGTGAGAAAGAGATTGAAGCTGGATGAAGATGATAGGCCTAAGATCAGTCTGTGGGGTGTGCTTAAGTCCATGGTCGGTAAGGATATGACCAAGATGACATTGCCTGTGGCGTTCAATGAACCAACGTCTTTGCTGCAGCGTGTTGCCGAAGATTTAGAGTACTCCGAATTGCTGGACAAAGCTGTGCAATTTGAGGACTCTACGCTAAGATTACTGTATGTGTCCATCTTTACTGCGTCCGCGTATGCGTCTACGACCAAGAGAGTTGCGAAGCCCTTCAATCCGCTGCTTGGTGAGACATTTGAGTACGCCAGACCGGACAAGCAGTACAGGTTTTTCGCGGAGCAAGTCTCTCACCACCCACCTATCTCTGCCACGTACACCGAGTCCCCCCGCTGGGATTTCTGGGGTGAGTCATACGTCGACACGCACTTCAACGGTAGACAGTTCAACGTCAAGCACCTGGGGCTGTGGTACATCAACCTGCTACCGAACAGCACTGACCGCAAGGAGCTGTACACGTTCAAGAAGCCCAACAACAACGTCATCGGTATCCTGGTGGGCAACCCGCAAGTGGACAACTACGGTGAGGTGGTGATCACCAACCACACCACGGGCGACTACTGTAAGCTGTACTTCAAGGCGCGCGGCTGGCGTTCGTCGAGCGCGTACGAGGTGAAAGGTGAAGTGTTCGACAAGGACAACAAGAAGCACTGGGTGCTGGGCGGCCACTGGCACGACTCCATCTACGCCAAGCACGTCAACGGCAAGGACAAGGACGAGATAGCGCTGGACCACAAGAAGACGCACACCGCGACGGAGCCCACCCGCGACGGCAGCAAGTTCCTGGTGTGGAAGGTGAACCCTCGACCAGACGCTCCTTTCCACTTGACCCCATTTGCCATCACCCTGAACGCCCCACAGAAACACCTGATCCCATGGCTCGCACCCACGGACACCAGACTGAGACCCGACCAGCGCGCCATGGAGGACGGCCAGTACGACCTCGCCGCCGAGGAGAAGCACCGCGTCGAGGAGAAGCAGAGAGCAGCCCGCCGCACCCGCGAGGAGCAGAACATCCAGTACAAGCCGCTCTGGTTCACCAAGGAAACCCACCCGGTAACAAAGAAGCCATACTGGAAGTTCCACGGAGACTACTGGCAGCAGCGTAAGAACCACCAGCTCAAGGGCAAAGCAGACATCTTCTAGGTATTATATACTATATACCATATACCATATACCATATACTATAACTATCAAACTATGTGCAGTATGGCGAAGTCTATCAGGGATTACTAAAACTCCGTGGACTGTTACTTCCGTGGAACAGCGAAGAACACACAAGAAGCTAAAAGAATAAATCCACAGAAACACCCGCACACTCAGAACTGGAAAAAAATTGCTTTTTTTTTTCTTCTCACTTCGTTGTTGAGCCTCTCAAATTACGCAAGAAAGCAGCTGGAAATGCACAGAAACACGCGCAGGGAAGGTCTAGATCAGAAACATCAAGCCCGTAGATCTTCCTGAATGGTTGAGGGCTGTGCGGGTGATTCTGTGGACCCTTCCTGCTAATTTCTGGCTTTGGGGGGGGGGGGGGGGGAAACCCCCCCCAAAATGTCCGTTCAATATATAAAGGAGCACTGGTGGCGGTGGTGGCAATTCTATTAAAACTTTCCTCTCGAGAGCGGTAACGAGGATGACGTCTATAGATTTGGGACTGAAGAGGACGCTGACGGATGTTTTGGAGGATGAGCTGTACAATATGCGGTTGCGGGAGCAGGAGACGGCGCAGGAGCAGCTTGATCTGCGGGAGGCCGGGAAGGTGCGGCAGGTGCAGTTGCAGCAGCAGCAGATGTTCAGCCAGTATGCTGACCCGAGTGTGACGATGATGTCGGGCGATGTGGCGTGTGAGGGTGTGCTGAGTACAGCGCCAGCGAACTTACTGGCGAACCCGGACATACGGCAGGCGCCAGCACCCCAGGCGCAGGCTCAGATGCTGCAGGTGAACCCGGAAGTGCTGATATCGTATGCTAACAAGAACAGCGCGCATATGAACGTGTCTGCGGTGGACGACAAGCTTAATAGGGGCCTGGTAGACGAGAACTCGTACTACGACGATGTGGACTATAGCAGCATGAACGCCAAGATGGCGGACTGGCAGCTGGACGATAACGTCGCTATGCTCGACAACAACGATGCGCGCCTGATATTCGACAACGAGTTTGCCGACGACGATGACCTGAGTGACGACGAGAACTTGTTCGACGAGGGTCTAGAGAACTACCACAACGAACTCGTTTCTTCCAACTCCCCCATAGAATCCCTGGATGTCGCTGAACACAAGGAGTCCGTAGACGATAGACTACGGAAATACCACCTAGACAACATCCAGAACATCCTAAGCAAAACATCAACTAACGATAAAGATATACTGCAGATAAAACTACCTTCAGATTTCACAACTACCAACCTACATAGCACAAACCCATCTGGTCTGATTGAAGATCCATCTCAGCTGGTTCTAGGGAGCTCTAAGAAGATTACCGAGGATACCCATGTAGAGGAGGAGAGCAAGAACTTACCAGACTTAACTGAATTAACCTCAGCCACAGAGATCGAAGACATCCTGCTGGCTGTGGACTCAGACGACGATGACTTATACACCAAACCTATTGCAAAACAAACCACAAAGAAAGATAACTCAAAACCGGTTGAGAAGACAGTTGTAGAGAAAACTTCATCGGTTACCAAGGCTGGCTCTAACCACAGCAGAAGCACATTGGCTAGACCAACTGCTCACGCACGTAAGTTGAGTTCTTCAAGAAAGCAAGCTCCAAAGGTCTACAACCCAAAGACTACAACGAAGAGCACTCACACCCATTCCAAGAACAACGCAACACATGAAGCTTTTGTTTGTGAGCTGGTAAACAGTGTAACAAATGAGGTTTGCGGTGCGCAATTCTCTAGAACTTACGATTTAACCAGACACCAAAACACCATTCATGCCAAGAAGAGGTCCATTTTCCGTTGCTCTGAGTGTATCCGTGCCCTGGGTGACGAAGGTTTTCAAAAGACTTTCTCAAGATTAGATGCACTAACAAGACATATTAAGGCTAAGCATGAAAATTTGTCCCTGGAGGAACGCCAACAGGTTACTAAATATGCCAAGTCTAACATCGGATTTGTCACTGCATAAATACCCCCAACATCATTCAAATTTCTTTTAAAATTTCGGATACATCATTATAATTTTTTTTTTATGTAAATATGGCAACTACATATTATTCGGTCACTTTTAAGATATATTCTAACGCATTATGAAAATATAGAAATTATAAATTTAATAATTATTAACTCTCATACAACTTAGAAAAATAACTTTTGATAATGTTGAGTTTAATCTTTGTCAGTGATCAGTAGATGCCCTAAATATTAACTTCCGGTGCAAAAGCTAAAACTGCAGTCAATTGTTTGTAAGCTTTTTGTTGAAAAATCATATAATATATAATAAATTAAAATTTTTTTATACCCAAATTATTAAAAGTCTATACATATAATCTCAAGTTAAATATCGTTCTCATTATCATTAAGTATTACGGTCTCTCATTTATCGATTAAAATAATTAAACGTTATAATTGTTTTCTGATTAATCAGATTAGTGAGGACCTAAGGGTTTTCTTCAAAACCTTCCTTACGCACTTTTTCAGCATTGATCTTAGCAAGCTCAGGGTCCAGGTAGTATTTTCTTAAAAACTTGAAGTTGTTCGTCTTGTCCAATTCTATAACCAATGGAATACCATTTGGAATGTCAACTCCTTTGATATCTTCATCAGAAACACCTTCGAGAATTTTCAACAGGGATCTAACAGAGCTACCGTGACCAACAATTAGACAGGAGTCAAGATCAAATTCTTTAGCCACTTTCAAGATAATCTCGTCAAGGAAAGGTTCTAATCTAGCCACCACATCAGAAAGGGACTCTGAGTACGGTAGCTTAATATTCTGGTTTAGTTCTTCTAACTCGTATTTCAATGACCTGTTGGGTTCTTTGAACTCATAACCAGTGGCAGCACCTAAGTCATGTTTCTGAATCATCTCTTTCTCGAGATCAACTTCTGGTGGCCTGCCGTTATAGTCTCTTCGAATGTACATGTACTGTTCTTCACCATATTCTTTCAAGACTTTTGGCTTTCTTTGCCCCTGCCAAGCACCGTAGTGTCTTTCATTGAGCCTCCATGTCCTCAATACAGGGATTTCATTACTTATAGGGTTCTCTTCCTTCTCACTCAACAGATAGCTTCTTATCTCAGCCAATGTATAGATATAGTCAAATACCACAAACACGGGATTATTGAATTGACCACTTACCTCGTCTTTCTTCCCCAATTGCAGCTCATTGAGGATAACATCCATAGTTTGCTCGGTTCTGAGCAGTCTGGAAGTAAAACCGATCTGAGGCAACGTAATACCATTGCTCTTACAATGCTGAGCAATCAATTGACCAGCATTCTTGGCCTGGGAACGCCCTTTATCGGTCAATTTAGCATCAATCCACCCACAAAAGATATTCTCATGGTTCAAATCACTCTGCCCATGCCTCAATATAAACAACTTTAGCGTCGACATGGCTGCGTGCTCCACTTGTAGCAGTTGTAGAAGTGGCTATCAATAGAAATGACTCTTCTTATAAGTCCTTATATTCCTTTGCCTTCCCATTGTTTGCCCGGTTTGTCGTCCGTTTTAGTGGGATTCCAGTCACTTTTTGCAGAAATTTTCTGGGATTCCACTTGCGATGAGCTTCGATTAGTGAGTAAGAATATATTTGGGCTTATACGTGAATTTATACACTTGCTGAACCTTCTACATGAGATGAATATGGAGATGGTGAAAGTCTGACTATAATGGGGTTTATGACATTAGACAGAAAGACAGAACGTTAGAGAGACGTTTTACTAAAACTAAAATTAATGAGGGTTTCCTAACCTTTTAATAAAAAAACATATAGTACAAATCATTTTTTTTGAGCGATTGCTGGCATTCCTACCTATGGCTGCTCTTTTGTAAGCTTCTGTAGAAAACTACCATAGTAATTTGCAAGCCTCAAGTGTATTCGTAGTCAAAACTAGGTTTGCCTTCTAATTTTAATGCATTTGGGACATTGCAAAGAATTTCATAGGAATAGGGCAACAATTCTTCAAAAAATTATTAATGGAGGGAAATAATAAAAGATAATAAAAGTGAGTTAAAACTGGGTTATAACAAAAATTTTTTTTTGAGTATATTTTTAAATCTCAATCAGCGATGCATTCCAATTCTTCGATCATATCTGGCAAGTTCTTCATTGGGACGTTGTTGTAAACAATTTGGTAGACTGCTTCGAACAATGGGAACTCATGAGTCATCTCACAAGTCTCCAACCATTCGTGGACTTCTTTACAAGTAATGATACCCTGTGCGGACTGGCCATTTAGTAGTTCCTTTTCGGCATCGAGAGCAGACTTACCGGTCTTGGCCATATGCTTAGCAACTCTGACGTTTCTACCACCGGAGCAAGTGGTAATTAGATCAGCGACACCTGCAGATTCTTGGTAGTAAGTTTGAACTCTGGATTCTGGGAAGAACATTTGGCCGAACTTGATGATTTCACCTAGACCGACTCTTTGAATTGCGGCAGCAGCGTTGTTACCCCAGCCTAGACCCTCAACAAACCCACAACCCAGAGCAACAACGTTCTTTAGAGCACCTGCAATGGAGATACCTGCAACATCTTCGATAACATTGACATGGAAGTATGGTCTGTGGAACAGAGCCTTTAGCAACTTGTGGTCAACGTCCTTTCCTTCACCTCTGAAGTCCTTTGGAATGTGGTAAGCAACGGTAGTCTCAGACCAGTGCTCCTTTGCGACTTCTGGGGCCAAGTTAGCACCGGATAGTGCACCACACTGTATTCCCAACTCATCGGTCACATAAGAGGACAAAAGCTGTACACCTTTCTTGCCAACTTCAAAACCTTTCAGACAAGAGATGGCTCTGACGTGTGGCCCGACGTGGTTCTTCAAGTTTGACACAATACGGGGCAAGAACTGGTGAGGGATGTTGAAGATCAGTATGTCGGCACCTTTCACTGAGTCGATCAGGTTTGGGTTAGCGACCAGGTTCTCAGGCAGCTTGATGTCAGGCAAGTACTTGACGTTCTCGTGCTGCTCATTGATAATCTCAGTCAGGTTCTTGCCGTCGATCTTCTCTTCGAACACCCACATGTCCACACGGGACACAAACAGGTGTGGGTTCAAAGCAGTGTTCTCAGCAACAACTTTGGCAATAGTGGTACCCCAGTTACCGGAACCAATCACGGTGACCTTGAATGGGTGCTCAAGGGCTTGCAAAGACGTGGTGGATGGCTGAGAGCGGCGCAGCGAGATGTCGTCGTTCTTTATAGACTCATTCAAGATATGAGAGGTCTGGTTCAACCTGCCAGCAGCGGAGTTAGACATGTCTTTATACAGGTGTAGCGATGTTTTTTTTTATGGGGTCTGTCCTCAATAATAGAACTAAAATACCAAAGAATTTGAAGTGCGAGGAAAGAATCAGTGTAAATAGTCTTAATATATATCCTCACACCAGCCAAAGACACTAGACTAGTGAAAGAGGGTCTTCCCAAGACCCCACACTTGTAAACCGGAACTGACTAATCCCCGAAGAGATGATGCAAGTTCCAGTTGCAACTAACTGCTAGTTGTAACTGGGCAGTGCAAAGATGGCAGTGCAAAATGGCAATGCAAATAGCAATGCTAGAGACTGTGCAGTGCAGAATGTGCTGATAAGAGAGCAGTGATGGCTGTTCCAATAAGAATCCGTCGCATGATCCTGTGGGCAAGGCAGTGATAAAACAAAAGTCAGTGATAACTCGTCGTGTGACGAACTTGGAATTCCACTTTAAGATGGCAGGGCATCCAGAGGGCCTGCAATTCCGGTTTTAGTTCTCGCAAATTGCGATATATATCGTTGTCGACACATTCGTGGTCGATACGATTGAGGTCGATGTATTCGTGGTCTAACACTGTGGCCGTGATCAGTACGTCGTGGTCGATACCGATCGCACATATACTTCCCGTTGCATTATGCCCTTTCGCAATGAGTTGTTACAAACGTTGCAACTTGCAACCAGGGCTCGAAGAGTATAAGTACTTGCATGTGATCCTGGTCTTTAAAATGACTTCTCCCACAAACTCGAGACTTCTTCCTCCCTTCAACTGTGTATGGGGTTTCTTTATTAGAGTAGGATTATGAGTAATCGTGTTACAAAAGTGGGCTCTTGCTGCAAAAGAAGGCAAAAGTAGGACAGTATATATATGGACCAGACATGGTTTCTTTTATAAACGGCACGGACAGGCTGCCAGGGTCGTCTTCTAGCTCTTCTCTCAGTGGGAGGAAGTCATCGCTGAGGAAACTGTTCTTTCGATCCTCTGATGAGATACCCAGCATCGCACCGAAGAGCTCCAGCATACATCTGAACCCGACCACGTCCACGCCAGTATCGAGCGAACATAGGCCCTTCCCACATAACTTACATAGTCCTCTGAACTATACCACAAGACAGCTGTCACAGAGACACACCTCATCGGCATCTCAGCTCGAGATGTTACACCCAGTAGAAGCACTGATGCATAGGAAACTGCCGGAGACATGGCCCGACATCCCAACTGTGCATGAACCACAGGAAAAGAAGAAACAACCGCCCTTGAAAAGGTTCCTGAAGAAGTTCAATAGCTCCTCGAATAGCTCCAGCACCGATGACTCTTACAACGCAAGCTCCTCGATGGTTACCCCCGTGACATATAAACAAACTGTGCTGACGGACTACGTGGATACGCCCATGGAGCTGATTCACAAGTATGGCATCCCAGGAAAGAAGATCGGCGAAGGCGCATCGGGCTCAGTCTCGATAGTTAAGAAGAGCAATGGGCAGCAGTACGCCGTAAAGATGTTTAGAACTTCGCCTAACTCAACACAGGAGCAGATAGAGAAATACTGCAAGAAGATCACCGCAGAGTTCTGCATGGGCTCCACATTACACCATGCCAACGTTATAGAGACATTCGACATAATACGGGAGGGCAACAGCTTGCTGATGGTAATGGAATATGCTCCTTACGACTTCTTCGACCTGGTAATGACCAACACAATGTCCCCGGATGAGATATCCTGCTACTTCAAGCAGCTATGCCATGGCGTAAATTACTTGCATGCTATGGGCATCGCACATAGGGACTTAAAACTTGACAATTGCGTGGTCACCAATGATGGCATATTAAAATTGATAGATTTTGGCAGTGCTGTTATATTTCAATACCCATATGAGCGAAACATAGTTAAAGCAACAGGCATAGTGGGCTCTGATCCATACCTTTCGCCAGAACTGCTTGAGATGAATCATTATGACCCTAGGCTAGCAGATGTTTGGTCCTTAGCGATTATTTATTACTGCATGACCTTGAAAAGATTCCCATGGAAGGCACCAAGAAAGCAGTTCAACTCATTTAGATTGTTCTGTGAAGATCCAGATGATGAGAACGATTTCAGCAAGGGCCCCATGAAGGTTTTACGACAATTACCTTCATATTCAAGAGACCTGATTGGCAAGATGCTCGAGTTAGAAGTAAAAGATCGTTATTATTTAGAGCAAGTCATGAAACATGAATGGTTTCAAAGCATAGAAGTATGCATAGCAGACTCAAAGGGCGAATTACTGTACAAACCTAAGACACACATACACCACTTGGAGACTGAATTAAAAGTCTCTAATACATGATGATTATTAAGAATATCCTGTGACCTGTAACAGAGGAAACAAACAGCAGGCATTTATGCTCTGAGAAGCATCATTCAGGTAACAAGTAAATAGACACCAAAAATACAATGCATTCCAATGGCCTTACATACTCACCAAGTGTGTTCTGGCTCTTTGGACTATTTTGTCATGACTCAAAGCACATTAATTGATCGAGTACATACATAACCTAATAATAAAATAAATATTCACAATTCCATAGCATTATCTCCAGAATTAGAAACGCATAGACTTTTATCCAGTTGGTACGAACAAGCTGCTAACTATGCTTGTATTATCATCTTGGAAACCACTTTTCGGACTTCACTGACGGATTCCCTTTCTGCTATTGGCAGATGGGGTTACTGACAGGAAGCCATTAGAAATAAAAGGAATAGACGTACATATATGTTGATCAACACTGTCTCAGTAATTGCTCAACGAAATAACACCTCTGCTACTAGTAAATTTCATATTGCATACAAAAACATGCTATCACGATTTAGTGGGATTGCTACAAGAAACCCATTAAGGGCAAGCAGTCTTATTTTGAAGGGACTTCCTAATAGAAATGCCAAAATTGTACAACTATTATCCTTGACAAGTGTGACAAGGAGTACTCAATCACTGCCTGCACTAAGATCGAGTAACCAATTACTTACTATTCCACCATGCCAACCAAGAACATTAAACAAAGTGCTAAAGAGAGGGTTTTATACTACAAGCAAGAAGTCAATCAAGTTCATCTTTTCGAAGGGGGATAAAGACAATCATAATAAGATGAAGTACTATTCAATACCGACGCCTGTGGTTATATTATCTACAATAGGTGGGTTTGTGCTTTTATTCACAATCCTACCATTCCTATTCACTTTTGGATTCCCATTCTTGATAGGTATGATAGTATTCTTTCAATTTAGAAGATGGAAGACACATCAGCTGTATAAGAAGATGGCAGAGGTTTTACAAGATTCGCAGATTAATATGAAGAATAATCAATTGATGTCACTGAAATATAGACTAATAGAACAAGGGTTACCGATGTTAACTAATTTCTCAAACAAGACCACGAAACAGCTGTCCAGCAGGGGAGAGACGTTGATCAACCAGTTGCAACAGAGGATTAAAGAATCATTTGCTAACAACGACAATAATATTGCCAATGTTTTTGTCCCGCAAGGCCACAAGCTATCAGAATATGAACTACTGTTGCCCCACCACACTTTCAAGAGCTACACAAAGAAACTTCCTCACGATCAAGATATTGGGCTTTTGTCCTTGAGTCTTTACATGAGACGCAGACAGCATAGGAATATCAAAGTTGCCATGCCTATTCCTGTCGAGTTAAATCTCGGCAATAAGGTTGCAAATGTATATTTTGTCTATAAAGGGGATACTGCAAGAGGGCTTCTAAACACACAAATTCTTCTCGAGGCTGCAAAAGCTGGCGTAGATCTCCAGGAAATTAAATCTTCCACGCAATTCCTTATCTCAATCGTACCACTAGACTCATGGCTCCCAACCCAGTACATAATCGCTGATGCAGGTTCCCTCGGCTCGTTCAACGAGGATCCATCATCCTCCAGCCGTGAATTTGTCATCAACAACAAATCCAAATAGACTTAACAAACCATGATAACTAACAAAATATATATTCCCAATAACTCATTAATAACATAGCAGTAAATACTACACTATTGTCGAAGAACTAGACAATACTATAAGCTCTATACAGCTCATCGCATACTTTAAATAACGTCCTTAATGATATTAAATTTCAAGACCATAAAATCCCAAAATTGCGACTTTGTAAACAATAATAGAATTCGGACTTATTATCAACTAAATGGTTAGAGTTATTAGACCAGACTAGTAGTTTCAACCAAGTTATCCTTGGTTTTATGCAATAGCTAGTATAGATAACACGCACTCTGATAAAATTTTCTACTATTATTGTCTTCTTTACCAGAAAGTCAGAACGTTGTTATTGTGACAGGGTACTGGGAGCAATATATATTTTGCAATTACCACTGAAGCTATCTAGACACATACTCAATTTCAAGAAGAGTTTTTATTACAACGATAAATTATAAAGAGAACCAGTTGGAGAGGCGAGTTGAGGCAAAAAATATGGGGAATCCATATCACAGTGAATCAGATCAAATATGGCGCATCTCAAGTCAAGATTCTGATGATGGAGAGATCGGGAACCCACCTAAACTGAGTAATTTTGGTTCAGAACTTATATCTGATGCAATAGAGAATATCAATCCCAACCGGTCAGATAAGAAACTGATATCTGAAGAGACACGAATACACGAGTCTCACAGTCAGCAACTGAATACTGATATAAACCAGTCCACTAGAGTTACGCATAGTGCAAGTAGCCCATTATACTTTGAGGACACGTCTCCATCAACAATGTTTGTGCAATCTCAAGCTTCTGCGCAACCAAGTGCCACAACATATGATATCAGCTCGCAGGATTATTCGGATTCAAGTAAGAGTTTTATAAAACTCAAATCAAAACAGGATACTTTGAAGCAAGAACTTACTACCAGATATAGTGAAAGAAGGACAAGACGATTTTTGCATGCTACAAATAGAACTACAAAACTGGGACCAGCTCTAAGGAACTTAACATCGCCAGCCTTGGCTATAAATGATAATAATTCAATAGATAACAAGATGAATGAAACTAGCAAAGTGAACTCTAGCTTTGATACCAACAATGCATATGTGGATTTTCATCAGACTAAACAAGACATATATACATCTGGAGAAGAGCACAATAATACGAAGGATAATGGAAAAATAGGAGCAACACAACAGAATGATTACTCCGACATAAATATTCATGAATGCAATCCCATTCAATATATGAAGATGCATAACTTGCCCACTAGTGAACTTTCTAAAATTTCAAAGGCATATTTTGAAAAGCAGAAAGAGGAAAACAGAAAAAAAGCCTTAAAAAATGTGAATATGAAGCAATCTTTAAATTACGACCTGAAACACTACTCTAACTCTTTTCCTAGCATCGAATCCGGCAAGGAGAATAACCTAATTCATAACACTGAGATTGAGGATTTTAATGGAAGAGGACATTCAACAAACAACCATAGCAGCTCATATTTAAGTAACTCACACTCACATCCAGTATCGACTCAATTTGTCGAATCAGCAAATATAGAACTCGAGAAACCTACACTTAAAAAGAGTTTAAGCAATGCTGATTCATATAGACATACACAGAGAGAAGCTTTACAAAATATAGATGTTAACTCAAATGTAAGGGATGGTGCTATTGACTATAAAAGACAAAAAATAGCATTAAAAGATAGCGAATTCGATGGGATATTGGACAAGAAAAAATATCGAGGTATAAAAAGAGTTGAAATTGTCGAACCACCAACTTCTACACGTCCCCCTAGCCGCAAAAATGTGGTCAGTGTAAATGGTACCGAATATGAACGTGTCGAACTTTTAGGACGGGGTGGTTCATCTAACGTATATAAGGTACGAGGTCTCAAGAATAGGGTTTACGCTTTGAAAAAGGTATCCTTTGATGAATTTGATGAATCCAGTGTAGAAGGTTTTAAAGGTGAGATCAGCTTATTGAAACAATTACAGAACCAGAATAGAGTTGTTCAATTATATGATTTCGAGATGGGTTCCGGTGTTTTATATCTCTTGATGGAGTGTGGTGATTATGACCTCTCTCAAGTGCTCCATCAAAGGGCCAATCAACCATTTGACATGGAGTTTATAAGATATCATGCAAGAGAAATGGTCACTTGTGTAAAAGTAGTGCACGATGCAGGCATTGTGCATTCGGATCTAAAACCGGCAAATTTTGTTTTTGTTAAGGGTATATTAAAAATTATTGATTTTGGTATTGCCAACGCTGTTCCAGACCACACTGTTAACATTTACAGAGATATGCAAATTGGTACACCAAACTATATGGCACCAGAGGCGCTTGTTGCTAACAACTATACTGCAGACAATGACGGCAAATATGATCAAAAGACAAATAAATGGAAAATTGGTAAACCTGCAGATATTTGGTCGTGCGGATGTATTATATATCAAATGATCTATGGTAAACCACCATACGCCAAATATCAGGGACAGGAGAGACTACTCTCCATAATGGATCCAAATGTCAAAATTGAATATAAAGAAGTTCTCCCCGATAAAACTGTAATCCCGAGCTTGGCTTTAGAGCTGATGCAATACTGCCTAATGAGAAACCCTGAAGAAAGATGGTCTGCATTGCAGATTCTCGACTCACCATTTTTAAACCCATTGATGGTATCGCAAGATTTCATCAAGAATTTGATAACTACTGCAGTATCTTATGGTGCTAGAGAAGGTGATGTCTCTCCATCAAGGTTAGAGGCGCTTACTGATAGCGTTCTCGCAAGACTAGCTGATTTTAGAATGCATTGATAAAAAATTGTAACTTTAAAATTCCAGCATAATTAAATGAACATGGAACGACCCAGCATATCCGATGATCTTTCAATATATATTTAAAAAGTGGTACACCACAACTATAGTATTTTTAATTTTTTATACATGCATTACTAAGCTAATAGATTAATATTTAGTTCATTAGAATAGTGTCCATGTCTATCGAGGACCGAATTTGCTCATTGCGGCTGCCCCGCTTTCTCTCCATTCTTGCTTAGTTAACCACATGTGGTCTTTATCAGCCATGATACTGGCAAGGACAGCACCACCAATAAACACCATATGTCTTCTTCTTGGAGGATCTTCAATTCTTACCTTGAACTTGTCTAATCTTGTTGGATCATTATTCAATACTCTAGTGAACCATAATTGTTTTAGTTCCTTCTCTAACCTGGATGGCAAACCTGGGTACATACTTGAACCACCAGATAGGACAATTGCCTTGTACAGTGAACTTCTCACATCCACATCAGCCGATTGAATTGTGTTAAATAAAAGCTCCCCAATACCAGCTTGTTCAACATCTACCAAGTTTGGTTGGAATAAACATTCTGGAGCTTCGAAACGTTCTTGACCAACTTTAATTATTCTACCGTCAGGTAGTTCATAGTTTTCCACAAGTGTTGTAGTCTCTCTTGCTAACTTTGTATCGAGATCCAAATCATATGAAACATAACATAACTTCTCTTTTATTTGACGAACAGTTTCGAAATCAGCACTTCTATTGAATGCATAACCACGACGTGATAGTAGATCAATCAGGTGTCTAGTGACGTCTCTACCTGCCACATCCAGCCTTCTTGTCAAATGGTTTAACACCACAGATTCATACACTGGGACAATATGAGTAACACCGTCACCAGAGTCCACCACCACACCAGAAGATAGACCTTGGGCGTATAGGGCTAGTACGGCTTGGATTGCAACATAAACACCACCAAAGTCATACTTCTCAAACATAACTTCACACATTTGCTCTCTATTTTTCACTGGATTCATTGGTGGTTCTGTAAGCAAGATCTTACCTCCTGAAGTTGTTGGAAGTTGCATTTGGTTGAAGAAGGCATAATCCCATAATAATTCCATGTCAGTCCAATTCTTAATAATACCATTTTCCATAGGGTAAGAGATTTGCAGATAGGAACGCACATCGCTGGCCTCGTCACCAATCATTATGTCCTTCAATGGCTTGTTAATTGTAGCACGCTCTTCCGCTCTCAGGATAGGACGACCCACAATGGAGGGGAATGTGTAGTCTGGGAAATTCTCCCCAGCTCTACCAATCTTAACAAAACCAGTACCTTGGTCCAGAACTATTTAGTAGTATGGTTTATTCGGTTTCCCCGTTCATAACACTGAAACGCTATGCAAATATTGACCAATGCCTTTATCTAGTAATGTAAAAGAGGGCCAAAGTGGTCTGCATATTTCAATTCTGCATAAGAGAAACCAATAATTCACAACTTGTTAGTAAATCAAAATTCGGCAATTGAATAAGGCTAGAGTCACATAATAGGAATATTAAAGTAAAAAACAAAAGCTCCGCATTATGGTATACCCTGCCATCTAATTATCAGCTAGCCCAAAGAGCCGATCCCAGCAGCAGGAAAGCACCCAAAAAGCCACAGAAGTAAAGTAACATACCAATTGGGTTGTGTGGATCCATTATTCCTTCAATCTAGAGTGTTTTCTATGCGTTTGAGTAGCCGCTAAATACAGGTTAACTCCACTCTGATGCAACAACTACCTCAGCCTTATAGCTTTTGCTGTCTTCTTATAGGGGATTGCCAACAGGCTTCCCGGCCAAATTTGTCCCTCGAGGAAAAGTATGTCGTTATTTGTGATATATGATATGAATGCTAATAGAGTAGTGAGATAGAGAGAGTAGCAATATTACAAAGCTGAGTTACTATACACTTTTGGGTCACACCAGGCCTTGTTTCTTTAGTTCTTCGTATATATCTTTGCTCATGACGTTGCCTTCTTTGTCTTCGACTTCTTCGGCTAGCTCTTGTGTAGTGTTGCGCTGCATTTGTTTCCAAAGGGCCTGGGCTTCTTTGATCTTCGTGATACCTTGGAAGGCACTGGACGGCTCTATACCGAGGCACTTGAGGTGGTAGGTGTGTGTTGGCCCGCTAAAGTGCTTGTCGAAGTTCTTGTGGCCCTTGTACACCTGGTTTCCACATATCTCACACTCTTGGCCCACGTCCAGGCCTTGTAGTTTGTATAGCCAGTATGGAATAGGCAATCCATCTGGTCCAAGTGGCATGTCTTCACCAAGCCCCAGCATTTCTTTGAGTTCATCCTTTGTTTTGGATTTGCTATTGTCTTCCTCTACATCACCTTCCTTTTCGGTAGGGTCATAGACGGGCCTATGGTACTCTTGTGTTAGTTTCTCCATTTCTTCCAGTCTCTCCTTGTTAGTGAACGCCATCTTTCTGTCTACATACTCTTTTGTGTTTTCAAACTCCTCTCGCATACAAGACACGTATACATGCAACTTGAACTCAGCTCTGAAAGAATCGTGGTAGTTGCTCACACTTTTTGAGTGAGCTTTGCCCGTCCGGTGGCTATCATATATATGTGCGCTATTGAACATCTTATCACAATAGAGGCAGTAATAGATACCTGACTCTGTAATAATTGCTTTCGTAACATGGTTTTCAAAATCACGATGCAATTTACCCTTTATTTGCTCCTCATTTAACAAAATATTTCTTTTGAAGTATTGCGTCTCAACAAAGTCACAGGCCTCTACCACAAACTCACAGTAACCCTTTGTCTTGCGGTCCATAACGGGATCCAATAAATATTTCTTGTCATCAATAAATTTCTCCAAGTTAGATATAAATTTCGGATATGTGAGGGTACCATCCTTGACAATATTCAGCCATCTTCTGTATAGCGGTTCAAAATCTATAATAAATCCATCTTGCTCATCCTTCTGGAAAATTGTATTGATATCAAGCAAAGAACATCTCTCAGAGACCAACTTACCATTACCTAGATTCATATTATACCTATTAATGGTTTCATCAATATCAAGTAATCTGCTAGAATTACTTTTGGAGATAGAGTCGTCTTCGTCTTCGTCTTCAGTTGGTTCATCACCTAGCAATTTCTTTAACAGTTCAAATTTGCACTCAGAGTCCTTATACTTCAACCCATCACTTTTTAACTGATTTCTGACTTTCAAAATATACTTATTCTTCTTGAATATATCGTCTAGGAAGGTGTTTATCTCATACTGTTGGGTTCTCTTTTGTTTCAATGTCCTCTTGTGCTTCCTAGCTTTGTATATCTTATTAACCATCCTGTCGTCATCCAATCCCAGCTTCGGTATATCGTCTCTAATACCCTCTAGATGAATTCTATAGTCGTAATATAACTCTGGATTTCTCTGAAATCTAGAAGAGATGGCATCTTCAATCACTTCAATGTCTTCCAGCAGAGACCTTACTGTATCCAGCTCCATAACAAAATCTGAAGACTCCAATACAAAATCGCTGAAACACTATCCAATCTAAGAAGAAAAGCACCACAATTAACAACCGTTCAAAGACCTGCTATCTATAACCAGCGTGAATTACTTGCAAAAGCCTTTGTACAAATACTGTTTAATTTAATAACAACTTTTCACTTTTTCAAGCTCATCGCATCGCAGTTTCTCTTGAAATCCGAAAACAACTTCGAACCACTATGGGTAACTTAGGATGAACAAAGATGTAATGGCCACTACAGACAATAAATACATTATATACAATATCTTTGAAATTGGTGCTTTGCATATTTATTGTACAATTATTGAGAATTACAAAGTACTAATTTAAATAACGAGAGAATTTCCGAAATGCAAGTTGTTGAAATATTAAAAATAATGAAATGCTTGAATATGTGGAATGATGATAAACCTAGAACAGAGTAAAAGGTAATGCACTAGACCTATGAAGCACTTAGAACTTTCTCTTCTTGCTTGGTCTTGCGTTCTTTGCGTGCCTATTCTCCTTGGTCTTTCTGTCCTTTCTAATTTGAGCAACAGATTTCAATTCACTCTTGAAAGCTGGAGCGTTGTTGTAGCCCTTAACAGCAATACCTCTTTCAAGAGCACTCTCAACCTTCTTCTTTTGCTTGTGGTAATCGTCTCTCTTTTTATCTGGGAGTCTTGGTGCCTTTTCCAATTTGTGCTTGAACTTACCGTTAGGTAGTTTTGAACCCGACTTACCAGGGCCACGAGTTGGATCAACCAATAGGTTAGACGGAATAGAAGACTCATTGGCACCTGTCTTCAATGGTGCCAGCTTTCTGGCCTTAGACCATTCATCAAACTTACCAGATCTGAAACTTGCTGCAATCTTTTGTCCACTTTCACCAATGATGTACTTCTTATTGTCAATACCATTCATGTTAACATACTTCTTTCTCTTCTTGTCCCACTTCACCGTGGCAGTTTGCTTATGAACTTGGACCTTATCGTCACTGTTCAGATCATAGGCAGATTGAGCTGCTTCATTGATGAATCCACCAGAAAGTTCTAATTGCTTGTCTTGGATCTCATTTGCTGGTGCGTAGTGGCTCAAAAAGAAGTTTGGATCTCTGAAAGTTTTCTTCTTTTTCTTACTAGCGTTCTCTTGTTCTGCTAAGATAGTGTCTGCATCTTCGAACGCCTTCAAAGTATCCTCAGTGACAGTATACCCGACCTCAGCATCGTCACCTTTCAAAATCTCATCTTCCAGAGCGTGAGTTAGACCTGCCATACGCTCCTTTTCCAAAAGCTCTTTCCTCTCCTTAGCTTTTCTTTGAATTGGCGCAATAGCACGCCTTCTTCTATGCATTAGATTGGCCATCTCGTCCTCAGGATTTCTGGTAAATTCAAAGACAGTTTCCTTATTCCTTCTATTTTGCAACTTTTCTAGGAATGCATTCTTTTCCTTTTCCAAGTTTTTACCAAATAGAACATTCTGTTCATCCCAACCCGATGAGATGATTTCTTTACTTCTCTTCAGGGATTCTGGAGAGGCAGAAGTTCTAGTCCTGAAATACAACTTTTCTGCTTTCAAAGCTGTTTTCTTAGCCATATCAAGATCAAAGTTAGACTTCATTAAGTTATTGTAAAGCTCTGAAAGAGCTTCAATATCCAGTCTAGGACATGAACCGAGTACCATACGACTTGTATAAGAAATCTTTGGTGATTGGAATAACGTTTCATCATTACCTTCTGCAACCCACTTCTCCTTTGATAATCTTTCTAGTGCCTCATACATTGGTGTCAAAAGAATCTTTCTACCTAGGAACAGTTCTAAATCTAGCAGATATGGTAATTCATTTTCAGATACTATAGAATAAGCCCAACCTCTGTTACCAGCTCTAGCAGTTCTACCGACACGGTGAATGAAAATCTTAGAAGAAGCTGGTAGAGAATAGTTAACCACATTAGCCAACATTGGAATATCCACACCTCTAGCGGCAACATCTGTGACAACTAAAATGGATGTCAGACCTATTCTGAAATTGTAAAGTTGACTTTTACGGGCATGCTGGTCTAGCGCACCGTAGATATAGGAGACTAAGTAGCCACAATCTTTTAACAAGTTTGATAAGTATTCAACATGATGTCTTGTTGGCACGAAAACAACAGTAGCCTTTTCAGAAGGTAGCTCGTTGGCCTTAGGCATTGCCTTTCTGTTAAAACTTTTCCTCTTTCTACGCTTCTTGTCTTCATCTTCCTCAGCACTTTCATCACTGTCATCCGCTTTATTGTCATTCAGCTGTTTGATCTGCTCCGGTGTTGCTAGCGGTAATTTTATAACTTCTTGCAATATATACAAAAGGTTGGCTTCTCTTTCATCATTCTTTGTCGATAAAAATAACATTTCTAAGTTGTCACTGATCTTCGATTCTGCATCTAATCTAACCAGAACAGGGTTAACCAAACCGGCTTTGGCAAAATCTACCAGAGATGTAGGCAAAGTGGCTGAGAATAATAAAGTTTGTCTGCTACTTGGCAAAGCAGCTAATAATTCGTTAAGTTGTTCTTGGAAACCCATTTCAAACAGTCTATCAGCTTCATCAAATACTGCGTACTCAACACTTTTCAGGTCCAAGTTCATTTCAACCTTTAAATGCAGGAATCTACCTGGTGTGGCGATGATTACATCGGGATTTGTCATCATCATACCAAATTGGTCTTCTAAAGAATCACCACCAGTCAGTAAGACACTTCTCAAATGAGTACCTCTTGAGAATTCTTTAAACACCGAATGTGTTTGCATGGCCAATTCTCTTGATGGAGATAGAATGATCGCACGAGCACCTATTTTACTTGAATGTGTTTTCAGTTTCTCAATCATTGGCAACACGAATGCCGCTGTTTTACCGGAACCGGTTCTTGCCATACCAACAATGTCTCTGTTCTGCAGAATTAAAGGTATAGTCTTTCTTTGAATTGGTGTAGGCTGACGGAAACCTCTCTTTGAGATGTTCACCAGGATCAACTTCGATAGACCGAAACTGGCAAAACTACCTTTCTTGTGTTTGGATTTAGCATCTGTGTTCACTGAGAAGTATGCATTCACATCGTCATCATCGTTATCCACTTTCTTCTTCTCATCTTCATCATCCGACAACTCTAAGCTAGGGAAGGACTTGTCTTCTACCTTTTTCTTTACTGCTTTGGCAGGTTTGGCAGGCTCCTCCTCATCACTACTATACTCTATCACATCCTGTACTTCCTCGTCGCTACCATCCGAAGAGTCGTCACTCTCGGAGTCAGAGCCATCTGCAACTAGATTACCAGCAATATCAATCTCCTCATCGCTGTCAGACTCGTGCTCATCGCGCTCTTTTCTCTTCAAGTTCTTAACCATTTTGCACAGTTGAAACTCAAGCTTGTTGGTAATAATCTATACAATCGAGTAGACTATAAGGCAACAGTACCCAGTCACAATTTATACAGTTAACCCAAGCAATGCCTCTCTGTACCACTATTATAACTTTAGATGCTCATCGCAAAATTTTCAGTTTTTCTCAGAATTTTTCACTCGCAGCGATGAGGCGGATCATGTGAAGATAGAAGCATTGATTCAAAGAAGGGTGTTTGTATATACATATAGAGCAGTTTAGAGCTATATTTGTGGATCTCAGAGCTCAGAGCTTATGCAATGTTAGAGAAGTTTCTGCGACTGGCTCGTGGACGGGTGGTGCCTGGATACAGCCCGCAGCATGTGCCTGCAAAGTTTGACAATGTAGTAATAGCGATGTCTGGGGGAGTTGACTCGAGTGTTGCAGCTGCATTGTTTGCCCATTATCCGAAGGCCACAGGTGTGTATATGCAGAATTGGTCCGAATCGCAGGCACTGGAATCTATTGCAGAGGAGCCCTGCTATGAGAAGGACTGGAAGGACGTTGCGAAGCTCGGTGACTTTTTAGGCGTGCCCGTCGAGAAGGTAAACTTCGAGAGTGACTACTGGATAGATGTCTTTGAGCCCATGTTACAGGAATACGACCAAGGCAGGACACCCAACCCTGATATTGGGTGTAACAAGTTCGTCAAATTTGGGAAGTTGAAGAGCTACTTGGACCAGAAGTACGGCCATGATAACTACCATCTGGTTACTGGCCATTACTCCCGAGTGCTACAGCACTTAGAATCCAAGGAGTACCACTTACTGCGAGGATACTACCCACAGAAGGACCAGAGCTATTATCTGTCGCAGATCAACGGCGGAATCCTGCCCAGGCTGGTGCTCCCGATGGGCCATCTGACTAAACCGGAAGTTAGAGACATGGCTCGCGAGTTGCAACTGCCCACCGCTAACAAGCGGGATTCCCAGGGGATATGCTTCGTTAACAACTCACAGCACAAGAAGTTCAACAAGTTTTTAGAGCACTACCTGACCAACAAACCGGGCAATGTGATCACCGTGGAGCCCACAGGCGAGAAGACAGTGTGGGGCACACACAAGGGCCTGTGGTCGTATACACTGGGCCAGAAGATTGGTGACGGGATATCGCTACCGCAGGCAGACCCACGCTACACAGGGGCCTGGTACGTCAGCGAGAAGATACCCGCAACCAACGAGATAGTGATAGTGCGTGGGCGAGAGAACCCGCAGCTCTACCGCGACAAATTGCGCATACAAGACTTCGAATACCTCGGCGAACCGCAGACCATACGCAAGGCGATTACAGAGGCTCTACAAAGAGGAGAACTACGTGCGCGATACCGCTCCTTGATGGAACCAGAGCCCCTCATCAGCATAAACACCGATGCCGATGAGTTCCACCTGCAGTTCCAAAGACCACAGCGCGCGATGGCGCCAGGCCAGTTCTGCTGCCTGCTCTCCCAGAACCGCATCCTAGGCAGCGGACCAATCATGTAAATATATATAAACTAAATAGCTTACATCCAACACCAGAGAAGAGACTATTGCTATGACTACTATGCTATAACAATGGCAGATGCGTGTGTCATGATAACCCGTTGTACGTGAATTTCTGTGTGTAAAGAACCAAACAATGCCCACAAACACTGTTGTTGATGAGGCCCCCCCCACTGGGCGAAACAATGAAAAGCAGAAGAAAAAAATTTGAAGTTGGAAGGAGCAATGGGCACCAGGCGCCAAGTTACAAGACTGGCATCGCACTGTATAGGCCAGGTATAAGGCACAGCTATACAATAGCAAATAAGGTAGGTTGGGAATACAACGGTACGAAGGACAAGGGATATTATTGATAAGAGAAAGTGAACTGTGACTGTGGACTGCGAAGGCGTTAAGATTACACATACATACGTAAATGCTGGACGCGCTGGCGAATTTTAATGTGACGGAGGTGCCGAGCCTTAAGACGTCTGTGCGGGAGGCTATGTCCACGCTGAACACCACTACGGTGAACTTGGCGCTGGGGCTTCCCGGCATGTTTTCGACGTTTAACGCGGGGCAGCTGTACAGGATCAGGGTGGTGGCGATCACTGCGTCTGCGTTGTCGATATTTGGTGGTGTAGTTGGTATATACTGTATGCTGAATATTGACAAGAGGCGAAAAGTGTTCAGACATGATTTGATTCTGTTTCTGATCATCTGCGATTTCATAAAGGCTCTAATTCTGATGATATACCCCGCGATTATTCTAAACAATAACTATGTGTATGCGACGCCGGCGTTCTTTAATACACTCGGTTGGCTTACTGCATACGCGACAGAAGGTGCTGATATTGCTATCATGGTCTTCGCCATACATTTTGCATTACTTATATTTAAACCGAACTGGAAGTGGAGGAACGCCAAAACGGGTAACATGGAAGGTGGGCTATACAAAGTGAGGGGCTATATCTGGCCGATGACAGCTTTGATACCGAGCGTGCTGGCGAGCCTGGCTTTCATAAATTATAACAAATTGCATAAGTGGACACAAGCAGAAAGAGACGCTGTTGTGCTAGATAATAACAACTACGACTTCCCATTCAAACCTAGAATCGGAGGCTATAAACCGTGGAGTGCTTGGTGCTATTTGCCACCAAGACCACTCTGGTATAAGATCGTCCTAAGTTGGGGTCCCAGATACTTTTTGGTAATAACAATTATTGCCATCTATATTAGCATATATCTATACGTGTCAAGCAAGATACGAAAAATCAAAAATCAGTTAAAGGATTTTAAGCATGAGCAGGAGGAAGCGCGCCATGAGGAGGACAGAATCTTGAGATCTTCCAAATTTGGTACTATAAAATGGCTGATGAAGAGATATATATCACCATTGTTTATGGGCATCATCAAATCTTTCAAAAATTTCTTCACATTATCGATGGAAGATATCAGTGATGACTCCGAATTGTCGACCAGAAGTTATTCAATTTATAGCAGTGGATCTTCATATGCGTATGGAGCAAATAAAGCTGATAATGAAGATTATGACAAGTACCATCAAGGCCTTCAAATCTTAAAATATAAGAATTCTAAGAATGCCCAAGAAAGAAATGCAGTAAGAGAACAAATACAAAACCAAAACCAAGATCAGGTTGAAAATAAGGCAGAAGACAAAGACATTGAAATGGCTGATCTGGAAACACCTAAAGAAACTTTTAATAACCCTCTTTCAAAGCTGTCATCATTAAGGAAACATATGAGTATCCATTCAACAGATAGGAGGTCAGGACATTCAAGGAGATTTTCTGATGCTAGTGATGAATCTAATATCGACTCATTATTGGAAAACGGCCTAACTGAAATATTTAGTACTCCCATCCCAGATGGTGAAGACTCAGAAACTCAAAACCCAGTTGCTTATCAAATGGAAGACTTGAGTAAAGGTATATCACCTATGGACAACTCAGTTGTCCCTCCTTTGGGAGATGAAAGAAGGATAGTTGGAGCAAATGAAATCGACGATGTTAAAAAGAATTTCCAAAGAGAAATGTACCAAAATATGAAGAAGAGGAGATCTCAAATTCAAAAGAATGTCAGGTCGATTTTCATTTATCCTTGCTCATATTTGGCGCTTTGGGTTTTCCCTATTATTGCTGACTGTTTACAGTATAACTACGAGGAGAAACATGGCCCTGTTATGTGGGTCACATACCTGGATACTTTTACAAGACCTTTAGCCTGCATTGTGAATTCTATGGTCTTTTTTTACAGAGAAAAGCCTTGGAGACATACATGGGAAAGAGTGGAAAAGAAAGTATTACTTGATAAATTTATATTGAAAGGTGAGATGAGTGAACAGGACATGTTGTTTTACAGGAAAACCAAACTTGGAAGAAGAGGTTGGTATTACCGTGGGAAGTGGCTAAAAAGACAATGTTGGAGCCATCAAAAGGAATGGTGGAAGAGATGTTTGTGGTACGTTTATAGAACTTTTATTGGTGCTTTCAAGCTAGATTTTGATTATGAAGATAACTGCTGGGATAATGAATTCTGGGACCAGTATTACTCTGGTAAGCCACTGCCAGAATTCAGGTCTCATCAGAACGCCAAAGAAGGTAAGATGAGGAGCACAGAAACCGAAAATGTATTAACCTCTGACTCATCTTTATCTCCTTCAAGGGAGGATGCCTTCTATGATGCACAAGATAAGTTAAAGATATCTGCATTCTGGATGTTGGTCCATTTATTCCCAATGCTGAATGGTGTTGATCTGGATGAGATCAATAGAGTTCTAAGAATGAAATACAAAGAAGATGACTTTGTGATTCCAGGTTTAACGTATGCATTGACTCAAAGAAATGCACAAGTGCCAACTCCACAAGTGGCTGCTGGAAAACACAGTAGAAATCCAAGCACAATCAGAAACACCAATACAAAACTACCTACATTTGATCTCAGAACTCAACAAATACCTTCCAGTGATGAGCACCATTATATGAGAGAGACTCCAAAAATTGACGAGCACTTGTTTTCAAACAGAAATTCACAAGTCTCATTTGCTCGTCTAGATACCGATAGACCTACAAGTACCGTATCTGAAAGCACTTCGAAACAAACTACTCCACCTGCCAGTACATCTGTTAGTCAACCATCTAACCATGATGATGACGATGAACACATAGATATCCTTGCATTCTTAAACGAACCCTTGAAATAGAGGAAGCCTTCTCAAATTTTACAACTACTACTATAAGACGCTTTTACTTTTTGTTTCACAAATCATTTTATTTGCATTAGCATCAAAAGACTTGGAAGTGTGCTGAACCTGCTAGATCACAATACTGCTCCTATCTTTGTTATTTATTCTTGATTTAATGCATTATAACATCGGAGTAACAAATTAAAAGGCAAGCAACAGCAACAAACACTTCTGGATGCATCAACATTTTTACGACTATAATTCATGAAGCTCAACTTTGATTTTCAACCTAATATTTCTTAATTCTATCTTTAGTTCAAATTAATTACGTAAATACAGTTTATAATATAACTTTTGATCTTTACATTAGTATTTTTTGCTAAGTATTCGGAGCTTTCTACGCCATTTCCCATAGCTGGAAAAACTGAAATTGATAACAAGAAATTATAAGAAGAGATATGAGAGAAAGTAGCGGTGGAATTGCTAGAGTGGGGATTGCAGGAGTGAATAAGGCAACCAAAAACATATGATCAGAGCTGTTCTCAACTTCTTTCGAGCTGGAAAACCAAAGCTAGATGGAGTGACGGCTTCTACCGCTACCAAGCGGAGTTTTACAGAGATACAGGACAAAGATAAGTCTACATTTGATGCCCAGTTGGAACAGGAGATTAAGAGGGCTAAGAGGGTACAGGAGGAAAAAATCAAGCGACGCGAGAGAAACAAGAAATCAAATGCGAAGTCTGAGATCATCCGCGATGGTGCTGGCTTCAAATTACGAGCTTCAAGCACAAATAAGAAGACAAAGAACCGCCAGTCGGATCCTCCATATACTATCGAAGTCGACGGCCCATTGAGAAAAATTGTACCTTACTATTTTACTTATAACACGTATTGTAAACTGCGGTGGAGAGATAGGAACTTACTAGACGTGTTTACCAATGAGTTCAGAGATCGACCAGCTGAGTATTATAAGAAGACTATTGAAAGGGGAGCCGTTTTGTTGAACGATAAGCCAGCTACCCTGGAATCCATAATAAAGAATGGAGATTTAATCACACACAAGGTCCACCGTCATGAACCGCCAGTCACATCTCGGCCAATTGAAATTGTTTTTGAAGATAATGACATCCTTGTCATTAACAAACCTAGTGGTATACCAGTACATCCAACTGGCCGATACAGATTCAATACCATTACAAAAGCGTTAGAGAAAGAGCGTGGGTATGTAGTACACCCGTGCAACCGTCTTGATAGGATGACCAGTGGGTTAATGTTCCTAGCTAAGACATCGAAAGGTGCAGATAAGATCGGTGATCAACTGAAAGCCAGGGAAGTAGAGAAAGAATACTTGGCGAAAGTTGTTGGTGAGTTCCCCGAGGGGACCACTGTTGTAGACAAACCGCTGAAATTATTAGAGCCACGTCTTACATTAAACGTAGTTTGTGAAGAAACCGACCCTGATGCAAAACACGCTAGGACTATATTCGAGAGAGTCTCTGTATCCAAAGATAAACAGACTAGCATTGTGAAGTGCAAGCCCCTCACTGGCAGATCACACCAAATTAGAGTGCATTTACAGCATTTGGGCCACCCTATAGCCAATGACCCAATATACTCAAGTCCCGAAGTATGGGGAGACGGTAAAGACTATGACGAAGTTATCAAGAGACTAGACAATGTGGGGAAAAGCTACCCAGCGGGAACATGGCAATTGCCGAGCTCCAGATCAAATGGGACCATGCTCACTGGGGAACTATGCCCAGAATGTGAGACAGAACTATACTCTGATCCAGGGCCAAACGATATAGAGCTCTACTTACACGCATTCAGATACAGCACCAAGGAGGACACAGAACAACAGTGGTCATACGAGACAAAACTACCTCATTGGGCGAACTGAAACTCACCACAAATATGTACTATTACACTCCAAGAACACCTCCACAACCCCCCCATACCCATCTCATCACGCTTCGCCATAGTACCAACCAGCGATGAACCCCGTCTGTAATCGCGTCGTTATGCGTGTCTTTGCTGTCGCTCCCAAATGCCGAAATTTCTTCGAGAAAATCGACAAAAAAAATTTCAAAAATTTTTCAAAACAAATGGGCTCTTCTGGAGGGGGCCTATTTCGATGGGAGTATAAAGGCTAACGTTGACAAGTTTTAGGTGATTTGGCGCTGAGCTAGCAACCGGGTTTAGTGTATACATAATTCGAAAGAAAAGGACACAAGTTCAGTAGGGATCAGCACTACAGCAGAGTTCCCTTGATCAACGCCAAAAATATATACATCAAGGACGCCAAAAATAAAAAAAATAAAGGACCAAAATCAAATATTACATTGAGAATACACGTTATTACTTGAGCTTTTACCAATAGTGTTTTAGAATGAGTGATGAATCTAGTACTAGAAGATCCAAGCGGCTGAAGACAGGTCCGTCGCCTACATCTTCGAGCGCCAGCTCTACATCGGTCAGCCCTATGGGCCCATTTTCGTCGGGGCGTACTCTGAGGTCATCTCGGTTAAGTCCCAATAGACATAGTGCATTGGGGAGCCCCATGATGACTGCAGAAGAGATTGCCCAACAGGAGTCGTTGATGCCTCGCGAGCCACCTTCGCCTATACTCATTGGTAAGAATGTCAAGGACGGGAAGTTTGTGGTCACGGCGTTTACAAGGAAAGACACCATCAACGCGTGTATGTACTTGAAGTACTACGGTTTAAGGAAGTTCTGGACGGCATATTTCCCACCAGAGATTAATTCATTGCATTTATACTACATGATCCGTCTCTTGGGTTTCCAACTAAAGGACAGAGAAGTGCTGAACCACATATCCAAGAATGTAGAGGAATGGAAAGCTAACAAGAAATATACCATTTCATATGCAGACATGAATGATCCTCTCGACAAGAAGTTCACCATTCGTCTATTGAGAAACCTATACAAAGCTATCAACAAGGTACTCTCTACTCGTCTGAGACTAATGAACTTTTTCACCATCGATCACTTAGTTGAAAGACTTGAAAAGGCTAAGAGAATAGTCGTCCTAACTGGTGCAGGTATCTCTACATCCTTGGGTATTCCAGATTTCAGATCCTCTGAGGGTTTCTACACCAAAATTAAGTATTTAGGTCTAGAAGATCCACAAGATGTTTTCAACTATGAGATTTTCTTGAGAGATCCGTCCGTCTTCTATAACATTGCCAACATGGTTTTGCCTCCAGAGAATATATACTCTCCATTGCATAGTTTCATAAAGCTTCTCCAGGACAAACGGAAGCTACTTAGAAACTACTCACAAAACATTGATAACTTGGAATCATATGCAGGTATCGAAGTGTCCAAGTTAATCCAATGCCACGGTTCTTTCGCCACCGCATCATGTGTGACTTGTAAATGGTCCTTACCTGGTGAAAAGATATTTAAAAATATAAGAAATTTTGAAATTCCTTTGTGCCCCCATTGCTACAAGAAGAGAACGAAGTACCTAGAACTTTATGAAAGAGAGCTCGATGGCGAAGAACATATTCCCGAATGGTTCGATCAGGTTGATAAGGACACCATCAAATCATTTGGTGTTATTAAACCAGATATCACATTCTTCGGTGAACCCTTACCATCGAGATTCCACAAGACTGTCAAAGAGGATATTTTCCGCTGTGACTTACTATTATGCATCGGTACAAGTTTGAAAGTAGCCCCAGTATCTGAAATAGTCAACATGCTACCTGCTCATGTTCCACAAGTGCTAATTAACCGTGATCCTGTTAGACATGCAGAATTTGATATCTCATTATTAGGATATTGTGATGATATTGCCACAATGATTGCACAGAAATGTGGATGGAAGATACCACACCAAAAATGGGATAAAGAACTTACCAACAAGAAGTTTGAAATAAAGGAATCTGCAGTTAGTGTATACTCAGTTGTTTCTGCTGATTAATGGCTAGATATCTCCCCCAAACTCCTCAACTAATTAGCCAATTTTTTCATTTGCATATTTCCCCATTCAATCAAAATAATCAAACCCAAGTTTGATGATCTGTCATGGGAACAAGGAAGCTCTAATGATTTGTACACTAGAAAGAGTATTACCTCTGCATCTTATATATAATGCTAATACTTAATTTATAACACTTATGAACTGCATTTTTACAAAACACATCTTTTGTTTGCTTATTGATTCTATTGTCCACAAAGGTTCGGGCTTACTGCCAGAACTGAAATTTTGACAAATTTTAAAAAAAGAGGCGATGAGCTATAAAGTCAACACCACTTGTTAATTAGAAGCTACCTGGAATAGGCAATAATATACCGATAAATAAGCTGAACACACTAAAATGGACTTTCAGAATAGAGCAGGCTCGAAGAAAGGTGGGGGTGGTATTGCTTCTGATTCGCAAATAAACCAACAGCGGAGAAGACAAGTTGAAGAATTATTGCAACAAGGTGAAAACATCAAGTATACATTCCAGGACAAGGAGGGAGAAAAGGATGATACAGACACTAAGAAAGTTCAGTCTAACCCATATATTTACAAAAACCATTCAGGTAAGCTGGTATGTAAGCTGTGCAATACCATGCATATGTCGTGGTCCAGTGTAGAGAGACACTTGGGAGGTAAAAAGCATGGGATGAATGTAATCAGAAGAGGCGAACTAGATGAGATACGGCATGAAAAGCAACAGGCAACGAAACCTGTTGATACGTTTGAGATGAAAGTCGAGGCCAGGAGGAAAACAATCAACACTATAGAAGGTCTGGTACCCACTTGCCATTCTACCGAAGTCATCGATGAGAAAGGCAACAAAGGAATAGCTGTGATGTTGGAGTTTGAAGAGAGCGATAAGACTGCTGATGTATTGAATGCGGATCGTCCATATGCTAGGATTGTTTCAGGTCTAGAGTTGAACACCTCTGCCCAAAAGGACAAAAGATTTTTGGTAGTGGCTTATGAACCATACCAAAATGTGGCAATTGAAATACCAAATGACCGAGAGATAGTAATGAATGGTTACCAGCCTCAAAGCGATGAAGAAATATTTGTAGACACGCTGAACAGACAGTGTACCTTTTGGATTGAGAATCAACGCCAATTTATTGTGCAGATATTTTTTAAAGAAACCAGTTGATTTAACATAACTACACATAAATCTCAACAAGATTTTAGCATAATAAGCATATATTTAACTCATTTAGTTAGCATCTAATCCATAGTTTAGCATTCATTAGTAGCATATCTTGTGTACTTGATCATTTCGTACCTTAAATATTGTTAGCGATGCGAAATACCAGAAAAGGTCAAACTTCAAGTATCTTTAAAACTTATACTAACTCCCAAAGCTCCCAATTAACACAAGTAGAACAATAGAACAGCGCCAGACATTACTGTTGTTTATAGATGCTACGTCGGAGCTCAATCGTCTCGGTTACGAGGTCAGGATCCCGGTACTTTCATAGCTCCATAAAACTTCGAAAGGAAGAGAAAAGTAATATATCTGGCAATAAAGAATATGAAGACCAATCTACAGTAGATGCTGCAGCTACTCAGATAGAACAGAACTTATACAACTCAGTGTTTGAAAGAGTCAAACAGAAGCAGAATCTTAGGAAGAAACAAGCCAGTTCGTCCTTTATTCTTGATCATTTCTTTAGTGGTAATGAGGAGAAACAAAACCCACATATAATATTTGGTGGTGAATCCAAAGCTAAGGCAAAATCTGACCAAAATTTAGTTGACTATTTGACTGGCCGCATTGATTCAGAGAGCAACCTCTCAAGCTTCAAGAGCACCAATTTGAGGAAGTATCCTGTTTCTTTGACCAGTACAAGCTTGCTAGATGAAGATACTGCATCAGCTCAAAACGTTATTAAAGATTTGAAGGACAACTTAAAGAACGTCAATACTGTTTCAAGACTGGAGACTCCTCAAAACTTGAAATTGGTATTCAACAAGAAAACCCTCGAAGAGATCACAATCAAAGAGAAATTCAAAGGTACTTTGGAGCTGCTTTTGAAACCTTACATGGATAACCTCATAGAAGCAATAAACGACGATCATGATCTTTTGGTGAAAGCTGAACAGTTACTGAAACTATATGAAAATAGAGATAAGAAATGGGATAACCGGGAATCTGGTGAAGTCAAAGTTATTTTAGATCATTTGAAAACTACATGTACGGATAATCCAACAGAGTTACCACAACCATACCGAGTTTCACTTCCATACGTAATAGTTAAATTGCTCGAAAGGCAAACTTTTGAATTCTCCACTGATAGACTATACCGTATCATTACTTACATCTACAATTATTGTAAAAGTTCCCCTGATATTACATTATATTTGAATGTGTGCAATGTTGATTTCTACAACTCGCTACTATCGCTATCATGGGAAAGTTACTCCGAGATAAAGCAGATCCGTCACATCACATCTGAGATGAAGATCAATGGTATATTCGGAGATATATCAACAATTGAGAAGCTGAACAAGATAGTAGGCGAAGCTCGCGAATTTAACGATAACATTCCAACTGTGGATGAACTTGGAAATATCCAGAAGAAATACAACTCAGTGTCGGTAGTCTGGGATAAGGATTCACCCAATGATTTACGCATGGTGGAGATCTACCTACGTGACTTGAAGGAACGTTTAACCAATTAGAAATATACTTCAACTAACGAATTAAATACCCTATTTGGTATGGAATAATTTGACGTATTTCTGGCATTATCAATTTAACAATCCTGTAATTAATAATTTGTGCTAATACACAAATACAACTAATAGAACTCTACTGTTTTTGCTCTTTTCTTGCATTTATCCACAACAAATTATGCTATACGAATATATTCAAGTAAATATAATATATTAACACTACTAATCTCCTTTAATGCTCAATTAACTTCTCTCAAACTAGTAATACTTTAAATAAGTCTTACACACTATAACCGAAAAAAGCTGGAAATGCCAAAAAATTTCAATGATTACTAAGTGGGAAACTCAAACGAATTGGCAAAAATAGTGAATTTGAGATGATCACAAGTAATTTATAATAGAAATATATATCAGATCGTTTGGTTGTTTATGTCTTTAGCAGTAACTTTAACTTAAGCTGAGCTATTCTCGAAGAAAAAAGCAGACCAGAATCCAAGAGTTTAAAACAAGATGCGTTTGGGTGACGCTGCAGAGCTTTGCTATAACCTAACGAGCTCTTACCTGCAGATTGCTGCTGAGAGTGATTCCATTATCGCACAGACACAGAGAGCAATAAATACAACTAAATCTATACTGATCAATGAAACTTTTCCGAAGTGGTCACCATTGAATGGTGAAATATCGTTTTCCTATAATGGAGGCAAAGACTGCCAGGTGCTGTTATTACTATATTTAAGCTGTCTCTGGGAATACTACATTGTGAAGTTAAGTCAATCCCAGTTTGATGGAAAGTTTCATAGATTTCCTTTGACCAAACTACCCACTGTTTTTATCGACCATGATGATACGTTCAAGACTTTAGAGAATTTTATCGAGGAAACGTCACTGCGATATTCACTGTCCTTATATGAATCTGACCGAGATAAGTGTGAGACAATGGCTGAAGCTTTTGAAACATTTCTACAGGTATTTCCCGAGACAAAAGCCATTGTCATCGGTATAAGACACACTGATCCATTTGGCGAGCATTTAAAGCCTATTCAAAAGACAGATGCTAATTGGCCAGATTTCTATCGTCTACAACCTTTGTTGCATTGGAATCTAGCCAACATCTGGAGTTTTCTACTATATTCCAACGAGCCTATTTGTGAGTTGTACAGATACGGGTTTACCTCTCTCGGGAATGTGGAAGAGACACTTCCTAATCCACACTTGAGGAAGGATAAGAATTCAACTCCGTTAAAACTGAACTTTGAGTGGGAGATTGAAAATAGATATAAACATAACGAAGTCACTAAAGCTGAACCTATACCCATTGCCGATGAGGACTTGGTCAAAATAGAGAACCTCCATGAAGATTACTACCCAGGTTGGTACCTAGTCGATGACAAACTTGAAAGAGCAGGAAGAATTAAAAAGAAATGATCATATTCCCTATATCTCTCCCAGTCCAAATTTTAATGTTAAAACATTCCAATTTCCCTTTGGAAATTATTACGATATGCATAAAACAGTTATACCAATATATGACATTATACTGATAAAATATCCATGTAATTATTAATGATGTACAATATTGACCTTATTTTTTTGTATCTTTATACATATGATAAATTGATGTAGTTGAAATGAAATGAATATTTGTTTTATTAAGCATCTAAGCAGTATGTATATGTGGAAATGTCGCTTAGTAAGACAATTTTGATTCTTGAGTATAATATATACAAGTTGTTTGTCATACGATCATTGAAACAAGGCTCTATTTAGAAGCCTGTCCTATTAATCGTGTGGATTACCGTTAATCTTAGGGTATAGTCTGGCAGCATGGTAGTTGATGTTGCTTTTTTGGGTCTGTGTGCCTTTACCCATTGCTCTTTCTGCTGTACAAAGCTTCAGTTCTTTAGCCAAACCCTCACAAACTGTGCTCATATGACCATTAGAAGACCAACACTGAAGCAGATTAGACATCAGCACTAGACATTTGTTAGCTTCCTGTGTTATGATAGGCTTCTTCACCTTGAGTCTGGGCAAAGGTGGTAGTCTATGAATAGGTGGTTTTCCGGACATTTTCGTTCCCAAGTGTATTCCGATCTATATCTAGTCTCTAAATAAAATCACTAATGCTAATCTAGCCTTGATCTGTAGACTCTAACTTACCACTAATACCTCTTTATTCATCGCAGTTAGCTTGTGTTACTGCGCTGATCAAGCTGGGGAGTCGGCTTCTTGTTTAGTCGTATGCCTTGACAAGTATAAGCTAATATAGGCATTTCAGTTAGGGAAGAATATTGAGTAGCAATACTTTATACATATTCATGGTTGAAATACACATCAGATAACATTCTTAGGTAGATTTACTATTTTAGTAGTTATATTAGAAAAGCAGTCAAAAATATACAATATAGCCATTTAAAAAGCACAGTTACTATGAAACCAGAAAATGATGAATGAGTTCATTAGAAGCAACTCTTTCTTATCAGTTTATAACCAAGAAAAAAACTCTATTCCCATTTTATTTTAGTGTTGAAGCTATTTAGATTCCAGGTGGTGGGAAATACACCTCGCCTGTGATGCAAGTTATTAGGTCATCGTCGTTTGTGTATGCCCTTGCGGTCACAAGGTACTTTCCTGGTGGGACCTCTTGTGGGATATCGACATCCTTTGATAAGTTGTCGTATTTGCCCTTCTTGATTGGACAGGTCAGCCCGTCTACGTCGTTGTCTTCCAGTATTTCACAAAGGTCGTAAGTTTGCGTCAAAAGTTTAATGTACCCAAGCCTTACTTCCACATCAACATATGCGCCTTCTTCAATGGTCTCAAATATCTCACCACTGGCCTTTATCACCAGCTTCGATCCCCTCTTGGGTGGGTTTGGAACCAGATCTAATTTAGTTATCTCTAGCAACTGCCCCTCGGCGATGTCACACATCTTCAGTGGCGAATCCCCAGGGATAGGCTTTGTTTCACCAAATCCAGGAGGCATTGGAGCTTTCTTATCCACATCGCCAATACCCCACCCAATAATAGGATTAGCCACAGTGAATGCACATCCCCACAACGCTACACTGCTAATCAAACTCTTAACCTGCATATCTCTTCTCTCACTAGCTCAAATACAACAACCAGCTCTAGTATACAGTATTATATTATTCTCGAAATGTTCTATGAAAAGCTATAAAGGTCCTGTTTTTAAATAACTATCTGTTTTGAAATAAGGAAAGGGACCAAGGGATTTCAAAATTGGCTGAAAGATTAAGATTGCACTGATAAGGTCATTGATAACGTGTTTGGAAGACACTCGATTATAGTCATCGAGTGTCATCGCACTTGCAGTGGACCTGTATTCTGCACATATCTGAATATTACCCATGGGAGCCCTTCCTCAGTGATCATTATTATCATTATGTTATGTGTGCGTGTGGTTGTGATTGCGATTGTGACATATGCGAAAAGAATTCAAGTTCATGAATGAATGGATGCTCTTTGTTTTTGAAGGAGTAGCTTGCTTTTTCAATAATCCTCTGATGTTGTTCTCTATAATTACAAGAAGTATCCAGCTCTCTGTGAGTTGGAACCTGAGTTTCCGTTGTTAGTAGTCGGGGAAGATGCGTCCTGGTTTATGTAGTCATCCGGTACCGCAGAGAATATCTTGAAAGTGGGCTCCAGGTCCTCGTCTACCTTCATTACACTGGCTACGTTACCGCATCTGTAGCAGTAGTTTGGAGCAGACCATACTGTTACTACGTCTTTCTCAGGGAAATGATACTTGAAACCTTCCATGACCAACTGGTGCGCTCTGGCTATCAGGTTCAGGCCGTTAACGTGGTTGAACTCTCTAGCTACTTTGCTGCCAAATAGCCACCCGGCACCTCTGGGTGATACTTGCCATGCCTCGACGTTGTCTGGGTCACTCCACAGCAAGTCCGAAAACCCACCCTCGTGTGGCACCTCTTGTGCTCTGGACAGCACTCTAATCTGGTCCAGCATCCTTATCTCGGGAGACAGACCACCGTGCACACACAGTATCTTACCGTCTATGATGGCTGCCAGTGTCAAGAAGTCGAACACTTGGCAGCAGTACTTCCACACCGTGGTCGAGCCGTACTTGTTCAGACACTCCTCATAAAAACCGTACACTTGCGTAATCTGGCGGGACTCGTGGTTGCCCCTCACCAGCGTGATCTTCGCCGGGTACTTCACTTTCAAACACATCAGCAGCGTGAACGTCTCCAAACTGTAGTACCCACGATCCACATAGTCCCCCAGGAATATATAGTTCACATCGTCGTCCGGAAACCCGCCAGAGGTCCGGAAAAGCTCCAGCAAATCGTGGAACTGCCCGTGGATATCCCCACACACCGTCACAGGCGTCATCACCGGCTGGATGTTGCTCTCCTCCATCAGCAGCTCCTTCACCATCTCACACAGCTGCTTCATCTCGTTCTCCGTCAGCGCCTGGCACTTCTTCACCGTCTCAAGCCACTCATCAGGGCCCCTCCTGTTACTAGCCGTGTCCATCGCTCACTACCTTTGTTTACTGCTACTGGAGATCAATGAACCAACGATGAAAGCAAGTCCTTCATTATATACCAAACTTCTCTCTTCATCATTTCTCAAATTTTTAGCAACTCTCGCGGGACGAAGTTATCTAAAGCTATATAGCTGGAGCTGGAACTTTCACTTAGTATTGGCCATATATAACAGTAATGAGCAAGAGCTGACTTGATGGCTGACGGTAGTGACAGGCGCAGGCGCAGGCGGAAAGGTGCTGGTGCCGCTGGTGCCGCTGGTAGTGCTGGTACAGGTGGGAACAGTGATGCCGGTAAGAAGGACACCAGCAAAGAGGCTAGTAAAGCCGGAAGCAGTGCCAATGGCAATGCCAATGGCAACGACAATGGCGGTAGCAATGCCAGTGCCAAGAGTAATAGTAAGGGCAACGCCAAAGGTGCCTCTAAGGGTAAAGGGAAAGACCGGAGACGCAACAAGGGCAAGGAGGACAAGAAGGATGACAAGAAAGGTGTATCGAAGGTTAAACGGAGCGGGCGCAAGAACGAGCCTGGGCCCAAGAACAGTAAGACCACTAAGAAGAAAGAAGCTCAGCGTGTGCAGAGTGCGCTCGAGCAGGACTACAAGAAGCTGGTGGTGCGTTTGCTGCCGCCAATGCTGACAGAGACGCAGTTCTGGAGCACAGTCGGTGCACCGACCCTCGAGAACAAGCAGCAATACTTTGATGCGCACGGGATAGTGGAGCACTACTTCCACCAGGGCGACGCATATGCCAAATTTGCCACAATGAACGCACGCAAGAAGTCATACTCCCGGATGTACTTGATCTTCAAGGACATTGACCATGCCAAGAAGTACGTGCTGGCGATCAAGGACCTGACTTTCACGGACGACCACGACAACTCAAACAATCCAACTTTCAAGATATCGCAGTATGTCAAGCTGTTTGCCAGTGGGTCCACAAAGCAGAAGTCGGGCTCTGCTCTCGAGGGCACCATCGATGACGACAAGATATTCAAGAACTTCTTGAAATCTATGAAGTATGTGCGTGAACACCAGTTTGAAGAAGACGTGGAAGGGATCAGCATGCTGCGGCCCATAGAGAAAGAGCTGGCTCTGAAACGGGAGCGCAAAGAGCTCGCTGAGAAGGCAGCACAGCACGCCATAGCTAAGCTGACTGGTGTCAGCGAATCTGACAAGAAGAAGAAGAAGCGCAAGAAGAAGAAGAAAGGTGCTGTAGAAGAGACACCAAAGGAGAAGAAGAAACGTAAGAGAAACAAGAAGAAGAAGGAGAAGAAGAAGAAAGCCAGCGAAGGAAACGAACCGAAGGCAGACTCCAATAACTTTGTTATATTAGAGAAAGCAGGAAAACAGGTCCTGAAGGAGAGATTGGCCAAGAAGGGATCCATGACTGCCCTGCCAGCGCTCACACCAGACAAGCCAAAGGTGCCGAAAATCTTGAAACGAAACATATAGCCTGGAATTAACAATTACACAGAACGTACATAAATGTATAGATAACATTACGTCGAGTATTGCATTACTACTATGTTCTTCGTATGCGGAGCTCAGACGACTCGCAGGTAAAAGCAAACTCAGCAGATTTCCTCATCGCAAATAACACTCAAATGGAAGGGTTTATACACAACTATCCCCACTAGAATCTGTTTAAAAGTTGTTCTAAGGGTTCAGATATTGTGGTTTGAATTGACTATTGGCGACAAACGGATTGAAGATGACTCTGCTAGTGAATTTCTTAAAGAAACTGAAGAATGAGCAGGTAACACTGGAGTTGAAGAATGGAACCACGGTATGGGGCACGCTGCAGTCGGTGTCATCGCAGATGAACGTTACTGTTACGGACGTGGTGTTATCGCTTCCGAAGTCTCAATCAGGGAAGGTCTCTGGTGGTCCAGGTGCGCTGGCCTCAGTTTACTTGGTCAACAACGCACAACCGGACAAAGCCAACAATGATGACGGTAGTGTTTCTTTGCAATATATGAACATTAGAGGCAACACGATTAGACAGATTATACTCCCGGACTCGCTGAACTTGGATTCTTTGCTTGTGGATGAAGCTCAGGTGAAGAGACTGAAGAAAGCCAGTGCAAAGCCTAGCGAAACCAATTATAGAAAGAGAAGAAACGAGTTCAGTGGTAACACAGCCAAGAGAATAAAAAGAGGTGTTTGAGCACTGTTGCTATAAACTAATATTTAATTAGGGTATATCGCTATATCATTATGAGGCATCTGTGATGCTACATATGTTCATACTGATTCAGGACCCGAATCAGAGTCTGACTCAGAGCCTGAGGATGAATCGGAAGATGAGGATGAACTGTCCGATGAAGAGTCCTCGATATCATCATTATAAACATTAGCCCATTGGCATTTACCCAAGGGTATACCCCATATATCATCCTTGGTGGCTAGCCAATCTACTATCTCATCCAGATGGATCAATTCCACGTTTTGCATTTGTGAAGTTGACCAGCAATCGACATTTAGGTCCAATGCCTTTAACTTTCTGTAATCATTTAAATATTTCTTAAATAATCTCCTCCATTTAATAGCATCATCATAATAATCATCACTAAAAGTCAAGAAGTAGTATTGAATTCTGCCATATACAAGCACCAATGCCACTATGTATTTATTCTCAAAGGACTCCTCCACCATTTCTTCGTTTATTAAAGTCATAATTTGTTCCCATGTAGGCCTTATCTCTATAAGTTTCATTAATAAGCACTTGAACTCTGACCCACCTAGCAACAATGTAGCATTGAGCGGTTTCTGGTATGGATTCCTTAGTTTACCAAGGTCTCTTATTATAATGGGTGCTAGATTGAGCATGGTATCACCTCTCATCGATACTGGATGAAGGTTACATCGGTAGTAGATGTTGTTATGTATTTTATCTCTAGTGATCCTCGGTATAACCAGAGAAACAGACTGATTGTTTAGTTGTTTCTCAGAGATAAACGATTCATATTGGAATTCAGCCGACATTGCTGGTGTGTTTTGTATATCAAAGATCAATTGGCTCGAGCCAACAACTTTATAAGTGTTTGAACGATATGGGCATCGCAACTCTGAGCTTTAAAGCTGGTTTTTCAAAACCATGGACTTTCTAGTATGTCGAATATTGAAAAATATCAATTTTGTATTTATGATGACTATGTATTCATGTATAGTTGGAATATCATGTTTATATTATGTACAAGGTTTGCTTTATTTACAATAACGGAGCAGTTATCATACCCATCCCACACGTTTCTTCTCCTGGACTTTCTCCATTCTTCTCTTGTACTTAGAACCCTTGACTTCAGCCAGTATCTTCTCAGCATTAGCGATACCTTCAGCCTTCCTCTTCATTCTCTCCTCCATGTTCAGCTCGTGTTTGTGGCCCTTAGGCGTCAAGATACCTCTCATAAACTTCTTGTTGTTGTACTTCTCCTCGAAGAACTGCTTGTTGGTCTGTGGGAGTAAATCCTGTACGCCGTACCTGTACGCCAGCTTATATATGTCACTCATTCGTCTCGCAGAGTACTTGGCACCATGATACTTGCCAGTAACTGGGTGCTTGTTGGCAAGGAAGGGATTGGCATCCATAGCGTGTGTGGACGTGGGCTTCACCGCATATTTCACACTGGGTGGGTACTTATAGAAAAAATCCTTCAACTTCTTGGGCAGCTGCTCAAAGTACTGTTTAGAGCTCATCGTTATTCTATTGTCCTCTGGCCGCCGTACTCAATCTACCACTACTATACTTTCCACAAACTCTCAACACTACTGTCTTTATATTGAGCTGATTCACTTCACAGTTCCTGAGGAGCTGAAGCCCAGAGCGACTGAAAGGCACATACATAACGTATTGTGTGATGATAATAGCGTTGGTACTGATGAGTTCGATTTAACTGTCGGTATCTTTTCAGCTCATACTGGAGCAGTGCTTGTACCATTGAATTGTGCAAATGAAGAATATATATTTAGTTAAAGTTCATTATTTAGATCATAACGTTAGCGGGCTAGCTAGATATATCGTTAGTAAGAGAAATAAAAAAAAAACTGCTTTTATGCAATCATGATAATGTGACACTCGATTATTCGAATAATGGTGTCCTTTATAGTTTGCTGTGCCTGATACGAGGAACAATGGTAGAGTACCACCATATTAGTGCCGCATCAGTGGACTTCACCAATGGTATGACTTCCCATAAAGTGTTGTAAAGCAGCTGTTGGTCATCGGGGGTAGTGACACCCAGTTCCTGGTCAAAAAGTTGCATAATGTTGTTCAGCCACACTAAGATATAAGCGTGGTTGATGTATGGTATCATGTATATCAAGCATTTCAGAAGAGTTATTTTCTGCTCCTTGAATTTTGCGTTTTTAACCTGTAAGTACGTGTAATTGAGAGTTTCGCGGACCAGAGTACACTCTTCATCCTCGAGTTTAATTTTGTCGAGGATAGTCATACGGAACGCCATCGATTGGTATATGTGTATAATTTGTTCAGGCTTTAGCATATTGTGAATTACGTACTGTTCAACAGCAGTGGATAAATAGTTCAAGAAGCTCTTTCTTTGCCACGCCATCAATTCATAGCCAGATGAGTTATTTAGAAAAACAGCTAGCATAACAGAATGCATGGAGTCTCTAATCGTTTCATCTTGTGAGTTTAAATACTGCATCTTTAGCGGTAAGATGGTGTTGTTGATGAAATCAGACGTGGACATACGTGAACCAAAATCCAGTGAAGTAATCTCAATTGACCTTTTGAGGAAATCTAAAAGGAAAAGCAACTTAGCGTCGTTGATCTTGTTCGGATATTTTAAAGTATGCCAAATGTTATTGTTGAATGTGCTGAGTAGGTTAGAATAAACAGTCAGCTGGTCCCCACTAGATGTTATCCCAGCTATAGATGCATTATGTGTGTATTCGTATGACTCAAAGCCAATGGTACCAAAATCTAGTGCAATGAAATTCAAATAGTACATGCAAGTAAGTATTTGGTAGAAAATGGTCTTTGGTTTTTTCATCTTAGTGTCAAGTATTCCTTTAAAAGTTAGGGTGAAGGTTAATAAAGTATTTGAGTAGTATTTTACGCCCGAATAGTCTTTGTTTGGCATGTCACTACTAGATTCCTTGTATGAGATGTTGAAACAAGCAACGCATAATTCGTCGAGTACCATGCTAATTTCCTTAGGGTTGTCGCATTGTGGTAATAGGATTTGTAAAGTCCGAGCAACTTGGTTTATGTTCCGTGACAGGAATTCGTCTTCTGGAGGATGGTCAATTGCATAAACAATAGCTAGGTTAATCAAAGCAATTATCACAAACGACAATGGGAAGTGCACATTCTGGGCGTGGCATCGTGATACGTCGTGGTGTCTACTTATTGGGCAGTATAGCAAGCACAACACTTCAATCCGAGGAACGTCCTTCTTGCTATCGTCTGAGCTCTTGCTCAGAAATTGACTCCATGATCTCAAGAAAATATTGTATTTCCAGTTCTGGTATAGTCCATCTATCCACCTGGGACTCTCAACTATGTAATACTGGCTCTGCAATTGGGTGTATCTGTCGAGAGTACTACATGCCCCGCTCAAAATCGCCAGCTTGTAAACTGACCAGCCTTGGTTCTCGCAGAATATATTGTTCCAAATGCTGTAAAACTCCTCGATGGGTAAAGTGGGCTCGCTGATCTCCAGTTTCCAGTAAAACATTCCTTGTGCCATGTCTAGCAGCCTTGATGGGTCCACATCCTCTTGAAACCACAAAGTGGAGTCAAACAGAGCGTTCGCCAACTGGGCGAGCAATTTCGGGTCCTTGAGCCGGGGAACATAGTACACCAGATTGCCAATCAGAGACATGTGCAGCGCCTTGTTGCTCCTATGGCCGCTGCTCCTCAGCAAATTCAACAAATACCGGACTTCCGTCCTCTCATCGGCCTGCACCATCTTTAAAGGCGGGGGAGGCTGTTCTTCTAAGCGTCAATGCAGATTGACAAAGAGTATAGAGAACTTCAAACTGAGAAAACTCGATTCAGAGTGGACTCCCTGCTGGAAGAGTTCCTTATAGCTTCTAAATGCTCAAAATTTGTTGAATTTGGCCTAACTTTTGGAGTTTTCATCACTTTGAAGCTCCCCGAAAAATGTCAACTTGCAAGCTTGGACCTTTGCACAGTTAAGTTGGTCAAACTATTGCTGGGTGGGTATCAGCCAACTCAAGCCAGTAAAGATTTGCAATTGGAGCGTTGGATTTGGCCTAGGTACCTAAACTAGAAAGTAGAGTCAACGAACTGGGTGTGCCGAGTCGGCTATAGAGGGAAATAGAGTTATAGAAAATTGATGCGATGTCGCTGGAGACTCCTGTTGGACTGAGACGGTTTCCCGTCACGAAGCTGTGTATGGTTACTGGTATAGTTGTGCCTGTGGTGGCGGCGCTTACGGAGACGAAGTATGTGTTTAAGGCGACCTACGATCCGTTTATCAAAGAGTATGGGCAGTACTACCGGTACCTGACGTACCAGCTCAGCAGTGTCAATGAGACAGATGTGGCGCTGATAGTGTTGCTGTTCTACCAGTATCGGCAGCTAGAGAGGTTATTTGGGAACGAGAAGTATCTGAGCATGCTGGCCATGTTGATCTTCTACCAAGGGTTAGCCACAGTTTCCGTGCACCTACTGTTTAACAACTTGGTGGGGCCCTGGCTTGGGACGCAGTGGAATGAGCTCGCGAGTGGTGCGTTTGGAGTGGTGATAGGACTGTTCCATTTCTACAAGCAGTATACGCCTATCGTTTATGAGTTTGACATTGTGCTGGGTGCGCCATTGTGGTCGCAGTTGTTCCACAAGGGCGTGATACGAAGGTTTGATAACGAGAACAAGAGTATGAAAGTGCGGTTGAATGACCAGTTCATGGTGAATGTGCTAGTGATAATACTGATATGCAACCAGGGGGCCTGGGGGCCCTTACAAGCGCTTGTGGCGTGGTTATCGGGGCTGTTCCTGGATATCGGGATCTTGCCCGGCCTGGACAAGTGGAGAGTGCCCTTTGCGCACTACATGTTGTTTGGAGAGGTCAAAAGACTGGAAGTGGGCAGCACGAGCGCTAACACGAGTGCATCACTGGGCGGGAACAGCGTCACGCAGCTGGCAAACAACTCTGCGTCGTCGCAACTTGAAGAGGACAATGAGAACGACGAGCCCAACGACGAGCCCGCCAGGCCACTTGGTGTGCAATTCCTAGACGCATTCAGACGTTAGGGTCCACGCGGTGTTATGTAGGTGTACATTTTTTAGAGAATTTACTATTACAACATGAAATTTTTATTTAATGTTAGTTATGCATAGGTATATAAGTTTTGAAGGGGCGCGTGCAGGGAAGGAAGGCAAGGTTTAGCTTAAATCGCCAGTTTTTCTGTGGCCTTAGTGGCTTTCCTCAGCTCTACGTCCCAGTTGTAAAGTCTGGCGCAGTTGACCTCCATTGTGGTGATGTTCTCTCTCAAAAACTCCACGTCTTCCTTTGCGATGCGCAAGCTGTCCTGGGAGTCCTCCAGTTTCTTCTCCAGGAGCGCGATGGCCTCGTCTATCGGGTACTCCAGCATGACGTCTGCGCCGAGCCACAGCCCGACGTTGAGGTCCTTTGTGAGGTCTACCTGTGCTTTTGTGAACAGCGTCTCGTTCAGCTTGTAGTTGAACTTCAAGGCGCTCTCCTCGCCGTCCTCCTTGGACTGCTTCAACTGCCTGCACACTTGCAGCGTGTTCTCTATGTCGGGGATGCGCACGTGCAGCTGCCTCACGGTGGCCTGCTTGGACTCGAGCATGAACTTGTACTTGGACAGCCGCTCCTGGAACTTGCTGAACACGAGCTCGAACTCCTTCTCCTTCGCCATGAACGCGCCGATGTCCTCCAGGAAGGGCGCACTCGGTATACCCCTAGGGTTCTTCTCCGTGCTGTTGAATAGCGTATCCATTGCTTGCCGTTGCTCTGGGGGATGCAGTTGGGGAGTTGTAGTTGGGGAGTTGTAGTTCGGGGTGGGTATGCTTTGAACTGCTCATCGGCTTGTTATATGTGTGAGTTGTGAGTTGTGCGAGTTGTCTGGGATTGTGATTGTATAGCAGTGTACGGGCAGTACACTGCTATACAATCACATGCCGTGTCTGCCGTAAAAGATGTATACCGTACACCACTACCCCTCACATGCTCACCGTATACATGTATATACGTACACCACTACCCCTCACATGCAGTCTGCCGTACACCACTACACTCTATAACACTCCTCACGAATATATACACACACCCAGACCCCACACACAGACACACAGAGAGAGAAATACCCGCAGCAGGGTCCACTCTCACCCCCCTCGCCTCCCCCCCCCCCCGCTGCTCGCTCTATAGAAGAAGAAGCACAATGGGGGGGAAGAAAAAAAGAAAGAAATACGGTAAGTGAAAGTGCCGCAGGAGTGTTTACGGTTCTGCCGACCGATGCCCAAATACTTCAGCAGGAACTCATCGCTTTCCCATTACGGCAGTTTCTGTGCATGAGAAAAGAAAGAAAAGAAGAATCAAAGGGGGGGCCCTCTTCTGAGTTCTAGTGGGGCAAATTGGCAAAAAAAAGCTGAAAAAAAAAAAAAGAAGCAAAACAGCGATGAGCTTCTTGCGATGAGCTTATATAAAAAAACATGGTGTATTGTATACACAACCATTTCCTTCTAACTAAATGAAGTACGCAAACCATGTCTAAACAGTTTAAGTTGGGTGTTATTACTGCTCAGGATATCTCGCCGCTGTGCAAGAACAAGCTTCCCCATCCGACGGTGATGGCGAACGAGTCGCTGGTTTCGCAGGTGGACGAGCTTCCCGAGGAGTTCCACCTGGACTACACGCCGCACCACGAGTATAACGAGTACGTGGACCTTGGCGACCTGCCCGTGGACTCGTCCATCAGTGATTTCTGGAACGAGGTTAAGTCGACGCACGCGGAGGCTCCTGTGACCAGCTCTGTGACCAGCGTCGCCGATACGGACGACGAGCTGAGACAGCTGTCGCAGTCGCTCTCGGAGGGCCACGAACACGCCCACGCCCACGCTCACGCCCATGCGGGCTCGGATACGTCTCTGGAGGACTTCCTGAACCACGAGGACCTCGACAACGATATTGTGACGCCTACACAGGAGGTGAAGCTGCTGTGTCTGAGGGACAGCAAGGGGAAGTTCACCTTGAAGACCACCGAGCGGAGCAAGAAGAACAAGGTCAAGAAGAACAAGAAGAACAAGGTCCTGCGGAGGAAGAGCGGCGTCTGCGCTATGATCTCCACGGGCATCGGTATCAACGAGTTCATGTTGTAAATACCTGTCTTGCCCTTCTTCCCACCTGACAACCATACAATTCGTACAATTCATACAAGGTTCTTTACAACAGAACTCATCTTTTGTGTTATTATTTGATTTTTTTGAAAAAACTACATTCTATTTGTTGAAAGAAGACGACCGCGCTCTTCTTGGAAGGATTTTATTATTCAATTCAGATCCATAGGAATCCAATGGACATTTTTTATTTTCTCCTACTTTATTTTCAATTTTCCCTGGGTAATCTTTTATTATAACATTTTATTACATTTTCTGTCTTTATTATCTTATACATATTGTTTTACAAATTCAGCATCACTTATTTATATCAATAAAATACAACTACAACTCTCTACCCGCCTCGATAACATACCACCTAATATATCAATATACTTCAATTATACCAAGACTATGTTTCCCAATACCATAGAGCATGTTGTGTGGTCCCAGCTACAACTCCCCATACAATGTTCCCGTTCCCTTGTACGGCATGCGAGCTTCCCAATTGGCATAAAGGGAGAACTACCAAGGCAGCTCAAATGGCACAGTATGGCCCCCGACCAAGTATCTGCAGACAACCACATCATACATATATACCATGTCCAACCAATCGGGTATTCTAGCCAACCAAGCGCTGCTGGACGAATTGAACAAGGACCTGGCCAACGCGGGCGTGGTCACGGCACGGATATCCAGTGACTCCACCGCTGTCGAGCTAGACAGGACGTACGCTACCGTCGAGGACTGTGTCAAGGCATTGAGCGACGAACCTCTGTACATCTTCTACCACGCACCGGCCACCGCTGAATACCAGTTCATCTCATATGTCCCTGACACCTCTGCGGTGAGATCAAAGATGCTATATGCGTCCACCAAGAACACCCTGGTGAGACAGATCGGTACAAACTCAATTGGCAAGCAGCTGCTGATCACAGAGGCCAGCGAGCTGGCCGATTTCGCTAATAATCTTGCCAATGACAACGGCACTGACAATGACGCACTCACAGAGTCAGAGCGCAGCGCCAGGGAGATAGACGCCACTCAGAAGAGGGAGTTCTACTCTACTTATAACTCAATCTCCGGAAGACAGCTGGTGTCCCAGACTGGGGGTGGTCCAAACGTGTTGCAATTTGACGTGAAAATGAGTGACAATGTCAAGCAGCTGCTGAAGGAGACCAACGTCGTCGCTTTCAAGATCGACCTCTCTAACGAGGACATCTCCGTGCTCAACAAGGAGAACATCAGCAACCCTGAGGATTTGAAGTTGAGCTCCGAACACCCTACTTACACTCTATACAGGAACAACGAACTGTACTATTTCATTTATTCCTGTCCATCAGGAAGTAAAGTCAAAGAGCGTATGTTGTACGCTTCAAACAAATCAGGTTTCATCAAGCATTTAAATGAAAAGGAAGGCATTGAGTTCTCCAATGTTATAGAAATTGGCGATGCAGATGAACTGGAACTATCATTGATATCATCGGGGACCACACAGCAGTTGCAGTCTGAGGCTAGTAAGTCGGATTCTAACTCCACTAGAAAGTTTAATAGGCCAAGAGGACCCGGTGGCAGAAAAAGGTAGACTATCGTATATAGACTTATGTATAAAGGCTTTATATTTTCCAAAACTACATGATTTAACGATATTGTGAATTGGCGGTTTCAAAAGAAAAGACTATGAAAAAAGAAGCACATAAGGCAGTTATATAGGTAATATTGTAGGTGGGAGGTATTGACGCAGTTGCTCAACTGTGTCAATATTGCTCAAACACAGATATAAATACAATAAAAAAAGCCAAAAAAAATAAATGATTTCGCCCAGGATCGAACTGGGGACGTTCTGCGTGTTAAGCAGATGCCATAACCGACTAGACCACGAAACCATGTTAACTTGTTGAAGTTAGCAAACCATAACTGGTGTGTAGTAGCATGTATTCGAGTTTGATATGTGTTTGGGTGAAACACAGCTTACATGAACACTAAGCCCATATAGAAGGGCTAATAAAAGTTCTAGCGGCATCATTCGTGCGTCTAGCATGGATAACAGTTACAATCTAATATTATAATGATATGCATTAGAGGTTTTGTAATAAAAATTAATGAGAACTAGTGTACATATAAAAAAAAAGGATGATTGCATTGCTGGAGTTACGGCATGCATTTCAAGAGAGTTTCTGGTGCAATTTTATGAGTTTATTTGACGAGTAGATAATCAGTACTTTTGCATTTTTATGATATCTCTCAAAGACCCAAATGGATTTTGTTGGAATGTTTGGTTTGTCAGAACTTTATTGAATCTCTCGGATTCTTGTTTGGACAATTGTTTTGCGCCTCGTTGGTTTCTGATGTTAGGAGCATTTTTCTTGATAACAATAGATCCACTTGGCTTCTCATGCTTCTTCAACTTCTTCGAGCTCACCAATCTGGTAACTTTCCGTTGAGGAATAGCATCTTCCATGATCTCTGGGTCATGGTTATCTTCGACAGTGTCGTGGTATTCCTCCTCTCCACTCTCTGACTCGACTTCAACATCATTCTCCAAAGAGGTCAAAAGATCCTGCATCTTGGGCTTTAAGTCATCTCTCAGCTTTCTCTTTCTACGTCTAGCGGCTGACTTCGAGATACCACTGAAATCATTGGCACTGCTCTTCTCCCTCAACCGGTCCAGGAAACTACTGTGTTTCAGACTCTGTTTCTCCTTCTTAGTCTCTTTGCTCTGGTGTAGAAACGCTTTGGGATCCTCACCTAGCACAGAAGTGTACGGAACTTCCTCCTCAACAGCGCTCTCCTTGGCATTCAACCGCGAAACTTTGTCCCTCAACTTAGTCCTCTTCTTAGCAACCATACTGGATCATATACTTATGGGTCTCCTCAATATAACTTCTTATACACTGTTCAAATATCGAGCTCATCGCTCCTCTTAAACCATTCCTCTTGATCTGACTGGGTAATCCGAAAATTTTTTTGAAAGCAACGATCAAAAGCTCAAAATTTCAAAAGAAGCTCATTAAGAAAGCTCCTTTGCAATAGTCATAGAGTTTTGAATTACTTCAACTGGCCCAGAACCACCTCATTTAAACCAGATAACAGATAACATATAATGGCTCAATCACTAGGACGTACATTGGCTGCCGCCACCGCTGTAGGTGCTGTGGCTCTGAGTGCATACGCATTGTACTTTGACCACCAGAGAAGAAGTAACCCAGAGTTCAGAAAGGAGCTGAAGAGACGTGTGAAGAAGGAGGCCAAGGCTGCTCAAGTTGCTGAGGAACAAGCCAAGAGACAGAAGTTGGAGAAAGTTACTCAGTACTTGACTCAGGAACTTGCTGCTGATCCTATCCCAGCCAGTGCCACTGAAAGAGAGACTGTCTTCACCAAGAACGTTGAGCTAGGTGAGAGGCTTTCCATGACCCCAGGTCAGGAACTAGAGGCCGCTGCCAAGTTCTACAAGGCTTTGACCGTGTATCCAAACCCTGCTGACTTGCTAGGCATTTACCAAAGAAGTGTACCAGAAAACATCTACGAATATATTGTCTTGATGATTGCTATCATGCCACCTGCTAATGTCTCTACATTTATTCGTGGTGCTGCTGCTGGCAATGACAATGCTGCAGCTAAGGAAGTTGAAGAGTCTGTCGCTGATGTTGACGAATAAACGGTGTTTTCAATGGAAAAAAAATAAGTAAGGTATTATATGTCAATTACTGGCATATTATCTATTTACTTTCTTCTTTCCGGCTATTTGTTTGCATTCAACTAATAATAATTTTGTTTTCCCCTTTTATGCTTCCCCACCATTATACTTGTAACTAAACGCCCTGTGCTGTTGGATAATAAAGCTGAAAATTGATGTGTAATATTCTGTGAATTGACCAAAAAAGGAAATAATGTACACGGGATTTCTGTTATTTATTCACAAAATGGCATGTGTTTTACTAAAGGTTTTAGCTCCGTGATTACTTGTGTCATCTTGAATTGACAATAAAGGCTGAGCCTTTTCCTTTCACTGTATGGCTAAGTCCTTAGCTGCATATTTTTATATTTTAATGTTTATTTCGTATGTTTCTGTAGATATTTCGTTCTGTTGTAAATAGGATATTAGCAGTGCTGCACAGTTTCAATAGAGTTTTTTGAATTTGTACATAAATTAAGAAGTCGTACATTTAACAGAACCCGCTACTTGTATGGCAACTCCGAAACATTGTTAATAATTATGCATTTGTATCTCTTTACTTGATTATGTATTCTATATAAAAAGAAGACTAGGTGAACGTTGCTGGAGGTATTACTGGTTGAACTTCAGGCTTTGTATTCTCTTAGAATGACAGGAACAGATGAAGGTGGTAGAGCACCAAATTCTGTGATAACCTTTTTAATATATTCAGGAGGTGTTAGATCATACAGAATATTAACAATATTCAATGATTGAAGATCTTGCCAGTTATGTAGCACATCTTTGTCATTTGAAGATTGTTCACTTAATTGCTCCGGTTTACCACTATTTTGACCTTTACTGGCACCACCACTCTGTTGTTTCTGTTTGGCACCTTTGTTTTTCTGCTCCAACTCTAATCTGGCTTTTTCAGCATTTCTTTCCTTAACAAATTGTTTCAACAAAGTTCCCTGGTTGCTACGTCTCTCAACTGGATTGTCATAATCTATTGGTACTAAGTCATTTGGATCGGCTAATTCATTATATGTAACAGAATCCAATTGGACACGTTGGGAGAATTTCAAACTTTCACAGCATACTAAAACTGGGATATTTCTTCTTTTAGCAGACATGGCAATCATAGCTGTACCAGCCCTGGAATATAGGAAACCGTTAGACAAAATGGAATGAGCCCCTAAGAAAACATAGTCAACATCCATATTGAATGCAGTGTCTAAACTTGTAATTAAACAGTATCTAACATTTACACCTTTGCTTCTCAATAGCTTGGCCATCTTACGTCCTTCAAACAATGGTCTAGAATCTACAACAATTACTTCGATATTCTTTTCTAGTGTAACTGCATTGTGGAGAAGAAGTTCAGTTAAAACTTTAGATGAACCATATGTAACAATTCTGGTTGAATTTTCAATATGATTAGATGCATTATCTATAATTAATTGATCAGCGAGCTCGATTTTTTCTCTTGCAAATTGGCCAATCTTTTCACAAAGGTCCTTTTTGGCCTCTTGGTCTGGTGTTGATGGATCAATCAATGATATCTCTTGTTTCAGCCATCTAATTGCATTACCCATTGTAACACTTAAAGGTCTCGCTTTCTTTAGGATGTCTATTTGATGGGATAAATAACTGGTTAAGTTACGTGATAGCGTAGTGCCTTCTGGAGTTTCATAGTCATTAATGACAATCTGAAATGCCTCTAGCATGGCAATACATCTTGGTATCGAACCCACGATTTTGTAGCTAGCCAAATTTGATGTCAACAGGGAAATAGCTGGATGAAGCATGTCCTTGTTTAGTAATAATTCCTTAACAGAGGCTAGAATTGATGGACCTTCTAAAGTTTGTTCCATAGCTTCTGGAATAACTGAAGAGATACCTGGTACCACGGAGTTCTTTTCGTAATCAAGAGAAATGTTAGCCAACGATTTCGCTAGATCAATAGCATTCTGTTCTGAGGTTCCAGAAGTGGTTGTTGTTGCTGCTGATTGTGGTTGTTGCACTGTTGATAAACTTCCAGCACTACCTTCTGCAGATTCCTCATTTGCAATAGCTAAAGAGCTTGCAACAGCAGGAACCATAAGACCAGCAGCTGTGATTCTAGAGGCTTTAGGTGAACTGATGGCACTAGTAATAGCCAAAATCGTAGCTCTTCTCTCCTCAGTAGTTTCTAAATGGCCAAACAAGGTAGTTTTCTTTACCGATCTCTTAGGCTTAGCACTTGGATCACTCTTCTTTTGCTTCTTTTGTTGTTCTTTCTGCTGCTTTTCTCTTTGTTGCTGTTTCTTCTGTTTCTTAGCCTCTGCTTGTTGTTTTTGTTGCTCAATGGAAATACCATTGGCTTGCTTTTGAGCAGCTCTCTTGGCGGCTTTTTCTTTTTTCTTCAACTCCTTCAATTCCTTGTTGGACAATTGTCTTTCACCAACAGCTGTCGCGGCTGGGGCGGTACCTGCATCAGATCCTTGAGCTGTTTTCGGAGAAGCATTCACGTTTTCAGGCTTAACCTGATCGGCACTACTGTTCTCGCTCATAGCTTCTATTTTTCCTTAAGTCTTCAAAAAAAAAAAGTATAATTATAGTCACTAACTAGCTAATTGATGAGTGGGAGATTTGAAGTGTTTATATGCCTGGTTTAGATACTTTACAGCGCAATCACTCTTGCGATGAGCTTTATTTCAGCTACTTCCTGGATATTTTCCAGCTTTTTTTGCCAGTTTCGCCGGGAAAATTTTTTGAGATACTATTCTGTTACCCGGCTTCCTTAATGATACCACTATGAGTAATATAGTCCGGGGAATAAAAGCCAATATTGGTTGTTTGATAGCAGCTGAGATAACGCCAATCCCATAGTTGTACATCTATTAATTTACAATATGAATGTTGGTTTACATTGTCTTAATAACAGGTTTAAGTAGTTTATATTTACAAAAGAAAATGAAAAAGCTTTTTGATACCTGAAGGGGATATGGTTTACGAGCTGCAAAATGAGGAAAAGTTTACGCTGGCGATTTTATTATTTACATATGAGACTTTTTGTTAATTTAGCAGAAACGTAGTTGTTCGGTCCGTCTTTTATTGCTCCTGGGTCTCCTCCTGGGTTTCCCTTTCTTGTTTAGTCTCTTCTGGAATTTTATTTACTTCAGTCATGTTCTGTACACTCCAATCGTACTCATCATCTTTTTTCAAAGTGGTCAATGCGTTCTTGTATTCGTTGATAAAAGTTTCTATCTCACTTGGGCAACTCTCTGAGAATTTCTGGATTGTTCTGGCTAGGAAATATGTGTATTTATTCTCAGTGATGAAAGTAACCAGGCGAGAAAAACGGCTTTCATCGCCAATGCTTGGCAAGTTGATGTTAGAGATGGTTTCTCTTCCTTTCAACACTAGATCTTCCTTAGAGATGCCTTGCTGATTGGCATATGCTTCCAACAGCGGTTGTGTCAATCCCAGAGTATCATTCTTTTCAGTAACTTTCCCCCAATTCACTTTTAGTTTCTTCAGACCGATCTCGGCATCCTTCAAGTCCTTTAAGTCGTTCCTTAGTAGACTACACATCAATACTGTGTTGAAAAATCTGTCCTGGTCGTAAGCCTTGGTATTTCCAGTGCCAACAACTTTGCTCTGGTAACTGTGTAACAAACCCAGTACATGGCTATAATGACCGATTCTGAACAAAGATGCAGCTAGCATCACTTGTAAATGAGAACCCTCCAAAAACGCAAAGAGTTCCCTCTTCCTGTTGGAGACTTTAAACCACTTCTGTAAGAAATCCATTAATTCTTTAGAACCTTGAGGTATCTCCTGTACATAGTTGTTCAGCACCTGCTTCTTTAATGGCTTCATAGGCTCACGGGGTTGGATAGGTTTATTGGTCTCTGGATCCTTCAGATCCATACTACGCAGCAGTGTCGCATTCTTGGGACGGTAGATTAAAGGTCTCAGATTCATCCTAGTTGTGTGGTACTGGTAAAACTCGTCTAGCAACTGCTTGTTGCTCTTTGCAACAGCACTGTAAAACCTACTGCAATTCTTCAACATTTTCCACCTGGCACTTTATCTGCAACAAGAGTCGCTTACAGTCAATTAAAACACCTCCGATTAGCCTCGAGATATAGTCCCTTCTCTTTATATTCCAGTGTTTGCTTCTCCTTCAGCTTGAAATCGTCTTCTTCCCAAAGTCTCGCCTTGCCCGAAGTGACAAAAATTGCAAAAATGGACTCAAATTGGTGAAATATCAACTCTTTACCAGTTTTCGATGGGAATCAGATACTGACTGCTAGCGAAAAGTGAACCAATTGGCATCTTTACATAGTTTGCAAGCAGGATAAGTTGCTATACTGTTGTCTTTTGCAGTATTTGAACCCGCTAAGGTAGAGACTCGGAGAGACCCACGCGAAAGAAATACAATGTTTATAAGAGACGCGGTGCTGCAAGCGTTGGAGGCACGTCTATTGGGTGCGTCTGAGTTTCACTCCACTTGTAATGCGTTGGATAGGGCACTGGTGGTTCAATTCCGGTTACAATACCACACCGGTGGTGATTCCGTGATCACCCCGGCAACAGGTAAGGTGCTCTTTGGTGATATTGATAAAGTTGAAATGTTGTCGAGAAGGTTTCCCTTGGACAAACCATTGTTGGACTTGATCAATAAGATCTTGGGCAATTGTGCAGGTATCATTCATTTCAGCATTGGAGAGTTCGAAGATGCTAAGGTCAGATTACAGCAGGCTCGTGATATTAAACTAGATAAAACGTTTGATGTATATGACATGTATCTAGGACTTGAGAACCTATACTATACAGCATGCTTGCGCCAGGATGAACAACAGATCTCTGATTGTTTGTATGACCATCTATTTGATACTTTGTCCTTCGTTCCATCCGCATCAGAGGCACTTACGCACCAATGTCTATGGAAGATAGCGAAGAGGTTAAAAGGACATAACAATTTGGCAAATTTGATTAAGATATGGCCAGAAAATAATAGAGCATTGGTGTTCTTAATATCTATAATAGCTTCAGATAATGGTGCATACACAGAATTCTCTAAAGACAACGATGAAATGATATTAAAATACGGTATGAACTTAGTGGAGAAGATTAAATTTCCCAAAGCTAGTGAAAATAACAACTATCATTTGGAGCAATTTATGTTGTTTTTACAGGTATACTTTAAAAATATAGTGCCAGACCAAGCCGCCTCAACCGAATGGTATAACTTTATCTTGAAAGCCATGTCGAAGACTTTCCAGAGCATAAATGTTGCACATACTGCATTATTCGTAATGAAAAAAATAGGATCTGATAATGAAAAAGGTAAAATTAATGGCACATTATTGAGAAAAGAAGCACTACTAAATTTTGTTAACTTTATCAGGTATAGTAACAAAGAATTCAAACTGAATAAGAACTACAACGACATTATATCCTTATTGGTTTGTTATAATTTTGTTATTAATGAATTCACTAAAAAAGATAATATCGACAACTTGTTTGATTACGATAAAAGTTTAGATGAACTGCTGAGCTTACTTGTATTCTTTTACAAAGAATACAATATTCCATTAAGTGAGAAAAAGCAATCGCTTGATATATTGGAAAATCCAATCAGGCTTGCATTCCCACCTCATGTAGCAAATACTTTGTCTCGATCGTGGTTAACTTTGTACAACTACCATTCTACCTCACTATCGGCTTTATTATCATTCGATTTGCTGGCATTCTTGGCAAACTGTGTTCCAATCAGTCGTTCAATGGATGAGGGTCTATTCATATCAACAGTCTTTCAATATGCATTGACACTTGCAAAACAACGTGATGTAGAGACAGCCATTAAGGTCTTAGAGAAACTAATTTTAGAAAGACATCCTAACTGCTATAAAGCCTGGCATTTAATGGCTTTATGTCACTCTACAAAGGAAAATAAGGAAACTGCTTATAAGATTGTTTGCTCTGTTTTGGAAGCGATGAATGAAAACATGAAGGATCTTACTTTTGAAGAGAAATTCCAATATATTTATATGAAGATCACCCAGCTTAGATTAATTCAAGATATGTTTGGAACAGATGAAACTTTAGAGTTAATTCCAGAACTTTTTGAATTATATAATACATTATTCTTGGGAGGAGCAAATCAGAAAAAGGTGACAATAAATGGTGTATACGATCTTGACATGACATTGCAGGATATTTGGCTTTATGTTTGCAGTTTGTATATGAAAACACCAAGCACAGATAATCTACAGGAAGCAGAGACCGCAATGGACGAGGCTATGGCCCTTGAAAAAGATCATTGGAAGGGTAGATATTTACCACTGCGAGCTAAGTTAAACATTTTGAAACAACAAAACAAGCAAGCGTTATTGGATATCGAGAAAGCTATCGACTTAGATAATAGTAATATAGATGCGATTCTATGCTTTGCTGAGCTGATATTTGATGTTGAGAAGAAATCCGAGGAGGACTTGACTGATGAATATTACAAATTAGTTCCAATTGAAGGCATCAAAGAGTGTTCCAAAAATCAGTCAGAGAATGAGGATCGTTTGTTTTTCAATGCTACAGATAGATCAGCTGCAACAGCAAGACTAAAATTATTGCTTGACTCAGCTGTAGCTGAATCAATCGAGGGTTATTATACGCCTGAGGTTTGGTGGTCTCTGTCTCAAATTCACGAACAGTTCGCTACAAAAGACTACAAATTGTCGTTGATGAAATGTATAAAATTTGAGGAACTAAGACCTATAGCCCAATTTGAAAATTGCAACTACTGAAGAGAAAGAAGAGTATTTCTTTTCTGGTTGCAGTTTCGCGATTATAGACAATTAATTAATATAAATACTAGTAATTTAGCATGCATGAAATGAAAATTCTATGAAAAATGATAGATTAATATATATTATAAGCCAATAAGTGTGCAATATCATTGGTAAGTGACAGAGAGAGGACCTGATTATGCCAGGTTGGTGGTCCTTATATAGGCTTTTTTATTATGCTTTACCGCAAGAAATTGCTACTGGAATTTCACGTCGGCTCACTTAAAAAAGCAGCTAAGCTGAAGACATTGTAATATGTTAATTATTGGTAGGATATTGCATAGTGTGTTCTAAGCGACCAGTATAATCAAGACCAGTGTGTTTAGTAATTGGTAGTTTGGTTGATTTCTAGTCTGGGTCGGATCACATTGTAGGTACCAAATGGTGGAAGATAAGTTGGCCGATGAGAAGACCACTGAAACAAAGGAAAACACACCTGACCAGACAAAGGTAGTACCCAGGGCTTGCAATTTTGCAAAATATAGGGACTTAATAGCGTGCCTAGGCTTCACAGTTTTGTCATTTGTGTTGCGTTTCCAAGGTATTGACAAGAATAATTCAGTTGTTTGGGATGAAGCACATTTTGGAAAGTTCGGTTCCTACTATATAAGACATGAATTCTACCACGATGTGCATCCACCTTTAGGAAAGATGTTAATTGCCTTAAGTGAGTGGTTGGCAGGTTTTGATGGTGAATTTGATTTTGAGTCAGGACACCAGTATCCAGATGGTGTGAATTTTAAGTTTATGCGTCAATTTAACGCTACTTTTGGTGCACTATGTACTCCCGTTGTCTTCTTTACTGCGAAGACAATGAATCTAAGCTGGCCTATAGTATATTTGGTGACTTTAATGGTGACTTTAGAGCACTCCTTTATTGCATTATCTAAATTTATCCTATTGGACTCTATGTTATTGTTTTTTACCGCTACCACGTTTGCGTGTATGGTGAAACTAATTCAGTTGCGTGGCTGTCAATTGACTAGACAATGGTTGTGGTGGTTATTACTAACTGGTTTATCCATTGGTTGTGTGTGTTCAGTGAAGTGGGTGGGATTATTTATTACATTAGTCGTCGGCCTTTTTACGATAATAGATTTATTGGAGCATTACTGGAACAAGAAAGAGAGCCGCAAGATCTACTACAAGCACTGGATCTTAAGAATAATCAATCTCATTATAATACCGTTCTTAGTTTATCTGTTCTGTTTCAAGATACACTTCCTACTATTATACAAATCTGGTACTGGTGATGCTTCAACTAATTCACTATTCCAGGTAAATTTGGAAGGCACACAGATACAGAATAGTCCTAGAACGGTTATGTATGGTTCTGAAGTCACTATTAGATCACATGGGTTGAGCCCAAATCTGTTACATTCGCATGTCCAGTTATACCCAGATGGCTCCCGCCAAAGGCAGGTGACTGGGTATGGTCACTCTGATGGTAATAATAATTGGATGATAAAATTTGGCAGGACCACAGGTAGATATCTAGATGAAGATAACAAAAGGTTAAATGGTGAACTTGTACCTGTAAGAGATGGAGATACTATCAGATTATTTCACGTCAGAATGGGTTGTAACTTACATTCTCACACAATCTCCTCCCATGTTAGTAAGGGTAATTATGAAGTGTCAGGGTATGGGTCTGAGGAGGTAGGAGACGAAAAGGATGATTGGATAATAGAGATTATGGAGCAACTTGATTCGGCTAATACTAACTTTGGTAAGGAGGACAATGAAGTTTTACACCCTATTTCGACAATGTTTAGATTGCGTCATAAAGATTTGGGGTGTTACCTAGCGTCTACAGGACTTTCATACCCAACATGGGGATTCCACCAAGCTGAAATTGTGTGTAAGTATTCTTGGGGTAAGCGCGATAAATCAACTTGGTGGAACGTCGAAGATCACTGGAATGATCAATTAGTAGTGGATGAGGAGTATGTGCCACCTAAGTCAAAGTTTTGGACTGATTTTATTTTAATAAATTTTGCTATGGCATCCTCAAATAATGCGCTTGTGCCTGATGAGGATAAGTATGATTATCTAGCATCAAAAGCATGGGAATGGCCAATCCTTCACAAGGGATTGCGTTTATGTGGGTGGTCGTCAGCAGGTGTTCGTTATTATTTACTAGGATCTCCCTTTAATACATGGCTATCTTCTATAGCGTTACTGGTTAATATTTTGTTGGGTATGGTAGTAGCAATTAAGTGGCGGAGACAATCCATAGTGATTAATGAAGAATCGTGTTGGAAACTATTCACCTTATTACTGTTCCCATTTTTAGCTTGGTTGGCAAATTTTATGCCATACGTTATGATGGGAAGAGTTACTTATGTACATCATTACATGCCTGCCTTGTACTTTGCGATTATTGCCTTTGGAAGCATAACGGAATATCTGCTAGCTGATTATTGTACAGTGAAGGCATTTCTTGCATTTTTATCTATGGTTGGATGCACATATATTTATTGGTATTTCGCTCCTATATGTCAAGGCCTACATGGTATTGGTAGCCATTACTTTTATCTACAGTGGTTACCTGGTTGGGATATAGCCGTTTAATGAGGCTCGCTCACCGATTTTTCGTGAATGTGCAACAAAGTTAGATAATAATTACTATTCAATTATGATTATATTGAGCATGTTATATTGAGTATTTTATATTAGTATAGAATAGATACGGCATGATTGATCTAAACTAGCAGATGCCAATAACAGTTTATCATTATCAACCCAGTTTGACCATCTCAATCTTTCGATCCTATCCGATGGAGTAATATACTGTTCGAATTGTGATATAAGTTCAAAACCATCGGATTTAGAGTAATTGTAAATAAAGATTTCACCTGTTTCTAATCCAACTGCTACGATAAGTTTATTGTTGATTACCTTATTGTAAATTGAGATTGCGGTAATTGGACTGTTCAATTTTATGAAATGTAGCATGGAGAATGCATTACTTTCGCTAGTTTCCAATGACCACACCTTGACTTTTCTGTCTCTCGAAGTTGTTAAGAATACATTACCAAATTCTAATGGGGCCCATTCACCATCCCAAATGATTCTTGAGTGAGGCTTTTCATCAGTGTATTTCAGTGTAAATGTATTGTCATCAAAGTTTCTTTCCCAAACTGCCCATTTTCTATCTCTGCAGACACTTAATAGATACTTGCTATCAGGCGAAAATCTAAGCCTTGTGATGGTTAGACTATGGAATGACAGGTTAGGTTTGACCTCCAACCAAGTGTCCAAGTCAAATATTCTTATTACTGCATGCTGAGCATTGTTTGATCTACAGGCAGATACAACTAGTTTTTGGTCAGGAGAGACATCGACAGAGGTGATTTCATAGCCATGGCCGTAAAGTTTTTCCACCTCAGGCCACAAAAGATGTCTCTGTAAAGTTTCTTCCATTGGTGGAGTATTGGCAGATGTTACCAAATCATATGATATATTTTTATTGTCATTACTCTCTCTGACATCAGGGTCATCTGTATCATTTGATTCATTTTCCTCAACAGCTTTGTTGGATAGCCCTAAAACTGGTACAGATGCCGCTTCAGGCCTTTCCTCTTCTTCATTCGTAAATCGCAGACCAACAAACTTCTTTAGTAAATGTGCTACACCCTTAGGTAGATCGAAAGATCTCAATATCTTTTCATCACCACCACTAATGAACCTTTCATCATTTACAGGCTCTACGCAGATCATATCATAGCCGTGTATTTGGGGCCTGGAGAACTCATGCCAAGTTTTTCTGGAACGCAATTCGTTGTTTTCATTGTAAATCCAAGGAGCAAACAGCCTTGTAGTTTGATCTAATGATGTGGACAACAAATATTTCCCACAAGGTGCCCAGGCAACGTCTGTTACTGGCCTAACAGCACCTGTAATACCAACACGTTGCTCACACATTATTTCGTCCTTGGCCTCCCATATCCTCCAAGAGCCTGTTTTACCGTTTGTCAAAATATAATCTGCACCATTTTCTTCAAACCAAAGACATGACCAAAATCCACCTGAGGAACCAGTCGCTGTTGAGGCACCTTTGGAAGACATTTCTCCCAATCTTGAAGAGCATACCCACACACCTGAGGACTCATCTGGTTCCCAAATCATGACTGCCGTATCAGCTGTGGATGCCAATAATTGTAGTTTAGATTCATGCCATTGTAGCGAAGACACCCAATCGTCATGACCAATAATCAATGCTTCGAAGTTAATACCAATTCTCAAATCTTCAGAGATATGGAATTTGTGTTGTTTGCTGCTCAGTAAAGTCAGTTTCGTTTCATCATCTTCGCTATCGTCAATTAAGTCATTTGTTCTGATTCTCCATATTCTTATGTATCGGTCCTGAGATCCTGAACACAGGAGATAATCACCAGGAGTCTCCTGGTGTCTAAACTGGATCGATTTGACCCAATCTTCATGGCCTTCCAACTCAGCTGCTAAGTTAAAATTTTCTATAACTTTCCCTTCACTCAATACAAAAGAGTAAATAAAAATCTTTACAGTTGTACCACCAATCGCCAACAGATACTTGTTTCCTACAACATTGGATAGCGAGAAGCACAGTGGGAAGACATTTCTTGGTAACGAGTACTCATGGCTAATGATGTATGTGTCAGAGCCCTCTGTTTCTGGAACCCAAATGGAAACCAGTCCTCCAGCCGAACCTATAACAATTAGCCCAGCTAAAGTCTCTATGGAGACGATTGTGTGGGAATAGTGAGTGATTGTTTGGATGCATTCTAATTCCTCGCTCTCCGGTGCCTTGTACTTCCACAGCTTCACATGGTGATCCTCGGAAGCAGATACCAATATATCGGTCCCAGGCATAAACTTGACACATGTTACTTCGGCCTCATGTCCTTTCAAAGTAGCATAGATACCACGACAATCAGCATCCAGCGGATTCCACAGTGCAATATTCTTGCCTGCACCGAAAGCTAGAACATTCCGGGCCTTGTTATACGAGCAAACTTGCGTCTGCTTGTTGGCACCAATAAATATAGCCTCACTATTCACAGTGACCATCGTTACAGCACTTTGGTATAGCAAAACTTGAACAGTTGTAGAGTGCTTTCGTCAAGCTCATCGCAACTTCAGCTCATCTCTTAAGCAAAATGTAATTTTTCAGCTGAAATTTCAATACTTTTTGCAAAAATTGGAATGCGATGAGCTTTCGTGATCGATGCAGGCTTTACCATGCGACTCGAACAGTATCTAGTATGGGATCATCAATACCTGGGTACCCGGTGGTAGAACGAGTAGTCCACTGCAGTTGAGCTAGCCGTGTTCGCATTCATATACATTAGTAGTTGTTGGTGGACTCGTTGCAGCATTGTTTTGTGGAGCTAAGCGACAGCAAGTGGGAAAACAGATTGGTCCACTACCTATATAGACGATGTCGAGATCAATAGCTAATATACAGTACCTTGAGGCTAAGAACCTGGCTCACTGGATGAAGTCTGCGGATGCGCCGCTGTTTCAAGTAATCGATGTGCGGGGCAGTGACTATGTCGGGGGGCATATAAAGGGGTGCTGGAACTACCCGTACAGGAGGTTGAAGGTCGATGATGGATACATGGAAGAGATGTACAAAGCGCTAAACAAGAAGCTTGAGGACACTGGCTCAGATCGTTCACTCAACGCGATTTTCCACTGTGCACAATCACAACAGCGTGGACCTGCCGCAGCAATGAAGCTGCTACGGTTCCTGCCAGACGACAAACTCAGCAATTTCAAGATATGGGTATTAAGAGGTGGATTCAACCATTGGCAAGACCAATACGGTGAAGATCAGGAACTTACTGAGGACTATGAGCCGGACATTTGGTCTTGGTGAAGTCTTTGATGCCAATTTTTCTTTGTGTTTCCGCATGGAAGAGAACTTGGTCAAAGAAGCATTGACCTCCCCAGTGTGCTTTGAATATCGGCAACAATGGCAGCAATGGCAGCAATGGCAATACAACAGATCAAGCAGTACTTATAATCCCACTTGGTGAATATCAGAATAGTATGTTTTCACGTGATGGTCCAAGTAATCCTTACCGGAGGTCTTGCCAATTATCATTGATGTGATGATGTTCATTGGAATTGACAGCTTTCGCAACCCTGTCGAGTACAAGCAATTCAGAGAATTACCAGGGCATGCATGATAACTTCGTGCTAATACAATTGAGGAGGGAGAAGTCAAGCTCGTTTGAGCTACAGAGTTGTGCTAACTTTTGCTGCAACACAATTTCTTATCTCCTCTAACTGACTGAAAAGTGTGTTTATCAATGGTGTGACTGGTTGTGTAATTGCTACCTTTATGTTGGAAAGAGTGTGATTCATTCACTCTGGCACTGTGAAAGTGTCAATTGCTGTGAGATGTGTTTGATGCTAGAGAGGTTTTTCTTGCATATATATACCCAATCTGTAATGTAAATATTTTATGGTTTTCTTAATAATCTGCTCTTCAGAGAGGTCAATTGGGATATAGAGAAACATACAGGACAAATATGGCTGAACTGATTGATGGTAAAGCCTGTGCTCAAGGCATTCGTGCTTCTATCAAGGAGGAGATAGAGGCCATTAAGCAGCAAAATCCTTCCTTTGTGCCAACGTTGACCATTGTTCAAGTTGGTGACAGACCTGACTCAGCTACTTATGTGCGTATGAAGAGAAAAGCTGCTGAGGAGGCAGGCATCAGGGCCGACTTCTTGCATTTGGCTGAGGATGTGAGTGAGAATGAGTTATATGAAGAAGTTACGAAGTTGAACGAGAACCCAGATATCCACGGTGTCATTGTTCAATTGCCATTGCCAGGTCACATTAACGAGGACAAGATCACCTCCGCAGTTGTAGCAGAGAAAGATGTTGATGGATTCGGTCCAATTAATATTGGTGAATTGAACAAGAAGAACGGTAAGCCATTCTTCTTGCCATGTACACCAAAGGGTATCATTGAGCTATTGAAGCAGGCTGGTGTCCAGATAGCCGGATCAAAGTCAGTTGTTATTGGTAGATCAGACATTGTGGGCTCACCTGTAGCTGAATTGTTGAAATCGTTGGACTCTACCGTAACTATCACACACTCTAAAACTCCAGATATCCCAAGTTACTTGAACGACGCTGACATTGTTGTCGTTGCCATTGGTAAACCTGAGTTTGTCAAAGGAGAATGGTTTGCTAACAATAAGAAGGGTGCAGTGGTTATTGACGTTGGTACCAACTATGTTGATGACTCAACCAAGAAGTCTGGTTACAGATGCTGTGGTGACGTTGAATTCAAAGAGGCTTGTAAATATGTTAGGAAAATTACTCCTGTTCCAGGTGGTGTCGGTCCAATGACGGTTGCCATGTTGATGCAAAACACTCTTATTGCAGCAAAGAGGCAGTTGGAAACTGGTGGTAAGTTATCTGAGTTTGAACCTTTACCATTACAACTGAAGAGGCCAGTTCCTTCCGATTTTGAGATTTCTAGAGCTCAAAAGCCAAAGCAGATTACCAAAGTGGCATTGGAAGCTGGTATTCTTCCATCTGAGCTTGAACCATATGGATCTACAAAGGCCAAGGTCAGCTTGAATATTCTTGATCGTCTAAAGGATAGGGAGAATGGTAAGTATATTCTTGTTACTGGTATTACACCAACCCCGCTAGGTGAAGGTAAGTCTACAACAACTGTCGGTTTGACTCAAGCTCTGGGTGCCCACTTAAACAAAACTGTCTTTGCTAATGTTCGTCAACCTTCAATGGGTCCTACATTTGGTATCAAAGGTGGTGCAGCAGGTGGTGGTTACTCCCAGGTTATTCCTATGGATGAGTTCAATTTGCATGTGACTGGTGACATACACGCTATCTCAATGGCTAACAACTTATTAGCTGCTGCAATTGATACTAGAATGTTCCATGAGTCAACTCAAAAAGATGGTCCATTGTACAAGAGACTTGTGCCAGCTAAAAAGGGTGAAAGAAAGTTCACCCCAACTATGTTAAGAAGATTAAAGAAATTGGGGATTGACAAAACCAATCCAGATGATTTGACCGATGAAGAAATTACCAGGTTTGCACGTTTAGATATAGATCCAGAAACAATTACTTGGAGAAGAGTTGTGGATTGTAATGATAGATTTTTGAGAGGTATCACAGTTGGTGAAGCACCCACCGAGAAAGGCTTCACTAGAAAGACTGGTTTCGATATTTCAGTCGCCTCAGAATGTATGGCAATTTTGGCCTTATGTAACTCATTATCTGACATGAGAGAACGTTTAGGTAAGATTGTCGTTGCGGCATCCAAGTCTGGTGAACCAATTACCTGTGAGGATATCGGTTGTGCCGGTGCCATGACTGCTCTATTGAAGGATGCAGTAAAACCAAATATCATGCAAACCTTGGAAGGAACTCCAGTTTTTGTCCATGCTGGTCCTTTTGCTAATATTTCCATTGGTGCTAATTCTGTCCTAGCTGATAAGATAGCATTAAAGCTTGCAGGTGTTGATCCAAAGCTCCCAGAAGAAAAGAAGAAAGAACAAGTTGGCTATGTTGTCACTGAAGCAGGTTTTGATTTTACCATGGGTGGTGAGAGATTCTTAAACATCAAATGTAGATCTTCCGGATTAGTCCCTGATGTTGTTGTGATTGTTGCCACAGTCAGAGCTTTGAAGGTACACGGTGGTGGACCTGAGGTAAAGGCTGGTGCTCCTTTACCATCTGAATACTTGAACGAAGATGTAGAACTACTGAGGAAGGGTTGTGCAAACTTGGCCAAGCACATTGAAAATGCTAAGCAATATAACTTACCAGTAGTTGTTGCTATCAACAAAATGTCCTCTGATACAGACAAAGAACATGAAGTAATCCGTGAGGAGTCCCTGAAGGCCGGAGCTTATGACGCTATAGTATCAGACCACTGGGCAGAAGGTGGCGCTGGTGCTGTAGACTTGGCTAAAGGTATCATTAAGGCAGCTGATGAAACTGACAACAGCAAATTCTCTTTCCTATATGAATCACAGGGTAAAGTAGAAGACAAGATTCAAAAGATCGCCAACGCCATGTATGGTGCTAAGGATGTTGAATTCTTACCAGAGGCTCAAAAGAAGATCGATCTATACACAAAACAAGGTTTTGGAGATCTCCCAATCTGTATTGCCAAGACTCAGTACTCCTTGTCTCATGATGCTAACTTGAAGGGTGTTCCTAAAGACTTCACTTTCCCAATCAGAGACATCAGAGCCTCTATTGGTGCTGGTTACTTGTACGCTTTGGCAGCTGAAATCCAAACCATACCTGGTCTTCCAACCCACTGTGGCTTTATGAACATTGAAGTCAACGAAGATGGTGAAATTGAAGGTATGTTCTAAGTTATGTATCATATCAATGACTTTATAATCTATTATTTAGTGAACACTGCATTATGTCTATTATAGTAACGGCTCACGACATAGTTAACATAGACTCGCTCAAGCCGCAAATTTCAAGGGGAGAGTCCCTAATAAGCTTAAAATAACTCTATAACAATAATGTTCAGTCGTATTTACTCAATTCTCGAGCTAAGCTATCAAACATTGAAACAATTATTAGCAATATAGTTGGCAATTGAGGGTTCGGAGTTACTATTGTGTTGTTTGCGGCTAAATTTGAAGAGCTGCGTCGATTTGAAAAAAGAAAGGGTAAGAAACAAAGAAGTGATTTTACAATGGCAGATAAGCTAAATAGTCTTGAGCATTGTATGAAATTTGTGGACGAATATGTTCCTGCCTGGTTTGAGACTGGGAAAAGGGATCCTTTGTTCATCTTTATTTCTGGGCCACAAGGATCAGGGAAAAGTTATGTTGGAAAAAGAATCTATGAACACCTGAAAGACTATTATAAAGATCAGAAGTCCGTTGCATATGCATCCATGGATGATTTCTACTTAACTCACGAGGCACAACAAAAGCTGAATAAAGAATATCCTAATAACAAACTTTTGCAAGGTCGGGGGCTACCTGGTACTCACGATATGGCATTGCTATATAAATGTATTAATGCAATTTTGCAAAGGCATGGTAATGACAATGACAGTATTGATGGTGATCATCTACAAGACAGTTCAAAGCTGGTATTGCCAAAATATGATAAGTCAGCTTTCAATGGTGAAGGTGATCGGAGCACTGTAACCGTATCTGAAAAGATTCCGGTGGATATCTTTATTCTTGAAGGTTGGTTCTTAGGGTTTGAACCAATCCTACAAAACTTTGAAAGTGAGGAAACTGTGAAAGGCGATATGGTGGATGTGAACTCTAAATTGTTCATATACAGCGATCTTCTTTGGGACAACCCTGAAATTAAATCATTAGGTATAGTTTTTGCTGCAGATCAGTTAGAGAATGTCTACGATTGGAGACTACAACAGGAGAAGGAATTGATTGCTAAAACTGGTAATGGTATGAATGATGAGGAATTGAAAAAGTTTGTGGACAGGTATATGCCCTGTTATGATTTGTACTACAACCATCTAATACATACAGAAAGCTTAGGATCTGTAGCAACGTTGACACTTGGATTAGACAAGGAAAGAAAGGTATTCTCCTTCAAGACTAGATACATCGAATAATGACTTTTACGACAAACAACTATCATTGAAATTTTTAAAACTATGCTTCCCTGTTTTTCTGATTGTTCACTAATCTATGAAATATGGGCGTGTATCTAGTATCAATAATATGTAATTATGCTGCAAGATACAATTTTATATATCTCTCTAAAATATAATGACATTCTTTCAACTGCTATTGAGTCTCATGATTCATCAGGCTGAGCTCATTTAGGTGGGTCCCTGATTTCCCTGCGAAAAAATCAAAAGATTTAAAGGGCTCTTCACAGTAAAATAGAATGTAATACTGCGATTCATTTAAGATAACGGTAAGTAAGTAAATAAGCTAGCTTATACAATGTCGGACAACCAACTAAAGAATATTGATGACATCCTTAACAATATACCGCTTCGAAACAAATTTGGAGACAACTACCCAAGGGAGCGGCTTAGCAAAGTTGAAGTGCCACTATATAAAATCGAAAATATAGCAGACTCTAAGAAGATGTTTGAACCATGGTATAAAGAGTGTGATGAGATAATAGCTGCATGTGAGGTGCATGATCAGCTGGGTCGAAATTTTGAACAATGGTACAACGAAAAATATATAAGTACAAAACCGCCGGGAATGGTACAAGGAAATGGGGAGATAAGTGTATTGTCTCCATCAAAGAAGCATGGTGAAATGTTGAAATGATGATGTTTATGTTGATAGTGTATTTCGAGTCTGAACTATCTAGGGCATATAGTTATGAAGGATATATTATTGGATTATTTAAAAGAATAGATTTTTGTTCATATTCATAGTGCTTTACAAGACTTTTGAGTCCTTTAGTTTCTGGACTAGTTCATCGACAGAGCCAACAGTAATACCAGGTTCTTTGGCATTTGGCTCGTTCACTGATAAGATCTCTAGTCTAGGTTTGGTATCAATGTCAGCAAAGTCTTTCTCTAATGTAAGTTTTTCCATAGGTTTCTTCTTTGCTTTCATCAGATTTGGCAAACCGACGTATCTAGGAGTATTTAGTCTCAGATCAGTGGTTATAATCAGTGGTAGTGAGGCCTTTAGGGTCTCTTCACCACCGTCTATCTCACGGGTAATTCTCACTTTACCCTCATCAGCTAGAATATCAACTTTTGCAGCATTAGTTGCCTGAGGCCAGTTCAAGAGACCTGCCAACATTTGACCCGTATGGTTGAAATCGTCATCGATGGCCTGTTTACCCATGATAATCAAGTTAATGTTCTGCTTTTCGACTATGTTCTTCAATACTTTTGCGACAGCCAATGGTTCCAACTCAAGATCCTTGCAATCTATCAAGGACACATTATCTATACCCTTGGCAAGACAATTTCTTAAGATGTCCTGGGCTTTAGCTGGCCCGATAGACACCGCTTGCGTGTGCTCAACCAGATCACCATGTTTCTCCTTAATCCTCACAGTCTCTTCGACAGCTATATCATCGAATGGGTTTATACTAAACTTGATGCCACTCTTCTCTATCCCAGTGAGTGTCTTGTTCACCCGTGGTTTGATCTGGAAATCAACCACACGCTTGACTGGAACTAAAATACGCAATGGCTTCGACATGTTGTACGCACCGGTGTTCCCCCCTGTTCAGTTTGGTCCTAGTATGGTTCCTTGTCTTCCCACACAAGTAGTTTATATCCTGGGTTATGACTCTTTCCTTTAAATTTGACCAATTTTTCGATGAAATTGTGAACTTTAGAGCTTTCTCGGTCTGTTGAAATTTTTCAGACTCGAAAGGCTTTGAAATCATCGCAGTGCACTTGAGTCGATCGATGACTTCCTCGAGAGTGCTGTTATTACAAGAGGTTCGGGACAGTTGAAGTACATATCAGTAGTATACAGGGTAAATAACGGTATACAAGCAACGGAGTTTGCACTAGGAGATGTCTTTTGTTGTTACAGTGATTGCGCATGGCGATGCGTTGAGAAGTGAGAAAGAGCTCGTTGACAGAGTCGTTGGAGCACTAGATGCTGAATTGATCAAGACAGAGACGCTTTCGAAGCGTGCTGTGGATATCTTTGTCAAGGCACCTGGTGAAGTATTGCAATTGAAGCAGAAACTGGACCAATTGGATGTTGACGGTGCAGATTTGGCAGTTCAAGTTGTCGATGAGCAATTGCAACGCAGGCCTTTGAAGCTTTGTGTTTTCGATATGGACAGTACTCTGATCTACCAGGAAGTGATTGAGCTGATTGCTGCCTATGCCGGTGTTGAGCCCCAAGTACACGAGATCACTGAGCGTGCGATGAACAACGAGATTGACTTCAAACAGTCTCTCAGAGAGCGTGTGCGCCTGCTTAAGGGCCTAAAGATCGATAACTTGTACGAGGAGATCAAGCAGAAGCTACAGATCACAGAAGGTGTTCCCCAGCTATGCTCTACTTTAAAGCAGCACGGTATCAAATTGGCAGTCTTGAGTGGTGGTTTCATTCAGTTTGCCTCGTACATCAAGGATCAATTGTCTCTGGACTATGCGCGTGCCAACTTACTTGAGATGGACGACTCTGGTGTGCTCACTGGTGAGGTCATTGGTGAGATAGTGGACGGGCAGTGCAAAGCTGAGACCATCAAGCAGTTGTGCAAGGACTGGTCCATCGATCTTGAGAATGTGTGCATGATTGGTGACGGTGGTAACGATCTTCCATCAATGCACGTTAGTGGGTACGGTATCGCATGGAACGCCAAGCCCACTGTGCAGAAGCAGGCACCTTCCAAGCTAAACACCAAGTCTTTGGCAGATGCATTGTACATCTTTGGCATTATAGAGTAATATTAAGCAAATTGTAATTGTATAAAGATTTGTCTCGTATATATGAAATGTAGCTGATAAGTGAATATAAGTCAAGTATCAGTTGTGTCTTTTATGAATATAGATTCATGATAGTTGTTTTGTGAGATATAACTGAGGTATAATTTGTATTAAATTATGAGAAAAGTACAAAATTACAAGTTTTTGAAAAAAGCTATGAGGGGGGGTTATAAATTGTAATCTATCAGATTTATTTTCTCGGAAAAGAAATCCAATTGCATTAGAATTGAAGTCATTCTTTTGGCGGGGGGTTATTTAGACGTTGTTGGCAATGGCTTGCTTGATAGCAGCTGGGTTGGCACCGACGACCTTGGCGACTTCCTTACCGTTCTTGAACAAGACCAAAGTTGGCATAGCGGAGACTTCGTTCTTTTGGGCGACTTCTGGCAACTCGTCGACATCTAGCTTGTAGAAGTCAGCGGTAGAGTATTCAGCAGCGAACTTTTCGATCATTGGGGCGATCATCTTACATGGACCACACCAGGTGGCGAAGAAGTCGACAACGACCAACTTGTCAACAGCAATAGCACTGTCGAATTCAGAAACACTTGTGATTTGCTTGACCATTTTTTATTAGATTATGTATGTGTGTGTGTGAGTTTGTTTTATTTAGTTTTGTTCTGTTTGAAGCAATACGATGGAGAGGATGTAGAGTGAAAAACCAGTCCCCTTTTATACTGATGGGACCCAGGTGGAACACAGTGGCGAACCCTAATAGTTCTGGGTCCCCCCAAGTCCCCTTTGTAATGAGAACGAGATAGAAGGGGAGAGGACCCCATCTCTGCGACAATCCTCTGCAATCAGAAGCCCCCCAACGAAATTACAAATTCCCAGGTGGGAAACCCTAATGCTAAGCTCTCTTTGTCTATCTGCCTTCTTAAAGCTCGGTCCCAGTCTTCTCTTTGAAGTGGGAAATCAATTTTTCTGCTCGGGGGGAGGGATTTGTGCGGGTGTTTGTGTGCTGTTGTTGTTCTAGAACACCAAGGTTCGGCTTAGTACCTATCATTACGTTATCGCTTCTCGAAGGTCCTCCCCATTATCTAATGAACCCTAGGGCTTCCTTTGCAATATCGATAGTAACTGTAATAGAGTAACTGATAGTTTAAAGTTCCAGTACTGTGATAGAGGTTTTCTAGTGTATTAGAGGTTCTATTATGACATAAGGCCCTGGGTGCTGTGACAATGGTTTCTGTTGTGTATATTTTGTTTATTTCGTTACTTAGTTCTTACAAACACTCAGCTTCTTGGAGCTATTTTGAAAGTGAGGATGTCGTTCTTGCCTGGCAGCACGGGTGTCTCTTCCGAGACACGGACGCTGCCAACTGTCTCTATCGCGGCGACAGTGACATCGCCCAGTATGTAGCGGGCGACTTTGCCCACTGGTGTGCCGCGCTTCACCAGGAAGCAGTCCCGGAACACATTGGTGCCGTTCCCACCCGTGAATGTGGTCATGTTCTTGACAGTGTACACGGGGATCAGGTCCAGAACATCGGTGGCCGCTTGCAGGACTTGCACCACACCCGTGGACCCAAACCTGTACAGCACCAGGTCGCGGATGTTCTCTATGCGCGCTAGCGACTTCTCGTCCAGGGGCTTCAACGACGGGTCGTCCTCGCACGTATCCACAAACTCGGTCCCGGAGTCATACTGGATGAACCCTTGCTTCTTCAACTTCCTCAAAAACACTTCCGTGATGGCACTGGTCAACACTGCTTTTGTCTCGGGGTATTTTAGCATGATCTTGGACACATTCTTGTCAGCGTCCGGGTGGTCGATCTTGTTCAACGCTAGCACCGTAGGGAACTTCTCCATCATAAAGGACTTCACCACTTTCGTTATCCACTCGTCGTCCCACTTCTCCAGAGGTGGCAGCCCCTCTAGCCTGTCCAGGCACCGTTGCACCATGGGGATCAGCGAACCATAACCACCGAACTGCGCTTGTAACGTGTCCACAACACTGGATTTCGTAGCAGTGTGCCTGCGGACAATCGACCCCCACCTTTTCTTCAAGTTGTTCTCTATCCACAGCCTGATCTCGTCTTGCAGCCATTCAATATCGTTCAATGGGTCGTAGCCCCGGCAGTTCTTACCTTCCGCATCAGTGGTACCACTGACATCCACCACATGGATCAGCGCATCCGCATGTCTAAGGTCATCTAAAAACTTGTTACCGAGACCCCTACCAGAGTGTGCACCAGGCACCAACCCTGCAACATCCAGAAGCATGATCGGTATATGTCTCTTACCCTTCTCACACCAGCCGTAGTTAGGCTTACATAGCTCCTCCTTCCCAAACCGGCTGCACGCACAATCGACTTGCAAGTACCCAGTGGCCTTGTTGGGCTCAATGGTGGTGAACGGGAACGACCCCACAGCCGCAGATGCATCCGTCAGCGAGTTCAACGTAGTAGACTTACCGGACGAGGGCTTGCCCACAATTCCAATCAAGGGATCCCTAGGCATTGTTCTAATTAAAGTTTGGTCCTAGCCGCGTGTGTCTATCAAACCTAAATCAACACAGCTCTGAGACTATATCCACAATCTCCCGACTTGCAAACTTCCTTCTATACTCATCTACCATATTCTAGCAAAGCTCATCGCTGTTTTTTTTCACTTTGTGATTTCTTTTTCGCAAAGTGAAAAAAAAATTTGACGAAATCGGATGCGATGAGCTGTGAAGAAAAAAAATAATTAGATGAGCTTCACTCATATTTAAGAAGTTGTCATTTGGGTTCAGTGGATGACTTCATTACTTTATTTGGCCATAGCACCTGTATGAAGAGAACATTTGGAGATATGTCAGAAGATAAACTGTTTAAGCCGGTCGGTGAAGCTGCCAACGAAGTACAAGAAGAGAATGACAACGGTGTGTCGTTGACTGGGGCCTCTGATGCCATGGGTCACCCGGTTCAAGAGATTGAGTCCCTATGTATGAACTGTGAGAAGAACGGTGTTACTAGATTGCTGCTGACTTCTATTCCTTACTTCAGAGAAGTGGTGTTGATGTCTTTCGAATGTCCTCACTGTGGTTTCAAGAACTCTGAAATTCAGCCAGCTAGCCAAATCCAAGAAAAAGGTTCCAAGTACCAATTGAAAGTTGAGTCTAAGGAGGACTTCAACAGACAAGTCGTTAAGTCTGAAACTGCTACCTGTAAGTTTGTTGAACTAGATGTCGAGATTCCAGCTAAGAGGGGCCAGTTGACCACCGTTGAAGGTCTTCTGAGTGAGATGATCGAAGATATTGAACAGGATCAAGAGATGAGAAAATCAATAGATGAAAACCTGTACAACCAAATTGCGGAGTTTATTAAGAAAGTCAGATCATACATTAACTGCGAGCCAGGTACATTGCCTTTGACATTCATACTCGACGATCCATCTGGTAACTCTTGGATTGAATATAAACCTGGAGAACCTCAGCACAAATGGTCTCACGTCCAATATGTCAGATCCGATGAACAAAACGTGGTTGTAGGTATCCTAACCGAGGATCAATATGAACAACGCCGTAGAGCCAAGTTGGAAGAATTGTCAAACAAGGGTAGAAACCCATCAGAAAGTGTTAAAGTAGGCAGTGCTAATGCTGAATTTCTATCAGATGCCACCGATATTGAAAACTTCAACAATGAAGTTCAAACTTTCAGAGCCTCATGTCCTTCCTGTACCCAAGAATGTGAAACTCATATGAAGCCTGTTAATATCCCACACTTCAAGGAAGTTATCATTATGTCTACAACTTGTGAGCACTGTGGTTATAAGTCTAATGAAGTTAAGACTGGTGGTTCTATCCCAGAGAAAGGTAGAAAGATTACTTTGCTATGTGATGATCCTGCTGACCTGTCGCGTGATATATTGAAGTCTGAAACATGTTCACTACACATCCCAGAGCTACACTTGGATATACAAGAAGGTACTTTGGGTGGTAGATTTACCACTCTGGAAGGTTTATTAAAGCAAGTCTACGAAGAGTTGGAGTCCCGTGTTTTTACGCAGACTTCTGATTCCATGGATGAAGCTACTAAACAAAGATGGGTGGACTTCTTTGCCAAATTGAAAGAGGCTCTTGATGGTAAGGTACACTTCACTGTTATTATGGAGGATCCATTGGCTGGATCGTATATTCAAAATGTCTATGCACCAGATCCAGATCCTAACATGAAGATAGAGGACTACGAAAGAACCCAACAACAAAATGAAGATTTGGGTTTGAATGATATGAAAACTGATGCTAACTAGGTGATGACTTTCTTCAAATAATCAATCTTTCTTTTGATTAGAGTGTGTAATTTATAAAGATGGCATATTTTTAATGGTGTTGTTCTTTAAACTAAGCATGAAATTTATAATTGCATTCAATTGCTTTAAAACACCTAGATTAGAGCACTATTCATAACTTTGATTACTTATAATTCTCTTATTTATGTATCCTTTTATGTCATGAAATATTTTTTATTGGTTTTAATGCTATATATATAATTATCGTTTTGGTATTAAACTTGGTGGTTACAGCATGATTGGGAAATACTCAAATTCAAGTTGCCTCATCGCCAAAAATATTGATTAGCAATTTTAATCAGTTTAGGTCAATTTCATAAATTAGTCTCTTAAATTCGAATAACGTTGTTTCTCAGTCTTTAAGGCAGGCTAGATCAAACATGGTACGTCATTTAGGAGGAATTGAGCAGTATTTCTATCAAAGAAGCTCGCTGAACTTACATTCATGCTTCTCAGTTGGCGTTGAACTAAATAGTCTTCCGAATAGGAGTGATTTCATTTGTGCATTACGGAGAGTTGTAAACTCACACTTCCAGTTATATTGTAATGCTTACAAGAGTAATAATGAGGTAGTGGTGAATCCAATTGGGGAACCGATTAAATTTGATGATGTAGTGGATTATATGGATTGGGATACTTATGGTGAAGAGGAAATTAACAGTGTATTCCGTAAATATAACTTTGAATATGGTGTTGATAAACCCCTGTGGAAGGTAATAGTAGTCCCAAAGGCTAATAAAATGATATTTGCAACCGATCACCTTTTCTTTGATGGTATTGCTACGGTTCTGTTTTGGACTGAGTTACTAAAAAGCCTTGAGGAATTGAAACAAGACAATGATCTTGATGTTGATGAAATTATTTATAGACCAGGTGGAAGCACAGACTCAATTGATCAGTGCCATCCTTATGAAAAACTCCCAATTCCCTTTAGCTGGAAAGTTAAAAGACCTATCGTTAAAGCTTTATTCACTATTGCACCTGGAGCAGTAGTATCTCAGGATGCTAGTATTATCCAGTTTGATGAATATAAGATTCCTGAAGATTATCTTAAAAAAAATTCTAATGATGACGGTTGTTATCAGATCAAGAACACCAATCGCCAAATCTCTCTCAAAATGTCTTCCAATAAACTAAAAGTGATAATGAAAGATTGTAAGCAGCACCATGTTTCTTTCACTGCATATCTAACAGCAGTTTTGTACCTAGCTTTAGGTAAAATTCCCAAGGAGAAGTACAGCGGCTCTACTATAAAATATGAAGTACCTATGAATACCAGGAATAGAATATCAAATTCCGGGGAGTATAGCAACAGCTATGGTACTTTTGTTGCAGGTGGTGAATTTATAGAGACTTTGGACTTTGAGAGAGATGAATGGGAATTGGCTCAATCAATACATAAAAAGATTGTTGAGAAATCAACCACAGGCGTTATGGATGCCATTAATGAGGCACGATTGCTTGAATTGGTGGATGCAAAAAAATTTATGAAGATGAAATTTGAAACAACTACTGGTCCTAGCTCAACTTTTGAAGTAACAAATCTGGGTTTTCAGAATTTTAGTCAAAATGAGCATAGCAAGTATACTGTGACAGATGCTTTTTTTAATGAGCCTCAACTGTTTACTAATCTAATAACATATAGTGTTATTTCTACGCCTAGCGGAGGGCTAAACTGTTCAATGGCGTATCCAGAAAAGCTTGATAGCATCCTGTGTAATTCAGTAGCATTTCTCAAAAATAAATTCAACTGAACTTTAGTAGTCAATAAATGACGGTGTTGTAAACTATTAAAAATTACAAAATTAAATATTAAATATTTATATTACACTTAAAATTCAGTTTTTGACATACGGTTTTCTGAACCATCTTCAATATCGGCTTCGATGTCGAGCGAGCTATCATTGTCCTCGGATTCATAATCCTTGTCAAGCTCGGACTGGATCTGGATTGATTCTCTCTGAATCTCGAAAATGTTGTACTTCATCATAAATACAATGGTAATTAATGGCAGTAAAAACATTGGAGTAGCGTCGAATATGTAAAGGAAGTACTCATGGGAAGTGATGTAACCATCATAACCTTGAATGAATTCAACGGTTCTAACGATTGATCTAACTAAGATCATAGCGCTGTTGACAATCAATATCCAGTTGTAGTATATCCATGTGTTACTCTTGCTGGCAATTTTGTTCTTATTCCTCAGTGCCCTAACCCTAATGACAAACAGGAACTCGTTTATCATGAAGATACCAAAGAAGGCTATTTGAATAAAAAGACCTACGGTGACTATATTTGAGCCCGCCTTTTCAGTGGATGCGCTGGCTTGCATACCACCACCTGCTGCTTGCAATAGCAAACTTGCTACATCACCAAGCACAAAGATAACAGTGTTAAACCTAGCGGGCATGATCATCAAATTCTCAACAAACATGAGGTGTGCCATTCTTCCAAAAACCATATATATACTTGCAGCGTATAATGTAGGCCCCACGAGTAACAGCACCACTTGCACAGCAAATGGGGGCAACGAGTAAACATCATGACGGGAGACAGATCTTGCGATATAACCAACGACTTCGATGATGCATCCCACAATTAACGGTATATGGGCAGCAAATAGCTTGAAGGTATTATAATGACGAATATTGGCGTAGTATGTTGGAGAGTTCATCCATTGCGTCAGGAACTGTCTATGCGATTTTGTTAGAATCCACAGCTGTCCGGTGATTATTATTGCGGCTATAAGAAACAACACCGCGAACGCGATGGAAGCACCCAGGTTGGGTGTATATTTGTAGAAATCAAACTTAAAGTCATCAGACAGATTTATGGTACTGTTTGTAGACATAGTTTAATGTGTCAGGATCTTATGCAGGTATATAGTTTAGAATTGGGAGAATGCCAGATAAAAGAAAATGGGGGTTCTAGTCTTAGTAGAAGTCTTTATACTTATCGAATGTACTTTAAGAATGATTAACAAAGAGATGATTGCTTTATTCTCGAATTGTGTCTTCCAAATAGAGCTAAGCCAGGGAGTACTAAAATTAATAGCCATGCTAGAGATGAGCTCCAGAAAAGCAAGAATAACAATAAATCAAGATCAAATAGCAATGTGATTCTCATTATCATAATAATGCCATTCCGTGGAGTAGGCAATCCAGTAAGAGAAAACACTGGAAGAGACGAAAACCCTTCTTGAGATCACCGTGATCACAAAGCTCCGCGGACAAAGGACTTCCTCTTTAGATCCCATTTTATGAGAAATAGAAGTTGCTTTTTTTTTTTTGCTTCCACACAAACACTAGTAGTGCTTCGAGAAGGAAGAATCAGCTGCCGTAACGGTGTTCTATGCATTATTAGAGCTTTCCTTGCAGTGATTTACTAATCTGATTAAAAGACTGCAGAAGTGCAGCCCCCCACCTCTCCCCCTGTTCTCTGCTTACTTTTATTTTCTTAAATTAATTCTTTGCCTATTCATTCACAGAATATTAAGGAGGGTTGCGCCCCTCTGCAACAGATGCCCTAGACAGGGACACTACAAGCCTTGTTTTTTCTTTCTTTCTTTTTTTTTGGTAATTTCTTGCGATGCATCTCGGATCTGGGAAACCACCTTATCTTCTGTGGACCCTCACTGGGGGTGGGGGGGTGGTAATACCTAACGCGCGGTTGTGTCTTAGACATATTGCAAATACTGCCGTCAGCCAACGAAAATGTTGCTACGCTGTTATAGAACTAAGCCATTGCGATACTGGGTCAAAAGGCTTAGATGTTTGTGTCAGCTATGTCGTTGCGTTGGATGGAACGTTGTGCTGGGCGGCTACTTGCTTGGGATCCCGGGGAGGTATACATCTCATCGCGCATTTCAAGGTGAAAAAGTTACTCGCTTCGCTTGGTTTTCAACATCCTAACTCAACTGAGAACTGTTACCAACCTTGTACCGACCCTGTACCGACCCTGTACCGACAAATATGCTGCGGAGTTTGTTTGTGACTCTTTTGATTTTATGTTGTTTTGGGGTACAAGATTTGAGATCATATCACGTGAAGTGTGTATATCTACGAAAGATGTTGGATGGTTCGTTAAAGGATACTATTAAACACGTGGGGAAATGAAACGCGAAAATCGTTTTTTTTCTATTTTCCTTTTTTTTTAAATCAGTTTTTTGGCGTTTCATTTCTGGGCTTCCTCTCTTCACTCTTGTTCTTGTGAAACAGAATTGTTTCACTCATTGCACTACGGATTGAAGTGTGGGCTAAGATAGTTATTTTCTGGCGGAGGTGGTCAACTGTCTTTCCTTCTATTACTCTCGATCACACCTCTGTTCTAAGTAGCCCATTGTTTCTTTGTTTTCTTCGAATATCTAACATTTTCGTGTTTTGGTGTTATGCATCATAACCGAAAAAAAAGACAAGCTTTAGTCCTCACTGCATTTTAAACTTATTTCTCTTGGTGCAAATTTTGGCGTCACCCTTCCCATTGCATTTCAGTTTAGAAAAAGCCAAGAACAGCTCTTAATATGAAGAACTCGATGTTAATCCTGAAAGGATAATCCCATTAACTGGATTTTGTTTATGATCAACAGAGATACATCATAAATCCTTTTTTTTCCAATACCCTTTAATATATTGTTGCTTGCTATTAACTTTTATATTGGAAAAAACAACAACCAGGTAATGCTTTAATTTGTCTAAAGGCAGTTGTAATTATAACAAACAAAGGTCGATCAAGCAGTCGTTAGCTCATATAGTACTATCGCTGAGATATATTCTGTTGGTTTGGCCTGCACTTCCAATAATCGAAAACTGGCATTCAAATAACGCCAAAGTCATACACTCGTTCTGTTTGTTTATCCACACCATAATACGCATACTAAAATTTGAATAAGAGATACCAATAGCTAAGTGGACGTGCCTTAAGATGGAGAATAGTGAATTTGGGAAGGGACTCGGTATATACTATGATTTCGATCAAAGGAGTGATGGGATGGTACCTGATGACCCGCCTCAGAACAACGACGATGCGTCTTCTATGGATGATGAAGAAATGAATTCATATAATAGTCCCAATGGCTCTAATAGACTGAAGTTTTATCCATATTCTAATAACTCAATGACAAGAAGTGTGGCTACATTGAACTTGTCTATCTCAAACTCGCATAATCAAGTAGAAGAAACGTTACCATCCAAGAACAACAGAATACGACAAGGTTTGGATTTTGGAATACCTTCAAGCAACACGAGACTACAACTACCTGCAATAACAAAGACCACTGTTGATTACTCAAAGACAGAGAATAAAAATTTCAACATGGAAACGTGTTTAAATGATTGGTCACCTTTTAACTACAACGGTTCAAGCTCATCTAACTCTTCCAAGAGTGAGTTGTCACCATTCGTTAATAACCCAGAGACTCTTAAAAAATGGAGTTGGATGCCAAAACAAAACAAAAAGCACGGGAAACCATTGGATAAAGCGAATATAATAATCACACAAACACCTAGGAATACTAGCAAGAACCATCCAGATTTTGAAATTGCGAAACCGGATCCTTCCGCCTTCGAAACTTCTGGGTTGAAACCAAAAAGTTTACTCAACACAGCACAAAAATTAGCTGTACCTAATACACCTGTTAAGAAATCACCTTTCATAGATACTGGTAATACCTTTTCAAGCGCATCTCGAGTAGCAGATAGCAGTATTCTTGAATTTTCTACTTTGAATTACAGAAATTCAACGACAGGTCATACATCGTTTTTATTCTCTCCATCTCTAAATAAGACACCAGTTCATGATAAGTTTTATAACTCGACTGGTATCTTGGATGACTCTCCTTTACAGCTCTCAAAAGGACAAAAAAGCAACAATAAGGATTTTAAACAAAATAATGTTAGGCCATTGCACTCAGAATCTAATACGCCGGATTCCACTCACAAAGGTTCATACAAAAAGATAAAAAAATCTAGGGATTCTGTAATACTAAAAAATATCGAATTATCTAATAGTCTTCTACAATTTACAAACGATCTGTATGATGAAGAAGAAAATCGGAACAATAACAAAGAGAACCACCCTACTATTTTCGAGTCTGAAGCTGATGATGAATGTGTACCGCCTGCTGGTAAGGCTGATGATCACAGAAGAGATAAAAATTGCGGATTATCCCTGCATATTTCATCACCCAAATACAATAGTCAAATCTCCACTAAAAGTAACGTGAATCACTTAATTACCGTAGAGTCGTCATATGATGTGAAAAGCCTTCTGACACCAACAAGAACTAAGTCTATTGCTGGTGCGAAGATGACTGATAAATTAGCAAATCCATACCTGAATGAGGAATTGTCTTCATTCGATGGCTTATCTCCATTGAGCTCAAAGAAAAAGATACATAATCAAGAAAACCCTGATATGCATTTATCGAAGAAATTTGAGGATATTTCCATTATTGGGCAGGGACCTTTTTCTACAGTTTATTATGTTGTTGATCCTGAAACTAATAAGAAGTTTGCAATAAAATCAATGCAAATCAACAAAAAGAATCCCATTAAAAGAATTTTACAGGAAATCAATTTATTAACAGAGTTTCAATCGACAAATCTTGATGAAGAAGGCAAGGAATACATTATTGATTATATAACGTCCTGGAAATATGGGGACTCATATTATATTATGACTGATTTTTACGAAAATGGAAGTTTAGATAAATTTTTGCAAGAGCAAGTGGTGTCAAAGAAAACTAAACTAGAGGACTGGAGAATATGGAAAATCATGGTTGAAATTTGCCTTGGTCTACGTTTCATACATGATTCTTGTCAGGTCGTGCATCTCGACTTGAAACCGGCTAACATATTTATCACATTCGAGGGTAACTTAAAAATTGGAGATTTCGGCATGGCTACTCATTTGCCATTAACTGACAAGTCTTTTGAGAATGAAGGTGACAGGGAATACATTGCACCTGAAATAATTACCGACTCAGTATATGATTTTAAAGCTGATATATTCTCATTGGGTCTGATTATGGTTGAGATAGCGGCAAATGTTATTTTACCTGACAATGGTAATGCATGGCACAAGTTACGCTCAGGTGATTTATCCGATGCTGGACGCTTGAGTTCAACAGATATTCACTCAGAGTCTTTATTTTCTTCTGTCACCAAAGTTGAAAAAGGTAACTCAGGGTTGTTGGATTATAACCGTGAAGTACTTTCTCAGATTGATTCCAACGCCTTCGAAGGAAACTCAAACCCAGTCTTGGATCTCCCCCATTCTTCCACAACCAAAGTTTCCAACAAGCTAAACTCGAATATCAACGCAGAAAAGCAACACTCGAGAGATTCTATACCAGCTTGGGTTCCTAAGTTCCTTATCGATGGAGAATCACTTGATAACATCGTCAAGTGGATGATAGAGCCGAACTACAAAAGACGTCCTAGCGCCGATGAAATTTTGCATACTGAAGAATGTTTGTATGTAGAGATGACTAGAAAAGCAGGTGCCATTGTTCAAGAGGATGATTATGGACCTAGGCCAGAGTTTTTCCAGTAATAACAGTAGTATTATGAGTAACGAATAAGTAAAAAAAATTTATAATGCGAATGAAAATGATAGTACAGTTATTTAAATGAAGATTGAATTAAAAATGCTAAAATTAAAGTTATTGGAATAAACCATACACAGGCAAGTAAGTAGTGGCATGGTTGGAAAATGTGAGGTAAGTACGATATATATCAGAGACCAATCACAATCTTCTACCTCTTCTACCACCCTTCTTTCTGGTGGAATCGGATGGAACTGGAGTAACGTCTTCGATTCTACCAATTCTCAAACCAGATCTAGCCAAAGCTCTCAAAGCGGCTTGACCACCAGGGCCTGGGGTCTTGGTTCTAGTACCACCAGTGGCTCTGATCTTAACATGGACAGCAGTAATACCGACTTCCAAACACTTAGCGGCAACATCTTGGGCGGCCAACATAGCAGCGTAAGGAGAGGACTCATCTCTGTCAGCCTTAACCTTCATACCACCAGTGACTCTGGAGATGGTTTCTCTACCAGACAGGTCGGTAACATGCACGAAAGTATCGTTGAAGGAAGCGTAGATTCTAGCAACACCAAAGACTTGGGAAGCGTCACGGGATTGAACAAGGTCTGTACATTACAACTTACCTAAGAATTGTACGGAGCGGCATGGCGACATAAACAGTGTAACCATCTACATGATTTCGTTGACCATAGTTGTGGATGATCTTTCTGTTCTGTCATATCCGAACTTCGGTTACATTCTCGGTTAGAGAGCTTATTGTTAGTAATGCCGTTCTCAGCACAATATTTATTTTATACAAGTGAAAGCGCAGATATTTTTTACGTTATTTTTTGATCTTATAAGAGTTGTGAGATTGTGATTGGAAGGTATTAGTACAGTCACAGACTCGTGCAGTAACCGATTTATCATCACTAGTATAGCAACAGTATACTTGAGACTAGCATAACGATTATTATCACGAGTCAAACATGACAAAACCACTTCTGACAACATTAGTCTCCACCACGCATTCAATTGAAGTTCTAGATAAGAAAACCTGCAATTGCGCTTCAGAAACTAATATCAATCAAAGAAGTGAATAAACACATTCAAACGCACAAATCTCAATGTCCTTATAAGAATAACTATCTGGTTTTTCACAGGAAATCACCCCATTTAACGTACCTTTAGCCATTCTTAAGTATATTGAGTTTTGTTTTCTTGGTCAGCTACCAAATGTGAAGAGAGAGCAGTGATAACTAATGCGGGAAAGAGAGATGTCCCGCCATGGCTTTATATACCAATTTGGATTCTTGGCTCTGCAAAATTCCCAGCAAAAATTCCAGTTTTGCGCGATGACAACGTTTATCCTATCTGGGTAAGTCATTGCTCTGCTTGTAATTGTTGTGTAAACTAGTCCTCCCAAAATTCTATTTTTTGATGATGTATGGGTGTTTCCAAACATCTTTGATTTATGTGACTTACCAAATTTCCTAATATGGTGGTCATTTCCTATTATGGGTATATATTACCTAAAGGGGATACTTTTGGATCTAAGTTGACGATTCTTGTTTGGGATCATTCTGGACCAAATCATGTGATATGTACGTATATCACGATGATGTTGAAGTCCAGTCCTCTCGAAAAGAGCAAAACTCAGGTAATCCAGCACAATACAATAGCAGTGCAAAAAGGTGGCACACATACAAGTTTAATTAAAGAGTAGCAATACCAGTACTTGCTGAAAATTCTTACCATTAGAAGATTGGTAGCATTACTAGTAGTGGTATTGGAAGCAAAAACAGATATTACTCTGAATTCTAGTCAAATTCGTGAAGAAAACCGGTGAGAATTGAGAGAGTATAGGGTAAAGGGTTACTAAATTACATCAGGTACAGTCAATTTTTGGTTTTATACCGAATCATAACATTTAAATACAGAGTTATAACAAAAAATATAATGTGGAAAAGTGTGATATATTTGTTTGTGCTACTTCTAGGTGTAATCAGAGCCGAAGACGTGAAAGACTTGAGGAACAACGAGGTCTCTATAAAAGGGCGTCTGGAATTAAGTGAGATCGATATTAGTGCTTATATGATTCCTAGGTGCAGCTTTAGGCTATACCAAATAGGAAATTACTCTGCGGACAAGCCATTCCATCAGATCACTAGAATAAAGGATAAAAACGGGACTTTTGAATTTAATCATGTACCCATAAATCATGGCGTCAATGAAAGTACCTATTTCGTTATGACTCCAAGCTCTAGAGATTTCAACCTCCTTCCACAAAGGGTTCTGGTGGAAGTGACAAATATTTTCAATGAGACTACTGGAAAGGTCGAACAGCAATTGAAGGCATTTAGAAACTATTTTGGTAGAGAATATTTCCCCTCCAAAGATATTCACTTCCCTGACAAGTTAGAAGAGATGGATGCTTTACCTTACATATCCATAAAGATGTCTAAGATGCTTCCATTCAGAGATTATTTGCAACAAAGAAATGTAGGATTATTGCAGAGTGGTCCATTGGCAGGAATTTTGAATTCTAAGTGGAAAATAGCCGCAGTCATTACTCTCTTGGCTCTGATGACATTCCCATATTTAGTTGAAAAGCTTGATCCAGAAACAGCAAGAGCTATGAAAGAAGAAGCAAGAAAAAAGCAAAGAGAGAAGTATGTGGTAAAGGAGGAATAAATGTAAATATTACTCTAGCTCCTTTTTTACATTCCATACTTCATTATGAGAATATTGGACAGTTTATACAAAATATCAATGATATGTAGATAGAAGGGAAAGTAGTGTATGTCAAAAAAAAAAATGCAGCATTCTATTAAATTTGAAGTATGTATGTATGTTTTGGTGGTTTGTATGTACGACATGAATAAATGATCTGCCAAATATTGTAATTATTATTCTCAGTTAAATTAGTTTAAAGACCAGTTCGTTGAGTTTTTCTTCTATTATAATATCAATCACAAAATATGCAACACCTATTTATTGGCATGTTTTTGGGTGCTGCTATATCTTTCATATAAGAAAAGACCAATTGCATTAAGGGAAAGGCCTACTATTTGTAACAAGGTAACATGAATTCCGGCAAATAACCAACTAACAGATATGATTGCAATTCTTTTCATCAAGTTGGCAATTGAGTATGTTAAAGTTGATACTTCTCCTAGTAGGTGAAAAGTGATCATTGCTTGCATGAAATGGAATACACCATTAAGTAAAAATAAAGTCCATGGAATAGTTGAAATTATCAACGGTTGGCCATCACTCTGCGTAGTGTAGCCACACAAATATCTCCAAACAGTTGAAAATTCTATCGTCATAAACCAGAAAAATGACAGGCTAAAGCCAACCAAAGATATATAAATCATTAATGTTAACTTATCGTATTTCGTTGTTTTGGGCGACAAGGTTTTACTTTCGGAATATATTGGTAGTTCGCTAGGATTATCGCCTAAGTTGTATATGCTCTTTTTCTTTGGAATCATTGTCTTTTCATGGTTCCTTTTGTAAGTGAATACCTTCTTACCATAAATATTCTGCATGACGAATATGAACATAGATATGATTGCACATACTATACCGTAGTTTGATGATCTACCACTTTCAGTATCAATCAGTTGTGTTTTCTTCTTTGAAGCTAGCTTCTGTTTGTTATCTTCATTCACAATTAGCCACACACCAAAAATCAATGCGGCCAAACTTGTCAGGATTCTAACATTCAGATTTACTGTTGGCATCTTCAGCATTTTCTGAAATATAACAATAAAAACAGGTGACAATGTCTTCACACTGGCAACGGTTGATACCGGTACTAATGCTGTTGCAGTGTGGCCAAAATATTTACCAACAAATTGAAAAAAACTGAGCGGTAATACGGTAGTTATAATATGTTTGGAAGGTCTAGTAATAGCATATATTCTTTCTTGATCCCTTTCATTTTCATGTTCATGAATAGTAACATAGTACCTAGGAAATGTGCCCTCAGGAAATAGATCATAGATCCATCTATAATTGAAGGCTAATGCACAAGAAATAGCTGCTAATAAAGCTGTGAACAGAAACTGAAATTCTCCTAAAAATAAGGGAAGAGGGCATATGGTCAGTATCTGTTTTGTAACTTGTGATGCAAGTGAGCTAATGAAATACCAACATAGACATAGTGTTATGATATGGATATTTGTCTGGACAGAATGTGGCAACTTAGTCAACATTTTTCATGTTTCTCTATGAGCAACCAATTTCTCCTTTAATAATTAGATGGCCGATTGAATACTGTACAGTTGCGACTTGTTGATGACTTCTACTATCTTATTGACTCTATAAGAGTCGGGGAGTAAATGCACTAGATTTTGCTATATCACTTTTTGAAGTGAGATGGCCAGGCTTATGCTTCCTAGACTATTTTTGATATTTTTTCAAGCTTCTTGTTCGCGCGTCCTTGATAGTGGTGATTTTCCTCCATTTGCCAGATTGATAAAGAAAATGGGCAATCACGGGATTAGTCAAATCAAATAATGAATTGCTCCGCAATATAAGCTCGTATTGTTAAGTGATGTTCTTTCTATAATATATATATAATTGATTAGTTACAAGTGATTTAAATTTAAATCTATGCTGTTATAAATTATGCAAGTGATGAAATATGGTATCAAGCAGGTCTCATTTTGGCATGAGCTGAAATGAAAGTGATAGCACTTGATGGTAAAGAATTATCTATAAGGTTGTCCAGCAACTTCTTCATCCATCTCAAGCAATACCATATTGCAAATATTCTTTTTTTTTTTATGATTATAATTTCAGATTATCAAAAGCTCTTTCAAAATATCAAACTTTGACATCTCTTGATTAAATTCGTTATTGTCCACAGTACCTTTGATCAACTTCACCATACCTCTTCTCTTACCTGATATTCTTCCTGTGGTTATCGTGGCAACACCCATCATCTCTAGGGCGTTACAGATTTCCAAAAATTCGTTCCTCTTTAAAGCTACAAAGTTTTCTGAGCCGCGAAGTAGCTTCAAGTAATAATCGTAGGCGTCATCAATTGTACAATGACCTTGAAAGATATCTATCTTCTGTCTGTGAATTAGGGTACACAGCACGATTCTCTGTTGCATGTTAAGTTTTGTAATCATTGATTTTGTGGACTGGGTGTTATTTATTTGTGTGAACACTTTGGCGATGTGTTGAAGTCCAACCTTCATAGGTTTATTCTCAGCTGGCAAAGGTCTATCATTTTCATCGGTGACACATCTTCTTGAAGCAGTTATTCTCTCCAACTCCATAACTTCCACACTGTTTCTTAATATATCGAGTAATTTTCTCAAATCACCAGTGTTACCTGAGCATTTTTTAGCTGCAAACCTTATGGCCATGGGGTTGAAAAGCGATTCCTCAGTGGCCAGTAAAACCGAGTTGATACGATGGTTGATAATTTCGTACATCTGGTCGGCAGTATATGGTTGAAAGACCACCGTTTCTGGTAGCAGTTCCTGTTTTAAGTTTAATCTGGACAGAAATCTATCCTTTAAGTCAAGACTGTTTGCGATACCGATCAGCAACAGTTTGATCTCTGGTAGTTTTGCTAGTAGAAACAATTCGAAGATAACCTTTGTGGCGTTTACTGATGCAGAGTTTGTGTGAACCAATTTATCCATTTCATCCAGGATGACAATGAAGGTCATTTCGCTCGCGTATCTGGTCATAAAGTTCTTTAAGTCTAGCATTGTCTTGACGGAGTATCTTTGGGGGACAGCACGGTTACCGCCGTCGGAGTTTAGGAAGGACAAATAAATCTTGTTGAAAATTGAGGATGGATCATTGACAGTGATACAATTGATGGAAATAATGGCGACTTTCTCAACGTTACCGTTTGGTAGAACAAAATCGTGTAAATTCGTGATATCGCTCAATGGGGAGACTGGGCTGGCCACTGGTGTGAACCTGTGTTTCAAGATCGAGTTCAGTTGGGCTGTCTTTCCTGTGCCCGGTGGACCTGTTATGTACAGCGAGTCACTCCTACCCTCAGAAATAGCACTGTTCAAGAACTGGATCACTTGGTCGAATTGCGTTCTCCTTGAGACGAGACAGCCAGAGACGTCATCGTATTGCGTAGACGCTGATCTCTGTAAGCACGCCTTCACACGGGCAGTCAATGAGAGTAGACCATGCGACACACCCACGCATTGTTTCTTGGGGGAAGCCGCTGGCGAGGGCAGGGATTCCGCTTCCCTGTGTCTCTTGGTCTGGATCGGCGTCTCAAACACCAGCTTCGTCCTCTTCAATGGCACCACATTCACAGGAACATCCTTGGTAGGCGTCACCGGCAGAGGTGTATTCCTAGGTCTCAGCGCTCTCTGATACGACATCTCGGTTTGTTGTTTGTTTTGACGCTCTTGCACTTCTGTATTCAGAAGGGAACAACTCAGTTATCCACAAGGTTCAGTCTTATATACTCTGTGATAGTGTAACTCTAGATTTTAACGCGTCAAATCCGAAACGCCAAACAAGTTTTTTTCAGCAGGCTGCAGGCTCTGCAAGTTTTCTTCACTTTTTATTTTTCGTGACACTTACTATACCCAAAAGGGTAATTGAACAAAGGCATGTCTTGTGGGGATCAACGATTTCTACTGCTGGGATGTCCCTGCGTAGTTGTCCCTGCGTGGTTGTCCCTGCGCGGTTGTCTCTGTGTAGCAACAGAGACAGCATGTTGGGCGATTGTAGACCAATGTGGGCCTATTGTACGCGTTTTCTCTCTCTCTCCCCCGTCTCTCACTCTCTGCACACACGAAGGCAGTCGACTTGATCCAAATGGCATTTGAGTACAGGAAAGGCATGAATCGGCTGCTGCCCGTTTTCTTGGGTTCTCACTTCCCTGGTATTACCCGATTGGGATATGTAATGGGTGTCAGTGCTATTGTGCAGTGCTATTGTGCAGTGCTTCTCTTCCCACCACCCCACCCTAACAGGTAAAACGCCAGCCATCTGATTTCTTCCTTCGCCCCGAACTCTACGAAGGTTTTGCATAGATGACTTGAAAGCTACGAGAACGAGACGGGCCAAGGTGTACTGAAGTACGTGTGCCATGTGGTGTTACGTGTGCAGCTATGGGTAGATTCTCACATGTGATTTTGGTGGTCTCGACGGGTTTTGAGGGGGAAGAAGAAAGGAATCGCCTGCAGTAGTGATTTGTGTGTAAGGTATCGGTGTTTATCCAGTTATACCCATCTCTGTGTTTGTCTTCACTGGCTGTGCAAACTAATACTGTGCAGTCGCAAGTGCAAACTGTGTGGGGCACTGCGAATATTCTCTAGGGCAGACTTTTGCGGGAAAATTTCCAGGGGAAGGCGTTATAACGGATCCACATGCTAAGAATTGGATTTACTATATAAGCAGATTGTGTAGCAATTGTTTCAACTTCTTCAATTGCTACAAAGCTGATTACAAGAAAAAAAGACTGAAAATAAGAATAAAAATAAAAATAAAAAGAAAGAGGACGAATAGAACAAGATGTTGCAAGACTACACGCCGACAGTGGACAGACCGTTCTTCAACATATACCTGTGGTCCCACTTCAATGATGCGGCCAGCTATCTGACCAACGGGAGGTTTGTGCCAGATGAGTTCCAGTTCTTCCCTGGAGGACCCCCACTAAGTAAATTCTCGCATGTCCTCGTCGGCATCGCCACTTACTACTTGCTGGTCTTCGGTGGTAGATATATGCTGCGCAACACGAGACCTTTCAAGCTGAACACTTTGTTCCAATGCCACAACTTGTTTCTGACTTCTTTCTCTTTCTTGCTGCTGACTTTGATGGTGGAACAGCTGGTGCCTCTGCTCATCAGGCATGGTCTTTACGATACCTTGTGCAGTAAGTACGCCTGGACACAGCCACTGATGACTTTGTACTACTTGAATTACCTGACAAAATTCGTCGAATTCATAGACACTTTGTTCCTGGTGGTCAAACACAAGAACTTGACCTTCTTACATACTTACCACCACGGCGCCACAGCATTGCTCTGCTACATCCAACTGGTAGGCCACACCACCATCGCTTGGGTGCCAATCACTTTGAACTTGGGCGTACACGTCGTCATGTACTGGTACTACTTCCTGGCTGCTAGAGGTATCAGAGTCTGGTGGAAGGAATGGGTCACCAGGTTCCAAATCATTCAATTCATCCTCGACGTGGGCTTCATCTACTTCGCCGCTTACCAAAAGACCGCTTACAGATTCTACCCTTCATGGCCCCACTGCGGTGATTGCGTAGGTACTTTGACTTCTAATTATTCGGGCTGCGCAATCATCTCTTCGTACTTGTTCTTATTCATTGCATTCTACATCGAGGTCTACAAGCGCAGTGGCACTAAGAAACCTGTCACGACAAACAAGAAGAAAAATTGATTAAAGCATTGAACCTGATCAATAACAAAGATCATGGCTTTTCTTTTTTTGGGTTATCTGTGTGACCATTTGCCAGCATTTTAAGTGACCAAGAAAGAAAAAAATATGTGGAATCACCTTTCTGGGTCCATCATAACTGAATGGAAGGTCTTTAATTTGAAATAAGAGATTTTTGCATTCGAAATTATCCAGCAACACTTTCTTGCTATTTTCTCCCAGAAGTTTTGTTCGATATTACCTGTTTTATCAGCATCGGTATATCCTCATTGCATTCCATTCATCTTGCATATGCTTGACTATATTTCGCATATTTTTTCCATAAACTTTTCATTACTGTTGTCATAATTTTGTTGGTTATTGTAATAAGTCATTGGCTTTCATTTGATGCCTTTTCCTCCACACTATTTTTTATTGCATTACTTTATTTTATGTTTTTATTTCATGGTGGTTACTTTTCAGGCAAAGTGCACATCTACTAAAAGACTAAAATTGGTAAATGTATTTTTCATGTTGATACTAAGTCAAAAATACATATCTTTAGTCTTTTTTTTTTAATGCATTTTTATATTGTCCTGGATAAGACCAAACATAAGAAACTTTGTATCTCTACCTTATACAATCTTTCATATTCACATTGTAAACATCTGTAACTTTTAAATTTAAAAATAAAAAAATCGCGTTCTACTAGTATTTGTTATAGCTTACATGTCTTTTGTCTTGAATCAATGGTAGTTTACGTTGCCTCTCATCGATTATCTGTACAAAACGTTAAATATAGCAAGTATCGTCAAGTTCAACTATTGACACTTACCAAGACATGTCAATAAAGAATTCAAGTTTTTCAACTGTGCTATCCGGGTAACAGAAATTTCATAAAACAATGGGGTGCTTACAAAACCAGAGCTGCGAATCATGAAAACCAAGAAATCATTAATCCGCGATAGTTTAATGGTCAGAATGGGCGCTTGTCGCGTGCCAGATCGGGGTTCAATTCCCCGTCGCGGAGATTTTCTTTTTTTGTTTTAAGCAGTGCAAAATATCATAATATACGATGAGGCTTTAAATGACTTTCATTGTCTCTCAATGTCTCTCGCACAAGCTGAAACGGTATTTTAAAGGACAGTTAATCGAAAGGGCAAATCTATAGTAATTACGAACTCATTATATAAACATCAATTGACCACAATAGAAATTTCGATTCAAATTTTTACCAGGATACCTACCAGTTTTCCTTTTACTCTAAGAATCTTAAGATAGACTTAAAGGGATTTAGAATTATAAGTGTGACATTTATCATTAGTCTTTAAATTTCATCGATTCTGGAAAGACGCTACTACTGGCACATTCTTCTATCCTAGGAAATATTATTAACCAGAGTGATACCAATTTGTTTCAGTCTTGGTGTTTGAGTTAGAACTGTTTCAACCCTGAATCCATAGCTGACATCCAAAAAATAAACGCAAAACAACTTGAACAATCTATCGGTCGCTCTTGTCCCACACCATAATCTCCATTGAAACCTTACAGAGTTTAGTTGATTCGGCATATTATAATTCTTAAATTTTGTTTTGGTTGAGTGCTAAAGATATATTCGATTTCGTGCATTACAAACTATCAATACGATAAAGAACCTGGTTGTTAGAACGCTAACATTCTTCACTGAGAAATTCTTTAAATGGCATCTGCGATATATTTTTGTGACAACAAGGGTAGACCTCTTTTATCGAGAAAGTATAGAGACGACATACCGTTCTCGGCCATAGATAGGTTTCCTATCCTCCTCTCAAATTTCGAAGAAGAGACAAATCTGATACCTCCTTGTATCGAGCACAATGGTATACAATTCCTATTCATCCAACACAATGATTTATACCTTGTAGCAATTGCTACCTCAATTTCATGCAATGCTGCCCTAATTTTTAGCTTTTTACACAAAGTTATCGAAGTACTTTCTGAGTATCTAAAAGCGGTTGAAGAAGAATCCATTAGGGATAATTTTGTTATCATATATGAATTACTAGATGAGATGATGGATTATGGGATTCCGCAAATCACAGAGCCAAAGATGTTGAAACAATACATTACCCAAAAGTCTTTCAAACTGAAGAAAGCAGCCAAAAAGAAGAGAAATGCTGCTAGACCTCCAACATCACTAACAAATTCTGTAAGTTGGCGTCCTGAAGGTATAAAACACAAGAAAAACGAGGCATTTCTGGATATTATCGAGTCGATCAATATGCTAATGACTCAGAAGGGACAAGTCTTGAGATCAGAGATAATTGGTGAGGTTAAAGTAAAGTCAAAGCTTTCAGGTATGCCCGACTTGAAGCTTGGCATAAACGACAAAGGGTTATTTTCAAAGTATTTGGAAGGTGATGAGAACGGTGTTCCTATAGCACCAGATGACAGTAGTGTTGATGAGTCCAAACCTAAAAAGAAGAGATCAAACAATATGGAACTTGAGGACTTGAAATTTCATCAATGTGTTCGTTTAAGCAAGTTTGAAAACGAAAAGCAAATTACCTTTATACCACCCGATGGAGACTTTGAGTTAATGAGCTACAGATTATCTACGGCAATCAAACCACTAATTTGGTGTGACGTCAATATTAAAACTCATTCCAAATCAAGAATAGAAATATTTTGCAGAGCCAAAGCTCAGATAAAGAAGAAATCAACAGCCACTAACGTGGAGATATTAATTCCAGTTCCTGAAGACGCAGATACTCCAGTATTCAAATACTCACACGGGTCTATTAAATACGTGCCTGAAAAGAATGCAATCTTATGGAAAATTAGAACATTCCCAGGAGACAAGGAATATTCTATGGCGGCTGAAATGGGCCTTCCATCTACCAATGCTGGAGAAGAATCAGAAAAGTTAAAAAGACCAGTGCAAGTCAAGTTTCAAATACCTTATTTCACCACATCCGGCATTCAGGTACGCTATCTGAAAATTGAAGAAAAAAATCTTCAATACAAGAGCTATCCTTGGGTTAGATATATTACTAAGAGCGGTGATGACTATACAATTAGACTCTCTTGATATACTTAATTACCCAATTAATACGCCAGACTTTTAGTGACTTATAAATAATTATATATCGAATATACCTAGTGCTATGCATTTATTTTATGCTTCCAGATTTTGTTAGCGAGAGAATAGCATGCTAAATATAAATTTTTTTACGGTTAACTGATAATGAACAGATTTCTGAATCGCACACTATATTTAATGGGTGAATATATAACCAATTTCTTAGCTCGTTAAAGTAACGAAAAGAGGCAGCCCTAATATGATCTATTTGCCGTCAATTTGAAAATATAGCCAGGAACAACAATTATTATTTCAATAGACCTATCCGATGTTGGTTTTGCTCATATAATATGAGTCGCAGGAATATAAGTTCTTCAAAGGACTTTTAATAGTTAGTAATCTGACCATCTTGCTTCATAAGCTATTCTATTTTAATCTAATATGTCCTTGCATACAACTTCACGTGATTAGATATGTTTATTCCTAGACATCACCCTAAATGAGCCAGTCAGATCACATTCGGAAGTCATAGTAAATGATGCAAGAGGTCAGTGCTAGAATAAGCTACAAATATATTCTATTTGAGGACGTCTTGTATTGCACTTTATATTTCCGAACACTTCCTAGAGAGCCTCAATTGAATAAAGATTTAACAAGAGAACCCAAAACGTGCTACCATTGAAATTTGGCTGAAAAGAACTAAAATAGTTCTCTAGATCAAAACTAAAGCACAATAACAACAAGGGCTTTTAGATTTATCAACACAGGCGGATAATACACATTATATGACCTGCCTATCAGGAGGAGGTAATTGACATATTTAAATTAACAAAAAAAGCTAAAGTGCATACATCACAGCTACGCACAATTATAAATGCAGGCCATTTTAAGAAAAGGAGCAGATAAGCGAATAAAAACGGGCAATAAAAGCAATAAATTGACTGTACGAAAGCATCGTAAATCAGAGGAAGAACTATCAAATGTTTCGGCTCCAGGTGGAGACCCAACTGACAACTCAACGGCAAGAAGAGCTGCATCCTCGGCTAATGGGGAAGAAAATGCAAAGTTTATTGATCTCGAAAATGGTTGGGATGATTCGGACATTTCACCTTCAAATTTATATGATCTATTTGAAAGACTGAAAAGTGATGACCAGATGGTGAGAACAAATACTGCTATGGAACTTAGAACATCCATCATATCGATTGCCAGAGAAATACCTACTGATCAATTCCAGAGATTCATCAACACACTAAACAATAAAATATTTGAACTGATTCATGGTTCCAGTTCTAATGAAAAGATGGGAGGAATCTTAGCTGTCGATTCTCTTATAGACTTTTATTTAGAAATCGGTGAACTATCAAACCAGACAACACGTCTAGCGAATTACCTTAGAGTACTAATCCCTTCTAATGATATAGACGTTATGCGTTTGGCCACACAAACTCTTGGAAAGCTGGCACTTCCTCGAGGGACAGTAACTTCTGAATTTGTTGACTTTGAAGTCAAAACCTGTTTGGAATGGCTAACAGCATCGACAGATAACCCACCATTAAACTTTAAACAGGAATATAGGAGACATGCAGCAATACTTATACTTTACTCTCTTATAGAAAACTCTCCATATTTGCTATTTCCTTACATCAACCCGATATTGGATAATATATGGGGTTCATTAAAAGATACAAAGCTAATTATAAGAAGAGATGCCGCTGAAACTATGAGAAAATGCATGGAAACTTTACAATCCAGAGATCCACAAAATGCAAGAGAATGGTATCAAAGATCGTTTTCTACAGCGACTCAAGGACTGAATTCAAATAACATCGAAAGCATACATGCTACATTATTAACATTCAAGGAACTACTTAATCTGAAGGATTCATACATCAAAGATAAGTATTCTCAGATATTTCAGGTTGTGATAAAGTTTAGAGATCATAAAAATGACATTGTGAGACGAGAAGTCTACGCAATACTACCACTACTTGCAATGAATGATTCCGATATATTTGCCAGTAAATATTTGGATCCCACGATGTCTTTTTATCTCAAAGTACTGAAAGATATGGACAGCAGTACAGCCAACAATGCAGATAAAGAAGCGATATTTATCTCTATTGGAGATTTATCAGAAAATGTGAGATCAAAAATGCACTCCTACATTCACCAACTGGAGATAAATTTGAGAGAAGGACTACAAACAAAGTATAAAATTAGAAAACACTACGAAAAGGCATTATTCTATTGCATTATCAAATTAACTGCCGCTCTTGGTCCAGCAATCGCTACAAATATCAATAAAGGATTTTTAGATCTAATATTGTCATGCCCTTTATCGTCTCATCTTTTGGAGGTTATGGCTACCATAAAAAAATCTATTCCAGCACTATCAACAAGCATTGATAAAAGGCTAATAGAAATTGTTCACGCATATTTATCTGGGGAAAGATACAACGATGGAACCAATTCTCAAATAATGAAAACGGTATCATTACCGTTGGCCAGGAAATGGAGAGATAGGGATTACTGTTGGAAAACCGGTGACCAAAATTCCGATAATAACGACGACTTCTTACTTGTTCAAACTCTGAAAATGGTTGACATAATTGACCCGAAACACTTGGTTTCAGAACACACAAAAATGTCTATAATTGCTTACATTGAACATACTCATGAAACAGTAAGGAAACTTGCTGCATTGAAGTCTGTCGAACTATACAAGCTTACAGAGGCCAACCTACCAGATGATGAACATGCCCTTGATACATCTGCTACAGTTCTAGGCAAACTTCTTGTTCTGGCAATAACTGATCCAAACTCAAATATACGGTTAAGTATACTACAATCTTTTGACTATCATTTTAGCTCTCAATTAGCACAGCCAGATAACCTTAGACTACTATTTTGCTCAGTGAACGATGAGGTATATACAATCAGACTGGAAGCTATAAGAGTAATAGGTGCTCTTACAGAATTCAACCCCATATATGTTGTGCCAGAAATGCAAAAAATATTTCTTAGCTTTTTGACAGAATTGAAATATTCTGCTACAAATAGAAAAAAAGAAAATATGCTAACTTTGATCCATGCTGTTATAAATTCTCATCCTGATACTTTAGTACCGTTTATAAAAGATTGTCTTGATAGTCTAATACAAAGATTAGAAGATAATTCATCTGCTGTAGCTACAATAGCCATGAAAACTATCGGTGCATTGGCGGAAGCAGTGGGACCTGATATAACCAATTATGTTCATCAACTAATGCCAATAATCATATCGACATTACACAATCAACTAAATTCAATAAAAAGAGCGACAGCTATAAAAACATTGATTCAGATATCAAGCTCGACTGCTTATGTGATAGACCCACTAATTGAGTACCCTGAACTCCTTGGACTATTAATGAATATTCTAAAAACCGAATCAAATATGGAAATAAAACGTGATATCATCCAATTGATCGGTACACTTGGTGCTATCGATCCATACAAATACCGAGCAGTTGAGACTAACTCTAAAGGCGTTCAGAAAATTGACACAACCCAGCATTCTACAGCCATTGATTTACTGATAAAAGGAATGTCACCATCTAATGAAGAGTTTTATCCTTCTGTAGTGATGCATAGTCTTGTGAAAATATTGAATGACAATTCATTATCTTCGTATCATACTAATACCCTTCAGACGATCATGCGTATCTTTCAGGATATGGGAGTCCAATCAATCATATTTCTGAAAATATTGGTCCCAGCAATAAAATCAGTGGTGAAAACATGTCCACCATCTCATTTGGAGTTTTATTTCCAGCAGTTATCAGTTCTAGTTAATACTGTTAATCACCATATTGAACCTTTCACCGAAGATATATTTGAAATCATTGCTGATCATTTCTCAATCACTAAGTTACAAGTCGTCATTATCTCTCTTATCGAGTCGATGTCACATTTAGTGAAAAATAACCTAAAGAGATTCCTTCCTAAGACAGTAAATTTATTTTTGAACGTGTTAGAAAATGATCGCTCAAATCAAAAAATGGCTTCCGTTTCCATTATGAAAGCATTAATAGCGTTCGGAAAAAATTTAGAGGATTATTCACATTTAATTATTCCTACCATCGTCCGAATATGCGAGTATTCACAAAATCATTTGAGAAAAATCTCCATTGTTACATTTGGAAAATTGGCAAAATGTATCAATCTTACAGAACTATCTTCAATGATTATCAATGCCCTTGTAAGAGTGTTGACAAATGGCGATAAGTCTCTAATAAAGGTCACTATGAATACTCTCTGCCTGTTATTACTGCAGCTCGGGAATGATTTTGTCGTGTATATACCAACCATTCATTCTGTTTTAATCAAAAATAGAATCCAACACTCTATTTATGATCAATTAGTTAACAAACTATTGAATGGTGAAGTTTTGAACACTAATATCTTACTTGATAAAGATTCTGAGGAAAAGAACAAGAATATAAACTTACAAAACAATCCCAGAACTGAAAAATTTGTCGTCGATCAACAAATATTAAAATCGGCATGGGATTGCTCTCAGCAGAAATCCAAAGAAGATTGGCAGGAATGGTTTCGAAGGTTATCTGTTCACACTATTCGGGAGTCCGCTTCACCATCACTGAGGGCGTGTTCTAATCTTGTCAGTGTTTATAACCCATTGGCACGAGATCTATTCAATGTTTCATTTTCAAGTTGCTGGAATGAACTTAATATAGGCTCACGGGAGCATATACTGAACTCATTATGTAGCGCTTTATCCTCGCCGCAAAATCCAACTGAAATATACCTAATCTTGATTAATCTTATTGAGTTTATGGAACATGACATGAATCCTTTGCCGATTCCAGCAACAATTACAGGAGAATACGCTCAAAAATGCAATGCTTTTGCAAAAGCACTGCACTATAAAGAAACTGAATTCATTGAAAACGAAAAACCATGTATCATAGAGTCTTTGATTGACATAAATAACCAGTTACATCAACCAGATGCTTCAATAGGTATCCTAAAGTATGCCCAACAGCATTATAATCTCCAATTGAAGGAGACGTGGTATGAGAAACTTCAAAGATGGGATGATGCCTTACAGGCATACACTGATCGTGAAAAAAATGGGGAAGACACACCAGAAGTCCTTATGGGTAAAATGAGATCCCTGTACGCGTTAGGAAATTGGAGTGAAATTGCTGATCTTGCAAATGACAAATGGAACACTGTTCCTCTACATATTCAGGAAAAACTTTCACCCATAGCTGCAGGATCTTCATGGGCGCTACATAATTGGGATGATATCGAAAAATATTGTTCCATATTACAGGATAATTCTATTGATAAAGAATTTTTCTCAACTGTCATGTGCTTGCACCACAACAATTTTGAAGAAGCTGAACAACATGCCGATAATGTAAACAGTTTACTTGTTGGTGAAATGTCTGCCTTGATTAATGAAAGCTATAGTAGAATATATAATTCTGTTGCAAAATGCCAAACAGTTGCAGAATTAAAGGAAATTATAAAATACAAACGTCTTCCGCGTATGTCGCCCAAACGTAAAGCGATGAGAGAAACCTGGAACAAAAGGCTGCTAGGTTGCCAACAAAATATCGATGTTTGGCAAGTAATCCTAAAGACTAGATCTTTGGTTGTTAATCCTGAAGATGATGAGGAAATTTGGATAAAATTTGCCAATCTCTGTAGAAGAAACGGAAGAATGAATATGACTAGAGATGTACTAAATTCTCTTCTGAAATTCAATGAGATGTCTGAGAACCCAGATATTTTACAGGCTAGTCCCGAGGTCGTTTATTCCTATTTGAAGTACAAATGGGATACAGGAGAAAAAAACTCTGCCTTGAATCAGTTGGCTATATTTATAGGCAAAGTTATCAGAGACTTGGGCCTACACCCTGAACACATTATCTCTAATAAGACGTTCCAATCAAAGACTAACATATCTCCCAATGAAAGACCAAAATATCAGAAATTACTTGCCACATGTTTTGCGAAACAGGGTGATTGGACTATCGCCCTTGATCCTAACTGGAGCAATACAGATCCGGGGTCAGTTTTAAGTTCCTATCTTCTGGCAACTCATTTTGATCCGCAATGGTACAAAGCTTGGCATAACTGGGCTTTAGCCAATTTTGAAGTAATATCCATGATGTCATCCACAAACAAGGATACCAATTACCAAAAAAGTAATGCTCCAATAACAAGCTTCTACCAAATAAGAAATAATATTTTCGAAAAGAACGGCGAAACTCCTTATTACAATCAATTTCCATCAAGACTCATAAATAATCATGTCGTTTCTGCTATAAAAGGGTTTTTCCATTCAATCGCACTGTCCGATTCAAGTCTATTGCAAGATGCATTACGTCTTTTAACTCTATGGTTTACTTTTGGAAGTACTTCTGAAACGACACAGGCGATGCAGGAGGGTTTTAATATGGTTAAGATCAGTACTTGGCTTGAGGTTTTACCCCAATTAATTTCGCATATACATCAGCCAAACCCTCTCATTAGTCGTGCACTTCTTACTTTACTCTCAGATTTGGGTAAAGAACATCCGCAAGCGCTTGTATACCCTTTAACAGTTGCAATAAAATCAGAATCTTTATCTCGACAAAAAGCAGCTATTTCAATTATCGATAATGTTCGCTCTCATAGCCCAGTACTTGTTGACCAAGCTGAACTATTAAGTCGTGAGTTGATTAGAGTAGTGGCCTTATGGAACGAGATGTGGTATGAGGGTTTAGAAGACGCGAGTCGACATTTCTTTGGAGAGAATGACAACACGAAAATGCTTGAGACACTCGAACCACTATATGAGCTCTTGAATAAAGGCCCAGAGACCATACGCGAAATATCCTTCAAGTACGCTTTTGGAAAAGATCTCACCTATGCATATGAATGGGTAAAAAAATACAAAGAAACAGGTGAGGTAAGTAACCTAAACCAAGCATGGGACATTTATTATAGCATTTTCAAGAAGATAAACAAACAGCTACCACAAATGGAAACATTAGAATTGCAACATGTTTCACCTAAACTTTTAGCTGCGAAGAATCTTGAGTTAGCTATGCCTGGAACTTATATCCCTGGTACTGAAATAGTTACAATAGAGAGTGTGAATGGTACATGTGAAGTTATATCTTCTAAACAAAGACCTAGAAAAATAGCCTTAAAAGGAAGTGATGGTAAAGAGTACTTATATGTTCTGAAAGGTCATGAAGATATCAGACAAGATAGCCTTGTAATGCAATTATTTGGTTTGGTTAATACACTACTACAGAACGATATCGAATGTTTCCAGAGGCATTTGGATATCCAACAGTACGCGGCAATACCATTATCCCCTAAAACAGGTCTTCTTGGGTGGGTAACTGAGAGTGATACCATTCACGTGCTGATTAAAGATTATAGAGATGCAAAGAAAATGCCACTGAATATTGAACATCTAGTTATGCTTCAAATGGCACCGGATTATGACAGTCTCACTCTATTACAAAAAGTTGAGGTCTTTAAGTACGTTCTAGATAATACTCAAGGGTTTGATCTTTATAACATATTGTGGTTAAAAAGCAAATCATCTGAAACGTGGTTAGAGAGACGTACTACATACACCCGATCTTTAGCGGTTATGTCTATGACTGGATATATTTTAGGACTGGGTGACCGTCATCCAAGCAACTTAATGCTTAATAGGAATACAGGGAAAGTAGTACATATTGACTTTGGTGATTGTTTCGAAGCTGCAATTTTGAGAGAAAAATTTCCAGAAAAAGTACCTTTTAGATTAACTAGAATGTTAATCAAGGCCATGGAGGTAAGTGGTGTTGAAGGTAGTTTCAGAATAACATGCGAGAATGTAATGAGAGTGTTACGTGATAATAAAGATTCCCTAATGGCAATACTAGAAGCATTTGCATTTGATCCTCTTATTCGGTGGGGATTTGACCTACCCACAGAACAAATTAAAAAAGAGAATGACAAGCACTTCAAGGCAACTGAATCTATATATGGTATTGACGAAGCTTCATCAATGAGCAACATAACTACTACGTCAGTGAAGGACAAGAAAAGAGAGTATATCAACACTAGGGCAGTTTTAGTTTTGAAGAGAATATCAAGCAAGCTCACAGGTAATGACATTCCAAAACACGAAGATCTGGATGTTGCAGAACAGGTAGATCATCTAATCGAACAAGCTAAGTCTGTTGAAAATTTATGCCAACACTACATTGGATGGTGCCCATTCTGGTAATAGAATGGATTATCTAGCCCTAGTCAAGATATATTATGAACACGGCGGCTATGCAACTACGTATTTGACTTAAGTAAATGTATGTAAAATTTGTCAAATGCTTCAAAATAGTATTGTAAAGGATAATAAAAAAAGTTAATTAATAGCTACACGAATGAACATTGGAACATTTTATATCCGCTCTACCTTTTGAATGCCTGCTGGTTGTTATTATCCATTGCTGATTTCTGATTTTCAGCATAAGGGTTGGAAGCAGGAACATTCATGGGGTTCTTACCGAAGTTTGTTTGATTCATGGGAGGTGGACCCATACCAGGTGGAAATTGACCACTAGGAAAACCCATTGGAATGTTAGGTAACGGAGCAAAGCCGGGTGGTGGAGGCATATTCTGCATAAATTGAGGACCTTTCATATTTACGTTATTGCCCCGTTGCAAATTATCGATATTTCCATCCTTGGAGTCTGCTGGCTTACTTTGAGGAATCTGACCAAGAGGTTGACCACGATTATTTAGAGGGAACCCAGGCATTCCTGGACCTGGCATCATGTTTGGTGGTGGCATTCCCATTGGATATCCTGGTGGTGGCATTCCCATTGGCATCATTCTTTGATTGCCCATATTGGAAGAATTATTGCCCGATCCAGGGTGCATTAATCCCGGGGGAGGCATGCTGGATCTAATGTGATCATTAGTCTTACCTTTACTCAACAAATCTTGAAAAAAAGAACTATTGTTTTGTGGGTTAGGAGGAAATACCATACCAGGCATAATTTGTGTAGGCGCAGTATGTTGTCGATCTGAATCCTGCCTATTGATGGGAGGCATATTCTGACCTTGACGTGTGATATTATGGTTATCAATATGAGGATGCATCGATGAATTTAGTGGCTCCATTCTCATATTACCTTGATTGGCATTTTCCTCCTTTTTTGATGATAGCATGCTTAATTTTGGTGAGGAATTTGAGGAATTTAACTGTAAATTACTTGATACATTCTTTTCCTTATTATCAAAGAATGACATCAATCGAGAACCCCCTGTGGAACTTCCTTGTTGCTTCACAGGACTAGAATCAGCAGTCGTCACATTTGGATGACTTTCAATTATAGGACCAACATCTTTGGTCTTACTTTTAGAAGTTGTAGAAAAAAAAGATGAGAAACGGGAAGAACCACCCTTTCTGTTTTCATCAATCTGAGTTAGGTCAGTAGTTGATGATTCTCTAGTTGAAATTTCATTTTCAACAGCAACATCTGGACTATTGTTCATTTGTATTTCAGTATCATCACCTTGTAAGGATAATTCATTCTCAGGATTGCTTACTATCTTTGAAGAGGAAATATTTAGGAACTCACTAATGGAATTAGTACCAGCTTCAGATATATGATTGTGGTTTAGTGCCGATGATGACCTGGAAGGAATATCGCCACCTGTAGGATTTATTGAATCAACTGAACCACCAAGGCCTTTTTTTCTGCGCTCCATTTCCTTCATCTTTGCTTTCCAAGCTTCGAAGTCCATCATTGAGTTTGGCGCACTACCAATTTCTTCTTCAAGAGCTATCAAATCATCATTATTAGTATTAATATCATTTTCCTCCACATATCCAGACCTGTCATTTCTGCCAAATTTGTTACCAAATTTTTTCGTATTCGAAAGTTTCTGGCCTTTACCTTTTGCGTTCTTCTTATCAAATGAGTTATCAGTACCTCTAGTCTTATTATTTCCTGACCGTGGCTCAGAGTGTTTTTGGTAAAGTCTCCAAAATTTCTTTTTGGGAAGCATAGAGGAGATTGACTCTATTGTATGTTTTGGAATTTCTTTGGATAATTCAAGGAGCTCATTAATACTATATACATGCTCCTTAGATGTATTCACAGGCTTAAACTCTGTTATATCCATCTCTAAGGCTTCGAATATTACTGGATGCTCTTCTTTGTGATCATTAACAGGAAATTGCTGTTGTACCATTCCTGGCTGAATTCTGTTAGAAAAAAGACTTTGTTCTAACTGAGATACGGATATAGTTGCACTTGCATTTTCCATAGTGGTGTTAGCTCCACTATTTGATGGAATACCGATGTCTATATTCACCTGGGGCCGTTCCTGTAATGGGTTTCCTGAGTCTGGTAGAGTTTCATCGTTGTTTTCTGTTCTTCTGATAAACTCTCCAAAAAATCGGGACAAATTCTGAGCACCCGATTGGGGTTGACTCGGCTGATTATCGGCTTGTTCCGCACCGGTGGTGCGTTGACCAAAAAATCCACTATCATCAAAATTCATGACAAGTTAATACTTCAAGGAAAACTATAACAAAAAAATTAATTCTGAACCCCACTATTTTCAGCTAATTTAGAATATCAAAGGTCAAAACTTTCAACAGTTGGGATAACTAGAACAAAAAAAAAATAAATCCCTAAAAAATCGACAAAAATGCAAAACTGAAACCCAAAAACCAAGTTTTTTATCAAAGCCAACACCGATCGACTTCTAGTAATTGTTATAATGCTTAAAAGGTGGAGAACCCACTGCACCCAGACTAATCTAACTTAAAAAAAGGATAAAACTATTGCCCTTGCTCTAATTCCAAACAAACTTTGTTGGATCGTATCTTTAGTTCAGCAAATGACTCTTCCAATTACGTTGCAAACCGTTCAATATATACCACTTCGTAACCGCCTAGGTATGTTAATATGACTTTGGCTATCTTGTGGAAATCCCTATTACTCACTTCTTATGCTAACCAAATCCTTTAAAAATGACAGTTTCCCGTCCTTTCGATTTCAAAGAAACAATTTTTTCCCTCCAAGCCAGATTTTGGCAGAGACATTCAGAAAAATTTGATGTAACAATATACGTTGTGCAATTAGCTAATTTGAGAATAGTAGTAAGTGGTTAGCGACTATGCATTTCTAATTTACATAGTAATTGCTATGACCTCATGGCTTCTTTGACTTTTACTTTTGGCATTCTAGCAGAAATCTCCTTAGATTATAATTTAGGAAAATATTTATACGATGTTCAGTTTTAGAATCAATCATCGAAAGTGTGTATAAGTTTTCTCATGTCTTTTTAATGTTCGTTAACAGTTGAAATGAAAATGCATTTTTAATTAAAATATTTAGTAAATTTATATCGGTGCTTTATGTGAGAACTGTGTACCATCTACTTGTATTCAAAAACTGAATGTCTTTATTCCCATGTAATTTGATCTCACAGTAGAAATGTTGTAAAAACGGAAAAAAAAATAAATGCTTTAATTATTTTCAATTAATGCGATGCTAAATTAAAATTGAACGAAAACCAGAGTTCAGATGCTCGATTAGAGACATTGCCTTTGTTATCATTTCGTCAAATAAATAAAATTGTGTAACTTTAGTGATGATACCTAGAACTGTACCCGCCATTCTTGAACTCTCTACCTATACCAATTTGGGTTGGCTAAAGTCAGAGGAAGACCAAATCTAGAAAATCATGAAAGGAGCTTTCATCAAGTAACAGGGGATATTTCAAGTATGCTTTGCAATGATAGATTCATTTAAAAAATACCCTCCCTGTAAAATAGCTCTATTTGCTACCTTCATCCATGCTAAGCTGTGAAATTAGTAATTAATTGAACAAAATATTTCTCAAAGGATTTAGGATTTGATGTAATTAAATTCTGTACCAAGTCCATGATTAACTCAGGAGGGAATTGTACCATAGGTAAGTATACTTCTGTCAAGTATTTTAGACATGGATTGGTATCAATACTCGTTCCACCACCACTTTGAAGATAAAGTTCCAATAATAATCTTGAAAGATCTGAAGCAATCACTCTACAGCTACCCTCTCTTACATTGAATTTGTATTCGGGTTTAAATGGGATTTCAAACACCAAGGGAATAACTTTTGTAATGAAAAACTCGTTCAGGCCATCAAGCTTCTCAATGGAAGCAGCATACATATCCTCAGGATCAGTACACTTACCACTCCCAAAAAATTTGACAAAATTCACTAAGACATTCAAAGAAAGTTTCATTACCGATAGTTCTTGAATCTCTTGTGGAGTGTATTCCAATACGTCATTTAAAATTGTTGGTAACACCTCTCTTCCTTGTGTAGTTAGTAGCAATGATGTGACATTATTAGTAACAAATGACTGCAGAAAACCCATATAAGCCTTTTTGAGTAACATCTTGTCCCTGAATGCATCCGTAATAATTATATTCTTTCCATTAGAGCCATGCCCTTTATTCAAAGTTGTGCCATTCCATTCAGGATTTTCTTCACCATTCCTCTCTTGCTCAATTTGTGTCATTAACACATGAACTTTACTAATAACTGGTCCAAGGAGGTTATTAAATAATTCGAAACAACTTTGCTCTTTGTGAAACATATGGATCATTTGGCCCAAAAAACTTAGAAAATCACTCATTTCCATCATTTTCAAATTAGATTCCAAATAAAGAAGTATCAGCTTATTAGCAAATGGAACTATATCATCACTTAATATTGGTATTAGACGAGAAAACGTAAACCTGGAAGCATCTCTAATTGTCTCATGTTTACTGAAATATGAAAATGTGACTAGAACCACCTCTGCAATATTCATGAACTTTTCAATCAAGGATCTATGAATTAGTTTTTTACTTACTAGGGCATTATTGACCCTGTTCTCAGGAACTAAACCCGAATGAACTGCTCTTGCCAAAGTCCCTATAGCGAGTAAAATATGATGGCATTGTAACACAACTTGAGGTTGTTCTTGTGAAGAGGAAATACAAGCTTCAAGATCTGTGAATAATGGTGTTAAGATCTCATTCAAGATTTCAAAGTTTGAATCGGTGTTTCCTCCAATTAATACTCCTAAACCCTCAAAGAGATATAATTGACTTTCAAAAATGGAATCCTCCTCGACACCATCGTTATTCAATGAATACACCTTTATTGGTAGTAATGGTGCTATCTTGCCAACTATCTCATTTAGAACAGAAATCGGAAACTTTGGCTTGGTAGTTTTTAAAAGCCTAGAAAACAAATACCATGTGCGTAATCTGGTCTTTTCTCTTTTGTTAAACATACCAAAGGGGCTACAAAAAATATTCAGTAATGACAGTTCATCTTTCGTACCAGAGAAAGACAAAAACTGATAATGTCTTACTATCAACTCGAAAAATGATATTTGTACGTAAGAACTATCCATTTGGAAAACGGTACTGTTATCTAGTAATAACCGCATGAAATTGTTCATAATCATAGAGGGTTCAGAGTTAATGATTTGATTTTTCGGTAAACCAAATAAATTATTTCTTATACTTTCACTGAGATTATGAAGTTGATAAATGACCAATTCTATATCTCTCCAATCCGCGCTGTTTATTAGGTTTTGAATGCAAGCTGATATATTAGTTAAAAAAATTTGAGGATTGATAACAGCAACTGTGTCTTGGAACACCTTAAGTTTGGATCTAATACTCTCACAAAACACTTCAATATCATCAACACTTTCTTCTGTACAAGACTCATCTATTTTCATCTTTTTGAAACATACCTGTAGTAATGAAACTAAAAACTCTTCATGAGCTGAGTCTAGCGATTGCCTCTTGGAATTCACAGCAACAACTGATCCAGCCTTGCCACCCACAGCAAACATTTTCTTCATGACGGCTAGATATTGTGATATAAATTGAAAACTTTGTTGTGTAACAGAGTCATATTCATGTAACATAAATTTCAGAATCAAAGGAATAACCTGCAACAGGATTTGTTGATCTGCTGCGGAAAATAACTGCTGGGATTCTTCTGTTGGAGGATTAGCCTCGTTGCACTGCTCTAATATAATAGTCAGTTCTGTACCCACAGCAGATGCAAGCCTTGCCAATTGTTCGGAAATGTCTACATCATCTACACTATTGTCAAATGATGCCACCTTTGTAGTTAAATCTAACAAACTGAGAAGTGACAACTTGTCAACAGGCTTCATCTTCTTAGATATGATTTCACATAAACATTGAGCACAGGATATTTTAGTTTCAGGAAATTCTAGATAGTTGATAATCAAGGAAACATATTCAGGAACCACGATCAACGTAACATCAATCCATGAAATATAAGACCCTATGCATGCCATAATCATTATGGCAATATCAGGCTGTTTATTTGGTGCTATACTCTTTAAAGTATTAATCCATATGGTAACTAATCGTTGTACATCTTGTACACGCATTTGGTCTTTTAGATCATTATTTTTCTGTTGTATTTCTTTAGACCTCACAAAAGTCTGGTCTGCAATCTCAGAATTGATAAAAACGCAAATTCTACAAAAATAATCAATACCTATCAATGAGAAATTCTCATTTGGATTTTCGAGCAATGATTGGATCTGTAAAATTTCCGTTAAATCTGGAAAGAAACTCTGCCATTGATCTTGATACAAAACATAGAATAATCTTGTTACCAACTCTGCTATCTTTGTTCTAATATATTCGGGTGTACTTTTCAGATTCCCATTCGGTACGTTGACTTTTGATCTTAGTAGTTCTATGGCAGCATTTCTGACAAAAGTTAGTTGCGCTTGGGAGAGGATGCCGTTGCCTATTTGCTCGCAGACGACTTGTAATGCCACAAACCTCATAAGGTCATCAGAACCTTCATCAGTCATCAAAGAGACAAATATCTCTGTGGACTGAACATCATTTTTCAATTGCTCGAAGTACTCAATCGCTTGCCTTTTGCTCTCCGGATCAGAGCTAGTAGAGCCATTAGCAATACTAACTACTTCCCTAATTCTTGCAAGCATATATTGGTTCGTATATTGGAGTTCTTAATGCGTATTATTACAATTCAATATCAGAAATGACTGGAAAGACAGAAAAAAAAGTAACAGAAAATTAGAGAAATGAAATTTGCCAATCCTTGTTTCTCCACTATATAATATAAGCTCTGATGTGGTTTGTGTACTTCTTATACTGCTCTGCCAAATTTTAAAAGTATCGTGTAGTAATGACTGCTTCTTTGAGCTTTCTTTTCAGGTATATTTTTCAGTCTTGTTCAATTAATGCTCTGCTTGCCTATTTATACCAACTGAAACGAATATAGCGATAATGCAGGAGTTCAAACAATAGTAAGTAATTTAATGCACCAAATCACTACCAAGTATGTATAACAAAGGTATCGTTGGCTACCCCAAAGTCCAATTTTACTTCAATAGGCTTGTTCGATCTCTATTTGATCTCATCTCAAAATGTCCTCGCTCAGTTACTGAATTCCAATTTTTTTTCACCAAATTTTTTTTTGTGTGCAGATTCCCCTTCAAGCGAAATATACTGAAATGCTAATAATGTGAAACGGAAAGTCACATTGCGTTCCATCAATGAATATTATTCATTTCACATAGGAACACTTATTTTAGAATCGAACCTTCTTCTCAGTGATTATATACTGATAACCTTACCTGAGATCTGATCTCAAATAGAGTTATTTTTGATTTCATAAAGCTTTCTGATTTTCTAAGAATTGCTTTGCGTCTATTTTTTTTACTTTCTTTGAGCAACAATTCAAATGAACGTCAATGTCCTTCGGAATAGTTATTAGTTATTTGTTCAATCATATTCAATAAAATAATTAGTGGTAATTATTAGTAGTTTCCAAGATTTCACCGTTTTCTGAAACCTGTAACTGATTGGACTGATAACTCAGACGAGTTGAGCGTAAACAAAATAGATAAGATAGTCATGTCATATGTATAAGTATGTACATATATATATTTGGAACAGAATATATAAATGCTCTAAACTAGATTCATCATGTAGTTTCAATAACTGTAATGATCATTATCTTTGGGACATTTTCTCAGTATTAAAAAAAAAATTGAATCATTTCCATTTAGTATATTCATTGTAAGCAATTGCCGTGAGATTCATGATGGAATAACTACAAGCTGTTTAGTAATTAGTAGCATAATAAAATCAAATAAAAACTCCTATAAAATACTAGTTGCAACAGGATTTTGGGTTTTTCTCAGTTCTAATCTGTTCTCATTTCTTTAATAAAACTGATCTCGAAATGGATAGCTCGATGAATTTAGTGTAATATAAATGCATGAAATGTCATGAGCATCATATAGCAAGATCGTAATTACTAGTAAAGGCAGAATGGAGGATGAATCGACAAAGGCTTCAATTTTACGCCCTATTTTGGCTGTATCCATGTCGCCACTAATATAAGATATCGTTCCTCATTAGATCACTTTTTTCAGTTCATCTATAAATCGCACTATCAAAGAAAGGAAGAGATGAGCTCAAAACTATAGGTTCAGAGTATTGGTACTATTTCTTTTAAATTATATGCATTGCTTAGCTGATTTACTTAACTTTTGAAATAACATTTAAAATAAAAATTACAAAATCTAGAAACCGAAAGATCATGACTGCCAAACTAATCATACCATTAATTGGGACGGGTAATGTCCCACAATTATCAATTGACTTGTTATTACATTCAACAAATTCATTTAACTATGTGAAAAGGATAGATTCTAAGTTTTGTTACCCATTTAGTGGTCCTTTGGACCATGCTGCTGGTGAAGACCCTAAACTGTACAATGGTAAGACTTTGTTTTCATCAGCAATTGAGCTTTTTAAGCAGAAGGATGAACAAATATACGTTATACAGCAACGTACTCCTATAATACCCGGGTATTTGAATAATTTCATAGTCGAAACTTTGATCCCAGTGTTACATGAATATCAGATCACAGAACTTATAGTGTTAGACTCCTTTGGGGCACTTGACGGTGTTGTAGAATCATTAAATGGATCCGGGTCATTTTTCAATGTTGGGACTTGCAATTTAAGCTCAGTTAATGACCTAATACAACAGTTTGATGATCACCTAAATCTGAGAAATAATGGACAAGTAAATAGAGTCAAAGCTTTCAACTTCGACGACAAAGGTATTCAACAAGATATCACAACGGAGCAAGATATTTTTAAAGTGGTTTATCATCTAACGAACACCTCAAACCTGCAGCTAAATAAAATAAAATATTACTCAACATTTGTTCATGAAGGTGATAATTCGGAAGATGCGTATACTTTTTATAACAATCTCATGTTAGCACAACCTGAAGTTTTCCCCAGAATTGACGAATTTCATCCACCTGTATCATGGAAAGGTGTTTACGGATTCACACCTATCAGGTCTGCATACGATGAAGGTCTCTATACCTGAGTTATTGTAAGTATACTGCTTTAGTTTTAAGGATGCATAATAATTACATAAGCTTTATTCATTCTATATCTCGATTTAGGAATTAATGATAGAACATAATTAGTAAACTAAGCTCTCATATAAATCATTGTCTAATATAACGAGCTATGTTCTCAGCAGTTTCACTACTGACGCTTTTACCAACATCTTCTAGTGCCTCTTGGTATCTCTTCTGTAATGCTGGTGTACTATCTTCGTTAACTTCACCTGTTAGTCTTTCATCACCTGCAAATGTGTATTGCCTTTCAACGCCTTCATCTTCGTCTCTGTCAACTAATCCATCATTCTCACCCTCTTCCAAATCACTTATGACATCGGCGCTATCGTCTTCTTTGTCTTTCTTATCATTTAAGCCAAGGTCTTTCATCAAACCATTTAAAGACTTGTCCTTTCTTAGTTTTTCTTCCTCTTCCTTTTGCTTCAATATTCTTTCCCTTTCAGCCTTATAGAATTCTTCATATTCATCAACCTTCTTATCCACTGCATCTAAAAAGTCATCGAAACCTTCACCTGTAAAACTAGAAACACCAACAACATCCAAAGTGGAATAAAATTCTTCTAACATTAACGACATGGAGTTGACGAGAGAGCTCATGTATCCTGATCCCATGCCGAAATCACCGTTGGCGTCCTGATCTTCTCTAACAGCTTGCTGGAAAGCTTCAAAATCAGTCATCCATTCCTTAGCAAAATCAGATTTCTTAACATCGGTTTTGTTAAAGACTATTATCATTGGCAGCTTTGTTTTATATAAAATTGAGCATGCATACAACATGTTACTCATAAATGTTGTAGGCGATGAGTTTCTCGGCGTATCCACAATATAAGCAATAACTGTAGGGAAAGTAGACGCAAAAGATTCTGTTATAATTGAACCAGAAGCACTCCACACAAAACATTCAATCTGGCCAGGAGTATCAATAATACAAAAATCATGTGTATCTCTCTTCTTTTCGACAAGTTTGATAACTTGATCAATTTTTGTACTGAATAGATTTAAACTTGTCACAATAGCACCATTTGGTCCAAGCTGATAATTTTCCATGACTTTCTTATATTTAATCGAGTCTCTAATATCGATATTAGCACCATATGGCACACGCAACACAGCAGGATCTAAATTAATTACATAAGGTACCTCCTTCTTTGACCTTATGTGAGAGTTTAATCTTTGCATGAAAGTAGTCTTACCAGAACCGGCCATACCAATACAAATAACAGTACTCAATGCCATTTTTATTTCAGAAATTGTTCACTAATTAATAATATCAATCTTGCACTTCAAAGTTATACTGCTATGATAGTTTTCAAAAAGGGACAGCTATTTATCCTCTTCTTGTCCATAAATTGCAAGTTTTACGGAACACTATAACGATGCTATAACTCTTCTAGCCGATGCTGTATTTGTAAACTAAGAACTATTCAATTTGGACATTTCATGAGCTCATCACACTTACGCTTATGAAGCTCATCGCATTCTCAATTTACTAAATTTTTCAGTGGCCAAAAACTGAAAAACAAAAGAAAAATTCAATACAGACTGGTACTGCACTACGTATTAATTGATAGGCATAGTAATTATGCAAATATATAACAAGTATTAGGAAAAATTGTGGTTTAATAAGCTTTGGCAGCTAGTATGTAATATGCGAAACAATCCTATATGCTTTTACAACTTCTCTTTCTTATATGTATATGCATATGAATAATATATATATATATATATATATGTCTTTTTTTGCCACTTATGGACAACAGCTAGTTCGGCTCTACATTTAAAGTGTTCTAAAGCTAGTAACGTAAACCCTTTCAAGAATACATTTTTAAAATACGGCTTTCTATGTTATCAAAGCAGCTTTCATGTTGTGCAATTGTTAGATCGTTAGCTAAACCTTTCATTACAGCTTCTGGCTGAGGGGCTCCTGGGCCACCCATCATCTGATCTGGTTGTTGCTGTTGCATCATTCCAAGCTGATCTTCCTCAGGTTCTGCTAATATCAGGTTGTAGACTGGGTTTAAACCCAAAACAGAAATGAAATACCACGAGATACTACTGACCCAGCGAACATCAAGATCTGAAGTCATGACACCGCTTTGTAGCATTTCTTTAAATCTAATGGTTAAAGGGAAAGGCAGTTTCATCAATACGAAACCTGCAAAGAAATGATTGACCCACCACATCAACACAGTTTGTGGAATAAATTGAGCCATGTTACCTTTAGCCATGTTCATCATAGCATCTGAGATATTTGGATCACTGAATGGATTGACAACTTCGCCTGGTTTTGCATTGGTCTGTGCAATATATTTTCCTGAGCTTAACAACTGAGCCATGTATTCTCTGCGGACTTCAAACGCTTCATCACTTAAACTGGAATTGTTACCAAGTAGAACTTGGGCTTTCAATACATATTGATTCTCAGTAAGCTTGACTCTAGCTGTACCCTTTACGCTAGGATTCAACAAACTCATGACATAATGCCTCAATATACCCGCAAGCACCATGACCACAGAGATAGGTAACAGAACCCAGTACTTTAGCCTAGTATCCAATGTGAGTTCATCGACCACATGGCTGCCGCTAATAGTCACGGCTGTCCACACCCAGTCAAACCACATTACCAGTTATATTCAAATGTACTCCGCTATTCTCTAAGAAACAGAGCAGGAGTTAAATACTCTAGAAAACATAACACACTGGCAAAATACTAATTAAGGTAGCAGTCTATAGCTTTAATTTGACATTCTACCCTCCATTGCATTGACTCAATGTTGAAGTTGCCTATCCTCTCTACTCACTACGTGCCCATCGGCCCACTGTGAGAGTCAAGGCAGGTCAGTCCAACAGAGATGGAGATATCACATTCCAAATGCCACGTATATAACGATAATCATAATAGTTTAATGTCCATGGTGGTCTATTTGGTTAGCTATTACTATTCTTGTACAATTTTAAAAGTCATTTACGATACATAGTTCATGATACTACGGATATATCATTGGCAGGTATAAAAATCTAACCAAAGGTTATGGATTGTGATTAATCAGTTGGCATTTTTTTATCAGTAAACCCATTTGGTTCAGTTTCGATATTTGAGATCATAACTATACAACTATGCTTAAGAGAACACAAACTTTAGTTCTTTTATTTCTTTTCCTTAGGCATCAGTACCAGCCACTGACCATCTTTTAACAAGAGTGGTGTCACAATGCTACGTTGTGCAAGCCCTTGCAATAAAGTCTCCACTTTAATTTTGTCTTTACTCTGATTGTTTTGGTGTTTCTTGGCTATTGACATTAACTTTTCATAGTCGAAGTTTTGTGAAGTCGTTTCAAGTAGAGGCTGTAGTTGTTTTAGTATGATAGGATGTTGAGGAAGTGATATTCCAACCGAATGCAAATGAAATACATTTTCCTTGGCATAAACTTTCTCCAGTAGTTTTATTATAGAATCAATTTCGTTGGTCCTGTGCCAAGACATTCTCAACATTGGTGTATCATCTCCATATATCTTCCGGCCTAATAAACTGTCCATCGAAGGACATGACATTCTTTCCTTAACGAATAGTGAATTGGTTCCTTTTGGAATATCACTGTGAAAACTTTGCCATACATTTCTTATATGAAACCTGGTGTCCTTATTCTGTACTGACTCCCATTTATACACACAAAAAAAATCATAACTTTCGAACAACTCTTTGTACCGCAGAGTCCTGGCGTATGGCTGCAACTCCCTACCTAACGATCGTATCTCAGCTGGTTGTTCATGTGCGAACTTAGTGTAGTAATTCGGGAGTTCTACATATCTTGATAGATTATGGCTCCTTTTCAAAATCATGGAAGTCCTCATCTGTGATCAATTAGATTAGTCCCAACAGTTTTGTGATGTGCTGAAATTTATCATGAAACAGAACGTTCTTGATCGTTCAACAGTTAGCATTGATACCTCATCTGACTCTTTATAAATTGGCACTGATGATAATCACTCTAACAATCAAGTGAAAAAATATCAAAAAGCGGACTTATACAAACATAATGTTGATTAAGAAAAAAATCTGAAACATCAAAAATATATCACAGCTTAAACCCCAAATTCGTGTACTTTCTTAGTCAACTGAAGAACTGATATAGAATGGAAGGTACCATTTATCTGTGTGGCATATATTATGATTGATGTACCTCTGAGCTAATGTACGCATGAATTAGCATATTTTGATGATCTTGTAATTTTCCCGATTTGGATTTTACAAGACTATATTAATATTTATCAATTACATCCGCACTTCAATTCATGCTATCAATATGTCAACTTTTAACACTGCTTTATCTTCATATTGTGTCATAGCACTGTATTTTGAGGTGACTAACATACTATACAGTAAAAGGTCTTTCTGCTTACGATGGGGTTCAAAATGAGATATATAACTTACAGTTAAGTTGGTATTTACAATTTTAATCCATAAATGAACACATAGTACGGTATATATATTCAGTTTTGCATCAAACGTACTATTCGACAACCAAAACAATGCTATCTATATTTAAGCGCTACCATAAAGGAAACATTTATATGAATATTAGGTTTCGCAAAAACATCTGGCTCTTGATACTGATTTTGGTTTGTACAGTTATCAATGGATTAGTTCCTGCGATATCATCAATACTGTTTGGAAGAATCTTTCACTTGCTGGATGATAATTCAGATAAGGTTGACTATAATACAAAAAGAAAACAGCTTGTCATCAGAACCATGTCTATACTTATTTTAGGAATGGGAAATTTACCATTTAACTGGCTAGCCATATATGGCTGGATGATGCTTGGAGAAAGACAAAGTTATATCATTAGAAAAAAGCTCTTTCATGAATATTTCAATCTACCTTGTAGTTGGTTTGACAAGTACAGGTCTGATATCATGGGTGAATTTACTCAATTGCATAGATGCATAGAAGAAGTTAGGTCCAGTTCAGCAGAAGCCTCTGCTATTATGTCACAAAGCCTTGTAGCTGTAATTGCACTAATAGGAACTGCATTCTACTTCTCTTGGTCTTTGACCTTGATTATCTTTTGCTCGACACCATTTATAATCATCTGTGCGGTTATATTCTCAAAATATATTCATAAATACACAGAAAAAGAGAATACAGAGTCAGAATGCGCTGCTGAACGTCTTGCTTGGATGCTGAAAAACATCGAATTTGTGAGATTACACAACGGTGACGATTTTGAGATTTCAATGTACACTCATTACATAGCACAAGCAAATGAATATTACATCAAAGCCTCTTTATTCATTTCTGCAAACATATCAATTTTAAGATTGCTGTCACTGCTAATGTTTGTGCAAGGGTTTTGGTTTGGATCAAGCATGATCAAACAAGGAAAGTTGAATATCGATAGTGTCATAACAAGTTTTCATTGTTGTCTCATGCTAGGATCAATAATAAACAGCGCTCTAGGCCAGGCAGTAGTACTACAAAAGGGTGATGTAGCGATGAAAAGACTATTGAAAATGATTGATCGAACTCCAAGAGAGTCATTAGCATTTATTGATGCTATCAGCGGTATTGATTTGTTACCCATTGTATTTAATAATGTTAGCTTTTGCTACCCAGAAAGAAAAACTGACAAGGTTTTCGATAAAATGAACTTTATTATAAAGCCAAATAAAATGACTTATGTAATAGGCCCATCAGGATCTGGGAAATCGACTCTTTTTGATTTAATTTTGTTGCATTATGATAATTATCATGGTTCCATAATGCTTGGTGATTTAGATATAAGATCTATAAATCGTAATATCATTTTGGAGAACATCACTTTAGTAAGTCAAACACCAACACTATTCAACGATACTATTAGAAACAATATACTCGCTTGTAGTAATTGGACAAATTTGCCATCAAAATTAGAAATGGAATGCATTTGCAAATTTGCCCTTCTTGAAAATTTAATCGCTGAGTTACCCGATGGATTGGATACTAGAATAGGTTCTGGTGGAATAAAGCTGAGTGGCGGGCAAGCTCAGAAAGTTGCGTTGGCTCGAGCTTTTGCCAGAAATACAAGCATTCTTCTTCTTGATGAACCCCTTTCGGCTGTGGATATGCGTCAGAGAATTGTATTGATGGAAAATATTAAACGTTGGAGAAATGGTAAAACCACCGTTATTATAACTCATGACCTAGAGTTCATCCGTAACACGGATAATATTCTCAATATAAGCGAGAGAAAAATATTAAGTTCGGCCCTCAATACTGAGAAAACCCAAGAATTTAAATGGGATGACCATTTAACATCAGAATCGATATATGACAATTCTGCTACAGTGTCTACAGACGTTAGCTACTTAGAAGAGGAAGCATTTCAAGGTGAAGAATATCAATACTTTGCATTTAGTGCAGGAATATCAGAATATGACCAAAAGGATCTAGAATCCAACACCAAGTCCGTGATCTTGATACCGTTTAATGAAATAATATACAAGTTTATTATTTCGTCATCTAAGAAGCACGTCTTGGTAATAGGTTTAATTGCAGCAATTATAGCAGCAATTTGTAATCCGGTTTTCTCTTATACGTTTAGCTATTTAATGAATGGCTTATTACCTACATCATATAATTCGCCGGGAAGTGAATATCTTTTGAAATTTTCTCTGATAGTGAGTCTGATAGCGTTGTGCGATGGTGTATCTACCTTTATAAAGTTATTCTTTTTGGGTTATTCTGGTGAGTTCTGGATATTTGAGCTAAGACAGGAAACATTTATAAAGATCATCAAAAATCCTATATCTTGGTTCTCAAAGAGTAATAACAAAGCCCCCATTTTGAGTACATTATTAATAAATGACTTAAGAGACCTAAGAAATTTAGTAACAGAGTTTTTATCCGTCATAACTACATTGATATTAGTGACTTCGATCGGATTAGTATGGGCTATTGCCATTGGTTGGAAGTTAAGCTTGGTATGCATCGCCATTATTCCATTAGTAGTAGTCTTGACTGGTCTCTATGGAACAATTTTAATCAAAACAGAAAATAGATATAAAACCTCAGTTGCTAATTTGGAGTCAATTGTCTATGAGGCTATTATCGGTATGAAAACAATCCAATCTCTTTGCCTACAACAGTACATAACCAAAAAATTTAATTGTAAAATTAAATTACTGGAAAAAAACGGAACTTATAGAGCTGTAGCAACTGGTTTGGGGATTGCGCTTACTAATATGTTAGTGCTACTATTTCAATCTATCCTTTTCTACTATGGATTTAAACTCGTGCTGACTGGGGAATACACACACTCAAAACTGTTTGAAACAATAGCACTTCTATTATTTACTATTGTAACCGTTGCCAGTTTAGTGACTCAACTTCCAGATATAACTAGGGGACAAAGGTCAATTTCTTGGATAGACCAGATCCTCAAAGGAGATAATCAACAGACTATAGAGCCACCTTCAAATTTATCAACAACAAAGGGAATTTGGAATCCAAATCAACCTGTAATTGAGGTAAGTAATCTTTCATTTACCTACGCACAAGTGCATAATAAAAAAACACTAACTAACATAAATATGCAACTATATTCAAATCAAATTTATGGCATAGTAGGAAAATCGGGATCTGGCAAGTCAACCCTAATAAATTTAATCTGTGGGCTATACAGTTTATCAGAAGGAAGCATAAATATATGCTCCTGCGATATTAACAAGTGGTCTACAAAAGAATTGCATAAAACTGTTGCTCTTTTACAACAAAATCCAGTTTTACAATTTGATACTATTCGTAACAATCTGCTATATGGCTTAACAGAAACTGTAGGTGATGAACATCTGCTTAATGTCTTGGAATATGTAGGTCTTAAAAGTTTCATTATCAGCCTAAATAATGGATTGGATAGTAAGTTGGACGATTCATTACTATCAGGAGGCCAATCACAACGTTTATGTATGGCAAGGGAGATGCTCAGGAATCCTAAAGTCTTAATTTTAGACGAGTGTACATCTGCATTAGATGTAACAAGCGCAAAAAAAATCAATGATATAATAGGCTCGCGGAGCTTGGCACCTGTCACTATTATTGTATCACATCAAAAAGAAACAATTAAGCTCTGCGACAAAATATTCTTTCTAGTCGATGGCACAGTAGCAATGATGGGCACATATGAGGAGCTGATGGAGAACAATTGGGAATTTCGAAAACTTCTTAACTTATAAACATCGATAACTATTTTACGAAAATAGTAGCCTGAGATCTATACATGTATAAATTCTTTTAGATAGATCAGCGATCTATTTGATAAACAAGTGCCCTTGGATTTTCTTATGCTTTATCTCGACAGAGCAACAACATGAAGGTACCTAAAGACGTACGATCTTCGGACTTTTAGATATTTTGGAGTCAGTCACCCCTCTCCTACAAACATAAACAAATTGACGAACCATAATAAAAAACCATTGTCATAACGAACTCATATATACTTATAGCAAGTGAAGATCTGGTAAGTTTAATAATATCTATACTCCGAACAGTTATTTTAAGCAATGTTCTCCTCTTTACTTTGGATAATTGTTTGTAACCCTCTATTGCATGGAGGTGTTGTGGCTTTGACTAATGGTGCTAGGACTTTGACTAAGGAGATACAATATATATTTTGGTTCTCTGCTGTAATCCAAGCCGTGTGTTTCCCATTTATGGGTAGAAATATTGTAACAAGTTGTGTGAGGGGTTCTTCAGAATTTTGGTGTAACGTAGATGTGTTTATGTTTATCCTCGCACTTTTTGTGCTAACTGGTAGTATATACACTGCTATTAACAAAGTGGGTATTACAAACAAGATGATAAGAAAGAAGATAACTGAATTTAGGTTGAAAACCATGGCTGGTGTGTCCCCAGTAAATCAGGTGATTATTTTGATTACAATAATTGTGGCACTTGGTCTCATTCCCCTTATTAGTGATATGTAGGTTATTTAATAACTATTGTGATTATTCTCGGCACAATTACTAATTTTGGTTGCTAGCGACCGAGGCTGTCGACTTGTACAAAATTTTATTATTTTGGTCGTTTCTTTCGACCTTGGCTCAACATGTAATTAATGATTTTCAGGAAAACGCGTAACAATTAAAATTTTTTGTGCTATATATGATTAAAATAGTACAATTATAAATGAATAGTTACATATGGCACTTCGACATCTTCACCCTCTTTATCGTCAGCACAAATCTCTAGAATCATAGTCTTTAAATGAGAAGACAAATCCTTCTTAGTAACCAGCTTGACTAGTTCAGTAATTGGCAGATTTAATCTTTCCTTCAATTTCTTAGGAGGGAAGAAAGAGGCATATAATAATGAAACACCATATGACAACATGGTAATTTCCAAACCTTCAACCTTCTCAAAGTGATCAATTAAGTCGGAAAGCTTAATATCACCATTAATATCAAATCTATCCCAAATTTTATCATATGTTTTGTCGTTGTACTTACCTTTTGGAGAAGAAATAGGCTCAGAAAAACCAAAGAACGGTAGGGCAAGGTTAACGAAACCATTTCTATACACCTCAATGTCATCCTTTCCATCTACAACCTTATATAGTTCCAGGTTTACCAAACCCGTTACCAAACCAGTTGTTGTGGCAATTGCTGGGATAATTCTACCAGCAATAAATTTCGTCTTCTGGCGATCTGCAACTTCAATGGAATAATTGAGTGCCCTACAATTTGAACAAGCTGCGATAAATTCAATATGATGATTTGTATCGTCATCTTTTTCAAACTCGACAGGTGCCAATTGGAAACCGTTTAGAGTCTTTGGATCAGGCAATGAAGCAGCTAATTGATCCAAGTTATCATTCTGACTACCAGCATTTGGATCTGGATCTTCATCATTAACTTGAATTTGCAAGTTCTTGTTGGGAGAGAATTCAGGGACATCAACATGAGTTAGTACAGAGTTATAATAATTAACATCAGGCTCCCCATCATCACCCTTAATACCATAATTAAATGCTCTTAAGTTAGCTGCACCGACAATGAAATGAAAGTGATCTGGCTCGTTAACATCGAACACCAATGGAGTTGGGGCACGCTTGGATCCTGACCAGAAAGGTTCACCGGTAGATGTCTTTGCGTCAGCTGGGAAATTGTACAATAATTGCTTGATGTCATGGTTAAATTTCTTTTCAAATTCTAGCCTAGCCCAAGCAATACAATCATCGAAATTGTTGGGCTTGTTGTTCAGAGACTCTGCAATCGATTCAAGTGTACCTTTGACGTCTCCACTTTGCTTCATCAATTGTTGAACATAATCCTGCTGATTTAAGTATAAGTTAACATTCTCAGCAGCATCGGCAAAGTAGCCTTGAAACAAGGATTTTGCCCAAGCAATGGTATGATCGATTTTATTTGGGAATGAACGCAAAGTACACAATGGGATGGACTTTTCTGGTGGATCTCTTGATGACGAATAAGATTCACTCAATCTTGGAATAATAACTTGCGTATTACCCTTTGTTCCCAAAGTACCAGATTCCAGCAAAGGCTTTCTATAGAAAACACATCTACGGTCAACGTAAGTACGTGCATCGATATTATCCAATGCATTTGTAACAAAATCTAATCCTTCCCAGAAAGCATCGTCAAATATATTCTCAGTATCTGGACCAACCTTGTCAGTCATAGGTGTAATTTTCCCCTCTAAATCCGGATTCATCGAAGATACAGCTCTTGCGGCAACATCTGATTTATCATGACCAACATCTTTTGGTCTAAACAAAAATTGACGGTTTAAATTCGACTTTTCAATTGAGTCATTATCTGTTACAATAATTCTACCGTCTGGGCCCGAACCAAGACCCATCAACGCCCAGTTTTTCAGCATTTCACAACCGATGGCACCAGAACCAACTAAGAATACTTTAGAATTAGCAAGCTTCCGTTGGAAGTCAATACCGAAAACAGCGATTTGATTGTCATAACGAGTATTAATTGGTGCTGTGTTTTCCGCAGTTCTAGGATATTGTTTTGGATCCGGCAATGACTCTAATGAGTCAAAGTACATGTACTGCTTCAACGGTGTGAATTTTCCGGAGCAAGCTTTCAAAACTTCTTGTGCAACCAAACCACCAAAAAAGGCCACAACACCAGGGATATCACCTCTGGCTTGATAAGATAACTCCCTGATAAGCTTCTCATTGATCTCGGCATCTTCGGAGCCTAGAACATTTGGATTTTGAGCAGCTAGATCAGTTACCAGCTTCAAAACTTCATTAGCATCTTCATCATTCAGAGTTCTTGGTAGCTCACCTTGGTGCTTCAATGCAAATTGATGTAGAGCTTGGAAACCTAGATGTAATTGACCTACTCTATCAAACTTGGCGAAATCAGAGAACACATATTCTGGTTCAGATAAGGATTCTTGTAAAGTCTTAAATGACAAAGTCTTAGGCACCTTAACTTCTGTGAAGATACCTCCTTTCTTGTATTCACCTAAATCTTTAACCGATCCAATACGGAATGCAAATGGGCCTAGTACTTCTACCTTATATAAAGTACCATCATTTAACTTCTCTAGACCTTGTACTTCAGAGAATTTGACGTAGTTGCCATCTTCCAAACCGTGTCTGCTATCATCCAACATGGTAACTGTTCCATCTGGCTCTATATCAGATACAATACCTGTCCGTGGTTCTTCACCAGTTTGATCAATGACCGAAAATTCATCACCTAGGTCAACGAATGCTTGTCCGAACAGACCTCTAGTTTCTGTAGCAATAAATTTCACTCCAGAGTTATGACATATGTTGTTCATTTTAATTTTATCTTCCAAAGAAACAGTTTCTGTGGCCACAACGACTTGGAATTGCTTCAAATCATCGTCGTTAAGAGATTCGAGTGTCTTAACAGGAACATATGAATTCAACTCTGCTAACTTACCGCGGGTGACTTCGTCCCTACGTCTACCAATGTCACTTTCGCTTAGGAAGAACTGTGTTGAAAGATCCTGCAGAACTGCCTTTTCAGGGTCAAACAAAGTTAATGATTTAACACCAGCCAAGGCAACGTTCTTGGCAATTTCAACACCCAGACCACGTAAACCGACAATCAGCACGTTAGACAACTGCATCTTAAGCATTGCCTCTTTACCGAGGACATATAATTGACGAGAGTATAAACTCTCATCAATTTCACCGGTTTCCTTAGACATTGTTATGCTTTACTAGTCAATCTGGAAAGACCTATTTTTACCGAATGTATGTATAGTAAGATCTTGACTTGTACCGACAATTATGTCTTCCGGTCAATCAACTAATCAATTCCTTTTATTCAAACAAATTATCTTCCAAAAGTCTATCACCGAACTTTTGAAGCCTAAGTTTATATAGTGTACCTTTTTTTTTTGTTGTTCTCTTTTTTTTTTTTTGCTTTATGCTATTAGTTACTCTTCTCTCCTTAAGGTGTCCAGGACGAGGGGCTTAATCTGATAACAAGTCGACTAGGTATATATATATCGTGTGTATAGCTGAATTGGCCTTGTACGGTTTCAAGTCTCAAGTTACTATAACTAATTTATCAAATAATTGCGTAAAGAAAAATAAAAAGAATAGAAACTAATTGATAGCCCATCAATTTATGATCACTAAAAATTGTGTGGTTCTCGTTGGCCACAAGGTTGTTTCTAAGATATTCCACTATAAACACACCGCAGCAAGAACAGGGTCCCATGCCCTTGGTGTTCCTTCTCCCCCTTCCTCCTTCCAAACGTACTGTCCCATTACCAATGGAACAATGTACTGATCGTTACCGGTTATATGGCAAGATGCTGAGAAGATGCTGGCAATCGACCTGGTACTTTACTGAGTTCATTGTTGCACAGTTCTCTTACCAAGGCATATGCAAGAATATATCGAGAAGTAATTACGTTGCATTGACTTTTCTTTCCAACTAGTGTTGTTCTACCAGGATGGCGATTATGTAGTCAACATTGCTTTTGCAGCTGGTATGACATATACACGCAAGGTATGTCTCAGCACCTAAACCCTGCATTGCTTTCTGTGTGTGGCAAAAAAGGACGAGGGGAGAATGGCGGTGAAACCACCAAAGTAAAGAAGTACGAATCCTAAAGAAGTTGTAAATTCTTCAAGGACTTTCGTACGATACTAGATAGCATTTACTGGATGTATACTAGAACTTTGTCATGTGACTCATTTCACTTTTCACATGTTTCGAGCTCTGGCTGCTAGCAAAGATGAGGTAGTTATCCGGGAAAATGCATTAAACAGCAACTGGCGGGCTCAACGGCTCTTTCCTTTAAAATACTGACTTATCAATTTTGTAATAAAATCTATCTCTTACTCATTACATCATCCACAGACAGTTTTGAGCTTAACGTGATACTTTAATCCAAGAATCTGATCACTAAGTGCATCTGCTTTGCATATGCGTATGCACAAGCACACTTATTTGAAACACTTAATTACCAGCGATCTTCTTCAAGAAAAAAAAACATAAAATCAAGTGCAAATCATCCCTACTAGTATTACATATCGATTTCGTTGTTCGTTTATCTTTTATTTTATTTTGGGGGTTCAGGAAATCGCCAAAAGCTCTACTAAAAACTTGGCATTGAAAAGACTTTCCTCGTCATTCCAAAAAATCGAGGTCTGTTGTCCCTATCTGGTTCCTCATCATGTAAAAAAAATAAAAAATAAACAAAAACAGAAAAATTATTGACTAGCTCATTGCTAGCTATTGCGTAATAGCCTACACATATGCACTATCAAGCACTAGTGCTCCACCTGGAAAAACAAAGTAACACTTGACAACGTCTTGAACATATATTAGACTAGAGAACAATATTGCTTTTACTCAGATTATAATCTGTATTATCTAGTCCTGTCTTATAGGGCTAGCTTACGATCAACACAAAAAATGTACGTTAGCCCCAAGTAAAAAAGATCATCCTCATTCCCTTTTATACTTTTCCTATCAAGTTCTATCAGGTAGAAATGGATGCATGTTGAATTTGTCTGCGAGCTTTGCAAAGCACGCGAAGTACAACTACGTTTACGGTGATAACAATACGATTAGGGCATTCGCAAATCCATATTTAGTTCAAAAATTGCCATGGAGTGTGAAATACACAAACAACAATGTACTGTTGAAATTATTCCAGTTCTTCTAGACTATATACAATTCCTTTTTTCTGGAAAAATTGACAGAAGCTATGAAAAGGGTCTCTTTGATTGAAAATTATATCATGAAATTTATGGTATTACATACATTAGAAAGACTAGTCCTTCTTTGAAGTTGTAGGGGCTTTAAACCGCGGATCAGGTTTGTATTTAAACCCTCTAAATTCTTGCTCCTTGTTGTGTGTTTGCATTGCAACCAAAAAGCCAACATCCATCAATTTGGGCCAGTTGACATACTGCATTCCATTTTTGATCAAAAATTGTACACAAGCCGCAGTAGTTACAGCTGCACATATGAAATACATCATATTCTTAGAGTCTGTAAATGATCCCTTTGGGAACAATATAGTTGCACCGAGAACAGTAATGGCTGCATAGAGAAGCATTGGCACAGCCTGAATAATAAACGGTCTTCTGTCGGTAAAAGGAGAGACAACTCCTGTTGAGAACGGCTTGAAACCACCAAGGAATAAATCATAAGAATCTTGTCTAGGACCATCAGTTAGGTTGTTTTGATAGTAACGGGAAGCTGAATTAACAAAGTCATTGAAGGCTCCTGCCTTAGTACGCTTACCAGTCCTTGTAAAGTCTGTCTTTAAAGCACCAGTACCCGAGTATGAAAAACTGACTGCATCAGCATTATCTGCCCATAGGTTTTGGAATAAAGATAACAACGACTTATCTTGTTCCCATAATTGCTCTTCACCAACGACTCCAGAAGTTTCAAGTTCATTCTGCAAGATCCAATGAGCTAAAACTGATTGAACAACGTTAGTTCTATCCAAACAATCCATACAGTTAGTTCTAACAGTCGAATGTTGCTCACTAACTATTTTTTCTGTCTTCAAACCATCCATTGTGAAAATCTTGTGGAAATAATCCTTACTAGATAGTCCCATCTCTGTCAAATGATCTATCAGAAGTTTGACTCTATGCCATTTCATGTTACGGCATTCGTGATGAAAATCAAAATATATGTAATGTATCTTTGGGTTATTCAGACCAGCAACGGCTGTTTCATAAGCTTCTTTAACAGGAAGTTCATGTCCCTTTTGGTTCACCAAATTAACAAGGTAATTATCACCATACAAGCTTACCTGTTCATCGAAATGCTTCTTGGTAGATTCCAATGTGCTGTTATCACCCAGAACCAACTTAGGCTTATACTTCATATTGTTTATTTCAGCCCAATAAACTGGAACAGAGCCTCTCGTTTGCAAGAAAGAGAACAATTCAGGGTTTCCCCCAGTCTTTCTAACTTGCAAAATTTGTTCAGTCTCGTTGAAGTTTCCCACATTACCATTTTCGTCAATACCACGGCGGAAATATCTGGTACCCGCTCTGTAAATTGATCTTCTGGTAATCAAACCGACATTAATTGGAACACCATTTAGACCAGTATCCAAGACCTTTGCATAACCGTAAATAATAGGTTGAATAAAAACCTCTACATTACTGTCTTCTTGGGCTAAGGATCTTAGTTCCTCTGTTATGTAGTGATTCCAGAAAAACCTCTTATCACATGTTTTCCAGTATGGAGAACCAACTGGACTTTTAATATGTTCATTTCTTTGGTATGAGTTTGTCAAATCATAAGTATAAGAGAAGTAAAGAGTGGAGTTTTTCAATTGCATTTCTAACAATTTCAAGTATTCAGCTTCATCTTTATCAATTCTCGATGATCTCTTTGCGTTAACAATAGAGTGTTGAACAACCTTGTAAATAATATGCCCATCCAGTCTTCCAGACTCTTCAACCGTATCAGCTATTATAGCATATTTGTTCAGTTTCAATCTGATGAAACCTAATAGTGCAGCCACCTTTATTGTGGATTTTGCAGCAACAGGGAATTCACCGCCATCTACTGCTGTTAATAATTGGTCGTGAGCTGACAAATGGATAACACGCTTTGAATCCTCGTTTTTCAAAGGCTTGAAATACAACCCATCCGCGTTACGAGCAAACAACAATGGTCCTGACATAACTGTTTTCAATCCTTATAGTTATGACGGTTTTGCGGATATCAATGTTAAGAACTTAAATCCTAAGTACCGTTTGACTTATACTAATAAAATATCTGCAACCTTTGCTATTCAAAACTATCTATCCGTCTCTACAAAATTAAGCCTCGAATTAAATTTTGACTTTTGAATTTTGAGTTTTGAATTTTCTTCTGTTCTCGTTCTTTCGATTCAGTAAAGTACAGCCAAATTATCTCGCTCAATCTTTATAACGAAACTATTGTATACTTCGAGTTATATATAGTCTATTTTACATACACAGATAACCACATACATATATAAATTCTTTTGAAAGTTCAAAGATAAATTCTTAGTTATATAATAAAGAAGAGGGAAAATAGTTCAAGTAAATACGTTGCCAATCAATATGTGTCTCGTTTCTCAATAAACAAGAAAAAAACTGAGTGGGCCTTCCTTCGATTAACAAAAGAGACCAACTTTCCACTCACAAGCTCTTCGCTTTCGATCGCGAAGAAAGTAGTTCATTCTCTTTTTGTTTTTCCTTAAATCAGTGCAATCCCTAACTGTATGCTGCAGGAACTCGAGGTACTAGTAAACTTCTGTTACAAAATTTCGGTTGTCCCACCCTTTCCCTATCCTATCTTCGTCCTTAAACTGCTCTTTGAAATTTTGATATAATTTGACAAATCCTTAGAAGACGTTCCAGCTCTAATAGCATCCGCTCCCATTTCGATGTAGATTAGAATCAAGCGAAATTTCAAATGTCTAGCCGTGAAAGCTCTTTTTCTAAGAGGCTTGTTGTAGAAAGAAAACAACGATTTTTCCTGACGGAACCGGGGACGTCCAGAACTGGTTTTTACTGATATTTCAGACTATCGATTTTCATTTTTCTACTTGTTCAACTTGCCAGGGACTTTCACACTTTCATGCTTTCAGACTCCTCTACACTGTGACAAAATCGAACAAACATAAACGATCAGATAGAGAAGGCACTCCCACTTAAAAAGACACTCGTTATGGAGAATGTGAGGAGGAAGATAAACAAAAAGAGACGATAAGATCGTGGCTTATTAATGGTGTGCATTATTATCTACATCTAAAAAGCTGTGGGAACTCTAGCAACTATATTACATTGTATGCGACCTATAAACAAAAAATAACAAGTAAGAGACCTAAACGACCACATTAAGATATATATATATACAGATATCAAAAATTATAGTACAATTGGACAGTAGCCTGAATTGGCATACCATGCTTGACTACAATAGCAGCTGTATCAATCTGTTAATGAAAAGCGCGCTATCTCTTTTTGCTTTGGAAAACATTCCATGATCAAGCTCTGCTACTGAGTGAAGAATATCTAGTTACTAATTCCCTACAGAAAATTTATGTATATTATTAAAACCTTGAGAAACCATTGTTGAAGCTATAAGTTGAAGCCCAAGTTAACAATTAGTAGAATACTTCCTAACATTTCAAGATGAAATATAGGTAATATCTTGTTAAACTATTCAAGGATCGAACTGCTATTATGTGGGTAGCATAAATTTGATTACTACTACGGGTCTTCCTGACATGATAAAAGAGTGAGTTATCCTGGCGGGATTCCTCATATTCCTTGCCTGCAACGAAATTAATACATAGTATAAACCAGTATTGCATACTTACATCAATATGTATGATCTGTACTGTTTTAACAATTCTCCCTAGCCATTCTTTTTGTATGATTCAATATCTCTGCTTGAAATGCTACTTTATGTTCCGGGAATTGGATTGCCGGGAGGCGAAAAAGGTCTGAAGAAAAATAAGAGTGTCGAGGATTCTACGTTGCTTCTGCACACTATAGGCTCCCCTTTTGCTGTATTCATTTTGCTATTACAAACAAAATGCTATTAAATTTTCAATTTAAGTTCTGTAATTGATAATTTAGTACATACAAATCTCAGGGATTACTCATTTGTTATAGAAAATTATATTTTTTTGACCAATTGGAAGATTTTTAGAACATAGTTCTAGGAATAAACTACAGAAGCAACAATAGATGTATCAATTGAGTGCAACCTTAAGAGGTCATTCGCAGGATGTCAAAGACATTACAGCAGTGAATGATAATAAAATAGCAAGCGTTTCTCGAGATGGATCACTTAGAGTTTGGACGAGAAGCTCTTCTGGTGATTGGGAAGATGTGCTGGTCTATCAATCAGATAAATTCTTAAATGCTGTTTGCTATGATAAGACAAGTCAGACAGTATACTATGGTGGTCAAGATACTTTGATTAATGGCTCTCACATTGAAGATGTAATAGGATCTTCAGCTGATCCGATGTATACTTTAGTTGGCCATACAGGAAATGTCTGTGGTCTAAGATTTCAAAATGGATTGCTCCTAAGCTCGAGTTGGGATAAAACTGCGAAAATATGGGATAATAATAAACTAAAATATGATCTCAGAAACCATGAGGCGTCGGTTTGGGACTCTACAATGGTGTCTGATGATATTATTTTGACTGCATCTGCGGACAAGTCGATCGGTGTGTGGATGGAAGGCAAGTTAATCAAAAAGTTGTCTAATATACATGATGATGTGATAAGACATCTTGAATATATTAGTAATGATATATTCGCTTCCTGTTCAAACGATGGTACCATAAAACTGCTGAATTTAGAAGGTGAAATTAAGAATGTTTTTGAAGGCCACGAAAGTTTTGTCTATTGTGTCAAACATATGAATAACACTTTATTTAGTTGTGGAGAAGACAGCACGGTCAGAATATGGAGCATCAATGGATCAACCAAACAAGTGATAAGAATTCCGGCTGTATCAGTCTGGAACCTCGATCTCCTGCCCAACGGCGATTTTGTTATTTGCTGCAGTGACAATACGATTAGAATTTTTACCGAAGATCAATCAAGAGTAGCATCAAAGGATCAGCTAGACGCTTTTAAGGAAGAATTAGAAAAGTCTGCTATAAACTCGGAGACAATCAATTTCGATGAAAGTAAATTATCTCCCTATGAAGTTCTGTCCAAACCAGGAAAGAAAGAAGGTCAGCTTGTTGTTGTGAAAAGCCCAGAAGGTGTAACTGAGGCACATCAGTTTTCTTGTGGACAGTGGATAAAAATAGGTGATGTAGTGGGATCTGCCACTTCAGGTAGTGATCAGAAGAAAGAATATGAAGGCAAAATGTATGATTATGTATTTGATGTTGATGTGAAAGAAAATGAGCCACCACTGAAGCTTCCAGTTAATATAACAGACAATCCATATGACATCGCCGACAAGTTTATTGCTAGATATGAGCTACCTCCTGAATATCGAGATCAAATTGTTCAATTTATACTGACTAATACAACTGGTATGAAAGTTGGAGATACAGCTACATCTGACAACAACAGAGATAACTCATTTACATCATCGCAAACTTTCGCTATGTTTCCTGTAACCAAAATTCTTTCAAACAAAAATTTTAATGCCGACTCCATATTTAATGGTATTGTAAAATTTAATTTGAAAGAGCAATCCTTCGATGATGAAGACTTAGGTCTTATTGGCTCTTCATTACAATCAGTAGATGAGAGTTGGGAAGCCCTTTATGGGTATGCTAACAGAATATTAAAATCGTGGGAAAATAAGATCCCAGCATTTGATATTTTAAGAGTCATTGTTGACAAGTTGCCTGATCCAAATAATATCAATGATTATATTGACCTAGGATTGAGTAACAAAGATATTGTTATCTCAATGCTCACAGTAAAGATACTCGTAAATATTTTCTCTAACAAAATTTGGGGCCCACAGCTTTTGTCTTCACCAAAAGTTTATGAAAATATATTTGAAACTATAGAAACGATATATGATAATGCCACAGAAAAGAAAACTTCCAACTTAGCTATTGCTGTTTCAACATTACTTTTCAATTTCTCTACGATGGTTATCAATGACAAAAATGGCACGGAAATGCTTCCGGTTATTTGTGACACTATTAATACGAAATTCGGACCGTTAGAAGAGTACCAAGCAAATGAAGAGGCCAGTTATAGACTATTAATGGCTTATGGTAATATGGCTACAATTGAACCAACGCTTTTACAATATGCTAAGTCTATCACGTGGATAAGGCAAATGAAACACAATTTCGGACATATTGACAGATTCAAAGTTATTTTCACCGACCTAAAATTACACTAATCTATCAATTGTGAGAAGGGTTCCTTTAATAAATATGAATAAATATGTGATAAATAGTACATACACTCTATACACATAAATGTGCGTATTGTCAATATTAGTGTCCTAATATTCTATCCCTGTCTCGGAATAGAATATCACATATTTCATGTAAAAAACAGCTTCTTCAGAAACATAACGCGAAGAAAAATTCAAAAATTCGAAGTGCTACTTAATAACTATATTTTTCAATCGATATCAGTTACTATTTAATAAAGGTTATTGTCATTGAACTCAATAGAAGTTAAACCACTACTACTTTGTGACATTCTACCAATTTTACGCACAAAAATGGTAAATGAAACTGTTACCGTATGTTGGAGTTGATGAAATAACTTTACATTTCTGACAGAGTCGGACTTTAACTAACAACTAAAAATGTGAATATAAACAAAGAGGTTAAGCTGCTATTTAAAGGAGAAACAAAATAAATTACGGTAATCCTATTTGTTAAATATCATCAAGAATGAGCCAGAACACTAAGCACCACCGAGTCACTAATTATAGAAGGAGAGATCTTCGAAACACGCTGGAGTCAAGGCTAGGTCTCCCCGTAGAAAAAAGAAGGCTTGTACCTCAACTTTTTAGATTAAAAATAACCAACATAGGTCTTGATGTATCTGATTACACCATACTTGATATAATCAAGGAATTCGGAGAACCTGAGTATATTAATTTCCGCGATCACAAGGACTCAAGGTCATGCATTTCTGATTTCAAGGATAATGAAATAGCTACAAAACTCATTGAAAAATACAACAACTTTGAGATAAATGGCAAATCGATCCAAGTGACTTTACTCGACCAACAAAAAAGGAAAAGGGATGCCGACCAAGAACGTAGAAAACTTAGACATGGTCCCAGAGGTGGATATGGCAGCCATTATACGAAGTCACAAAAACCAATTGAACAAAGAAATAAGACAGTTGACGAATTAAACGCAGAATTAGATGCATATATGAAAGAGTCATAGTTTGGAATCCTTTTTAGTTTTTTTAACCAGAGCTTCATATCTGCACCTGGATTACCTCCAATAATATATGTTAGATCTCCCACCTGAAGCTATTATTTTTACAAAAATACTTTTATGTAGTCTTGATGATAATAGAACAAAAGCTGTGAAGTCAAAATTACTATTGATTCTTGTCACCCCCCAAGCATTAAACTAAACAAACTTATATTGACTGTCACTACAGTAGCTAGTATGGTCACGAGTTATTTAATATAAATGTAAAGCAATGCTCTAAGGGGGGTGTTACAATGAACAACCCCATGAGACTCCCTTAATTTTTGTTGCATTGCTGATATTACATTGCATTCTAAATGTTCATGAATAAAAGCTAGTTCTTTCTTTAAAAGAATTTGTCTAACATATGTTTTATGAAGAACGTTATTTTCCTATCTTAATTTGCTACTCCCAATTTTTCAAATAACTCGAATCGATTGATTGTTCATTGAGACAATTTTACCGTTTGGTTATGAAAAATGAGTGGTAATATCAGAATTGCAATTGACTCAGGTGGAACATTTACCGATTGCATTGGCAGTAAAGGTACACAGTGTTTGGATGACGATGTAGTAATTAAACTTCTTTCTGTTGATCCAAACAATTATCCAGATGCACCACTAGAAGGCATACGAAGAATACTGGAAATCTTTCAAAAAAAGGAAATACCCAGAGGCTCGCAATTAGACCTTTCAAATGTATCTAGTATTCGAATGGGAACTACCATTGCCACAAATAGTGCGTTGGAAAGAACTGGAGAAAAATGTGCTTTGGTGGTGACTAAGGGCTTTAAAGATGTGATTAATATTGGAGATCAAACTAGACCAGATATCTTCGATTTGAATATTAGGAAACCTTTACCTCTTTATAGTATGGTTGTTGAGATAGATGAAAGGGTAACCATCGAAGACTTCTCAGAAGATCCTACTAATAAAGTAACTGAAATCAACAATTCTGATATAGTAGAAGGTAGGAGTGGAGAAGCGATCAGAATTCTGAAAGAACCTGATCCAGATCACATAAAAACAGTCCTCAATGTAATTTATGGAACAGGTATTCGGTCAATAGCTGTTGCATTTGTCCATTCTTATACTTATCCTAAGCATGAACAGATAGTCTATGATATCGCAAAAGCAGTTGGGTTCAGCAACATAACATTATCATCTGATATATCGCCAATGATCAAATACTTGCCACGTACTCATAGTGCACTAGCAGATGCGTATTTGACACCTGTTTTGCACGGGTATCTAAATAGAATTGAAGATGGACTAAAAAATGTTAGCATGCATTCACTGCAGTTTATGCAATCTGATGGTGGTTTAGTTCAGAAGTCAAAATTTTCTGGTCTAAGATCCATTTTGTCAGGACCGGCTGGCGGTGTTGTTGGATATTCTAGAACTTGCTTTGATACTGCGAATGAAATTCCCCTAATTGGTTTCGACATGGGCGGCACCTCAACGGACGTTAGTCGATTCGGCGAAAACAGACTGGAACATATCTTTGAAACCACTACTGCAGGAATAATAATCCAAACACCTCAGCTGGATATACACACGGTTGCAGCAGGTGGAAGTTCGATCTTAAGGTGGGAGAACAGTCTCTTTAAAGTTGGCCCCCAATCTGCATCTGCTGATCCTGGCCCTGCCTGCTATAGAAAAGGAGGGCCACTAACAATAACGGATGCTAATTTAGTGCTTGGGAGATTGGTTCCTCAATACTTTCCCAAAATATTTGGAAGAAGTGAAAATGAAGGCCTCGATATTGATAAAAGTTACGCACTGTTCAAAGAATTAACGAAAAATATTAACAATGATCTTGGTAAGGCACTTTCACTAGAAGAAGTTGCCTATGGGTTTTTGAAGGTGGCCAATGCTGCAATGGTTAGACCAATTAGAGCTATTACTGAAACCAAAGGATATATGGTCTCTAGGCATCGACTAGTTTCATTTGGCGGAGCAGGAGGTCAACACGCAATTGATATTGCCGAATCATTGAATATTGATACTGTGCTGTTCCATAGGTATTCATCCATTTTGTCTGCGTATGGTATTTACTTAGCAGATGTGATAGAAGAATCCCAAACACCATGTTCTATAAGCACAAAAGAACTCAGTTTCTGTGAAAGAATAAAAAGTATTTTTCAGAAGTTAGTAGAGAAGAACGTAAGCTCTTTAAATGAACAAGGCTTTGACCAAGCTAATATTGTCCATGAGAAATATTTGAACATGAGATATGAAGGGACTGAATCATGCATAATGATTTATGAACAAGATAACAGTTTAAATTTTGAGAAATGGTTTCTTGAACAGCACGAAAAAGAATTTGGTTTCACCTTCAATAATAGGAAAATTGTAGTCGATGATGTGAGAGTTCGGTCTATTGGCAAATCTAATGTTCGCACAGACTCATCTGTTGATGAACAAGTAAAAAAATATATTAAAAGACAAACAGATATGATACAACCCCAACCAGAGTTTTCTCAACAATGTTATCTTAGGAATAAATGGCAACAAATACCAGTATTTAACATAAAATCATTAAAAATTGGTGTCCAAATTAAAGGCCCTGCTATTCTGGCCGATGAAACTCAAACAAATGTTATCCTTGAAAACTGGACAGCGTCAATATTGAAGACTCATATCATAGTTAATAAGCAAGAACAAGAGAGAAAGAGGTTTACCGAAGTTTCGGATGAGATCAATCCGATAATGCTTTCCATTTTCAGCCATAGATTTATGGATATAGCCGAACAAATGGGATCCCAATTAAGGAAGACGTCTGTATCTACCAATGTAAAAGAAAGATTGGACTACTCATGTGCTTTATTTGATCCGGTGGGCAATCTAGTTGCTAATGCTCCCCATGTTCCAGTGCATTTAGGTTCAATGTCCACTTGCATTGCTGCTCAAGCCAAAATATGGAAGGGTAGATTAAAAAAAGGGGATGTGATCATTACCAATCACCCTAATAGTGGTGGTACTCATTTACCAGATATTACTATTATAACTCCATCATTTTCTGTTAGCGGGGAGATTATCTTTTTTGTGGCATCTAGAGCTCATCATTCAGATATAGGTGGCATTTTGCCAGGCTCTATCCCGCCAAATTCTAAGCATTTATATGAGGAAGGTGTATCTATATTTTCTGATCTTATCGTTGAACAAGGAGAATTTATGGAGGATCGTATTTTTAGAATTTTTGTGAAAGAACCCGAAAAATATCCCTTGTGTAGTGGGGCAAGGAAATTTTCTGATAATTTGAGTGACCTGAAAGCCCAAATTGCGGCTAACGTGAAAGGTGTACAACTGATTCAGAGATTAATAGATGACTTCACTCTAACCACGATTTTAAAGTATATGAAAGCTATTCAAGATAACGCAAGAAATACGATAAAAAGTATGTTGAAGAAGCTTACAATATATTTCAATAGAAATGTTTTTGAAGGAAAAGACTACATGGATGATGGCAGTGTAATACAATTAAAAGTTACGCTTTTGTGTGAAGAAAATAAATATATTTTTGACTTTTCTGGTACATCTCCCCAAATGTATGGCAATTTAAATGCTCCACATTCCATTGCTAATTCAGCTATTATTTATTGCTTGCGATGCTTAGTTGGTGAGGATATACCCTTAAACCAAGGCTGCCTTGACCCCTTAACAGTTATATTACCTGTGGGAAGTTTACTAAATCCTGGCGAAGGGGCTGCCGTAGTTGGTGGAAATGTTCTGACGTCTCAAAGAATTTGTGATGTAATATTAAAAACCTTTCAAATATGTGCTGATTCTCAAGGTGATTGTAACAATCTTACCTTTGGCCGACGTAGTGAGACCGACATTAATGGTAAACAAATACCAGGATATGGCTATTACGAAACAATATGTGGAGGTGCAGGAGCCGGACCTAGTTCTATATTGAAGCAAGGATGGAACGGGGCTGACGCCGTTCATACAAATATGACAAATACAAGAATGACTGATGTAGAAATATTTGAAAGGCGATATCCAGTTTTGCTACACAAATTTGAAATACGACAAAATTCAGGGGGAAAGGGAAAGTATAACGGAGGGAACGGTGTCATTAGGGATATATTGTTTAGAGATGAGGTCGAGGTTTCCATATTGTCAGAAAGAAGAGCTCTCCCTCCAAATGGTATATATGGAGGTGAATGTGGTCAACGAGGATATAATTTATGGATTAAAAAAGATGGATCTGAGATTAATATTGGTGGAAAAAACACTATCATTGCAAAAAAGGGCGATAGAATTGTAATCATGACCCCAGGGGGCGGGGGAGTAGGTTATGGAGAGTGCTCTTGAAATGGACGACTTAAGATGGTATCAGTTCTTTAGTAACTGATCATGTAATGTTTGCCAACTTTACGAATATGATTTCACAGTCAGAATGAATTAATTAAGTGCCAAAATCTGGATTTACGCCCATTAGGAATTGCCCTTATAAAATTTTTACAGAACCATCTATTGTCATTAAATGAATTACAATATCTAATTATGTGATAATCAAATCAGCTCAATATGAAAAGATTCTCAATCACATGTTCTTTGAATATCAAATGAAAACGAATTTTTCTGATATTGGCTTTATGGTTTAATCAGTACTATTCAAATTCTCATGACCAGACGTTGATGTTCATACTATCTTCCGCGTTTTTTAGTAACATTCATAATTTACGGCTCTTCTTAATAACTAGTATTTTTCAATTATTGACGAAACGTTTAACGTAAATTAGAAACAGGATTCATTTATTGTTAAAGTAAACTTAGGATTATGAATATTAACCAAGATCCTCCAAACCCGATAACATGTGGTTTAGCATTTTGTAATGGATGCCAAAAAAATTCCTTATTGATTTTATATGTATACATGAAATACGAAACTTGAAAAAGGACTTGAATATAGCTTTGGTTCCTAAGGTACTTGAAAACCTCGATCCAGTTGTCAAAACCAAACTAAAAATTTATCATAGTTGATTTTCTCTTCCTTGATAGAAGTAGTTGTAACAATATATGTGTGCGCCGACATTTATTCAATTACAAAATTCTGTTTTCTGTTGATTTAACCAGTTCATTAACCAATAGTTTGAAATTACTGATCAATATTTTGATGACTTACCAGTTCCCGTATGATATATAAATTACGAGCCACTCCTAGCTTGTTATCATATTAGAGGTGTATTTGAAGACATAAGGTATAAAAAAGCAGCCAATTTGTTTATTAAAAGAAATACTAAGGTAAACATTCTCTTAGAATTGCGTATTTAAATATAATTTATACTACGTGTATGATCATAATATTGCAGCTATATATATATATTTATCCTTATAGGATTTAATATAAGAAAATGAAATGAATCCAATTTTCTTTCAATAATCTATAATTTTATTCAAAAAAAAAACAACACCAACGATGAAAATACATACTTTTGTTACATTTATACATGAAGAAACTCTTTAAGCACTTTATCTAATATTCATTTATTGAGTAAGAGTTCTTAATGATTAGATTATACCCTTTCTCATAGAATTATCCGCTCAGAGAAAATAATGTTGATTCAGTTAGAACAGCAGAAAAATATTCTACACTGAGATTGTCCAATAGTGTCAATATTTATTTCTAAACCTCACTATCTAGTACTACTAAGCTGATTTGACTCATTACCAATTAGATTACCGCTATAGCGCTACAACTTCGTAAAATTATCATATTTTAAATGACATTTTCCCCAGACAAACATTCTGGTGAACGTAATCAACTCACATGACAAGCATGAAATCCATTAATAATTAAAGAACTTAATTTAATCAGAGAGTTACTCATAAAAGTTTTAAAGTATTTAATTAGTGTACCATATTTTAAGTTGAATCTTAGTTTTGTTGTTTTATATGAAGTAATGCTTCTATTCTACTTTTTCAATTTTTCTTCTGGCCATCCATCTCATGGATATGTACAGAGCATTTTGCAGAACAGGCTTTCATTTAATACGTCATTTTCTTACAACTGCTTATGCTATTTTAATAAACACAGCGATAGAATCACTTGTCAAGACCCAACTTTGTTTTAGAGGTAAGGAATATTGTAGCATTTTGCGTTGCTCACTACAACATTAATATCGGTATTTTTGTTTTCTTGTATTCAAGGAATATTAACATCTGAGCTGAAAAAGTACAAATACACAAATATAATATTATGACATTTATTGATGTTTATGTTAATGATACTCAATATAAGTATAAATTATACCCAAATCTTAGAATATGATTATGTAGTTCTTTGATAAATTGACGATTATCCTCCTATATGATGAGTTAATTTATACTACTAAAAAACTAAAACCGACACACTTTTCTGCAGTATAGAAAATTATAATAAAGCAATAATATCAATTACTACTTGTATATTGGTAACGAACTAAAATGGAGTTTTACGCATGGAGTATCCTTACACAACCAAATGAGATGAACAATTTGAGAAAGTCAGAAAGAGTAAGAAACGAACTGAAATAAATTTGAAATTTCATATAAGGCCCTAGAGGGTTAAAAGAAAACAAATAATATAGAAAAAGCCTGAATAAAAGGAAAAACGAACTGAAAACAATTCAACATTTCATGAGTGATGAATTATGGTGACCTTAAATTTATTTCAATGTAATTACAAGAAAATAGGTGCAATAAGAACCAATAACAACAGTTTTGTTGGCATCATTTTAACTGCCTGAGAACCTTCACCCTTGAATGTCGATAATGTTGGCTGATTAACTGCAACCGAAGTGGACAATCTAGGGGAATTAGCGCCGTTTGGAGATGGTGTGTTGCCGTTGTTGCCAGAACCACCGCCGTTTGGGGATGGTGTGTTGCCGTTGTTGCCAGAACCACCGCCGTTTGGAGATGGTGGGTTGCCGTTGTTGCCAGAACCACCGCCGTTTGGAGATGGTGGGTTGCCGTTGTTGCCAGAACCACCGCCGTTTGGAGATGGTGGGTTGCCGTTGTTGCCAGAACCACCGCCGTTTGGAGATGGTGGGTTGCCGTTGTTGCCAGAACCACCGCCGTTTGGAGATGGTGGGTTGCCGTTGTTGCCAGAACCACCGCCGTTTGGAGATGGTGGGTTGCCGTTGTTGCCAGAACCACCGCCGTTTGGAGATGGTGGGTTGCCGTTGTTGCCAGAACCACCGCCGTTTGGAGATGGTGGGTTGCCGTTGTTGCCAGAACCACCGCCGTTTGGAGATGGTGGGTTGCCGTTGTTGCCAGAACCACCGCCGTTTGGAGATGGTGGGTTGCCGTTGTTGCCAGAACCACCGCCGTTTGGAGATGGTGGGTTGCCGTTGTTGCCAGAACCACCGCCGTTTGGAGATGGTGGGTTGCCGTTGTTGCCAGAACCACCGCCGTTTGGAGATGGTGGGTTGCCGTTGTTGCCAGAACCACCGCCGTTTGGAGATGGTGGGTTGCCGTTGTTGCCAGAACCACCACCATTTGGAGATGGTGGTCTAATGGTGGTAGTAATGGTTGATATTATTCCATTTGTGAAAGTAACAGTTCTTGTCGAGACTGAAGGTGTGATCACTATATTACCAACTGGTGGGACACTGGAAGTACCAACATTGCCGTTGTTGCCGGGCTTGCTGCCAGTCAGAGTGATGGTGGTGGTGCCGGTGCGGGTGTGGCCGTCGGAGTCGGTGGATGGGAAGAAGGAGACGATGTCTGTTTCTGTGGTGGTGCTCTTGGAGACGGTTGTGGTGTATGGTGGAGGCAGTGAGAAGGAGTCGGAGTCGCCGTTGTTGCCGGGCTTGCTGCCAGTCAGGGTGATGGTGGTGGTGCCTGTGCGGGTGTGGCCGTCGGAGTCGGTGGATGGGAAGAAGGAGACGATGTCTGTTTCTGTGGTGGTGCTCTTGGAGACGGTTGTGGTGTATGGTGGAGGCAGTGAGAAGGAGTCGGAGTCGCCGTTGTTGCCGGGCTTGCTGCCAGTCAGGGTGATGGTGGTGGTGCCTGTGCGGGTGTGGCCGTCGGAGTCGGTGGATGGGAAGAAGGAGACGATGTCTGTTTCTGTGGTGGTGCTCTTGGAGACGGTTGTGGTGTATGGTGGAGGCAGTGAGAAGGAGTCGGAGTCGCCGTTGTTGCCGGGCTTGCTGCCAGTCAGGGTGATGGTGGTGGTGCCTGTGCGGGTGTGGCCGTCGGAGTCGGTGGATGGGAAGAAGGAGACGATGTCTGTTTCTGTGGTGGTGCTCTTGGAGACGGTTGTGGTGTATGGTGGAGGCAGTGAGAAGGAGTCGGAGTCGCCGTTGTTGCCGGGCTTGCTGCCAGTCAGGGTGATGGTGGTGGTGCCTGTGCGGGTGTGGCCGTCGGAGTCGGTGGATGGGAAGAAGGAGACGATGTCTGTTTCTGTGGTGGTGCTCTTGGAGACGGTTGTGGTGTATGGTGGAGGCAGTGAGAAGGAGTCGGTGTTGCTGTTTGAACTACCGCCATTTGGAGAAGGTGGGGTTACAGTAACTGTTACAGTTGTTGTACTACCGTTGGATAATGTAACTGTTTTAGTTGAAACTGAAGGACTGAAAATGCTAGGAGATGGGTTGACGGAGGATGGGTTGACTGAAGATGGGTTAACTGAAGATGGGTTGTGTGATGGGTCAGCTGGAGAAGGATCAACCGGTTTGCTTGATGGGTTGACGGAGGATGGGTTGACGGAAGATGGGTTAACCGAAGATGGGTTAACTGAAGATGGGTTGTGTGATGGGTCAGCTGGAGAAGGATCAACCGGTTTGCTTGATGGGTTGACAGAGGATGGGTTGACGGAGGATGGGTTGACGGAGGATGGGTTGACGGAAGATGGGTTAACTGAAGATGGGTTATGTGATGGGTCAGCTGGAGAAGGATCAACCGGTTTGCTTGATGGGTTGACGGAGGATGGGTTGACGGAAGATGGGTTAACCGAAGATGGGTTAACTGAAGATGGGTTGTGTGATGGGTCAGCTGGAGAAGGATCAACCGGTTTGCTTGATGGGTTGACGGAGGATGGGTTGACGGAAGATGGGTTAACCGAAGATGGGTTAACTGAAGATGGGTTGTGTGATGGGTCAGCTGGAGAAGGATCAACCGGTTTGCTTGATGGGTTGACAGAGGATGGGTTGACGGAGGATGGGTTGACGGAGGATGGGTTGACGGAAGATGGGTTAACTGAAGATGGGTTATGTGATGGGTCAGCTGGAGAAGGATCAACCGGTTTGCTTGATGGGTTGACGGAGGATGGGTTGACGGAAGATGGGTTAACCGAAGATGGGTTAACTGAAGATGGGTTGTGTGATGGGTCAGCTGGAGAAGGATCAACCGGTTTGCTTGATGGGTTGACGGAGGATGGGTTGACGGAGGATGGGTTGACGGAGGATGGGTTGACGGAAGATGGGTTGACGGAAGATGGGTTAACTGAAGATGGGTTGTGTGATGGGTCAGCTGGAGAAGGATCAACCGGTTTGCTTGATGGGTTGACGGAGGATGGGTTGACGGAAGATGGGTTGACGGAAGATGGGTTAACTGAAGATGGGTTGTGTGATGGGTCAGCTGGAGAAGGATCAACCGGTTTGCTTGATGGGTTGACGGAGGATGGGTTGACGGAAGATGGGTTGACGGAAGATGGGTTAACTGAAGATGGATTGTGTGATGGGTCAGCTGGAGAAGGATCAACCGGTTTGCTTGATGGGTTGACGGAGGATGGGTTGACTGAAGAAGGGTTGTGTGATGGTTCTTCTGGTTTTGGGTCTATAGGTTTCTCAGGTTTTGGGTCCTCAGGTTTTGGGTCCTCAGGTTTTGGATCTTCAGGTTTTGGATCTTCAGGTTTTGGATCCTCAGGTTTTGGATCCTCAGGTTTTGGATCTTCAGGTTTTGGGTCCTCAGGTTTTGGGTCCTCAGGTTTTGGATCTTCAGGTTTTGGATCTTCAGGTTTTGGATCCTCAGGTTTTGGATAGTAGCACGTATTCTTCAGTGGGTCAAGAAACCCTCCCTCGCAATTTGGCACTGGGGATGGAGTCTTTGCACATGGCGTTGCAATATAGTAAATCGTACTAGTAATAGGAAGAACGTTTTCCTCAGGTTTAGTAGTAATGAATTGTGTACTGTATGTTGTTGTTGAATCGATGCTCTTGCATGTAGTATCATAGCCAATAGGAGCAGGACAAGCATCAGGCTGATCCGGAACGGAATAGAGATATCCAGAAAAATCAGTAATATGTTCAACAGCACCATTAACACTAAAGGAAAGATCCAATGAAGAATCCTTACCAATGTTATTGAAAAACATCCTAATTGGATAATAGACATCCTTCTCCAAATTCAAGCTTACTTTGTTCTTGGAGCTGTCAACATGCCAGATATCGTAAGCAACGTACTCGCCAAGTTTAAATTTACTATCTTCTCTCTTGCAACAGTCAAAGGCATTTCCTGCACCAAAATTAATGTACAATAAATCGTCAGCATTAACAAAGAACGTGTGGATACCCGATGTTTGAGGTTTAAAATATCCATACAGCAACATAGTGAAGTTAGAAACTGTCAATGGTTCATTGTAATTGTAACCTGCTGGCAAATTTCCATATTTGACCATACAAGCTTTCTCAACGCTAAATTTGTAGTTCAAACTGCCAGTAACTCCAGTAGATTTACCAATCATTTTTCTCTTTAGGTAGCCAGTACGAGGATATTCAGGGTCAACGTAAGAAGCATCATAACAGTTGGGGGGAGTACCACTGACAATTGGGTAAGAGTAAAGTTCCATAGTTAAGCCAGGAATAACATTAGTGCTTTGAGGGGAGCATCCAATAGGATAGCCAAATGGGTTCTGTGAACTTAATGCTCGTTTGTCAAATAATGAAAAGCCAAGATCATTGGCGTGTACCCATTGTACAATCAATAGATAACTGACAATAATCCAGTTAAACATTTCCGATATTCAATATTGATAATATGTGATTTTCAATCTGGTTACTTTCAATAGTTGTCTTTTGTGATGGGCTATCTTATGATTATAAGAAATTGGAATACTTATTTTATCAAAAACTTCAATATTGTTCATCCTTTTATATGTTCAATTTTGTATCAGTAAGAATGATAACTTGATAAAAACTACTCTTAGTCATGAAATGTAAAAAATTATTGGGGATTTACCTCGGTTAAAACTTCACCTATGCTCTTGAAAATTAGAAAGATCTAAATCGAATTCTGTTGACGCTTTTCACAAGACTTAACAGTAATAACATTTTAAAAAATCTTATGGAAAATCTTCATGAAAATCTTCACGAAAGTCTTTATTAAAATCTTCATGAAAGTCTTTATTAAAATCTAAATTATAGTCTTTAAGAAAGTCTTTAAGAAAGTCTTTAAGGAAGTCTTCATGACAATACTTTGATAATCAATCATTAACAACAGTATTACCATAGTATCATATCCTAAGCTCAACTTAATCAATATCTTCAATTTAGATAAGGCCCAGGAATAATTTCAGAAGATTAGTTATGGAAAATCATCATTAACCAAGTTACAATTTCTCTTTGGAGTTAAATGTATTTGATATTAATTCTACTAGGTATTAATTAAGATCTTGTAATACTCTGGCAATAATTATGATGTCACCGTCAAACGCTGTTCTGATATCACATATAGCATAACAAAAAAAAACTTCAGTTTCTGATTTTGCAAGGTAAATCCTTCGTAACTGTATTTACATTTGTTTGATAAATTGTAAATTTCATATCATGTAGTAGAGTCTACTCAGAATTGCAAAAGACAGCTTAACTGAAAATTTCTGCATTAGAGTAGGGAGCAAGGATTTGCAGGAACATCTAATAGTGGTCTGTATCGCTTTCGGTAACATCAAATACAATCACTTTGCCAAATAAGGCAAATATAGTACTATGACGACTAGTATATGTCTCTTAATTTCTTCCCCGATGTCTTTGGGATAGTCGAAAGACACCCTTAAAATGGCTAAAACAGTGACCAACTGTGCTTGCAATAACTACGTCCTTCCACAGACTAATAAGTATACTGGATAACTCATTACTTCAAACACAACTATCAGCTTGTATAATTATCGTAAGACTCATGACGATCAATATAGTCCAGTCGAAGGAGTTTACCGAATCACACAAGAAACATCAATAAAACACACGAAGGAAAGCACGAAGATTCTACCAGCCATCTCACTCCTTAACTCTTGCCTGTCTCTCAGGCAATCAATGCAAATCCTGCATAATACATGAATAAATGAACAATCCCTTTACCCCAAATATTAGTCTTAGTATGATCAAGACTAATATTAAACCCTTGATTGGACGAACATAATCTCGTCATTGCCACATCCATAATACTGGGAGGGGATATGTCATTTCCGTGTATTTCTTTACTTTTCTGGCCTGTCAACCACTCTTTTCTTATTGCAATTGCAACTTGTGGTAGCTGGAACCCATGTGCTTACTGTAGAAAGAGAAGCTGATATAATAGTCTCCTGGCCTTAACATCATACGTAATACCCCAATTGACAAGGGTTCTCAGATAGCAAAGGAAACCCCTTGCATTTAAGGGATGAACCCCTATTTTTATCATTATCAACGCATAGTTAATGCCGTACGGAAATTATTTTTCTGATAGATCACTCCTCTCAAGTGGCTGCACAGCCTCGATATCTAACTCTTATATCCGTTTTGACCCTTTTCTTTATGAAAATCTTTTTTCTATTTGAAAATCATTTTCTCAAGAAAGCAAAATCCTGAAGAAAGAAATGATGTATTACAAATGCGAGCCAAGAAGATACAAGATAATAAATATTGATATGGTATCTTGGCTTATAAGGGACATCATCAACTAGAAAAAGAACAGTCTAGACTCGTAATGCATGTATATACTTGCTTTACAGTTTTTAGTGGCCAGCATCATTACAGTTCAACCCGCATCCTATGGATTTTCCGTCAGTTGAACAGGTTCACACAGCAATCCTTCCACGATATGATTTTATGACGGGGTTCTGAAAAAACTCCATTATTCTTCATTATCTTACACGGAACATTATCATAGGTTTGATATGAATTTTTTATACGTCATATTACGTGCATAAGTTACTACGCACTCTGACCACTACTAAGATTGTACTGTATTCAATAGTACTTTATTCTTCTGCTCCACGACATAATATGACTTTGTAAATCCTTTAATTTTCAACCGATAACTGCTTGTGTTTGTCTAAGAGCTAGATACTGATTATAATCAATCATGCTAATTAACCCGAGCAGACATAAAATTAAGACTTTTAAATAACTACCAAAATTTAAAATAAAAATGAACAATCTCATAGTCAAATAATTTAGTAATTTATTGTGCTAAGGCTCTGTTTTCAAATATTGAGAAACTTTTAGCCAAATACCAACTAGAAATTAATATGCTATCAAATAGTAGTTGAAAAACCAATTAGATAATTATCAAATGCTAATTTCCATAAAAATACTCACTTTTTAACTCTAGGCAGAGTGTTTACGAAGGATGGATATCATTCTATGTAGCATCCTTACTAACAACAAATTTTACCATCTAGTCATATATATGATTTGTATAATAACAATAATAAAAGGTGGGAAACTATCAACTATGATTAATTATATTAACCCGTAGTTTAATCAAAGAAAAATCCAGAAAGATAAGGAGTGTTTAGTAAAGTTACTTGATAAATAATTTATAAATAATTAATTAAGAAGCAATACTTGGCCAGAAATTTATGATCACAAATTAATTTGAAAACGTTAATAAACACAATAAATTGCCTCCACAATTTTATTCGCATACAGAGAACACCTAACTAATGCTAAAAGACCTCTCAAGAACAGACAGGAATAGAAATGTAATACGATTTGTATTAATCAGAACCCAACAATAATGAAATTACAAAAGGAAACTACTAAATTACTAAGTAATGTTTCATTTCATGATAATAAAATCCACTCCATTGAACAATATGCAATCTATTATTTGTGGATTTCATATATAACAAAAATAGTATTATTATTTATTAATTTTCTTGTCTCTTAATTAACCTACTGTTACCAATTGAATTGCAAACCGTGGGGTAGGCAATAACCAATATACTAAAACATTACCAACTTGTAAGATGAAAATATAAAAAGTATTTCTACTGAAATAAAATAGAACAGGTACTTTTTAAACCCATTTGTACCTTTTTCTCCCACCCCCATTAAAAAGAAGCAATGTGTCTTGTTAAGTCAATCAAATTTTACCAAATTTGGCCGTTACAGAATATGTTTGATATACTAGTATTAATCATTATTCTAGACGGACATAGCATAATCACGTGCAAATGCCATCTGTAACATGTGCGATCTCTATGAGCAACCAGTAATCATTGACAATAACCAATAATAGGCACTTTATAGACTTATGCACAGTACTACAGAGACACATATAAAATAAGGCATAACTAATCGATCATATGTAGTTATCATTTTTGATAGGGTAAATGAAACACTAAATGATAAGGAATCTTTAAACAATACATATAAAATAATAAATAAAACTCCAGATTTGAGTAATCTTACCATAATCATTTTACCACATATATGTTATATTTACTTATGGAACTTGAATTATATTGCATAATACAATTCTATATTTGTATCATATATTTTTATCAGTCGTCACTATTTATCAAAGCTGATTTATTGCAGATTAGCCGAATTTACTGTTGAAAGCTAAGAAAGCGGATGTTCCAACAGGTTATGATGACAAATACTCATCCAATATAGAGCCGGGTAAATAATTGATAAAAAGTTGTTGAGATAAACTCGAAACTACTTATTATTCTAAACGACAATGATCATATGATCATACCGTGCCATGAATACGAACGTCTTAAACGACAATGACACCAGGCATTATAGTACCGCTCATACAGGCACAGAAGTATATAAACGAAGGAGAAGATAAGATAAGATAGAATTAGGCCGGTAACGGACTATGGTCACTTTCAAGTAAAAAGAATCACCTGAAAGATTACTAATCAGAAAAGAAACCGAGTTAGGGCTTCTTAGAACCAATTTATCTGTCAAAGATAAAAGGAAGGAGTCCTCATTGATAATAGTCCATGAAGTTAGACCAAAGTTCTAGTGTCTTATTCTGTATAATGAAAGAGGATAACCAGTATAATTTCTATAATATACCCTTAGAGTCTTGAATTAATATCTTATCATCATGTCTTCTATGTATCTGGACACAAGAACTAACTACTCCACAAGATCGTCTTAGACTATCTCAACAAAAATCCATATATTAGTTTCAACGAGAATCACGTTCATATCTTACTCTTTACCCGCGATAATTTGTACGAAAGCATACAAAAAATCTAGAGAACGAATGATAAATAATTACCAGAATACATGTATTTCGACATTGCATCTCAGAACAATATGACTATGAAAAAACGGCAATTATGTTTCCTCTTTGCCCAGAAGTTTATTGCTAAAAAAAACACAAATACTGCAAATGAATTAAAACTGAACAACAACTCAATTACGGCTCCTTCAATGATATTTTTAATAGATATATATGTAATAACTAAACCATGTTGAAAGTTATAATATCTAGACTTTACTACTAATTAGTATAACTTAGCAAAATCATGAATAACATCAGCTCCTGTTACTACAAATCTAATATGAGTATCAACAGTGTTTAACAAAAAGTTTTGAGATCGCATTTTTATGACATATCTATTTTCATATTTCTCTAACGAACGCTTAGTACTGCCTTATAAAATTATTGAATTTCGTTGATGGAAACATCCAATTACATAAATAATAGCTATACCAAAATACAAAAAGGTATTATAAATGAAAGAATTTATTCAATCAGTAAAAAGCAAACTTTTATGATCTCGATTAGTTTGCATCTATTTGAACAATATACCGGAATAATAATGTTTTTAACCAAAGTAGGTCGAGTAAAAATAACTTATTGGTTATTACTTGTAATAACAGCAGAGGTTGAAACAACTTGTAGAATAAGTAGAAATATTTATGTTACAGCTCTTTAGAATCACAATTTTCCAATATCTGAAAACAACTGTGATTGGATTGATAAAATATAATCCACAATACCTAGTAGGTGCTACCCTAACATTTATTTCTTGGAGAAGAAGTGACGTCATAAAAAGTAAATATGCCAGCCAAATTTTTTTGAAGAAACTATTTTGAATTTACAAAAAAATATTTGATGACAAAAAGTTTCATGAATCTAGCCAAAATAGGAAACAATTACAAAACATGTCACGAACAAAAAATTGCTAATTCTTCGTACGGCACTACAATGACGTCACGAAATAAATGAAATGTTGAATTTACTTTAACAGTGAACCAATAAGGAAGCTACGATTGAATATTGCTGATGAAGGGAAGACTTGGTAATGAAATACTATTAATATTACCCAATGCCATTGTAAATGCTGGGCAAACCAATAGTAAACTAACTTATTCTTGTCTAAAAGATTAGTTATCGCAATCTTCTCAAACAATATACTACTTAAAATTGGTCGTTAAATATCTGTCTTCATCATGTTAAGGTTTGTTGAGTGTGTTTAAAGTAGTTACGATTTAGCTTGAATCTTAATTGGGGTCTAGATCTTTGAATGTAATTTATAATGAAATAAGATGTCAAAAAGCCATGAAAATGCATGACAATATATTTTTGCTTCTCAAAACAGTTAACAAATCATTTATCAGCGATATGTGTGATAAGCACACAGTCGAAATTTATGAATATCATTCTTTTACTAAAATTACATTACATTTTTTTTTGGAACGATGTCTTCAACGATGTGTAAAGTAGGGAAAAGTAGTTGTAAAATTGTAATTAAATCTACTAGTGTTCTTGGAGAAGGAGGTTAGAGGTTACTCATATGTAAATAATATTGGTAACCAATATTTTCCTCATTATGTTTTCTATTAATCCTATTTCGTGATATTGATATCCATAAATTATTGTTGCCGCGTGACGCTAAAAATGTAGTTCAAAATTTCATTGCTTGCTGGTGATTCTATTATATTCTCAAGGAACACAATGAAGTAATATTTGCTTCATAAATGAAGATATAATATAAGCTCTATTTCGATTTCATGAATGACAAAATAAAGCACCAGTGATAAGGATTGTTTCAATAACATATGCTAGGTACTTTGTTAATTCTTCATATTTGCATTATTATCTGACCATCTCCAAATGCCAATGTATTTTATGACCATCATTTTTGATATATTCTACCATTTGCTTTACATTTTTATCTAGTATAATGTCTTAGTGGTACACTAAAATCAATGTATGAACAGAATTTAAGCGAGAAGCCAGTATTTCAGCTATTGTTTTTTTGACACACTTCGTTGTATCTAACTATGAATAAATACTGCTACCCAAGCTAATTCTCCAGATAGTAATGATTTTTATCCCTTTTTGGCTTGAATAAACACAAGATAGTATTTGCTTGTTCCGGACATTAGTGTGTCTTTATTTATTTAATTCAGATATGTATCTAAGAAATTCAGATAACTAAATGTTAGATATATTTTGTAGCCAAAACTGTATTTTGCGAAAGGTGCTTTTATCTCCATTTTTGTTTTGTTATCGTACTAGTTATCTGTCAATTAAAAATAACACTTAATCTGAAAACTTTTTTACGAGAATGACTAGCAAATGACATCATTTGATTATATTAATTATGAAAGAATTGATTAGGAAATACTAAATTTGTCTTGTTTTTCTTCCTGTGGCATAATTTGTAAAATTAAATTTCTATTATAACCTTGTACTACTAAGAGATGTTTGCATAAAACTAGATATCTCAATCACTATAATGGAAATTATCATATAAGAAAGAAAAATACTCTGATTTTTATGTGCTCAATTAATAAGATGATTACAAAATGAGTGATATATAATGACTTCTATGCTAATATTTTATTGAATAGTTTAAAAGCTTCTAAGTATCTACTAAAATCCGATAAAATTTGTAATTTCTTTAATACAACCTATTACCAGTATTCTATAGAAAATTCCGGAAGTGGGTATATTACGCTCTATTACTCAAGAGTAATAGAGCACGACCTTAACATGACTTTTTAGATTAATTATTCTAGGTAAAATATTGGCGACTTAATTTTCTAATATAGCATCACAGTAAAGTAAACAAAAGAAAATCAGGAATATTGAAAGAAACAAACTTGGGAATTAAGCAGTTGGATAGTTGTGAATTACAATATGAATTTGTGATAATATATAGCCTCTAATATACATTTATTTGCTTCAAGACACACATAACTAAAATAGAAAATGGAAAATGCAATACCAATCCGCTATGAACAACTAATCTCTACCATCAAACATGATATTCCTATATTCACACGTTAACTAACAAATAAAGCAAATAATCATACTATATGAAACAAGCAAAAAGATATATTTGTACGTGGTTAGAGTTCCGTGTATGTACATATTTGGCTAGAATGAAGTCAAGAACATTAGTTAACACGAATGTCTACTTTGTAGTAATAAGTATTGTCACACTCGAACTTGAGAAAGAGGCTTGTCTTTCTTTTAAGTACTTACTTTGTATAGTTTATATTTACCAACTCATTAAAAGATTGATCAGGTACTAAAATAATTTGAGACTACATCATTTTTTTGTTAAAATAACCCCATAAATCCTCAGTCACAAAATCAAATATTGCTAACAAAAACACCATAAAATAATTGTAATATTTTATTGTCTAATTTCTTCATTAAATGTTTTTCATATAGTTACTTTAGTAGTATTATTTTAGCGATGTAGATGATGTAATGCAGCAAATAAGTAATACCAAAAATTCCGGAAACATATTCAACAAATGTGTTATTTTTTCCCCTTGTATCAAGTAAAGTTGATAGTTAATTTTCAGAATGTTTCTAACTCTATCACAGAAACACAGTTTTTTCTAGATAAAGATATGTTTTTTTTTTCTCAAGTATAAATACTTAGTATACATTTCAGAAATGGTTTTAAATAAAGTTCAAAATTTACTAATAATGTTTTTTCTTGATAGTCGATGTATCAATGAAGCATTACAAAAGAAATATTAACGAGAGATTGTCAAAACTTATCGCCTTATCAGTATTTTATTTTTTGACATCGGAACCAAACAAATTCCATAGTTGCTTTTTCAAGAAATGAGGAAACTACCATTGTTCATGGCTTGGAAATTTTGGCTAATTTGCCTTTATATTATAAAAGTTGCTTCTACACAAATTGTTATTAAAAGTAATACAATTGTTGGTGGTAATAACCCTTCAGGTTTTCAAAATGGCTACATTGTTTCTGGAGATGCCTTTTTGGCTTTCCAGGACATGAACACAGTTCCTATGTACCAAACAGTTAGAATCGATAAGGGTGGGGCTTTGTACTACATCAACAATGACAAGCAAGGATTCTCTATTTTGTCTGATCACAATTACAATCATCCTTTTGTATTTCTAAATGAAGGGACTGTTGTCGTTGATGACCGGAGAAGCATCAGTCCTGGTTCTTGGACCATAAAAGATGGCTCTTTTACTAATAATGGTAATATCATGTTTACGTCAAGTCAAGGTGATATATTTAGTATTGGCTCGAACTATATCACCAACACAGGTTTTATCTTTTCTAAAGGTACTAGTTTTGAGAAACCTCAGCGGTTGCAGATTGGTAATGGTAATATATGGATTAACACTGGTACTGTCTGTATGGCCAATACTACTTATATCTTAGAAAATGCTATTCAAGGTGGAGGTTGTATTTCTGTGGGCGAAAATTCAGTTTTCAACATCTATAGTTTTGATATGCAACAACAAACAGTATATTTATCTCACCCGTCGTCTGTTCTTATCCTAAATGGAGGGCATGAAGTACCAGTATATGGACTCGGTAATGGAAATGGAATTTTATACCCTGATGCTCCTATTAGGGATATCTATTATGATTCCTCTACAGGCATAATGGATGTCACAGCAGGAACAAATGGAATTTATAAGTTTACTGTCTATATTGGTGCTGGGTATAATGAATCGAATTTTGAAATTGTGAGCTCCATAAAAATTCATGGAATAAGCTATGATAATTATAATTTTGTGAGATACCGAGGACCGCCACCAAATCTAGCTCCATCTGTTTGTCAACCATGTGTCGAGATACCATTGTATTCATTTCAGGTTCCCGATCCATATACAACAACCAATGAACTGGGATTTTCGGAGACCGTATCATTTTATTCTACATATAATGAAAATGATATACCAGTTATTGGTAATACTACAATATATGTACCTCCAGCTATCTATACATTAACCAAGGTCAATGAAAATACAACTGAGACAGATATTATTAGTAGAGTAACAGGTATGGGCTATAATGGGCTACCATTCACTTATTATACCACAATTACAGTTGGTGAAATGGAAACCGGGGTGGTTACAAAAACGATTACTATTACAGAAAATAAAAGTAGGAGCACCAAAACAACGCTAATGTCGAGAAACTACACTTTTAGTTTTTCTAATTACTCTCCTATATCAAGTAGTGGTACCTATAGTGTGTCTACGGTCGATAATATAACCACTCTCACAGATACTGTTGCGAATGTCTCTTCAAGTGGACCAAATAGCATAGTAACTGCTACAATGACAACATATCAAAATAATCATGAATTTAATAATGCCTCGGTCATAAACGTAACAAACTCAAGTAATATAATGGTCCCCATCACCTCAACGTTTTATTCTTCTGTTGACTCCAATCTTACAACTCCTATAACGAGCCTTACCAGAACATCACAGAGCCAAATTGTCTCCCACATCACCAAGCTTGCATCCAGCATCAATGAAACCACAATCGCCAATACTTTCCCATCCCCTGCTGCCAGCGGTACTAACTACACCACTGTCGTGACCAACGCGGAGGGCTCTGTCCAGACCGACATTGTCTCCCACATCACCACCACCGACTCCGACGGCAAGCCTACCACCATCGTCTCCCACATCACCACCACCGACTCCGACGGCAAGCCTACCACCATCGTCACCACCTTCCCAGCCCCAGCTGCCAGCGGTGCTGACTACACCACTGTCGTGACCAACGCGGACGGCTCTGTCGAGACCGACATTGTCTCCCACATCACCACCAAAGATTCCATAGGTAAGCCTACAACTGTTGTCACCACTGTTCCATACACTCTATGCGCAAGCAACGCAGACTACACCACTGTAGTTACCAAGTCCAACGTCAGTGTTGAGACCGAAGTTGTGTCCCACATTACCACCACTGCTCCATGCTCTGATTTGGAATCCCACGTTGAGAACCAAACAACTTCACCAAGCATGCATACCACCTCACTTGTTGGTTCTGAAAACGGTGTTAGTGCTAAGACTGTCAATGACAAGCCTAACCCAACTATTTTTACAGAAGTTGCTGTAAGTGAAGGTACTACATCTAATGCCGGTTATGTGACAGACCAAGGTAGCTCTTTGGAGATGTTTGCTCCTACAGGAGCTTCTGCTGTTGAAAGTGGCAATAAGGTGTCCCAGACCCAAACTGCCTCCATCTTCCATGGTGCAGGTTCTACATTCAAGATCAAATTTAATACCATTCTACTATCCACATCATTGACTATCTTGATTCTGTTAGGCATGGCTTAAGCCGACTATTATCTGAATTAAGATAATAATTGTACTAAATGTACGTTCGTCGACTCATGGATATAACTTTACATGATGTTTGTTTTATTAATTAATCACACTACTATTGGGGGAAAGCAATGGCAATGCTATTATAGTCTTAAGGTCATATAAAGTTGGAGAGATCCCCTAGTTGTCTAGTTCGTTATGCTGCAACATTCATTTACTCTGCTAGGTTTATTGAAATCCAGTTCGAATTTGAATATATTTTTTAGGGAGTTTTTATATTTATGTATTTGTCATAATAATAAATATTTTCTCTTTGATAAAATGTTTTTCATGTGTTTCTGGATCACTGCTGCCGAACATGGGCCTCTGTTTAAATGAAAACTGACAAGTTGCGAAAAGCGCGAGATGTGAGCAGTGACGGTAATCATGTGAGTCCAAGTATGTATAATTGTACGAAGGGAAGTACTTCTAAACATGTTGGCATTTCTCGTAGGTGTTGAAGTTCCCAAGAGTTATCAAGAAAAAATGGGTGACACTTTCAATTTCATTGAATTTACCAAAACATGTAATTTATCTAATACACCTTCTTGCCCATATCAATACTATAATATTAAGAAGTGTATTTATAGGTGTCCAATTAATAATCCCCATACTAAAAGATATGTTTTAAAACAATCATTTTGATCAATGATATGTCTCTATCAAAGTTCGGTGGTCAAATTGGTTCATCATATTTATTCAAGTTACTCTAAACAAATCAGTCACATTAAAATATACAACCATACATCCCAGTAATGGATGCCGATCTTGTTGTTCAACTATTTCATAGCATGTTGATATTCATTAGGATGGCCATTATATACAAAAAATTATTTCATTATCGCTAGGGCAACATGACAAACTCTATATTTAATACGAACTGGCATCATAAAGGTTGTATTTATAGTTGGTTCTACAAAACAATTGATACAGATTCGAAGTCCACAGTACTCTGCAGTTGTTCAATATTGCATCATTCAATACTTACCACAATTGTTAAATCGAATCGAAGAAATTGGAGGTATTTAGTTTACAGTGTGTGAGCTATGGGTATTATTCTCTTACGCACACATGGCTTAATATAAACCAATAATAGTTTAGAAAGACTTGTACAATGAATTTACAGGTCGTGATACTATTCATATGTGGATATTAGAAAGTTTCTTATTTGAGTTCGAGAGTACATTGTCGATGAATTGAGAGTTGTGATTCCAGACATAGTATATTGTTTTGATCAAGGATTTTGATGTGAATTTCAATCCAAACATTGTACATTATTCTACGGAGATTGCATGCATTGAGTCTGTATTATATGAGTAAAGTAAACTACACGACATATTTCATATAGATAACCTAACCTGATCTCCGTGCAACTGAGGACAGCTGATTGGCATGAGGCATGTATTATCGAACAGTAGCTATAAGTGTGAATTGTTCTGAATGGAATAATTACTAACCTGGTAAGGCATTAATGTCGTGTCTGGGGAAGGGTTGTACAATAGAGTTGTTCTTTAGTTTCACTGTTAAGATATGGTTAAACATCTCAATTTATACATCAAAAGGATGCCACTAACTTTCATCTTTTGCTAACTCTCTTAAAGTAGTTGATATACAGAAACCACGACTGCTTTGTAAATGTGTTTGGTAAAGCTGTGTGTTTCCACATCTTTTAAGTTTACGGACAGAAATTCAAAAGTAAAACATGTTGATTAAGTATGTTTAACCTTGAACATTAATGCTTTTAATTTATACCATGTATAATTATCTATCTCCTCATTTACCTACCCTCCTACAGAAGACCTTTTGTGAGATGGTGGAATCACAGTAGCATGCCACTGTCACGTACTTTGTTCCGGGTAGTGGGCCAAGCTGAGCCTGCAAGTCCAGATATCTAAGTTGCGAAAAACGCGGGACCTTGCGTTCTACGAGACAGTCGACAAAGCAATTTGATTTACCCAGCCTGGCTAAGAGTTGCGAAAAACGCGAGATGTTGTGTTCAACGAGGCGTTGTTGAAGTAGAACAACCACTCTGTTCTAGAACAACAGTTCATCCTGAAGTGTTGCAGTTCATCTGGTTGAATCTGAACTCTGACCAAGATTCATTGATGTATTGATAGTGGGAGTTAGAAATACATGGTTTGCATTGTGAGATAGGATAATATTATATATATACTAAGATAGTAGTGTATTACTGTAATCTTGTAAGAGTACAAACCTCTGAAGTACTGAAGACTTCTTCTACTGTAATACATCATTGGTTAAATACTATGCAGGAGGATGAAATGAACAATCCAGTCTATTTTATGAAGTTTTCTTGACTTTACCATATATGCCTTGATCACTTGTCACCAGTATTTACTTTATCAACATTTACTTCACAATGATCATGAGATGAAGTTGTTATCATGATGTAGTTATAATGACCTTGTAGGATTCCCAAATGTATTCCTGAAACAATGAGTTCCTCCACAACACAACACAACACATATCAATGCAACATCATGTGTGATTTATAAATGCTTATGAATATGGTAATATCTGTGCAGTACTTTTACCAGACTGTTGCGTTTCTGTGAAGAGCATTTTTGTTCGACATAAAACATCTTTCAAGAACAGATTTTCATTTTTTTAGGGTTACATAGGGTATGGTAAAGTTCTTAGGGCTGCATTAGGGTTCGTGTTTCATTCATTTGTCTGGGTAAGTAGGGTTTGCAGTTGTTAAAGTTAGGGCTAATAGGGTTGTATAGGGCTCCAAAAATATATATTTTGGTTATGAGGGGAGGATTTCTGGTGGTAAGTCTAAAGTGAGCTATCAGAAATATGAAGATGTGCCACAAGGTGTTCTGAATATCATGTAGATAGATTAAAAAGTTCACTGTACATATTTCATCCCATATATCTACATTCATCAAAAGACATCTGTAGATTATATGATGTGTCCATATATATCTAAGGCTCCATTATGGGATTTAAAGTACTAGATAAAACTAAATCCAAATGGCTTAAAAAACTGAACAAGAGCTATAACAAAATAGCAGCTTATACTTTGATAAAATGATCAGATGTATTTAGAGAATATAAAACAAATGTAATACACAGAAATACCCCCAATGTTAGCATTAATCTGTTTAGTAACAATATATGACAATGAAAACCAAAGGAATGGTATACAATATATATGTCAACTACATGATGAATGATAATTTACAACTACCAAATATAATTCAATGAAAGTGTATTGTTTTTAGTTTAGTATGTAAATGGTGTCACATATAACATCTTTGGGATACCTCATATTTGTGTG